TTGATCAGCATAACGTATTTGATGATAACATAACGTATTTAATGATAACATAACGTATTTGATGATAACATAACGTATTTGAGGAACCTATGATTCAGGGTAAAAATGTTTGATAAACAGTGATCTTATTTATTTTCATTTGTCTCATGTTGATTTGTATAAGAGAACATGTAAAGACCAACATATGTTCTAAATATGCATTATCAAGCGTTCATGGTCAAATAACGTATTTGATGATTTCGTCACGTATTTGATGAAATTCACAAGTACCTCATAGAAAAATTCTGGTTCTTGTAAACGACAAGCGTTAGAAGCAGTGAAATAAGGCAAAGCGACGATTCAGGATGCTTGATACTTTTAAAACTGGGCAACATGAATAAGAAATCTATACAGTTTAGATTCTATTCCATGGTTGAGATAGAGGAAACTGCACAGCACCTAAAAATGTCGAAAGCCTAAGTAGTTCCCAGAACAATCAAACAACATGCAGTTCTGATCAAAGACGGTGTGCTCTTCTCAAACATTGTTTCTTGCTACTGTGCCGGATGTCTCCGAGTTGTGTAAAAGTTAGCATTGTCACCATGGTGTCTAGACCGTATCCAAGAGACATGGGGAAACTTTTAAACCAGCTGCTGAATCTGATGTCTCATCATCTTCACTGCCTTCCATCCCAGTTGTTGGAAAATATCTTGCTGCTACTTGCGATGGAAAATGGTATGTTGGGAAGGTTTTTGAGGTTGACACTGATGACCGTGATACCAAAGTAACCTTCCTGGAGAAATACCAGGCAAGGGCAACACTGACACATACAAGTGGCCAACTCATCCTGATGAAATCTGGATCAACGTTAATGATGTACTTTGCTTCATCGAGGACCCTATTGCCATTGGGAAATCACACGCAAATTCACCATTGGTACAGCTGATGTATCATGTATTGAAAAGGCATTTTCTCATTTGTTCCCGAACAACAAAAACTCAGTTAGTGAAAATTTCATCAAATATGTTACGTTTTGACAGTTGCAGAATTTCATTGCAATTTTAGTATATTATTTCTCATATACCCAGAACTTGTACTGGCTTTCATGGGTGATACTTTTGACATATGATTCATACTGTTCTCATTATGATTAAACGGCTCATCACAGTTCAGTCAGTTATGTTGTTATTATTTTAAGATTTGTAAAAGGTGTATTTTAAAATACAAGTTTGTATTAGTGCATGAGCCTCTGTGATCAGTCTTTATATAGACTGTATACCTTTCCAAACCAAGGACGAACCTCTTCTTCATACAACAGAGGACTTATTTTGATACAGAAGTTGGACGAGTGTATCATATCTGAGACTTAACAAGTATATGGCGCGTAACGTATCTGACTACAAAGACTTTTACCCATATTATTTATGCACTCAGTGATTAAATTTGAGTTACGATTTGGGTCCCCCAATGATGGATCAAAAACGTTAGATCATGTATTTTTTTTAAATCAATGGTTTCATGCAATATCCGAATACTTTTTTGGAACATTTGAATTTTCAAATTTTGCATTTAGCTGAGAATGAGTGTAGCTTTTGATTGGTTAATTTTCCATGTTGCTGCTCTCAGACACTGTACAAATTTTATGCAGCTGAGAAATCAACAAAAACACATCTAAGTAATCTGTATATTATGCATTAATTTCATAGAGTTTCTGAAATTAACCAGTGTTTACTTGAATGCAATCGGTAAAGGGAAGTAACTGTGTTCATTCATGTCATCTACCCATTGTGTTGCTATTTACTTAGTGTAACAAGTTTTGCTAGCTCACATGTACTCAGGTGGTGTAATGTACCCTGTGTGGAAGGGCTCGGGGTAAATATGTTCACACATAGGGTTCATCACACCATATACCTCTCGATGTCGGTGGACAACTGTATTGGTCTCTATGACGAAGGTACTTGTTGGTACCATGCCTGGCTATTGTCATTAAGGACTTGGCTGGGAGTCAGAACACTGTGTCTGACTGGGTTGTCTATGTTAGCCTGCTGCATGGTGTCTGAGTGGGTTAGCTCAGTAAAACCATCATTTGTCGAGATCAGTACACACAGCCACATCTGTATACATACAAGCTCGTCACTATATTAGTGGAACATGCCTTACACCTAATTTCGCCTGATCATCCGTGGTAGGAAAATATAGAACAGTCATGTTCATATAGAATGCACTATCTCATCTGAAAGCTTTATTAATCTTAGATCCTTTATGGATGAGTCAAGTATCATTTGATTAAAACCCTTTCACATCCAGTTGTAGTTGTAGACACAAATATAATGTTCTAATGCAAATGTCATTCAGACCTATTAAGTTGTCATGTGCACAGACTTTCTAATTCCAGTGTTATATTGTTCAATTTTGTGTGCAGTTAATAACTGATAATTGCCTACATATGTATCACGTGGTGAAAATATGCAGTAATTTATCAGCCCAAAGTGACCTTCATCTTCACTGGAGCATTGAATGTAGTAGTGATTCTGCTTCATGTGGTATACGACACTGCTGAGTCTAGGATGCTTGGGGAACCTTTGATTCCAGCTGCAGCATCATTAATAATTGCTCCAAGCACTCATGCATTGCAGACAAGGATCCTTTGAATGGCATGTCGACCTACTACAAGGTGGAACGCACTGTCAGTAATGTATGCTGATAACAGCTTGACTTATGACTATGTGCTTAAAATGTCATTAGGAATAGTTTCTGTTTAATATAATTTTGAATGGGTACAGTTTGAATTTAAGAATGTGTTTCCAGTTCATAAAAAGTACCGTATACCAAAAAATGTCACTAACTTTACATAACTTCTTTGAGAGGCATTTTAGAAGTTGTATAGATGAAGGAAGGTACTAACACTGTTATCAAGCAGGTGATATCAACCATGTCAATTGTATATACTCACTAAAAAGGAAAACCAATTTCTATGGATAGTCAACTTCTTTATTGCAATGAGTGCAACGTTTTGGTGTAGGTATCTTGCTTGATAATGATGTTAGTATGTACACCGAAACGTCACACTCATTGCAATAAAGAAGTTGACTATCCATAGAACTTGGTTTTCCTTCAACTTTACATAGACAAGAATGTTATTCCTTACAATGTTGATGATGTTGTAGCAACATGACATAATTAGCTACAATGTTGACAACGTTGTTGCAACATGACAGTTCCTTCAAATGTTGATAACCTTGTAGTAACATGACTCTTCATTACAACGTTGTAGCGATTTGACTCTGTTCCTTACAATGTTGGTAACTTCTTGCAACATGACTGTTCCTTACCTTGTTGGTAACTTTGTAGCAGTGTGACTCTATTCCTTGATAACTTTGCAGAAACATGGCTTAAATAATTAGCTACAATATGGATAACTTTGTAGCAACGTGATTCTATTCCTTACAGTGGTGGTAACTTTGTAGTAATGAGACTATTCTTTACCATGTTGATAACTTTGTAGCAATAAGACTGTTACAACACTGATGACAATCTATTGTAACACTTGTGAATCAGTTCCATACAGTGTTGATAACGTTGTAGCAATAAGACTGTTACAACATTGATGACAATCTATTGTAACACTTGTGAATCAGTTCCGTACAGTTTTGATAACTTTGTAGCAATAAGACTGTTACAACATTGATGACAATCTATTGTAACACTTGTGAATCAGTTCCGTACAGTGTTGATAACTTTGTAGCAATAAGACTGTTACAACATTGATGACAATCTATTGTAACACTTGTGAATCAGTTCCATACAGTGTTGATAACTTTGTAGCAATAAGACTGTTACAACATTGATGACAATCTATTGTAACACTTGTGAATCAGTTCCATACAGTGTTGATAACTTTGTAGCAATAAGACTGTTACAACATTGATGACAATCTATTGTAACACTTGTGAATCAGTTCCATACAGTGTTGATAACTTTGTAGCAATAAGACTGTTACAAGATTGATGACAATCTATTGTAACACTTGTGAATCAGTTCCGTACAGTGTTGATAACTTTGTAGCAATAAGACTGTTACAACATTGATGACAATCTATTGTAACACTTGTGAATCAGTTCCGTTACAGTGTTGATAACTTTGTAGCAATAAGACTGTTACAAGATTGATGACAATCTATTGTAACACTTGTGAATCAGTTCCGTACAGTGTTGATAACTTTGTAGCAATAAGACTGTTACAACATTGATGACAATCTATTGTAACACTTGTGAATCAGTTCCGTACAGTGTTGATAACTTTGTAGCAATAAGACTGTTACAACATTGATGACACTCTTTTGTAACACTTGTGAATCAGTTCCGTACAGTGTTGATAACTTTGTAGCAATAAGACTGTTACAACATTGATGACAATCTATTGTAACACTTGTGAATCAGTTCCGTACAGTGTTGATAACTTTGTAGCAATAAGACTGTTATAACATTGATGACACTCTATTGTAACACTTGTGAATCAGTTTCGTACAGTGTTGATAACTTTGTAGCAATAAGACTGTTACAACATTGATGACAATCTATTGTAACACTTGTGAATCAGTTCCGTACAGTGTTGATCACTTTGTGGTTCCTTCGTCTAATCCTGACAAAGCCAGACCTCGGTTCCAGAGATTCATCATGGTGGTATTTAGCTCACTGAGACCTATGGTTTAACAGGGCTTATTTGGTGACACATTGTCCATCATTTGACTTTCCTTCGAACATGTAATCCACAAACGTCTTCCACATGACAGAAGTAATTAAAAGGTAAATTTTAGAGGCCATCTGGTACTGCAGAGGGGCATCTTGATGGTAACATTCAACAGCCTCTCTGATCAGGAAGTGTCTGGATTGCATGAATTCATTATCATGGCCGTCATTAGTATGTGAAAACATTTAGGATCTTATAAATGTATTTGATGAAAGTGAAATTTTGTGCTTGAGGTCTCTGGTTTCTGTTTTAACACAAATCTTCTGTTTCAGAGTGGATCACTGATGGGAGGTGATGGCGAGTACGGTGATGATGATTATCGCAACAAATACTCTTGGTCACACCATGCCAATGGAGGGTAAGCTGGTTCAACTTTAAGCCAGTTTTTTTTATCTAATGTCATGTAATGTGATCTGTAGTGCACTAAATTTGAGTACATATGTAGCATTGATAGACAGAATTAAATCTATCAAAATAATACTCATTTTCTTTTCACAGACAGACCTTGAATGAAGTGCCACATTGGAGTAATTAATTATCATAAAACAGTAATTACTTTTGTAGCCATCTGTAGCCCAGTCATTGACTATCCAGATATGTTATTATCTGTCATAATGATGAATTAGGTGAGGAAAAAGGTATTTGTCGAACTATAACATTGCAATAGCAATAATGTTAATGATAGTCACCAGTGTTTGAAATTAAGCAAAAAAGACAAGTCCTTGTGATGATGCTAATGTTGCTTACATTTGGAGACCCTAGGTTCAAATACTAATGGAGCCTCCTTAATTTCATACACAGGTCACTCCAGTTGTGTGGGAATGTTGAGGTGGAGTGACACCTCATGTGTGTTTCAGCCAATAACACCTTATGTTAGTGACACCTTAACTTACCTTCATGTTAAATACTTTAATTCTGTTGGTCAATGATGCTTTAACAAGTTTCCGTGTCACCACTCCCAGGAGGCTGACAACTGGAAAAAATATTACCCACTGCCACGGTAACCGCCAAGCTCTCCGTCGAGAAGTTGTATCACTAACAATCGTATGGCGTCATAATATGACGCATGCAGTGCATGGCATTTTAAAACCGTTCGATTAACTGTTTTTGAGTTCACTTTGTACACTTTTTTTTTATCGACTTTCACTGCTTTATTTAAACTATGTTATACATTGCGTCGTTTGCACACTCAACTTAAACATAATTAACTACTTTTATAGCAGTTTTAAGCTTGTCAAAATATGTTTCACTGATATAAAAATCCAGTCGAGAGGCAGACACCATTTTGTTTACATGTCGGTAGCAAGCTTATCGATCTTCAAAATAAAACAAAAAGATAGGTTTTGTACATTCATTTAACATGTCGGTAAGATAAACATTGTAAACTTTTTCCTCGAGTAATACGGTCTGATATACGCCTCCTTGTAGCAGTCTTATTCCTCGCCTACCGGCTCGGGTAACACTGCAACAAAAAGGCATACATTAGACTGTATTACCCTCGAGAGAAGCATACAACTTATATTATGTGTGTGTTTCAGCCAATAACACCTTGCGTGTGTGTTTCAGCCAATAAAACCTTATGTGTGTGTTTCAGCCCTCCAGAACACAACCCATTCTACACCAGCATAGACAGCATGCCGGAGATTAAGCCTCGCCGCAAGTCCATCCCACTAGTCAGTGACTTGGTGAGTGCTCCTGTCCACTGCAGTATTCACACTTTCATTCATCTGATGATGCCTTGAACTCTGGTTATATAGTTTGCTCTGGAAGTATATTTTCAGTGTAAACAGTTTAGTTTCAAGTTTATCTTAAGACCCATTTAAACAAAATTATTAACTGGCATGATGGTATGAACAGTTACTTGTTATATAAGTACATTTTGAACATGTATGCTCCCTAATACTTGTTGATTTCTCCTTTTCTAAGATACATCCTGTATTTGATCATGCATCCACTGGGTGTGGACAAATTGTATCTAGCTTGTATAGCCTGTTTCATCCTCTTGCACCAGAACATAATCACACATCAGTAAAATAATATATGTTCATCATATTCAATTTTTTCAAGTTTGTTGGAGTGGCTCAGATACTAATGTTGAGTTTAATTATTTCATAGCAATAGTGCTGACATATTGGTTGTTGGATGATGTCAGGTTTTCTCTGTACACCTTCTTGGAGACAGAGGGTCCGGTACCCATGGATGTATTAAACGATTACTGATAAGGGTATTAGGTGACCACACTGGATTGTTCATGGTTGGGTGACCTCCAAGAATAAGTATATTTCTGTGTAACTGAAAGTGTGACATTGTACCTAGACAACAAGGATCGTTTCACACCACTGGTTTCGCTTGTCCAAGCTTTTGTAAGATTGTAGTTGCTGCTTGTCACTAATATTGCTCACATTTAACTAGTAGTTGATTCTGTGACTGACCGTCGATGTCCACTGACTGCCAACTAACCCAGTTCTGTTTCTTCCTATGTGTACCCAGGTACTCAAGGTATACCGCCGCAAGGCCCAGGACCGACACGGAGTTCCATCATGGAAGGAGCAGATCACGTTGCTTGGACAACCCCAAAACATGTCACACACTAATATCATGATAATTGTTTTGGCAGAAAGTAACATTTCTACGTTGTCCATGCAATTGATACATCTGCCTCCAGGACCATGATGAACACTCCTTTTTTTTTCCCTCAGTGTGATTGTAACTATAGGTCTTACACTGAGCCAGATCTGAAGGGGAGCCCAAGACTGCACAGTTCATTTCTAAGTGTCATAACATCCAAAAACTCTAAAACCTACAATGTTACAACTGGTGCAAGTTCCCCTTCAGATTTTGTTTTATCATTTCTTAATATCTGTTTCGTCTTACTTCAAATGTAGCATTTTTTTTAGAGAGATCAGTACATTAGTAGTCACACTATCCATCCTCGAGTGGTTTTGATGCATATCAGTGCACTGAACACACAACACAGACTGTGTACTACAATGCTAGGTTAGCCAGAACCTGATTAGGAGTTGGGCTGATTCTGATACAGGCTAAGCTTCAGAAGTCATTTCAGTGAGTTGTTGGGCTTAAAGGTGGAGAGGGTAGACACCATCTTATTGTGGACAGGTCCGTGGGTTGGGTGGCTAGATGTCAATGCAATTAGTAGACAATGTGTAGACAGGTCCATGGGCTGGGTGGCTAGATGTCAATGCTATTAGTAGACAATGTGTAGACAGGTCCATGGGTTGGGTGGCTAGAGGTCAGCATAATGAGTAGACAGGTCCATGGGCTGGGTGGCTAGATGTCAATGCTATTAGTAGACAATGTGTAGACAGGTCCATGGGTTGGGTGGCTGGATGTCAATGCAATTAGTAGACAATGAGTAGACAGGGTATGTGGGCTGGGTGGCTAGAGGTCAGCACAATAAGTAGACAGGGTTCAAGGATGTGAAGAGAAGACAACTCTCTTTGTAGGCCAAGTTCTTTGATTAAAAGTATTAGATGTCAGCTAGATCTGAAGATGGGCTCTTGAGGGTTTGAAATATGAACATTCACCAGATTTGCAGACAGGGTCCTTGTTTAGATAAATGTAGACTTTGAAGATCCTAAATGGGTTTATTAAGCAATATCCACAGAGTGGTATGTGTGTAGCTAGTAAGTAGAGAGGTACACACTGACTGGTTGTACATTGATACAATGTGTTTAATGCTTGATGGGATTCACAACGCTGGCATTCCCTTGCAGTTACGCACCGTTATGAGAGCAGAAGCTGGTCTACTCAAGAATAAAGTAAATATGTGCTCCACAGCAGTGGATGCTAGATGTTTTCAGTTCAGTTACCGGTTTTTTCTCCCTTGGTTTATTAGCATGACCATGCACGATGATGAACAGAATAGCTGCTACATCCCCTAGACATTTGTCAGCAGTAGAAGTGTTTCCAGTGGAATAGCCCCTCTTGATTTGTCAGCTGAAAAGTAGTTTGGACCATTTCTGTATGTGTATAGATAAAATTAATTTTGCATGATGTTTGTGAATTCGAGTTCATTCCTGAGTTTGTGTGGTTTAGAATGAAATAGCTGATTTAGATTTAGGAATATTAAATGATGAATTTTGAATGTACTCTTCATCCACTGTGACAACTGCGCAGACCAGCAAGGAGGGAGGTAAGGCTTGCTGGAATGGTTGTGAGTCTTCATTGAGGGAGGTAAGGTTTTCTGGAGTAGTTGTGAGTCTTCATTGAGGGAGGTAAGGTTGGCAGGGGTGGTTGTTAGGATTCATCAAAGGTGGTTTTGTTTCGGTGGTTGTCTGGATTCATTGAGGGAGGGAAGGTTTACTGGTGTGGCTGTGAGTCTTCATTGAAGGACATATTGTTTGTTGTTTGGATGTGAGTTTGAGAGAGGGAAGATGGAAGCGTTTTCTGGCATAGTTGTGATGCTTTGTTGAATGAGGAGGGTGGTTTGCTCGGGTGTTTTGTTGAAGTAATGGTTGTGAGTCTCCATTGGGGGAGGTATCGTTTGCTGAGGTGGATGCAAGGTTTCATTGTGGGGGGGTAAGATTTGCTGAGTTGTTGCCAAGATTCTTTGATTGACATAAGGTTTTGCTGGGGGTGGTTGTCAGGATTCATTGAGGAAGAAATGGTTTTCTGGGTGGGCTCCAAGGATTCATGGAGGATGGAATGTTTTTACTGGGATGGTTGTTAGAATTCATCGTGAAGGAATGGTTTTCTGGGAGGGCTGTTAGGATTCATGGCGGAAGGAATGGTTTTGCTGGGATTGCTGTTAGGATTCATGGCGGAAGGAATGGTTTTGCTGGGATTGCTGTTAGGATTCGTGGCGGAAGGAATGGTTTTGCTGGGATGGTCGTTTGGATTTATCGAGGAAAGAATAGTTTTGCTTGGATGGTAGTTTGGATTCATGGAGGACGGAATGGTTTTGCTGGGACGGTTGTCAAGATTCAACTGGGGAGGTAAATATTTGCTGGGATCGTTGTTCAGATTTATTGAGGCAAGTAAGCATTTGCTGGGGTGGGTTTGAATCTTGATGTAGGGTGGTAATATTTGCATTGGTTTGAAAAGGGTATGATTTGCTGGGGATGATTAATTGATGGAATTGTCAGGATTCATTGATAACAATAACATTAATACACATATCCGCACCAACATCTACATGTTAATTGCATTAAGGCTGATATTGATGGTTTTCTGGATTAGTTTTGGCCTTCATTAAAGGTTTGAAGTTTAGCTGGGGTAGTTTTTAGACTTCACTGACGTGTGTTAAGTTAACTGGGGTGGCTTTTGACCCTTATTGAAGGTTAACTGGGTTGGCTTATGGCCTTTATTTGTGTGTGGTAAGGTCAGCTGGAATGTTTGGGGGCTTTTATTGAAGGTTAACTGGGGTGTTTTTTGGCCTTCATTGAACTGTGGGAAGGTTAGCCTTTTGGCCTTTATTGAAGGTTAGCTGGGGTGGTTTGGGGCGTTCATCATTGGAGTGTGGGAAGGTTAGCTGGAACCAGCTGGTTGGGCCTTTATTGACTGATTGGAAGGTTAGCTTGGCCTTTCCCAAGGGATTAGATGATTATTTTGGTTGAGGCGTTGTAGAGGGGGCGGAAAGGTTTGAGGACTATACTGGATGGTGTTGTGGGGCTTCATTGAATTTGTTGGTGCCAGGGATGATAAGCCTACATTGTTCAGGAGTTTCAAGTTTAGAATGCCAGAATGAAGGTTTGGGGTGACATTTGTTGAGAGCTTAATGTGGGAGATTGAGAGTTGAAGAGACAGTTGTAAATGACCACATAAATGTTAATGAACAAGGTTACATTCTAAAGATGTTTGTAGTGATGTCTAAATTTGAAAAAATCGGCTCAAGATGTTTATGGCAAAATGCACAACAGTTGAGGCTGTCTTGAGGTGTCAATGGCAATGTGGACACTATGGACGTATGGCTTGGGTGTCAACAGCAATGTGGACACCATGGAGGTGTGGCTTGGGGTGTCAATAGTAATGTAGACACCATGGGAGGTTAGGCTTGTGTAGTTGATGGTTAGGTGGACAGTGTTTGTGGTTAGGCTTGTGGTTGATACTTCAAAGGAATGCTTACAGACAGTCATGTCGGAGGTTGCAGTTTTGAGGATGTTTGTATACCTGGAGGAAGAGTTTAAGATAAGTTTAGGTTGTCTGGCCTGTGGAGTTGTAGGATGTGGTTGCACCATTGGTTCTATATGTTTCTTAGTCATCTGTATATCATCTGTGTCTTGCCTGTGGAGTCATAGGATGTGGTTGTACCTTTGGTTCTAAATGTTTCTTTGGGATCTGTGCATCAATTTAAATCCTGCACATCAGTCATATTAATTGTTAATCCAAAACTATTTTTCAACTTCCTCATTTAACATGAAGCATGTTCTGTTATTCATGAAATGACAAGCTGGACATGTAACAGTATAGCTCACTTTATGCCCAGTTATGTTTGTTGGTACACTTAGCAGGCAAAAAACCCCAAAGTTTTCCACATCACTTTTTGTTCAAACACAAATACTTTAAAAAGTCTTACCTCCCTCCTCGCTTGAGAAACAGATAATTGTTTTTATGCAGCCTTATTTATGGATTGCGAAATCTGTTTAAAACCAAAGAAAACCTAATTTTGTCAACTGTCAGTTTTCAATATCCACACAGCTTCATGGTCAGTCAGGGATCCTTGTAGTGGTGTTGTGATGACACATGAACCAGGAGGGCTCATGAAGGCAAAGATTCTACATCATTAGTACACGGTCATTATGGTGTTAATGAAACATTTAGGAGTAAGAAACATCACAAAGGGTAATCTTGGAGGAGGTGCTGACCCTGACGATGAAGATAGAAACACAATGATAAGGATGTTTTAAGGTGTAACTTTGGTAAAGTTTTGGTTATATTCATGGACCTACAGTTCATATGTAGGTATATATGGATATAGCATCAGCTTTTAAGTAATGAGAAAGTTGCACATTGCTAATGTTGGATATTGAAGGGAATAATATAACATTTGTCAGACTTTTACCATGGGTAACATACCAGATGATGTAGGTATCAGGGAGAGTTACATACCGGCCAGTGTAGGCCTCAGTGAGGGTAACGTACCAGCTAGTGTAGGTGTTAGGGAGGGAAACATACCAGCTAGTGTAGGTGTCAGGGAGGGAAACATACCAGCTGGTGTAGGTGTCAGGGAGGGTAACACACCAGCATGTGTTGGTATCAGGAGGGTAACACACCAGCTTGTGTAGGTGTCAGGGAGGGAAACATACCTGCTAGTGTAGGTATCGGGGAGGAAACATACCAGCTAGTGTAGGTATCGGGGAGGGAAACATACCAACTTGTGTAGGTATCTGGGAGGGAAACATACCTGCTAGTGTAGGTATCGGGGAGAGAAACATACCTGCTAGTGTAGGTATCGGGAGGGAAACATACCTGCTAGTGTAGGTATCGGGGAGGGAAACATACCAGCTTGTGTAGGTATCAGGGAGGAAACATACCTGCTAGTGTAGGTGTCGGGGAGAGAAACATACCTGCTAGTGAAGGTATCCGGGAGGGAAACATACCAGCTAGTGTAGGTATCAGGGAGGGAAACATACCAACTTGTGTAGGTATCAGGGAGAGAAACATACCAGCTTGTGTAGGTATAGGGGAGGGAAACATACCTGCTAGTGTAGGTGTCAGGGAGGGAAACATACCAGCTAGTGTAGGTATCGGGGAGGGAAACATACCAGCTAGTGTAGGTATCGGGGAGGGAAACATACCAGCTAGTGTAGGTATCAGGGAGGGAAACATACCAACTTGTGTAGGTATCAGGGAGAGAAACATACCAGCTTGTGTAGGTATAGGGGAGGGAAACATACCTGCTAGTGTAGGTGTCAGGGAGGGAAACATACCTGCTAGTGTAGGTATCGGGGAGGGAAACATACCAGCTAGTGTAGGTATCAGGGAGGGAAACATACCAGCTTGTGTAGGTATCGGGGAGGGTAAGATACCAACTTGTGTAGGTATCAGGGAGGGAAACATACCAGCTAGTGTAGGTATCAGGGAGGGAAACATACCAGCTTGTGTAGGTATCGGGGAGGGTAAGATACCAACTTGTGTAGGTATCTGGGAGGGAAACATACCAGCTTGTGTAGGTAAACATACCAGCTAGTGTGGAGGGTAAGATACCAACTTGTGTAGGTATCAGGGGAGGGAAACATACCAGCTAGTGTAGGTATCCGGGAGGGAAACATACCAGCTTGTGTAGGTATCGGGGAGGGTAAGATACCAACTTGTGTAGGTATCTGGGAGGGAAACATACCAGCTAGTGTAGGTATCGGGGAGGGAAACATACAAGCCAGTGTAGGTATCGGGAAGGGAAACATACAAGCCAGTGTAGGTATCGGGGAGGGAAACATACAAGCCAGTGTAGGTATCGGGGAGGGTAAGATACCAACTTGTGTAGGTATCAGGGAGGGAAACATACCAGCTAGTGTAGGTATCGGGGAGGGTAAGATACCAACTTGTGTAGGTATCTGGGAGGAAACATACAAGCATGTGTAGGTATCAACCTTGTCTAGGTAAGGGAAACATACCAGCTAGTGTAGGTATCGGGGAGGGTAAGATACCAACTTGTGTAGGTATCTGGGAGGGAAACATACCAGCTAGTGTAGGTATCGGGGAGGGTAAGATACCAACTTGTGTAGGTATCTGGGAGGGAAACATACAAGCATGTGTAGGTATCAGGAGGGTAACACACCAGCTTGTGTAGGTATGGGGGAGGGAAACAGCAGCCAAATTGGCATCATGGAGGGTAACATACCAGCCATTGTAGGTATTATGGAGGGTAACATACCAGCCATTGTAGGCATCATGGAGTGTAACATTCCAGCCATTGTAGGTATTATGGAGGGTAACATTCCAGCCATTGTAGGCGTCATGGAGTGTAACATTCCAGCCATTGTAGGCATCATGGAGTGTAACATTCCAGCCATTGTAGGTAACAGGGAGGGTAACGTACAAGCCAGTGTAGATATCATGGAGTGTAACATTCCAGCCATTGTAGGTAACAGGGAGGGTAACGTACAAGCCAGTGTAGATATCATGGAGGGTAACATACCAGCCAGTGTAGATATCATGGAGGGTAACATACCAGCCAGTGTAGATATCATGGAGGGTAACATACCAGCCAGTGTAGATATCATGGAGGGTAACCAGCTGAAGTACCGGGAGGAGGCATTACCCAGCCATGGTAGTACACAGTCTGCACTCTTACGAGCATATTTTATACTTTTAACACGTTTTGCCCAACAATTTAGAACTTTTCTGAGTGTGTTGGCAGTTTTTCTTACATTTTGACTAGTCTGCCACCACATCTTGCATGAACAGCTTTAGACTCCATCATCACTGTCACAACTTCACTGCATCTTCCCCCACGTATCCACCTTCACGGCCCGCATCACGTGGCCTGTAGCTGGTGAACAGAGAGGAGTCTTGGGGTACAGCCTGTCATACGTATCACTTTTACATTACAAGGAACATTATGGTACACTTTTGGTACCCACTGTAACGTACCTGTATTAACACCACCTTCTACTTCTTCATACCTGTGTTTAGTCATGGTAACGGCAACATTTTTCAGAGGATCATCAACAGAAACCGTTGCTTGCCATAGCAGGCAATGTTGTTATTCCTTTCTGAAATGTTACTTACTTTTCCAAACTGATACCTCTGAATCTCTTGTACTGTTCTTGTCATTAGGTGACTATGCTGAGTGTAGAAGGGGATTGTTGCACCTGCATTATACTGACTATGGGGCATGACAGGTGCTAAAAGGTATTAAGATACTCAGAGTGGTATCTGCTCTGTTCTGTAGGTGATATTACATTTGTAGGTACTGAGAAGTCTGTTTCATCTGTACTTTGACAGCAAGAACATTTTTGACACAGTAATATCATGGAAAGATTAGTAAAAGGTCATGTCATTAACATTTCTAACTTGATCAACAATATTTTTGAGGAGATAGTAAACATCACTCATTGGTCAAGAGATACCTTTAAATTTCCAAAAAGGTTACCTTTAAATTTAGAAATGTATGTTTTAAATCAATTCATTCCATCAATGTTATAATTTGACCATCAGTGAGGATATGAGTACATGATAACAACATCACCTTTCTACTGTGATGTCATCGGGAGCCTTGATACATCAGTAGGTCAAATTCTGATTGAACATTTTACGCAAAAATAAGACGATTTTTTTTATACTCTCATGTAAATTCAGTAGTTCAAACAAGCCTGGGGTTAGTTTGAGCTTCAAGATGAAGATACACAGCCAATGGTTCTATTTCTGTAATTGTTGCCATGGCTGCAGGAAAATATCTAAGCTGCAAAATAAGAAATAGATAGAGAATAAAAAGGTTAAGATGTTGGCCAGATGAGGCTATACATTCTATATTTATCAAAGGATGAAGTTGTGAGAGTATGATGTTGGTGCTGAAGTTGTTACTGCATCGTTGCCATGACAATAAGCATCACCCACATTATGTTAGGTTCTAGAGCTGTCGTCCCTTTTACAGGTTATGCCTTTGTATTTTTTTCCATTTCTCATTTCAATTGCAACAACTTGTACTGAATGACAGTTTATTCTCAGCATGTCTTCTTGACTTTGGTTTCCAACTGCATGGGGAGGAATGTGATTATATCTCTCTTCATTCTGTGTGTAGTTTAGACCTTATAGAGGCAACATCACAGCATTACACTGTAAGCCAGCCTTCCTCATTGGGAGATGTTCTTGTAAACAACAGCCTTGGACAACCTTTAAGTAAATACTAGAAGATATTGTTGTAGAATTTAATTTTAACTAGTAGTAGATTTGTTCAATAGCTGTGCATCTACATTTTTTTCAATTTATTGAGTAACAAATTAAAGATAATTTTCATCATTGAATTAAGAATAATAATCGTGATTTGATAAAAGACAGTTTGGCCATTGTGAGGTGTCGTTCTGGTCAATACCTTGTATATAAATGTGTATATTTGTCTGATCTCTGTGTGCTTAGCTGTAACATATTCTCTGTGTTGCCCGGACTCCCAGTATACATCCAGGTGGCATATCACGGTAAATTGATCACACATTGAATATTACAGGGACTTATATGTCATAGACAATAATGTAATGAAGGCAAAAGTGTTTACATAATGACAGGAAGAAGTATTTATGTATAATTAGAGGCACTATTGTTTATCTAATGACAGGCAATATTGTCCACATAATGATAGGCAATATTGTATATTAATAACAGGCAATATTGTCTACAAAATGATAGGCAGTATTGTCTACATAATGATATTCAATATTGTCTACATAATGATATTCAATATTGTCTACATAATGATAGGCAATATTGTCAACATAATGACAGGCAATATTGTATATTAATAACAGGCAATATTGTATATTAATAACAGGCAATAGTGTCTACATAATGATAGGCAGTATTGTCTACATAATGATATTCAATATTGTATATTAATAACAGGCAATAGTGTCTACATAATGATAGGCAATATTGTCTACATAATGACAATATTGTTTAAGTCATAAACAGCAATATTGTTCATGTAATGAAGGTAATATTGTTTTTGTTTTGACAGGCAATATTGTTTGCATAAAGATGAAAAATATTGTTTACATAACAGGCAATATTGTTTATATAATGCCCAACAATATTGTTTATGTAATGCCAGGTAATACTGTATATTGAGAAACAATATTGTAATTGACATTCAGTGGTCACTGTTTAGAAATGCCACTAAGTCAGTGGAAGACTAAGCTGAGATGCATTGTGTTGCATTATAATGCATGGACCTTGATGTTATCTTGTACTTCTTATTCCAAGGAAGTGTTTTATAACTGCTTTTAACGTCAAGAGAATGTCTTTTCTCTGAAAATGTCCTCATTAATGCATTGCTGCAGAAGACCAGTGAGGCTTGTTAGATAACAGAGACGATAATTGATCCTGCAATGACCTGACAGCTGTGTCCTCTGCCTAACTGTTTACACTGACCATCTTTAATACCTACCTCTCTCTCTCTCATTGAAGTTGGTAATTTTAATTGTACTAACAAAGTCGGACCGAGCTGTCAGTGGCATAGATTCATATCAGTTTCATATTATTGTCTCTGCAGATCACATGTATTACATGTGGTTGGTATTTTCAACATTCAGCTATGTTGTGTTTGGTTGACAAGCGTTGTATGTGTCAAATGTGTTTTAACAGAGCATGGCAGCCAAGAGAAATGCAGGTGTGCCCTCAGCGATGGTGGCTCGCCAGTCTCTTAATGATGAAGAACTGGTAAGTTGAAGGCCAGGGAAGCCTTACGATGAGTGTGTTTGAATGAGTTGAGTTGGGGTTAAGGACATGTTGAACACTTTTCTAGCTATGTAACAGTCTATCAGCTTGTTTGATAGGAAGGCCCACAATAGTAAAGCTTAAGGTTGATAAATGGGGACTATGGATGATTTGAACGCATGACCAGTGCATCCTAAGATAGCCAAGAAACAAAACTCTAGGCCACTGGGCCAAATGCTTTCCCTGAGTACCCGTGAAGGTCCGGGTTAGAATATTGATCTTCAGTAACCCATGCTTGTCATAAGAGGCAACTAACAGGATCGGGTGGTCAGGCTCGCTGGCTTGGTTGACCCATGTCATTGGTTCCCAATTGCGCAGGTCGATGCTCATGCTGTTGATCACTGGATTGTCTGGTCCAGACTCGATAATTTACAGAACCACCAAATGACTGGAATATTGCTGAGTGTGGCGTCAAACTAAACTCACTCACTCACTCATTCACTTCTCCCTGAGTACTGAGAAATATCCTGGACCATATGGATGTGAACTAGTTGACCACATGATGGGACAAACAGATAATGGGGAAAGATGCTTGGCCAAGGAAATGTTTTAAAGAAAACAGCATGAAGATGCTGGGTTAAAATTGGTCATCAGGAACCTGTGCTAGTTGTAAAAGGGGACTTATTGGAGACACAGTGTCAGGGTCATAAGTGGGTGTCAGAGTTCGCTGATGGTATGGATTTTTGCTATCAATATTGATCACTAGATTGTCTAGACCAGACCTTATTAATTACAGTCCACCATCATTTCATTGGAATATTGTCACCTATCACAAAAGAATTATTTTGGAATTATTTTGAATGTCGCCATTGTACAAAATGCACTTAATTCATGCTCTTAAATTCTTAAATGGCTGTAATTGTTTATGTCAGTTCTTGTATGGGGTTTGATCACTGGATTGTCTGGTCCAGACTCGATTATTTACAGACCGCCGCCATATAGCTGGAATATTGCTGAGTGCGGCATAAAACTAAACTCACTCACTCACTCTTGTATGGGGTAGTGTCTGCAAAGTCTTGTTCTTGGACATGTCGCTCCTAATAAAAGATCTACATTGACTTTACAGAAGATGCATGTTTACAAGAAAACCCTCCAGGCTCTCATATACCCCATCTCCAGCACAACACCACACAACTTTGTTGTGTGGACCGCAACATCACCGACATACTGTTTTGAGTGTGAAGGACTGCTGTGGGGACTTGCGCGCCAGGGAGTGAGGTGCACTGAGTGTGGGGTCAAGTGTCATGAGAAATGCAAAGACTTGCTCAATGCTGACTGTCTGCAAAGTAAGTCACTTCCCCGTAACCTCAGAAAGATGTACCAAACACAATGATAGCTGTAATGAATTATGTTAACAATGTTATGAACTGTCTCCTTGTAACCTCAGAAAGATGTACCATACACAATGATAGCTGTAATGAATTATGTTAACACCTCAGAAAGATGTACCAAACACAATGATAGCTGTAATGAATTATGTTAACAATGTTATAAACTGTCTCCTTGTAACCTCAGAAAGATGTACCATTCTCAATGATAGCTGTAATGAATTATGTTAACAATGTTATAAATTGTCTCCTTGTAACCTCAGAAAGATGTACCATTCTCAATGATAGCTGTAATGAATTATGTTAACAATGTTATAAACTGTCTCCTTGTAACCTCAGAAAGATGTACCACCTCAATGAATTGTCTCCTTGTAACCTCAGAAAGATGTAGCTGTAATGAATTATGTTAACATTCTCTTGTAACCTCAGAAAGATGTACCATTCTCAATGATAGCTGTAATGAATTAATGATGTACCAAACACAATGATAGCTGTAATGAATTATGTTAACAATGTTATAAATTGTCTCCTTGTAACCTCAGAAAGATGTACCAAACACAATGATAGCTGTAATGAATTATGTTAACAATGTTATAAATTGTCTCCTTGTAACCTCAGAAAGATGTACCTCAGAAAGATGTACCAAACACCAATGATAGCTGTAATGAATTATCTTAACAATGATAGCTGTAATGAAAATTATGTTAGCAATGTTATGAACTGTCTCCTTGTAACCTCAGAAAGATGTACCATTCTCAATGATAGCTGTAATGAATTATGTTAACAATGTTATAAATTGTCTCCTTGTAACCTCAGAAAGATGTACCATTCTCAATGATAGCTGTAATGAATTATGTTAACAATGTTATAAATTGTCTCCTTGTAACCTCAGAAAGATGTACCATTCTCAATGATAGCTGTAGTGAATTATGTTAACAATGTTATAAATTGTCTCCTTGTAACCTAGAAAGATTTGCTCAGTGTTACCCCCTGTCACTGACTTAAACCATCTTTTGATGCTGTACCAGGAGGTAAGTAAATGAAGCAACTTTTGAGATGTTTCCATAGTGTTATACAAGATGGCTGTATGGGATGTTGTACTGTCATCTTCAGGGGCAGCTGAGAAGAGCTCCAAGCATGGAGCGGAGGACAAAACGCACAACATTATCATGGCTATGCGAGAACGGATGAAGATACGTGAGAAAAACAAGCCAGATATATTTGAGCTCATCAGGTAACGATCTTTCCTGTTCCTTCCCATTTGACCATGTATAGCTAGACTTGAATGGTAAAACAAGTAACCACTGTGGTAAACAGTCAGGTTTATAGGAACTTATGTCTTATTCAGTTGTCATTGTTTGGGGATGTTATTGCATGTCTCCAGTAATATATAACATGTCTATAGGGTGGAGTATGTTATTAAACATGTGGTTCATTGGCTCATGGTATATGCAACATGTATGATACAGTATTCTTATCTTGTGTAACCATGTTTAACATGAAGACAGATGGTTTCTGTCGCCTGCACTAATATATCTAACTTATCTCCAAGAAGTCTCACTGAATATCTCAATTACATGTACTTCTTTAATCATACTAATGGAAAAATACTTTGCTGAGTTACAACATAACCATAATTGCACTTGGAAGGCAGTGTATTACACATATTCAAGTATATAGTGTTTGAATTGTCTGCCCCTTGACTAAGACTGCAGTAGCAGGCCCTTTTGCTGACCCCACTACAGATCCCTTAACCAATGAATATCCTATACATAGTCATAATGGTGTATTGTGTGAAGTTATAGAGAGTTACTACATGTGAAATAGGGGAATAACTGTGTGTATCCTATCTCCAGGCAAGTGTTCAGTGTAGATAAAAAGTCTCACTCTGGTCACATGAAAGCTGTCAAACAGAGTGTGCTTGATGGGACGTCCAAGTGGTCAGCCAAAATAGCTATAACTGGTGAGTGAAGTGGTGCCCTGAGCATGCTCACTGGCCACTTCCTGCACATGTGTGTGCTAGAGGTAGATGTTGTAGCATGAGTGTTGTACCAGACCTTCAGTGTTGTACCCTAGACTGTAGTAGCTGCACACATAGCGTCACTCATTCAGTTGCTGTGAATACACATGTATAGTTCATTCATGTTGACTAATCACAGACCTGTAAGCTCTTGTGGCATTTTCATTAAGCTTTCAGTTGGAAACACATTTAAATAGTTGTAGATGACCTCCATAGCCAGACTTGTGCAGGCATGTGATGCCTGCACTTGTGATGCCTGCACTTGTGACATGTGATTGTAGATGTGTGATTGTTGTTCTTGAAACATATGGGGCGGTGGGGTAGCCTAGTGGTCAAAGCGTTGGCTCGTCATGCCGAAGGCCCGGGTTCGAGTCCCCACATGGGCACAATGTGTTAAGCCCATTTCTGGTGCCCCGCCGTGATGTTGCTGGAATATTGCTAAAAGCGGCGTAAAACTAAACTCAGTCAGTCAGTCTTGAAACATGACCAGAGGGTCGTGGACATGTGATGATTGTCTCCAATGGTTGCAACTGGTTGAGGATGTGTGATTGTTGCCTTCCCTTGGCGTCCATGTTGGTCAACATGAACACAGCAGCAGCAATAGATAGTCATGGCAGATACTACAATAAGCATTACTTTACAAGATTCCTAAAAAAATACTTGCAATCAAAACTACCTCCCTCAACAACTTAACTTCTTGTACTTAACCTTCTGAATTTACTAACCATCTGGTTGTCGTGACAATTGCTGGGGAGGTCACTATTGACATCCATTGCTGGGAGGTCACTATTTGATTATCAGTAACCATTGCTGGGGAGGTCACACTGACGCATTGCTGGGGAGGTCACTATTGGTTGTTGTAACCATTGCTGGGAGGTCACTATTGTCGTGGACCATTGTTGGTTATCGTCGTGACCATTGCTGGGGAGGTCACTATTGATTGTCATGACCATTCCTGGGGAGGTCACTATTGGTTGTCGTGACCATTGCTGGGGAGGTCACTATTGATTGTCATGACCATTGCTGGGGAGGTCACTATTGGTTGTCGTGACCATTGCTGGGGAGGTCACTATTGATTGTCATGACCATTGCTGGGGAGGTCACTACTGGTTATTGTAACCTTGACAGTTGTTTGGCCGGATGGTACAGACTCTACTTGCCTGTTACAGTCTTTACTTGCCTAATTACAGCATGTTCATCTGAACAAAGTGCCGCCGTCTAACCAGAGCGAGGTTTGTACCTCCTGCTACAGCCTGGTAAAGGTTTTTTTTATTAATTTTTTAACTTTTATACAGGAAAGGGTTTACATTTTATCTTTCTTAGCTTACCTAGACCAAAGGTTTATGTGAGTGTATGTATATGGCCAATTGTCCATCCCTTATGTTGTTATGTATAGTTTGGGCAGCTGACACTAGATGATCGGTTCCTCGCTAACACAGGGAAGGTATCACTAAAACATGCTCGTAAAACACTGACCTGAATAATATGGCTGCCATGGCCAATGACTCTATGATTATCTCTGTAAAGATGTGTAATTACATACTTAATAATTGTGGAGGTTTGTTAAAGGTGTTTGTTTTGTTTTTCACAAAAAAAATGTCAGTACTGACTTTTAACCAATTACCTTGAATGACTGCCATCACATGATGGGGATGTCCTCTCAAACTTCCTGACTGACGAAGCTCAAGTTTTGTTGAAGCCAAATAAATCAAATCAATACAGAAGTGATTGACGTACAAGCCTTCTTTAAATTGCAAGTTTACACTAAAATATACCATTTTGTCATGCACTTTTTCAACATTAAAAGTCGTTTCAAATCAAAACCAGGACAGATATAACAAGTAAATATTTACTTTTGGCATTATATATATTTGAACATTTACCGAGAGTTCTATTTTCATAATAAACTCACCATGGCATATGTCCCTAGCAAGATGATGTCACTGGTGCCAGCTGATTAAAAACTGACATGATCAGACCTTATTGGACCCATTTCATGTGTTGAAGGTTCAGGTGTGTTGTTCTTGTATCTCAGTGCAATTGTGCCAAACTTGGTTGATTGTCTTTCCATCAGTAAAGTGTCAGTGTCACCAATTTCTGCATACAGTGTAACCAAATTGAAAAAGTAAATGCACTAGATCTCAGCCATTGCTGAATGTGCAAGTATTCTAAGTTAGTTGCTACTTTTCTACAGAAATTGTAAAAATATATGTCCTTCATCTTCAACAATAACTTTGATGTCGAAAAAATAACCAAATAGATCAGGAACATAAATGCACTTTGCAGTTTTGAATTCTGTGGGAAATGAAAACACACAATCAATCATTGCTTCGTGCATCTTTCTTTTTTTAACACACGTATTAATGCAATTGATTTCACTATGTGTGTCTTTGGCTTCGGGCTTAGACAGGAGACCAGTCTATATCAATTGGCACCAATTGCGTCATAATCTAAAGGAGCTAAATCTGGCCTGTTTAGCTTTCAAAACAAAGGCCTCATAATGGCATAAATGTGCTAATCCTTCCTCAGAAACTGTAACAGGTGAGCCTTAATTCATACTGTAACTGTGGACCTATTCCATTTGCCCAACAAGTGTTATAATACCTTTGTTAGTTTATTTGTTTGTTTGGTTGTTTAACACCTCACCCAGCATTATTCTAGCTACATGTAGGCGACCTGTAAATTATCAGGTCTGAACCAAACAATCCAGTGATCAACAGCATAAGCATTGGTCTATGCTGTTGGAACATGGTGACATGTATCAACCAAGTCATCAAGCCTGACCACCCGAACCCATGACAAGCATGGGTTGCTGAAGACCAACTCTAATTTATAATAACATCATAAACTGTTGCACACTAAGCGTGTGTGTGTGTGAGTGGAGTGAGTGTGCACATGAGTGTGAGTAATATCAGCTGTGACGACCAGCCAGGCACCAGGTAAAGCTGTTAGATACAATGTTTTGGTAGCTGCTTGTGATATACATTTTAATTATTCTAGGCACTTATTTCTATTTCAAATAATCACACTTTTCCATCCCTATAGTCACTTCCGTTGTGTCAGCATGCTTCACTCCAGATGGAAGTGGCAATTTTAACATTTCACTTTTTATATTTTGCACTTAGATTTTATAATATTGTTTTGTTCCATTTTACTGTAGTATCTGTTGAGTCAGCGAACATTATTAAATGCAACTCTGTGGGGAAATTCTTCCTCTTTAATATTTTAATATTTTAATATTTTAATGTGGGTAGTTGTCACTTGAAACTTGAACCAGTCCCAGTTTGTCAGCTCCCTGTTTGCTGATCCTTGGTGCTATGTTGTGTACCTGTAGACCTGCTTCCATCATACCCTCCACAACCTGTGCTGTAGCGTAGTGTATGAACAAGGGAGATAACCCATCTCCGAACGTTCGGTGCATCGCGATACTCTGTGGTGTCATACAAGTAGCATTTCATGACTAAATCATAAAAATTATCTGATGAGGAATTGTAAAACTCAATGAGAAATAATTGTAAAACACTATTTTCTCATGGTTGTATGGACAAGACATTAAAATATCTGTTCCAGCTCAGATCTCACCACTGTTTAACTGACTCCAATCAATTGATAAGTTTTAGGTCTTATTATTTCTACTGTTTAATGACAGAATATGTGTTCTTTGAATGGCAAGTGTTGGGATCTGTTGATACATCAAGATATGGATTGTGTCATACAACCCAAGTGTTAGCTAACAGCTAATCTACGTCACAAAGAACTAAATCTGCTATCTTGTCCAATATTTTTCATCAAAAAGTCTATGTTGTGCTACCAGTCTAAAGGAACAGTGTTGCGTGCGATGTTGTTTGTGACATTGTATGCACTGTTGTGTGCGATGTTGTGTGCGCTGTTGTAGACAACTGTGTCATATTCCAGATCCTTGTTTGAAGTTGAATTGCCTCTGCATGTGGGACACATGAAAGCAGCTAAACAGAACATACTTGATGGCACATCTAAGTGGTCCGCTAAAGTAGCAATCACAGGTAGACCTACGTCATATTACAATACACACCGCTTCGGCTGATTACAAGGATCATATCCGTGTCCCATCATTGAAATACCCATTGACTCATGGCTTGCTTTATATGTGTAGTATGTCCACCGGCTGTAGCTAGATGTTAGTGTTGTAGTATGTTGTAATCAGCTTGTTAGCATTGTAGTATGTTTTTAGTAGTTGTTAGCATTGTAGTGAATTGTCCACAGCTTTGTGTCCAGCACCCTATACACCATGGTAGCACCGTTTGTCTGCACTGTGTTGATGTTCTTCTTGTATGTGTCTGTCCTGGTTCAACAAATGTAAAGAAACAGAAAGAAACATTGACTAATTGAATATTTTTTCGCCACACCAGGTTCAGTCGGACAAAGTCTAGTAATTTTCACTGTTTAGTAAAACAAAACAGTTAGTCCTCTTCAGTAAGATCGTGTCTAGCAATTTGCAGTGAAGTAATACAATTTCCAGCAATTTTAATCTCAAATACATTGGTTGACAATAATAACTATTTTGCTGTATGATGAACTGTGTCCGTGGTGTACGTGAGATGACGCGATGTGACGTGTTGCAGTGATATGTGCCCAGGGCCTGATCGGGAAGGACAAGACCGGAACCAGTGATCCCTATGTTACAGTGCAAGTTGGCAAAGTGAAAAAACGAACCAAAACAGTGCCTCAAGACTTGAATCCTGTGTGGAATGAAAAATTTTATTTGTGAGTTTCTTTGTCACCTTTAGTATCATCTATTTTGTGAAGGGGCGGTGGGGTAGCCTAGTGGTTAAAGTGTTCGCTCGTCATACCGAAGACCCGGGTTCGATTCTCCACATGGGTACAATGTGTGAAACCCATTTTCTGGTGTCTCCCGCCGTGATAGTGCTGGAATATTGCTAAAAGTGGCATATATGTAACTGAATTGTGACTAAAGAATGGGAGGATATATGTATACTTTGGAGGATACATGTGTTTTGTGTTTGGGTGTATCTGTTGTTCTTTGGTCAAGGAAACAGATGGTCAAAGTTAAACACCTGTTGAACTGAATCAAGCAATTCAGATTGGTAAAGTGGGCCATATTTGATAGATATGTGGAATGCCTGTTTTACCTCAATACACCAATAGATGCTGTTATATTGGAAATGTGACTTTAGACTTGTATGAAGCTGTGGTAGCTTAAGTCCTCTACCTTTACACTTTCTGTCTGATTACTAATGTCTTTATGTCAATTATTACTAATGTCCTGTGTCTATTATTACTAATGTCCTCTGTCTATTTTACTAATGTTTATGTCTATTATTACTAATGTCTTATGTCAATTATTAATGTCCTGTGTCTGTTCCAGTGAGTGCCATAATTCCTCTGACAGGATCAAGGTCCGTGTGTGGTAAGTTCATCTGTGGGAGTTGTACGCATCTACAGACCAGGGCCCCAGTACATAAAGTGTTCGTGTTGTTAAGACTTATCGTAACTATGTAGGTTGTGTAGACTTATGATTGTCTTAGTGTGATGAACACTTTGTGGATCAGCATCCTGCAGTAAGTTACCTTTTGTAGCAGTGCAATCTTTCCAAAAAGGGGCGGTGGGGTAGCCTAGTGGTTAAAGCGTTCACTCGTCACGCCAAAGACCCGGGTTCGATTCCCCACATGGGTACAATATGTGAAGCCCATTTCTGGTGTCCCCTGCCGTGATATTGCTGGAATATTGCTAAAAGCGGCGTAAAAACTAAACTCACTCACTCACTCCAAAAACGAAATATCTCAAGTACCTCCTTTAACACGTGTCTCTCTTGTCTCCAGGGATGAAGATAATGACCTCAAGTCCAAGTTACGCCAGAAATTGACACGAGAATCTGATGATTTCTTGGGCCAGACTATTATTGAGGTGCGAACTCTGAGTGGCGAGATGGATGTCTGGTACAACTTGGGTAAGTTTTATCTGCTTCTTTACCAATCAGACAGACAGATCTGTATCTATGTGTTAGGCAGCTGTACCATTTGAAAGCTCTTGATAATATAAATATAAGTCATCACTTCCTCTTTATTTTACAGAAAAGCGGACTGACAAATCCGCAGTATCTGGTGCTATCCGTCTCCACATTAGTGTGGAGATCAAGGGCGAAGAGAAGGTTGCCCCCTACCATGTGCAATACACCTGCCTTCACGAGGTGAGTTCAGTGTGGCAGGGTCAAGGTCATCCCCAGCTGACATCCTTACCTTGTCACGCTGGATCTTTGGTCAGGTGGACAAGGTGTTTGATCCCAGATCAGAATGTCTATGGTTCGAATCCCATCAACATAACAATACATCATTCAGAATGTCCATGGTTCGAATCCCATCAACATAACAATACATCATTCAGAATGTCCATGGTTCGAATCCCATCAACATAACAATACATCATTCAGAATGTCCATGGTTCGAATCCCATAACAATATATCATTCAGAATGTCCATGGTTCGAATCCCATCAACATAACAATACATCATTCAGAATGTCCATGGTTCGAATCCCATCAGCATAACAATATATCATTCAGAATGTCCATGGTTCGAAACCCATCAACAGAACAATATATCATTCAGAATGTCCATGGTTCGAATCCCATCAACATAACAATATATCATTCAGAATGTCCATGGTTCGAATCCCATCAACATAACAATATATCATTCAGAATGTCCATGGTTCGAATCCCATCAACATAACAATATATCATTCAGAATGTCCATGGTTCGAATCCCATCAACATAACAATATATCATTCAGAATGTCCATGGTTCGAATCCCATCAACATAACAATATATCATTCAGAATGTCCATGGTTCGAATCCCATCAACATAACAATATATCATTCAGAATGTCCATGGTTCGAATCCCATCAACATAACAATACATCATTAGTGCTCCTGTCTGTGCAGAATACTTTCTTCTATAAAAGTGGCTGCAGATGTCCTACATAGACGCCTATCACACAATTTCATATCTGCTTTCACGTGGAAGTCACCAGTGTCTTCTCTATTTCAGAACCTCTTCCACTATCTTTGTGAGCAAGCTGAGGGTGAGGTGAAGTTACCAGATGCTAAAGGGGTAAGCTGTGCTAGCCTTCTGTCAGTGCATCTGTTTCCTGTTTGATAACAAGCAATGTAATTGAAACGTGGGATAAAATCTGCAGTGTTATTCCAGGTTGTTATTTTTCGGATTGTGTCTTCCTGATTGTGTTAATTTTCACTGATTGTGTTATTCCCTGATTGTATTTTTCACTGATTGTGTTATTCCCTGATAGTATTTTTCACTGATTGTGTTGTTCGCTGATTGTGTTATTGCTGATGGTATTATTCCCCGATTGCAGCAAGATGACGCATGGAAAGTGTACTTCGATGAACCAGCCCAGGAAATTGTGGATGAGTTTGCCATGAGATATGGCATCGAGTCCATATACCAGGCCATGACGTGAGTGTGATTGGCAGTTATCATCTCGTTTCCTTATTACTATACTAAAGATGCAACGAATCAATAACAATGAAAAGTAAAGAGTGATATGAAACTCACATGGGTATAGAGAGATTCTGTGATTGTGCTGCATCCAAGGGGAAGTAACTAGAGTCATCTTGAATCCACCTGATTTCTATTCTTGGTTTTCAGCTCCTGCACTGATCCTGACATTCTTGGTTTTCAAAGCAGCATTATATACAACTGACCAAATTTTCCACAATCTTAGGAGTCATAAAGCGTCCTTGTGCATTCTCTTGGGGTAGCCTAGTGGTTAAAGCGTTGGCTCGTGCGACTAGGTTCGAATCCCCACATGGGTACAATGTGTGAAGCCCATTTCTGGTGTCCCCCGCCGTGATGTTGCTGGAATATTGCTAAAAGCGGCGTAAAACCAAACTCAGTCAGTCAGTCTCTTGTGCGATTCTGACTGTATCATAACCATGTGTCTGTAAATCACTATAAAACCAGTTGTTTCCCAAAACATGAGTGTGTCCTGCTCCAGTGACATGCTTCACAAACACATGCAGAGGCAAGAGAATTGTTCACCTGATAAAACAAGGGACCTTATGGTACAAGTCAGTGATATTTCTGTCACTTATTTGCCAAACTTAGTCCTTCACATACCTACCATAAAACATTTGGCAAACTTTACTGAAGCCTTGAATGTGGTTAGGCCAATAAATCCAGCTGACTGCTGACCATCTTCTACTCTTTCTACAGTCACTTCTCCTGCCTGGCAACCAAGTACATGTGTCCCGGCGTGCCAGCAGTCATGAGCACGCTCCTTGCAAACATCAATGCCTTCTATGCACACACGACGGCAACAACAGCTGTCTCTGCCAGTGATCGCTTCGCTGCATCCAACTTCGGGGTGAGTGGATTTGATTTTGATTGAGGGCAGTCACATGTTTGTCTGAATGTGAGGCCACAGTTAATTGTAGCTGACTGATAATGTTAATGTAGGATCTGCGCTTGAGTTTGGGGGCTTATTTCAGTCTGTTGTAACATTTTGAAACATTGTGCAGTCATGAAAAATATGTAGGTTATACATTCCATTTCTCGAAGGAGGAATTGCTGGAACATTTGATTGTCCTTCAGTCAGGATTTCATACAGTTGGATTGGATTTTGACTGTTTCAGCTGATAATGTTAAAAAGATTTAGTTTTAAATTGTTAGTGTTGACTGATGGCAGTCGTCTTGAGATTTTATCTCCAATTCTCATTGCATCTACCCCATAATTGATTTCCGTTTGTGTTTATGTAGTGCTATGAACGTGCATATGTGGGGGCCATCAAATTTCCTTTGTCATTCTTACATCTTCATCTCTTTATGGTCAGATGAGGGATATGAGGAATAGTTGTCAAACAATGTCATCTGTGGTGTTTAAGCAATGGCAATGACAGGGCCTTTTTTGTATGTTAATGTGCTTATGCTTTCCTAATTGTGTTTGAAACTACTATGTAGAAGAGTTAATATCTCAACTCTGATAATGTATTGAACTGAAGTGTTTTGTAAATATTTATTTCAGAAAGAGAAGTTTGTCAAGTTGCTGGACCAGCTGCACAACTCACTCCGGATTGACTTGTCAATGTACAGAGTGAGTTTTCTATCTAGCCTGTATATAGCATAACCCAAACTCAGTTTGATACATGAAGTCCTTATACCTACCTGATCAGGATGTTGTGTTTCTGGTATGTCAGAATGATTGTGGCTTCGTCGGCTCCATCAAACCCTTGGCTGTCAATGTATGCAGGTTAACATATGCATCTTGCTATTAGTCATCTCATCTGTTTCTTGTATTTTCCAGAACAACTTCCCGGCATCTGACCCAGCCCGCCTCCAGGATCTGAAATCCACGGTGGACCTACTCACTAGCATCACCTTCTTCAGAATGAAGGTAAAGTCAGCAGTCATATTCTTCTTTTCTTAAAAATTCTTGTCCAACCACTCAGATGGCTGACTTACATCCTTGTCTAGCCCATGTCTGTTCCCCACCACATGATAACCAACCTGGGGTGGTGGAGTAGCCTCATGGTTAAAGCTTTTATTTGTCATGCTGAAGACCCAGGTTCGATTCCCCACATGGGTGTGAAACTTATTTCTGGTATTCACTGCCCTGATATTGCTGGAATATTACTAAAAGCAGCATAAAACTAAACTCACTCACTTACCTAACCAACCATCTGTCCCCACCACATCATGACCATCCATATTGACCACTTCAAGTTCAGCTCATATATACTAGGGGGCGGTGGGGTAGCCTAGTGGGTAAAGTGTTCGCTCGTCATTCCGAAGGCCCAGGTTCGATTCCCCACATGGGTAAAATGTGTGAAGCACATTTCTGGTGTCCCCCGCCGAGATATTGCTGAAATATTGCTAAAAGCGGCGTAAAATCAAACTGACTCACTTACTCATTTATAATAGGATGTCAACATTTCGTGTAATACATGTAGAAATACTTCAGGTAATGTCTGATGACCTGGCTCTGATTTCTCAAAAAACTTAAGTTTTACTCAAATTTCAAACTGAGTTTGACAATTTGAAACAGCTGATTTTTTAACTCAACGGCATTTGTTTTAATAAAAAGCCCAAACAACTTAAGTAGCCTATCTACCCAACTCAAATTATCAACTATGTTTGAGTGTAATATCAATTTCAGTTTATTCTGGAAATGCATTTTCCTGCTTTTTCTCATATTTGAGTAAAACTCTTACTTAAGTCAAACTCAGACTTAAGTTTGTTTCGAGAAATGGGGCCTGATGTGTCCGACATTGTTTTGTAGGTGCAAGAACTGGCAAGTCCTCCCCGCGCCAGCACAGTTGTGAAGGACTGTGTCATTGCATGCATTAAATCAACGTACAAGTTTCTTTTTGACAACTGCTATGAGCTCTACAACCGAGAATTCCAGACAGACCCATCAGAATTACCAAACCCAGACTTCGAGGGCCCAAGTAGTCGAAGCCTGGACTTCTGGCACAAACTCATTGCCCTCATTGTATCTGTCATAGAAGAGGACCGCAACAGCTATACTTCAGTGTTGAACCAGTACGTATGCTCTGACTCACACAGATTGAAGTTTATTGTCTTTTATGGTAGTTCACACAACTTTGTCTTAGTGTATTTTCTTGGATTGGTAAGAAACTGTTTGATCCATTTCAGGTTCCCTCAAGAGTTGAACATTGGCCAAGTTAGTGCTGCCATGCTGTGGGACCTGTTCTCTAAAGACCTCTGCTTTGCTCTGGAAGGTAGTCAGAGGCTGACTCTCTCAAACTCATGTTCTAAAACTGTTGTTGGGCATTTACTATAGTGTGGAAAAGTAGAGCAAGTAAATAGTAACTGTAGATGGGAGGTTGTTAATAGTAAAGTTGTATATATTTGGGAAAGTAGAGCAGTTAGACAGCACCTGCAGATGATTTGATGTTTTCTCTTCAGATCATGAGAAGGAGCCAATCTGTAAGAGTTCGGAGTACATGAACCTACACTTCCGGGTGAAGTGGCTGTACAGCAAATACATCGCTGAAGTGCCTCAGTGCAAAGGCACTGTCCCACAGTACCCTCAGTAAGTACACCCACTACATCCTCACAGTACCCTCAGTAAGTACACCCACTACATCCTCACAGTACCCTCAGTAAGTACACCCACTACATACCTCACAGTACCCTTAGTCTGGACACCAGTACATCCTCACCCTTAGTCTGGACACCAGTACATCCTCATCCTTAGTCTGGACACCAGTACATCCTCATCCTTAGTCTGGACACCAGTACATCCTCATCCTTAGTCTGGACACCCAGTACATCCTCACAGTACCCTTAGTCTGGACACCAGTACATCCTCACAGTACCCTTAGTCTGGACACCAGTACATCCTCACCCTTAGTCTGGACACCAGTACATCCTCACCCTTAGTCTGGACACCCAGTACATCCCTCATCCAGTACATCCTCATCCTTAGTCTGACACCAGTACAGTCCTCCCTCACAATACCCTTAGTAAGTACACCCAGTATGTCCCTCACAGTACCCTTAGTCTGGACACCAGTACATCCCCTCAGTACCCTTAGTCTGGACACCCAGTACGTCCTCACAGTACCCTTAGTAAGTACATCCTCACAGTACGTCCTCACAGTACATCCTCACCTTAGTCTGGACACCAGTACATCCTCACATTAGTCTGGACACCAGTCTGGACACCAGTACATCCTCACAGTAGTTTTCCCTCAGTAGGTACACCAGTATATTCCCTCACTACCATCAATAAGTACACACAGTTTTCAGTATCTCAGTAAGTACAGATAGTACAGCTGCAGTATTTTCAGTAAAGGCACCCAATATATCTTCACAGTGAAATATACACAGTGTGTCCAGACCCACCCAGTATCATCATGTTAATACACCAAATAATCCCCTCAGTTTCGTTAGTAAATATGCCTGGTATTTGTTATTCAGAGATGATGAATGTTACTGTTATTCAGAGTTGATGATTCTAATTGAAAAATGGTGACTGTTGTTGAGAGATGATGACTGCGGTTGTTGCAGATGGTTCGAACCTTTCGTCATGCAGTGGCTCAACGAGAATGATGATGTTTCAATGGAGTATCTTCATGGTGCTTATGATCGAGACAAGAAAGATGGTGTAAGCTGAACCTTTATGACTGCCTGATGTTTTAGTCAACATCTGACTGTACAATTAACAACAGGCTAGCTATTCTCAAAACGTTTGTAGCCCTACGAACTTCTGAAGCCCGTTCTTAACACATTGGCTACGATCAAAGTTAAGAATTCTTAGGGCTACGAACGTTTCTAGAACAAGGGCCCAGTTCCTGAAGAGTAACTTACATTCTGTATATTAGGATGGCATGGCTACTGGTTAACCTTATAAACAAGTATTACATTTGACATTTGTTATCAGGAATTGCTTGCCATTGTAAGAGATGTGCTTATATGTGTATATTCTACTCTAAAGAACATGGGGGCGGTGGGGTAGCCTAGTGGTTAAAGCGTTGGCTCGTCACACCGAAGACCCGGGTTCGATTCCCCACATGGGCACAATGTGTTAAGCCCATTTCTGGTGTCCCCAGCCGTGATATTGCTGGAATATTGCTAAAAGCGGCGTAAAACTAAACTCAGTCAGTCTAAAGAACATGAAGAACACCCTATGGAAGAATCAGATGTCCTCTACCTTGGTGTAAGTTTCAGTGAGGGTACAACAGTGTTAGTAATCCATTCTTCCGGACATTACTAACGATTTTATGTGTGTCCATCTATAGTTTTATTGGAGCGATCGCAAACGTTTCAAGTGTTTTTCAATCAGTTCATTAACAGCTGTTTCATGTATTGTGGTCATGTGTCCCATCTCCTGTACAGTTCCAGAAGAGTTCGGAGCATGCACTGTTTTCCACATCGGTCGTGGATGTGTTCACACAGCTCAATCAGTGTTTCGATGTCATCAAGAAACTGGAGTGTCCTGATCCAGAAATTGTCAAAAACTACATGCGACGTTTTGCCAAGGTAGGCATATCATTTCTGTTGTGCTTGACTATTGTACCAAAGGGGTGACCTGTATCAACTGTCCCATCTCTGATCTCACCTGGTGATCCTATCTTATGTTACCTGGTGATACCTGTATCAATGTTCCTATCTGTTATGTTACCTGGTGATACCTGTATCAATGTTTCTATCCCTTATGTTACCTGGTGATACCTGTATCAATGTTTCTATCTCTTATGTTACCTGGTGATACCTGTATCAATGTTTCTATCTCTTATGTTACCTGGTGATACCTGTATCAATGTTCCTATCTCTTATGTTACCTACCGGTGAAGGTCCGGGTTAGAATATTGATCTTCAGTAACCCATGCTTGTCGTAAGAGGCGACTAACGGGATCGGGTGGTCAGGTTTGCTGACTTGGTTGACACATGTCATCGGTTCCCAATTGCGCAGATCGATGCTCATGCTGTTGATCACTGGATTGTCTGGTCCAGACTCGATTATTTACATACCGCCGCCATATAGCTGGAATATTGCTGACTCACTCAGTCTTTCTTGTGTTACCTGGTGATACCTGTATCAACTGTCCTATATCTTATGTTACCTGGTGATACCTGTGTCAACTGCCCTATCTCTTATGTTACCTGGTGATACCTGTATCAGCTGTCCTATCTCTTATGTTACCTGGCGATACCTGTATCAGCTGTCCTATCACTGACTCCACTTTCTATTTGGTATTTTTCAGACTGTGAATAAGGTCCTCCTAGCCTATGCAGACATTGTGAGGAGGGACTTTGAGAAGTACACAAACAGACAGAAAGTGGTATGTATGCACGAACAGTTCCGTCCGTCAACAGGAAGTGGTATGTATGCATGAACAGTTAGTCCGTCAACAGGAAGTGGTATGTATGCAGGAACAGTTGTGTCCGTCAACAGGAAGTGGTATGTGTGCAGGAACAGTTGAGTCCGTCAACAGGAAGTGGTATGTATGCACAAACAGTTGTGTCCATCAACAGAAGTGGTATGTATGCACGAACAGTTGTGTCCGTCAACAGGAAGTGGTATGTATGCAGGAACAGTTGTGTCCATCAACAGGAAGTGGTATGTATGCAGGAACAGTTGTGTCCGTCAACAGGAAGTGGTATGTGTGCAGGAACGACTTTTTGTTGAAAATACTATACATAACTTTTCATACAGTATGTACTTAGATGAACTCTGTGGGGATTCTCAGATAGACTGATCCCACCAGAAATGTCCAGCAATGATACAGCAGCTGATTGTCATATCTGAGATCATGTGTGTCCCCCCAGGCCTGCATCCTGATGAACAACATCCAGCAGTTGCGGGTGCAGCTAGAGAAGGTGTTTGAATCTATGGGCGGGGAGAAGCTGGATCCCGAGGCTGGTGGCATCTTGAAGGAACTCCAGCAGAAACTCAACAGCGTCCTGGACGACCTTAGCAGCATCTTTGCCAAGAGGTGGGTGCAAAAGGGTTACTCTGTCTCATGCATAAATATACCCTTCATGATATTTAAGAGGATTCAGGAAACTTGAAGGTACCCATCAAGATGTCATGTTATAAATGCCTTGGATGTGAAGTTTATGAAGCAAAAATGGCATGTGGTTCTTTTGGTATGCCTTCTAGTATGACTCAGTGACCATCTCTAAAAATGTAAAAATAGGTGGATCATCAGACAGTATTTCCAGCTACGTGTTCTGACAGTCAGCCAATAGTGCAAGTACGTGTTCTGACAGTTAGCCAATACTGCCTGTTTATTTCCTCCAGTCTGGAGCCTCAGATCCAGCAAAGCATGATTGAGCTGGGCCAGCTGCTGTCTAAGGTGAAGGGGGCGGGGCAGGTATCATTGTCCCAGCCCAGCCAGAGGACCAGCATCCAGCAGGAATCTGATGCAGTCCTTAGACCGCTCATGGACCTGCTTGATGGAAGGTGAGATATTCACACTCATCAGTATAAATATCCCAGTTCTACAACAACTGCAGTAATGCATATGGATTTACATATACTTGAGAAAAATTGATTATGAATAGATTGTTAACTTGCATCATTAATGTTTACTGTTTTACATATCATGATATCGATATACGTAGCTGATGTATTACTAGTGTTGCTAGTTGATAGAACTATAGAACTAAGCCTACACTCTGTTCAACTGTTACCTTTTGAGATGATGTTTCCACAAACTGCCCAGCTGACTCAACTATGCTCACTGTGATAGTTCAACAGATGCTGGGTTTTACTCATATATTTTAACTCAGTATAGTCACAAACAGTCGGTGCGCCTAGTGGCTGCAAGAGTTGTATACTCCCCAGGGAGTTGAGATTGATAATGCGATGTGCCTTTGAGATTGACATCAATGATCGAGGGAAAAAATACCAGCACCGTGAGCATGCACTAGTGCGTGGATATGTGCGCTATATAAATATCCTATAATAATGATAATAATAATAACAAACAAAATACACAGCAACTTCAGTTGATATGCCCAGTCTGGCATTTACATTCTGATGCGGGGTTTGGCAAGATGTGCTACCAGTGTCAGATGTGTTACCAGTACTTAACATCTTTGTAATTCCCATAATAACCCCCAGAAGTCTGGTGCAGTGAGAGCACAGTTTTAGGGTGATGCAGGGATTTGAACTCAGTGGTCAGTGGTTACTGGAATTACTAACGACTGTGCTGTGAAGTGTGCCTTAGATCTCTGGTGCCTGCTGTCATTGAAACATACTCTGGTAATGAGTATTGTAAAAGCCATGGCAACAATTGTATGTCTACATTTCAGTTCTCTATGGGTTAGGGTAAACAAGAGAAGCTTGGGTGATTCAGAAAAGGCAATGATTATGAATATTGGGGTAATTGTTTAGGTACACATGCGATTGAACCTCTCAGTACTGGAGACAGGAGTATGGAACAACTGTGGAACCAGACACTAGTTGTAACAGTTGGGCAGGGTATTGGTGCCAGATATGTACCAGCAGGGTATTGGTGCAAGATATGTAACAGTTGGGCAGGGTATTGGTGCCAGATATGTAACAGTTGGGCAGGGTATTGGTGCCAGATATGTAACAGTTGGGCAGGGTATTGGTGCCAGATATGTAACAGTTGGGCAGGGTATTGGTGCCAGATATGTAACAGTTGGGCAGGGTATTGGTGCCAGATAGTTCAGCATTGACTTACTAACAATATAATATCGACTAACAGGTCTGTAATTCTGATATTGACCATGCTACTTCTTAACAGCTTGTATAACATGTACTAATGTTGACACAGTTCGGGCACATCATGCACAGCCAGTAATGTAATGCTGTACTTGTACAAGTACAGTTGTTTCAAGATGTCCCACTAATCCTCCATCATCGGTCACAAAACCCTCAGTATATAACACTCACAGTAGGAAGCTTTCTGCTAATGTTGAATTCAAGCTGTTCACATGTCATTTAGTTTGATCGTTTTAGTCATTGCCTTAATATTATTAACTGTTTTTAAACAATGTGGCCAAATAAAAATAACATTAACAAAAGTCATTTCAAAATACATTCCAAAAACATCAATCATTGCTCTCACTGGGAAACATTCCAAGGAATTTCAACTGCTGCAATGCAATCTTACAAACTTGTATCAAACTTTCTTTTGACCATAGGTTTTGGACGTTCTGAATTTTCAAGGAGTGAACATTATATTCTATATTTCCATTAAAAATGCTCTACTAATTACTTGCCAAGGATTGCTCTGATAAGTAATATTATGTGAGCTTGGAGTTGAAATGCTCATGATTGTCCTCAGTTCTACTTCTTTCCCTGTCCAGAAGGACTTAACTAATAATTACCCCCAGTACTGTTCTTATCCATGTACAGAAGGGCTTGTTAAGTGATAGTGCCCTCAGTACTGCTCTTATCCATGTACAGAGGACTTACTCAATAATTACCCTCAGTACTGCTCTGATCCATGTACAGAAGGACTTACCCAGTAATTTCCCTCAGTACTGCTCTCATCCGAGTACAGAGGACTTGCTCAATAATTACCCTCAGTACTGCTCTGATCCATGTACAGAAGGACTTACCCAGTAATTTCCCTCAGTACTGCTCTTATCCATGTACAGAGGACTTACTCAGTAATTACCCTCAGTACTGCTCTGATCTGTGTACAGAAGGACTTACTCAGTAATTACCCTCAGTACTGCTCTGATCCGTGTACAGAAGGACTTACTCAGTAATTACCCTCAGTACTGCTCTGATCCGTGTACAGAAGGACTTACCCAGTAATTACCCTCAGTACTGCTCTGATCCATGTACAGAAGGACTTACCCAGTAATTACCCTCAGTACTGCTCTGATCCATGTACAGAAGGACTTACCCAGTAATTACCCTCAGTACTGCTCTGATCCGTGTACAGAAGGATTTTCCAGAATGATTACCTACAGTACTGGCCTTATCCCAATCCAGAAGGATTTTACCCAATGATTACCCTTAAGTACAGATAGTGCTATGAATGCCTTGATGTGTCAAGTGGTTGCCAGTTAGTTTGCTTGTAATTATGCATGTGCTTCCTTCCCTCCTCTGGCAGTCTGTCCATGTTTGCACAAGTGTGTGAGAAGACCGTGTTGAAGAGGTTGCTCAAGGTAGGTAACTCTATCCAGCTCTTCACACAGAACATAACTTCTCACTTTTGCTGTCTAAGATGGGGGTTTATGTGCTATACCTCATGCTAGTATACGTCTATATGCTGGTGTGAGTTTAGCTGGGGTTTATGTGCTATAACAGATGCCAGTGTATTTCTATATGCTGGTGTCAGGTTAGCTGGGGTTTATGTGCTGTAACATTTGTGAAGCCTATTTCTGCAGGTACTAGTGTACTTCCCCTCTAGTATACTTCTATATGCTGGTGTCAGGTTAGCTGGGGTTTATGTGCTATAACACATTCTAGTATACTTCTAGTATGCTTCTACATGTGTGTCAGGTCAGATGGGGTTTATGTGCTATAACACATAACACATTCTAGTATACTAACACATGCTAGTATACTTCTATATGCTCCCAGTGTCAGGTGTCAGGTCAGATGGGGTTTATGTGCTATAACACATGCTAGTATACTTCTATATGCTGGTGTCAGGTCAGATGGGGTTTATGTGCTATAACACATGCTAGTATACTTCTATATGCTGGTGTCAGGTTAGATGGGGTTTATGTGCTATAACACATGCTAGTATACTTCTATATGCTGGTGTCAGGTTAGATGGGGTTTATGTGCTATAACACATGCTAGTATACTTCTATATGCTGGTGTCAGGTCAGATAGGGTTTATGTGCTATAACAGATGCCAGTGTACTTCTATATGCTGGTGTCAGGTCAGATGGGGTTTATGTGCTATAACAGATGCCAGTGTACTTCTATATGCTGGTGTCAGGTTAGCTGGGGTTTATGTGCTATAACACATGCTAGTATACTTCTATATGCTGGTGTCAGGTCAGATGGGGTTTATGTGCTATAACACATGCTACTACACTTCTATATGCTTGGGGGCAGTGGGGTAGCCTAATGGTTAAATAGACGAAGACCCGGTTCGACTCCCCACATGGGCACAATGTGTGAAGCCCACTTCTGGTGTCCCCCGCCGTGATGTTGCTGGAATATTGCTAAAAGCGGTAAAACCAAACTCAGTCAGTCAGTCAGTCTATATTCTGGTGTCAGGTCAGATGGGGTTTATGTGCTATAACACATGCTAGTATACTTCTATATGCTGGTGTCAGGTCAGATGGGGTTTATGTGCTATAACACATGCTAGTATACTTCTATATGCTGGTGTCAGGTCAGATGGGGTTTATGTGCTATAACACATGCTAGTATACTTCTATATGCTGGTGTCAGGTCAGATGGGGTTTATGTGCTATAACACATGCTACTACACTTCTATATGCTGGTGTCAGGTCAGATGGGGTTTATGTGCTATAACAATTAGTATATTCTAAACTTGATTGTTCTGTTGTAGGAGTTGTGGAGGATCGTGATGCATACGATGGAGAAGACGGTGGTTTTGCCACCACTCTCAGATCCCAGACAGGTACATTACTACCATGATACATAATTCTGCCATAATCCTACTATCATTATCATCAGAATGTGTATGTTATGAGAATTTAAATAACATGAGCCATAAATTACTTGTAAATGGTTTAACCCATGAAGGTCCGGGTTAGAATATTGATCTTCAGTACCCATGCTTGTCGTAAGAGGCGACTAACGGGATCGGGTGGTCAGGCTCGCTGACTTGGTTGACACATGTCATCGGTTCCCAATTGCGCACATCGATGCTCGTGCTGTTGATCACTGGATTGTCTGGTCCAGACTTGATTATTTACATACCGCCGCCATATAGCTGGAATATTGCTGAGTGCAGCGTAAAAACTCACTCACTCACTCACTGTATATGGTTTAAATGACCAACTTTTCATAATCACCTGTGACATATCATAAATGTAAATTGTTTAGTATTCTGACGTGATATTTGGTCTTCACTCAATGACATTCTGTTTTATACAGGAATCTAGTTCTAATAAGTCCAAAAATATGGTGAGTCTAGTTAGCATGGGTGACAGGTCTATATCTAACAGTTTAACTGTTGCCATGGTGATCTGCTAACACAAGCATCAGACTGCAGGTGATGGCTGCCCTTGAATTTGTCTTAGCATCTTTGTTTGAATATGCTGGTTGTGGGTGCACGGTCAACATGACAGAGGACATGCAGAGGTGACTGGCCATTGGTTGGTTGTCTCAGTTAGGGCGCATTAGGGTAGGGCGCATTACGGTAGGGACATGTGACACTTACTCATACAATAGTGATAAGGGGCATTGGTTGTTGGTCTACTGTAAGGGACATTGGTTGTTGGTCTACTGTAAGGGACATTGGTTGTTGGTCTAGTGTAAGGGACATTGGTTGTTGGTCTAGTGTAAGGGGCATTGGTTGTTGGTCTAGTGTAAGGGACATTGGTTGTTGGTCTACTGTAAGGGACATTGGTTGTTGGTCTACTGTAAGGGACATTGGTTGTTGGTCTACTGTAAGGGGCATTGGTTGTTTGTCTAGTGTAAGGGGCATTGGTTGTTTGTCTAGTGTAAGGGGCATTGGTTGTTTGTCTACTGTAAGGGACATTGGTTGTTGGTCTACTGTAAGGGACATTGGTTGTTGGTCTAGTGTAAGGGGCATTGGTTGTTGGTCTACTGTAAGGGGCATTGGTTGTTGGTTCAGTGTAAGGGGATTGCTTTGGATCTAGTACTGGGGGGATGTTGCTTGTTGGTCCTGTGTATGTAGCAATGGCTGTTGTTCTAGTGTATTGAGCGGCTCTGCTCAGTTGTCCAAACTATTGTGTGCTGCTCATCAGTTTTGAAGGGCAAGACAGACTCAGTAGGTCTGTGAGCTGTAGTGTGAATCGAAGCGACCACATACCCTGCATGTCCTGAAACTTTCCGAGTTTCATTCTCTCATGGTCAGTTCTAATCTTTACTAACCTACTCTTTCTGAGGCAACAAAGTAATCATGAGTAAGAGCCTTCTGCAGAGTAGCAGTGTGTACCACATAACCTAGACCTGAAATTCCTCTTGCCAAGTAACACTGCCAGTTCTGCATGTATCTGTCACAGTTCTCATGTTGATCCTATGCTAGTGCCAGAACACTAGTTCCGTTCAGCTGGAGAAATTGGTCCTGATGTCCGCAGTGGACAGTAGTCCTCCCCATCAGGATGAGTTGCAGAGGATTAAGCTCATGTTTTCATCTCTTCATCCACACAGATGAAAACTTGCCATCTTTGTTTCAGTTACTTCCGTTTCATAACAAAAGTGCCAACTTGGATGATATGTCCAAGCTGTTTTCCTTCCGTAGTGTAAGTCTTTAAGGCACCACCCACTTCCCAACTTGCCAACGTACTGACAGTAGACTAGAGCAGCTTTGGTGACGCCTCCCTGCTCTCTATGTGAAAACAGACTGTCCCTGGCCCATGTGTTGAGTCCCGGCCTACATCCCGGCTGACCACCTAGTATCCGGAGTCTCCGACTGGATCGACTGAAGAGTCTGTTTTCACTGCATGAGCCCTCCTGTTGTAAATTCCTCTTTGCAGGTTTCTCGTTACATGCACGGTTTCCATGGCAGCAAAATGTGTCTGCTGTTTCACAGACACAAGTTTGTTGTTTGGTAATTTGTGTATGTCTACAATTGCTGGAGTTTGGCCACATCCCAACTGCTGTGGCTTTCCATGTTGATTTATTCTTTCCTTGGCACAAAAGGAGCATGATGGTTGCATCATTGCTCCACATGATAAATTACGTCCTTTAGAATAATGAGAAAGCCTGTAGGATGGGAGCCTCTTATTCTCCAGCAGCTGTTTGTGTGTGCCCTGCATGGCCGACTGACTCACTAGTGGTAACTGTCCAACCCTGACTGACTGATCTACTGAAGGTCTGTAGGGGCGGTGGGGAAAGCCTGGTGGTTAAAGCGTCCGTTCGTCACGCCGAAGTCCCGGGTTCGAATCCCCACATGGGCACAATGTGTGAAGCCCATTTATGGTGTCCCCCGCCGTGATATTGCTGGAATATTGCTAAAGCGGCGTAAAACCATACTCACTCACTCACTGAAGGTCTGTACCTTTTGCCTTAATGTAGGAGTTGATAACTGGGGAATCCAGTGACCTTGGTTAGTGTTGGTAGTACTGGGATAGTGATGGAGGATTGACTGAAAACACCATATCAAGACTGACCGTATCACATAGTTGCTGAAACCAAATTGGTTCTCAACAGAACACTTTCATATGACTGGGACAGTTTATCATGAAACCACTTTCAGTTACTTGACAGAGTGTACATGACATACAAACTGATAATCATCTTGTGTGACTGTGTGATTTAGAATCATTACATCTGGCGATGGTTCATGATCTACTGTCTTATAAGGAAGGATGACAGACTGTCTGACGATGGTTACTGATGCTGAAGGGGTCGTTGTCAGCACAGGTACTACAGATACGTATCCTAAACAAAGTCAAAATACAGAAATGTACCCGGTACCCTAAAAGGCGGACAAGTCCATATTCTGCAATCCCAAACCGAAACCACATGCAGTTGTTCCCGTTCAACTGATTCCGAGTGGTATTATGCATCACGAAATATCCGTTACTGTGTATTCTCATTACTTACATAATGCAATCAAATGTTTCTAATACAACAGTATGACAGTTCCAATCAAGAATACGACACAATGGGAATGGAATTCCCAGGGGTACATATCTGTAGTACCCGTGCCGACGACGACCCCTTCAGCGTTACTGACTGTCTGTCTAATGAAGAATTATGACTGACCATGTGATAAAGGTTGGTGACTGATAAAGATTAAAGACTGACTGACTGATGAAGATGACTGATTCTCTGATGAAGGAAGCTGACTGTTTAATCCTTTACAAACGGCCATTGCTTGACTGGCTGGCTGACTGCCTGCTTAGTGCCTGGTCCACTCTCCCTTCTCTCCTCTTTCAGCTGTTGCCCATTGCTGGAAATGCACAGGCAAAGATCGAGGATATGTCTCGCTTGTTGCTCAACCATGTTAGTCAGATGCCCGGCAACAACCCAATGAAACAAGTCAAGACACTTCAAGCAACATTCTTGGTATAACACAGTCACTGTGTAGTAGAAGACATTGTTGTCTGTAAATTGTTGTTCAGTTGGCGTCAAGTTCCAACTGCCTTGTTTACAGCCCTACATTGCTTCAGTTTTGTCTCAGTTTCCTATTGCAGATGTTCTCTTCACCTCCCTCTGTTGCAGATGTTCTCTTCACCTCCCTCTGTTGCAGATGTTCTTGACACCTCCCTCTGTTGCAGCACTTCAACCTACTGCCACTGCTTACTTACACGTTTCACTTTCTCACTTTTCCATTTGTTTGTGTTTTCGTAACCCATTGATTTAATCTGTTTGCTTTTGTATCTGGAACTAATTACAAACTGTATTTAGTTCTACTGTATTCTAGAATATATTCAGTTTTAGATCACATAGTTTGAATCTCCAGGTGAGATAATCACTATAACTGTACTGCAATCTATAAACTCTTCACTGAAAATATCTGCAGGGAAATGTTTTCTTGTTTTATCTAAACTTTCAGTTAATTCAATATTCTATAAATGTTCTCTTGCAATTAAGTCAAGGTCATCCTGTGACCTGGAAGAGGCTATTCTCTCCCCAGTGAACATATGTTTTTGTAAATAACTTCCAAAGTACTCCTTATGTTCCTTCCAAATGGAATTATTTCAACATTCAGTGATTTCAACAGGGATCTCTTCGACATGTAATGCTAGTACCAATGTGTCCAGCTATAGATATTTCAACACTTTTGTTTGCCATATGAACATATCTGTAAGATCTATGAGAAAACAACAACTCATGTTTTCAATTTTTAATGTGTGAAAGAGAAAATTATCCATAAGTACTGTTCTGTTTTCTCATAACCTTACTATTTGTGACAAGTACTATGAATAGTAAAGCATTTATCAATTCCAGTGTTTAAAATGCAGCTGCACTTTTCAGATATATGAGTCAGATGAAGTTTTCATTTAAATTGTCAAAACATCTTAAATTGAAGGAAACCTGTACTATTGTATTATTTTTGTACATAACCTGCACATGAAGGTCAATATGTCTGTTCTAACCTACACTTGTTTATGGCATCACAGGACATGTCTAAAGAAGCTGAGAAGAACTTGAGTCCGAAGCAGTGTGCCGTTCTGACATGGCCCTGGACACCATAAAGCAGTATTACCATGCCAGCGGACAGGGACTGAAGAAGACATTCTTGGACAAGAGTCCAGAGTTACAGTCTCTGCGATATGCACTTTCACTGTACACACAGACCACGGATACGCTCATTAAAACCTTTGTCAGCACACAGACGCAGCAAGGTGACTCCTGATGATGATGATGATGATGATGATGATGTTGATGATGATGATGATGATATTTATATAGTGCACATATCCATGCAACTAGTACATGCTCAAGGCGCACACTACCCGTGAAGGTCCGGGTTAGAATATTGATCTTCAGTAACCCATGCTTGTCGTAAGAGGCGACTATCGGGATCGGGTGGTCAGGCTTGCTGACTTGGTTGACACATGTTATCGGTTCCCCATTTTGCAGATTGATGCTCATGCTGTTGATCACTGGATTGTCTGGTCCAGACTCGATTATTTACAGACCTCTGCCATATAGCTGGAATATTGCTGAGTGTGGCGTAAAACAAAACTCACTCACTCACTCAAGGTGCACACCCCACATACAGATACAGTAGATGTGAAGACATTGTCAGTTTTGTTTGTATGATGTTCACATTTCTTAAAATACTTTAAGTTCTGGCTTTTCACCAATATGTCAGGTGTCACTTTCCATCTGTAATGCAGGGTTTGCTAAGCACCAGTAATGTGAGCTGTCACTCTTCACCAGTAAAACATACAGAATTGCTGAAACACTGATTTGAATTATGCCCTCTATTTTGAATGGGTAATGTCAGAAAGAAAGCAAACATATGCACACAAGGGAAAATTTCCTGATTGTATTAGAAAAATAGCAGAATGTACCAGTATCCACTGTAATATACATGCAAGATTTGTGTCTGTATAATGCACAGTGAGGCCATGTACACATACAGGTGATGATACATACAATAGGTCTGTTTTTTATCTATTTTGAATTACCCTTGTGACCAGTATTCTTTAATAACTGTTTGTTTATCTTATTTAATCTTAATGTTGAGAAAAGGGACTCCTTGAAGTCAGCAACTCTGTGATCCTGATATAGATTATGTTTATGGGATTGAACTAATCAGCTGTCCACCAGTACTGCCAGTTGTACCTTGCCACTAGTAAGTGGAGAAGTACCAAGTGTCAGACAAGCCCCAGGCCTGTGTAGGACAAATTTCATATATATGTTTTGTTCTATGTTGTAGTGTCCTTCTCAGACCAGCCAGGTGTGGCAGATCCGGTGGGGGAGGTATCTGTCCAGGTTGACCTCTTCACTCATCCAGGGACGGGTGAACACAAGGTCACTGTGAAAGGTCAGTGATAAATAGAAGAGTGTTGCCGAAATACATTAATGTATTTGAATGTTTTACGACTAGTTACAAAGATAAGTTCTAAGTCAATCAGAAAGTCATGGCATACCTCTTGCATTTTAGTTGTAGCAGCCAATGATCTGAAATGGCAGACAACAGGAATGTTCCGGCCGTTTGTTGAAGTTCACCTTATTGGCCCACACCTCAGTGATAAGAAGCGGAAGCATTCAACCAAATCCAAGAGTAACAACTGGTCCCCCAAGTATAATGAAACCTTCCATTTGTAAGTATCATCAAGGTCACAACCTCTCATCATTAAATATCATGAAACACCCCATTTGTAAATGTTTCATGATCATGTCCTATGGTCAACCAAGTCTAGTGGAACTTTGAGTTTGTTATAAGTCTCAGGGTTGGTTAACCAAGTCTAGTGGAACTTTCAGTTTGTTATAAGTCTCAGGGTTGGTCAACCAAGTCTAGTGGAACTTTGAGTTTGTTATAAGTCTCAGGGTTGGTTAACCAAGTCTAGTGGAACTTTGAGTTTGTTATAAGTCTCAGGGTTGGTCAACCAAGTCTAGTGGAACTTTGAGTTTGTTATAAGTCTCAGGGTTGGTCAACCAAGTCTAGTGGAACTTTGAGTTTGTTATAAGTCTCAGGGTTGGTTAACCAAGTCTAGTGGAACTTTGAGTTTGTTATAAGTCTCAGGGTTGGTCAACCAAGTCTAGTGGAACTTTGAGTTTGTTATAAGTCTCAGGGTTGGGTCAACCAAGTCTAGTGGAACTTTGAGTTTGTTATAAGTCTCAGGGTTGGTTAACCAAGTCTAGTGGAACTTTGAGTTTGTTATAAGTCTCAGGGTTGGTTAACCAAGTCTAGTGGAACTTTGAGTTTGTTATAAGTCTCAGGGTTGGTTAACCAAGTCTAGTGGAACTTTGAGTTTGTTATAAGTCTCAGGGTTGGTTAACCAAGTCTAGTGGAACTTTCAGTTTGTTATAAGTCTAGTGGAAGTTTCAGTTTGTTATAATTCTCAGGGTTGGTTAACCAAGTCTAGTGGAACTTTCAGTTTGTTATAAGTCTAGTGGAAGTTTCAGTTTGTTATAATTCTCAGGGTTGGTTAACCAAGTCTAGTGGAACTTTCAGTTTGTTATAAGTCTAGTGGAAGTTTCAGTTTGTTATAATTCTCAGGGTTGGTTAACCAAGTCTAGTGGAACTTTCAGTTTGTTATAAGTCTAGTGGAAGTTTCAATTTGTTATAATTCTCAGGGTTGGTTAACCAAGTCTAGTGGAACTTTCAGTTTGTTATAAGTCTCAGGGTTGGTTAACCAAAGTATTGAAACTTTCAGTTTGTAATCAGTCTCAGGGTTGGTTAACCAAGTCTAGTGCAACTTTCAGTTTGTTATAAGTCTCAGGGTTGGTTAACCAAAGTATTGAAACTTTCAGTTTGTATTAAATGTCAGGTTCATATAAAACAAGTCTCCTGTGGTGTCACATAATGTAATGGGAGTTTCAGAGAAGGATAGATGTCCATAGTTAGAATGATAAGATGAAAATGGTATTGATAGTAGTAATTTATCAAATGAGTGTTTCATATTTTCCAGTATTCTTGGTAACGAAGATGAGCCTGATGCCTATGAGCTACACATATGTGTGAAGGACTACTGCTTTGCCCGAGAAGACCGACTGATTGGTGTTGCAGTGATGCAGTTGCGAGACATCGTGGAGCAGGGCAGTTGTGCCTGTTGGTGCTCGCTGGGACGACAGATGCAGTTGAATGAAACAGGATGGACAATATTGCGTATTCTCTCACAACGAACAAATGATGAAGTTGCGAAAGAGTTTGTGAAGCTAAAATCAGAATGTCGACACGCAGAAGAGATGACATGATACCCAATTTGCTCCAATAGGTGAAGGTCATATCTAACTTGTAGTCCAAAGCCAAGGTCATATACATTGATTATGCTGAGAGATGTGAAGCCTGCTTCAACATCTGTGTAAGGTCACGGCCTGTCCTTGTATGCAAGCATGCAGTTAATATATACTAATGAAAGGCGTCAAGGAAAACATTGACAGGAATCTCCACTTTTGGCTTGTCTCTCTTCTTCATCACTCATCCCTTCATGTGGTAGATGTAGACTGTAGAAGAACCAAGTGTAGACTGCCCCCCCCAGCCCTTCCGCGTCTGAATAGTGTCACTCACTGTGATTGGCCATCCTGCATCTGACTAGTATCACTTGCTGTGATTGGTCCTCCTGCTTCTGACTAGTATCACTCATTGTGATTGGTTGTCTTGTTTCTGGTGGACAACTGATGTTGCTCAGTGATATACCGAGCTTTGTTTCAACTGATGCTGTGAAGACGGCTGTGATTGGCCCAGCTATGTTTCAACTGACGCTGTGAAGACGGCTGTAAATTGACCCAGCTTTGTTTCAACTGACGCTGTGTCCTCCCTTGCTGTGATTGACCCAGCTGAATTATCCATCAGAGACCATGTGTACAGATGTGTAGGAATTCATCCTTTGTTGTATAAAGAGCGCCAGAATATTTCTGTACATACAATTTGTTTTTCTACAATACTGTAGATGATTGTAAATCTGTGTACAAACTGGTTGTTTTTTAAGAGTTTTTTAGAAACAAATCATGCATGCATTTTAATTTGCCAAAGTAAGATTGAATTCCTTGAAGGTACTATATTTTTATGTGTATGTATATGGAACTGTGAAATGTGCTTCCACCCCAGGGAGCTTGCGGAGATGATTGCCATACTTGCAGCAGTAGCAGAATCAACAACCAGTATCTTATACACTTTGTATCTGTGATTGGTGATCAGAGAAATATTTTAATTATAGGTAGGTTTGCAATTTATAGATGGTTTTAAGCAAGATGGATACACATATCCAGGTCAGTTGTGATTTTTGCTTTGCAGTTACATTTACAAGGTAATGATGGAGACTTTGGTCATGATGTAACCATGGACCCATGTTTTAGATGCAAGTAAGGACCTTTATGTCAGATGTAACTAAAGACGTTTGTGTCGGATGTAACTAAAGACCTTTGTGTCAGATGTAACTAAGGACCTTTGTGTCAGATGTAACTAAGGACCTTTGAGTCAGATGTAACTAAAGACCTTTGTGTCAGATGTCAGATGTAACTAAGGACATTTTTTTGTAACAGATGTAACTAAAGACCTTTGTGTCAGATGTAACTAAAGACCTTTGTGTCAGATGTAACTAAGGACCTTTGTGTCAGATGTAACTAAGGACCTTTGTGTCAGATGTAACTAAAGACCTTTGTGTCAGATGTAACTAAAGACCTTTGTGTCAGATGTAACTAAGACCTTTGTGTCAGATGTAACTAAGACCTTTGTGTCAGATGTAACTAAGACCTTTGTGTCAGATGTAACTAAGGACCTTTATGTCAGATGTAACTAAAGACCTTTGTGTCAGATGTAACTAAGACCTTTATGTCAGATGTAACTAAGGACCTTTGTGTCAGATGTAACTAAGGACCTTTGTATCAGATGTAACTAAAGACCTTTGTCAGATGTAACTAAGACCTTTAGTGTCAGATGTAACTAGGGACATTTGTGTCAGATGTAACTAAGGACCTTTGTGTCAGATGTAACTAAAGACCTTTGTGTCAGATGTAACTAAGGACCTTTGTGTCAGATGTAACTAAGGACCTTTGTGTCAGATGTAACTAAGGACCTTTGTGTCAGATGTAACTAAAGACCTTTGTGTCAGATGTGTCAGATGTAACTAAGGACCTTTGTGTCAGATGTAACTAAGGACCCTTTGTGTCAGATGTATCTAAGGACCTTTGTGTCAGATGTAACTAAGGACCTTTGTGTCAGATGTAACAGATGTGTCAGATGTAACTAAGGACCTTTGTGTCAGATGTAACTAAGGACGTTTGTGTCAGATGTAACTAAGGACCTTTGTGTCAGATCTAAGGACCTTTGTGTCAGATGTAACTAAGGACCTTTGTGTCAGATGTATCTAAGGACCTTTGTGTCAGATGTAACTAAGGACCTTTGTGTCAGATGTATCTAAGGACCTTTGTGTCAGATGTAACTAAGGACCTTTGTGTCAGATGTAACTAAGAAAACTTTGATAAGTAACTATCGCCTGCTTCATGTCAAATATTCGCTGAACTATTACAGAACATTGATACATCCCTTCTTTCAATGTCAGTAGGGTGAATTGAGTAAAAGTCCAACTGGTGACATCCATAACAACATACTTTGACATACGCAGCAAGTATGGCCTTAATCTCCTCAGTGAAGCTGGGCTCTGGTTGCCATGGTCACATTCACTTAGTGTAGTTGGTGGATTCGGTTGTGTTACAATGCTGTTGTAGATGAGTTCAGTTACATCTCATTCTACCAACATTCTGTGTTTTGTGGAACTTCAGTATGTTTGGACTGTGTGTCATGTAATATGTCGGGACAATGATGAATCATTTAGCACCAAGATTAGTTATATTGGGGACTGGCAATATTATTTTGTGATCAAACTTTGGACGTTTTAACAAATGCAAATGTTTAAATGACCCAAGGTTACAGATGTTTTTTGCATACATAATACATAAATTATATCCCAGCTTTCATCTGGAAATTCAGATGTGTTTTGTTACTAAAGTGTTTCCAAAGACTCCAAAGCCGTGTGTATCAGATGATTAGCCCCAGCTGAAACCTATGGAAACTCTGAAACCTAAATGGTATATATATCAGACTTGCCATTATAACTTCATTTGCCATAAGTTCTTGTCACAGTGTATTTGTAAAACATAATTGCTACGTGAGACTATTAGAGAACAACAGTGCCCTCTCCTTCCCATGTACTGCCTAGTCTGACGAATAGACTGTAGATGCGTTACTTGGTAGGTGTGTGGTCCTTTGCAGTAGCCAGGTAGAGATAATGTGTACAACAGGCTCCAGATACCTTGTACAATGGTGTGCAGGTACCTTGTACAACAGGCTCCAGATACCTTGTACAATGGTGTGCAGGTACCTTGTACAACAGGCTCCAGATACCTTGTACAATGGTGTGCAGATACCGTGTACAACAGGCTCCAGATACCTTGTACGATGATGTGCTGATACCTTGTACAACAGCCTGCAGATACCTTGTACAACAGTCTGCAGATACCTTGTACAACAGGCTCCAGATACCTTGAACAATGGTGTGCAGATAATGTGTACAACAGGCTCCAGATACCTTGTACAATGGTGTGCAGGTACCTTGTACAACAGCCTGCAGATACCTTGTACAACAGTCTGCAGATACCTTGTACAACAGTCTGCAGATACCTTGTACAACAGCCTGCAGATACCTTGTACAACAGCCTGCAGATATTTTGTACAACAGTCAAAAGATACCTTGTACAACAGTCTAAAGATACCTGTACCACTGTCTGCAGACATCTCTGGGTGTACCTGTACCACTGTCTGCAGACATCTCTGGGTGTACCTGTACCACTGTCTGCAGACATCTCTGGGTCTACCTGTACCACTGTCTGCAGACATCTCAAGGTCTACCTGTACCACTGTCTGCAGACATCTCAAGGTCTACCTGTACCACTGTCTGTGACCAGTTCTTCTGTCTGTGTGTGCAGCTGTCTGTAGCTCCTGGCTGTTTTCACTGACAGCCATTGAAACCTACTGTGACCACGATATATATAGATATATATATGTTATCTAGTTATCTCTTGAAAACCTTTATCAGTGTTACAGTGTTTTTTTCAGTCTTAAATAGTTCAAACTAGCAGACAACATTAGTCCTGACTATTTGAGCCTGTCCCGAGGTGTGATGGCCTTATTTCCTCGTACAACACATGTCGGTGTGCATGAGAGCGTGTTGTGGTCTTGCAATGCAAGAGTTCAGTGTACAAAGGTTGTTTTCTACCTGTCATGTTATTCACACATTGTTCCTCATGTGATATCCGTTACCATGACAACAGAAATGATGTGTTATTGACAGTTTTCACTTATCTTGGTTCCGAGTTTGGCAAGCATTATTAAGTAACACATAAAGTAAGTCTTGAAATCTACCCAGCTTCTTACTCACCGACACCATGGCTTTTCATAGGTAACCTGACAACCTAACTCTGAAGCTAACAAGATAGAGCTTCAATCTAGGAGCTAAACAGGGATTTTTTCAATAGAATGCTTTTACAAATGTTACCAGTTGGAGGGGAAAGTATGAATGAATATGACATATTTAGGACAGTCATCTGCTGGAAACTGCAAATATGTTGTGCAAGGAATTTTGGTGACTTGTTACTGAACAGTTGTGGTGACATATTGAAGTCAAATTGAAGATCAATTTCATGGAGTATTTTTCCTTATTAAGGCCAGACCAATCTTTTTTCTTGTTTTATGGATCTGCCGGTCATATTTTTGCAAGAATAAGAAGAAAAAGAAAAATTAATTTTCCCCGCTCAAAAAATAAAATGTTAATATATTGGCCAAAAATGTAAATGTGCAAGAAACTGTTTTTAGATTGTTTTTTGCCCCATATACACTTCATAAATTGCCAAAAGTAAAATACTTTTAGTATTTGAAAGGAATATTACTTTGACTGGTGATTTAAAAAAAAAAAAAATTCCCTCTTGCCTTTAGGTTTTCTGAGGACAAAAATCTGTAAAACAAGAAATGAAATTGGTCTGGCCTAAACTCAAAATAATTTTGCATGCATGGATGTTGGATAAACAAAACAAGTGTAAATTTGGATTAAATTTTCCCAGTTTTGAAGAACGTTATGTAAGGAGAACGAGTATCCATCAATACATAAAATGGCCTTAGAGAACAAAATGTGTGAGGAATATCCCTGAGACTGCTCTCCTTACAGAAATTCACTCGCTCTAGTGCTGGATGGTAGCATTTCTACAATAGCACAGTGTTATTACATACCAGGCATAGCCTGTCAGTGTCACATTACGCAGCACTTTGGGAACCTATCTTATATCAACAAATGGATAAATTAGAAGTACACACCATTAATACTTACTGCATCCATTTACACTTGAATTAACCTCCATGTTATAGATTCTCATTCAGTTAGGTTGATAATAGGACCATTTAGGAGTATAAGATTTATAATAAAAATATCTAATCAAAATACTATTAAGTCTTTCAAATGGTTTGTAGAGACAACAGTCAACAGTTGGATGAAGCAGGAGAAAGCTGACCATAACACTTCAGTTCTGTTGTTTTGTTTATAAACATATTATTGTTCAATAATGGTAAAACTCCATGTATGTTGTTATACTTTTTACAAACATATTTTACGATTGTTTTCAAATCATGCATCCTCCCTGATCCCACAGCCTTCAAAATTCATGCAAGTCCGCAAGTCCGTATCTAGTAAATTATGCTGAAGACGAGAGAAATTCCATTGTATAGCCCCATTGACCATTAGCATCTGGGCACTGTAATACTGAAACAGTTTTTAACGCTTCCGTCAAATTGGAATTTTAAAAAACAAAGAAACTGGAAACACAGCAAACATTTTTCCTCCGACAGTGAGGGAAATCAGGCTTACGCTTATCATTTGGACTCAATGCGAAAAGTGAATTTCTAAGGCTGTCCCATGTTCATGTTTCACAGTATCATGTTGGCTTCTTGTGTCACATTAAACATCAACTCCACAACCCTGTCCACTCATTTCTCACGCAACTGGTGGAGCTACCTCCTGTCTGAGGGTACAGTGTGTACCCAGCTCAATCTACTGGTCTCATCCTCATCACGTCCATCAAGGCTTTAGTCATCACATTATGGCTGTCACAGCTGGCAAACACAATACATCTTCAGGCACACACTGGTCAGCGTGGCGTTACTTTATAGGTTAACCAGTGGTCCTATTCTAGGATAGTAATTCATAGAACAGGTTGATCAATATGAGATAAAAAATTCAATTATTTGGATTATACATGTATTCCCATGTTAGAAATATAGCGTCCTTGTTTAATCAGTGTGAGATTTCATGGACTTGGTATTTAAAATTAAGGACAATGTGGTCGCACTTGTTTAAAACAGGCACCGCATCACTTGCTTACTGGGTTAATAGTCACTGCAGGTGCCCTGTATAGACCTGTTGACGGGTAGTGAAAAAAACAACAGGTGCTCTATATAGACAGGATCATTTTCAGTTGTTTACAGGAGTAGTAATAACAGGTGCCCTGTATAGACAGAATCATATCCACCTGAGGTATAGGGGAAGTGGGTGCCCAGTCCCCACCACAGTTGACTGTGCTGTGCTGCGTCGGCAAAGAATGCAAGAAAGACGATCATGGGTGGGCTTGAAGATGGTCCAGTAACTGTCAGCATCCTTTCCATAGTGGGCGCAGTTATCACCAAAGTCCAAGACTTTCATCACACGTCTTTCAACCCACATCATGCTGACACATCATATGTAACTGAAATGCTTCAACCCCCGTTAAACGTGACTCTCTCACTGACATCATAGAGGGAATAGTGGTAACTGCAGGTGCCCTATGTACAGAGAGCCTCTTCAAGGAGTATAGTATTTACAACAGGTATTTCATCCTTCATATCATGCAATAGCCCTTACTGCATATATAATGGGAGCTGCTCCAAACAAGACATTAATGGTAACTGTAGTGAGAAATATAATCAACAATTATTGGTCATGAGGGTAGGTGGACTATACCTCTTAGTTTCAGATTACATGGTCACATTCCACGTGCAATTCTGTGCTCATCCTCTCGTCTGCCAGTGATGAGGCTGAACAGCACATTCACTCCATTGTTGATACCAATTTTGCTTCACATATTTACTTTATTAACTTCATTCATTACATGTTACCATTCCCTCACTCTATTTCACCCAGGAATCTGAATACCTCTTAGATACATACTGACATGTTGGTTCTAGTCAGGAGTTGTTATAGACAATGTATAGATTCCCAATATTTTGTCTTTAACCTTGGCATGTTTATCGTGGGTTACTACAGAATCTTCTCTCAACAGTGTTTCCCCTATTATGTATATAAAGTATCAGGTAACGGTGTTGCTGTTGGTTTAGGTGGTACAAGACAGGATTTACTGATGCCAACAGCTCTTGTAACAGCCAGTCTGAGAACACTTCATACCTATCTTTGTGGAAGCTGCAGTCTCCAGGCCGGGAATTCTTCATTACGACACAAATATCCAGTGATGGTGCTGTCTCCTGACTAGTGTCTCAAAATAAATTGTATGTTTTCAGCAGACATGTAGCAGAAATGGTGCTGTATACTTTGAATGGACCGACAATTTAGTATTCTGGCAGTGTTTGTAATTTGTTCTTCTGGTTTAAAAAAAATGTTAGAAACCATAATTTTCACAAGGGTTACGAATAAATAATATTGTTCATTGGATATGCTGAAATGGAAATCATGAAACCATACATTAAAAACTCCTCAGTCCCGCACTCTTTTCCTCTCCCAGTCCCTAGAACACTAAACGGTCGGATCCAAACAGGGTGGTCATCAGCAGAGTTGATGCAGTGTCTTCACACGTGTCATCAGCAGGGTATCCCTACCCTTCATGCTGTTATTGGACAAAGTAACAAACAAATGACAACTGTAAGGACCTCAACTGGCTTGTTAATCAGCTCATTCAGTAGTTTGTAAATAGAACAATTATATTATACATATAAATTCTAAATTACCTGATCCTGGAACTAATTGTTAGGGAAAAAGAGAGCCTTGAACAATTGTTTCATAAACCTGGAACAACTAGAAACTTATTCATATTGGAAAACCTTAGAAGGTAGATGAAACGATACACAGATTGTGTTAGTTTGTTAGTGTGTGTCCCCGGTGCCTACATGGTTGTGGATCACACTTGCTGCTGTTCCCATTGACTGTTTCACTTTATCTGTGACATCCTTCAGGATGACATGGACAACATTAAACTTTGATATAATACCATCTGATGTGTCTAGTTTTATTTTAACAGGTTAAAGACAGTGAATACAAGTAATATTGAAGTTGTTGAATATGAACTGCATCAAATGTCGCCATATTGTAGTTCAAACTTGCAGTCAAGTAGCTGCAAGACTGGAAATGGTTTCAAGAAATATGCACTCGCCCTTAACCCTGAGTATGGTTTATGTATATTGAATATAACAGACATTCGACAAAAAGAGTGAGTGAGTTTAGTTTCACGCCGCACTCCGCAATATTCCAGCTATATGGCGGCGGTCTGTAAATAATCGAGTCTGGACCAGACAATCCAGTGATCAACAGCATGAGCATCAATCTGCGCAATTGGGAACCGATGACGTGTCAACCAAGTCAGCGAGCCTGGCCACCCGATCCCGTCAGTCGCCACTTATGACAAGCATAGTCGCCTTTTGTGGCAAGCATGGGTTGCTGAAGACCTATTCTACCCCGGATCTTCACAGGTATCACCAACAAGAATGATATTTGTGTATAATAGTTGAAATGCTTGCATGTATACATACTGAAGGTTGAATATTGAAGCAGTGACTGAAACAAAATGTGGTCTTTTAAGACAAGAGTACCAGCAACTAAACTCTGATGATTAAATGGTGGGCATTTTCTGATGAGCATAGATACCTGTATATGGCCACTGATAATACACGAGACAAAGCAGACATTTCTCTGACAACCCTGTGGGTATCCAGTTCAACAAGATGACAAAGACAATCCCATCTTTCAGAGAGTTTTTATTGTTGACAGAGACAGCACAATACAAGTAAATGAAAGAATTTACATATGATCACAATACGAATGGCATGTGTCTGGCAGAAATGAAACTGGACAAATTGTAAGAAATGGTAACAGTAGTTGATAGACTGGACAATGTGAATATATACATGGCCAACCAATGGCTGATCCAGTCAACAGATCATTCTAATTCCCTGGATTGGCCAATAGCTTACCCCTCACCACCAATGAGAGAGTTGTAGGATGAGGATCTGATGCTCTGAGAAACAACCCTCAGTTGGATGGGAGCCACTGACAAGGCAGTCTTGAATGGGGTTTGATTAATATGGGAGCCACTGCCGAAGGAGACAGGTTCCAAAAAGGACTGAAGCCAATGCTGAAAGACATGAGCCTATAGTTCAACAGGATAAACACTGGCAGTCACTAATGAGAGAACAGCTTCATCAGTGAAGGTGTAATCTTCTGCTGACCATGCCAGGTTCACAACCTATTTCCCTGGTGGTCAACCCTCACACTGGCATCGATAAATGTGACAACTGGATTCCAGTCTGAGATAGCCATGCTAACTACATGCACCTTCGTTAAAAATTAGTTGTGCAAAACAATATCTTTAACCATTATTTGACACCAGCTGCTTCTGTAAATACTGGCTTGAGTTGGCTTCTTGACTGGCATAATGACACCAGCAGTCTCTCACTGACTGGTATACAGACACCAGCAGGCTCTCAATGACTGGTCAACAGACACCAGAAGGCTCTCAATGACTGGTACACAGACACCAGCAGGCTCTCAGTGACTGGTATACAGACACCAGAAGGCTCTCATTGACTGGTACACAGACATCAGCAGGCTCTCACTGACTGGCATAATGACACCAGCAGGCTCTCACTGACTGGCATAATGACACCAGCAGGCTCTCAGTGACTGGTATACAGACACCAGCAGGCTCTCACTGACTGGCATAATGACACCAGCAGGCTCTCACTGACTGGTATACAGACACCAGCAGGCTCTCACTGACTGGCATAATGACACCAGCAGGCTCTCACTGACTGGTATACAGACACCAGCAGGCTCTCAGTGACTGGTATGCAGACACCAGCAGGCTCTCAGTGACAGGTATATAGACACCAGCAGGCTCTCAGTGACTGGTATATAGACACCAGCAGGCTCTCACTGACTGGTATATAGACACCAGCAGGCTCTCAGTGACTGGTATACAGACACCAGCAGGCTATCATTGACTGGTATATAGACACCAGCAGGCTCTCAGTGACTGGTATATAGACACCAGCAGGCTGTCACAAACTGGTATATAGACACCAGCAGGCTCTCAGTGACTGGTATATAGACACCAGCAGGCTCTCATTGACTGGTATATAGACACCAGCAGGCTCTCACTGACTGGTATATAGACACCAGCAGGCTCTCAGTGACTGGTATACAGTCACCAGCAGGCTATCATTGACTGGTATATAGACACCAGCAGGCTGTCAGTGAGTGGTATACAGACACAAGAAGGCTCTAAATGACTGGTATACCGACATCAGCAGGCTCTCCCTGACTGGTATAAAGACACCAGAAGGCTCTAATTGACTGGTATACAGACACTGGCAGGCTCTCATTGACTGGTATATAGACACCAGCAGGCTCTCAGTGACTGGTATACAGACACCAGCAGGCTCTCGTTAACTGGTATAAAGACACCAGAAGGCTCTCATTGACTGGTATACAGACACTTGCAGGCTCTCATTGACTGGTATACAGACACCAGCAGGCTCTCAGTGACTGGTATATAAACACCAGAAGGCTCTCAGTGACTGGTATACAGACAACGGGAGGCTCTCATTGACTGGTATATAGACACCAGCAGGCTCTCAGTGACTGGTATATAGACACCAGCTGGCTCTCATTGACTGGTATACAGACACCAGCAGGCTCTCATTGACAGGTATATAGACACCAGTAGGCTCTCAATGACTGGTATACAGACACGAGCAGGCTCTCATTGACTGGTATACAGACACCAGCAGGCTCTCATTTATCGGTACAAAAATGCAAAGTCCATGACAACATGAACTGTAATTGATCACTTACTGCAAAATTGGTGTTGGGATAGAATAGAGATTCGAGATGAGATTGCCTCCTGACAGACTGGGACAGTTCCTGATTAAGTAGCATTGGGCTTGGAATGAGATATGGGCAGCTTGTAGCTCCCATCTGATAAATGCTACAAAAGAGGCAGCTAGTTGAGAACACTCATGAACATGGTTGTTTGACATGTTGCCATGCTTTGTAATGTACAAAGTTCCCTGCCTAAAACAACCATCTGTTACAGAACAAATAATGCAGTGTAATATGTACAAAGGAAATACATGTATATACAAAGATATTTACAATGAAAGTCATAATAAGATCCAGTACACATTAATATACTCAGCCAAGGCTAAATTTTACCACAGTATCACTGAACAAATGAAATAATCCCTGACAGAAGCAGTGAGCTTATTCCATTCAACAAGCAGAACACATGTAGTTTTGCAAACACAAATCTCAGAGGCTTAAAGTAAATGAATAACATACTTATCATTCTGTTTCACAGACAATTATGTCTGGAGGTATCACATTCTCATAGATTTTTAAATTTGAAATTTGACATGCTTTGCTTTTGTTAGATTTGAACATAAAAAATAAAGCTTAAATCATTACAGAGCCATGTTCAGCAAAATCAACCGTAAAAACGTTATAAAAACTTATGAATTTTGAGAAACCATATACAATTGTTGCTTAAAGTATAGGGATATGACATTACAACAAACACAACACACCAGCATGTTGCCAGTATGGCAGCCTGAGACAAGACAGATCAAGCATGGCATTTGTCAGCACTAGAGAGAAAGAAGAATAACAAACTTCATTCAAAATTTGCTTAAATCCTGTCCAAACCTGCAAGATCCTATACACTCACACTATTTATTTAAAATGTTCCTGTGGAGCTCCAGACTGTTTAACTTCCCTGTCCATGTTATATCAAATACATGTCCCCCACACAACTTCAAATACACACAACAGTATGGCAACTTCCTGCTGCCATCTTTAATGCCCAGTATCCCTGACCAGTCATTACTGTATTGGGCATATTTCAAGTCAATTTCCGAATTTCCATCTTCTAACACAGACAACCCAAAGCACTCGCTCAATGAGGCAATGCTGAGAACATTGATGTTTTCCAGTTGTCAAACCACACATACACAGGCAGTACTAGGAGTTGTCATCAGTGGATGCTAACCGTGGCATCTTACTGGGAGAGTTGCCTTCTGGGGTCTCAAGACTGGCCCTGGTGGAGTCACGCTTCTTGCTGGCATTCTGGAAAATACATTAACTCTGTAGATCTACTGAGGCGTAATCACAGCAATATAGAAACAATCCATCAGATATTTTAAATTGAGATCTCCCAGACTACAGAAAATATTCTCAAGCCACGGTCCTTTGCCATTTTACAGTGCTTTAGATGTCAAACCTTAATCCAATTCTCTTTTAACTTCACCCATATTCTGTTTCCAGTAATGCAGATGATGACCAAAATTCCTCATCTCCCTCCTGAACCCTATTTACCCTTGTCTCCACCAACCCAGACCATAACCTGAACTCTCCTCTCTATCCTGTACCCACCAACCCAGACCATAACCTGAACTCTCCCTCTCTATCCTGTACCCACCAACCCAGACCATAACCTGAACTCTTCCTCTCTATCCTGTCTCCACCAACCCAGACCATAACCTGGACTCTTCCTCTCTATCCTGTCTCCACCAACCCAGACCATAACCTGAACTCTCCCTCTCTATCCTGTACCCACCAACCCAGACCATAACCTGGACTCTCCCTCTCTATCCTGTCTCCACCAACCCAGACCATAACCTGGACTCTCCCTCTCTATCCTGTCTCCACCAACCCAGACCATTACCTGGACTCTCCCTCTCTATCCTGTCTCCACCAACCCAGACCATAACCTGAACTCTTCCTCTCTATCCTGTCTCCACCAACCCAGACCATTACCTGAACTCTTCCTCTCTATCCTGTCTCCACCAACCCAGACCATAACCTGAACTCTTCCTCTCTATCCTGTCTCCACCAACCCTGACCATAACCTGGACTCTCCCTCTCTATCCTGTCTCCACCAACCCTGACCATAACCTGAACTCTTCCTCTCTATCCTGTCTCCACCAACCCAGACCATAACCTGAACTCTTCCTCTCTATCCTGTCTCCACCAACCCTGACCATAACCTGAACTCTCCCTCTCTATCTCCACCAACCCTGACCATTACCTGGACTCTCCCTCTCTATCCTGTCCCCACCAACCCAGACCATAACCTGAACTCTTCCTCTCTATCCTGTCTCCACCAACCCTGACCATTACCTGGACTCTCCCTCTCTATCCTGTCTCCACCAACCCAGACCATAACCTGAACTCTTCCTCTCTATCCTGTCTCCACCAACCCAGACCATTACCTGGACTCTCCCTCTCTATCCTGTCTCCACCAACCCAGACCATAACCTGAACTCTCCCTCTCTATCCTGTCTCCACCAACCCAGACCATAACCTGAACTCTTCCTCTCTATCCTGTCTCCACCAACCCTGACCATTACCTGGACTCTCCCTCTCTATCCTGTCTCCACCAACCCAGACCATAACCTGGACTCTCCCTCTCTATCCTGTCTCCACCAACCCAGACCATAACCTGGACTCTCCCTCTCTATCCTGTCTCCACCAACCCAGACCATTACCTGAACTCTCCTCTCTATCCTGTCTCCACCAACCCTGACCATTACCTGGACTCTCCCTCTCTATCCTGTCTCCACCAACCCAGACCATTACCTGGACTCTCCTCTCTATCCTGTCTCCACCAACCCAGACCATAACCTGAACTCTCCCTCTCTATCCTGTCTCCACCAACCCAGACCATAACCTGAACTCTCCCTCTCTATCCTGTCTCCACCAACCCAGACCATTACCTGAACTCTCCCTCCTTATCCTGTCTCCACCAACCCAGACCATAACCTGAACTCTCCCTCTCTATCCTGTCTCCACCAACCCAGACCATAACCTGAACTCTCCCTCTCTATCCTGTCTCCACCAACCCTGACCATTACCTGGACTCTCCCTCTCTATCCCGTCTCCACCAACCCAGACCATAACCTGAACTCTCCCTCTCTATCCTGTCTCCACCAACCCAGACCATTACCTGAACTCTCCCTCCTTATCCTGTCTCCACCAACCCAGACCATAACCTGAACTCTCCCTCTCTATCCTGACCCGTATCGTTTCCTGTCTCCATCAACACAGACTGGAAACCCTGTCAACTGTCACCGTTGCCTACACCAATCACACCTCAGCTAGTCTCTACCGACCCCCCTACACCATTCTTGGCTGATTTACAGCTCCCTATATCTGTAACTGTGACACACCTTCTTATCCCACTGTTGGTGAAGATAGCGGAGGAGGATGTTGGTCTTCTCCGTCGTGATCACTGAAATTAACATTAGGCCTTCTCAGTAATGTTGACAAGACAAAGAAAGCAACATAATTAAATGGATTGTATGAACATTGTGAAAATATTGCTTAATCTAAAAAGTCAATGAGCATGTTGGGAACATAAAAATGTAATTTTTAGAGTAAAATTGATATTTTATACTTATCCTGACTCATGCTCTTTTGCTTGTCTTCTTCCTTTTGCGAACATAGTGGAACACTTGTATCTCCTTAATTGAAGCTCCCTTCAATGTAAAATCACTAATTGGTACTCACCAAGAGTTGCCTCCCTTTGCCGTTTGCACGGGAACAGGTGTCGCCACCCTCTGGCCTCATGCTTCACTCTCTCCTGATTTTGCGAGCCCAACACTTGAATTTACAGGGAAATCCAAAGTGTTATGTGGGGAGGATGGGAGGGCTTACCTCATGAGTCAGGATAAGTATAAAATATCAATTTTACTCTAAAAATTACATATTTTTCCTTATCCTTAAGACTCATGCTCTTTTGCTTGTAGAATCCTCCGGAGCGGAGGTGGGAAAAAACAGAATACTTTGGATTTATAATTAGTGATTTATATAACTATAGGTGTAATAACCCCTACGGGAACTTCATAAAGGTATTGACTTAGGATATTTCCTCTATTATAAGCCATAGGTTATATATTGGCATAACTGGGGTATTACAATACTAATATACTGATATACTAAGATATTATAAATAGATATAAAAGCAACTCTGATAGAGAAGCTGTACAACTGAACATAAACATCAGTATGAGCTTAAGGCTGAGTAAACCTAAGCTAAGTATATACATAGCCCTAGAACTCCGTAGAGTTATAAGCTAGATAAGGTATGTATAATAATACATAATAATCTCGTCGGGAGTAAATGTTAACGCCTACGAGGGACTGTCAGCTGCTGAGCGAGGACCAAAGGACCGAAATGGTGAATGCCAGAGACGTCCTCGGTGGTGATATCTCTCAGATAGTGATTAGCAAACACCATGTTAGATTTCCAGAAGCATCCTTCCATAATTGTATTCAATGAACAGTTACCGTGTAGGGTGAGAGTGGAAGCCAATGCCCTGATCTCATGGGGATTTGATGCTGTTGGAGGGTCCAATCCTGCTGCCTTGTAGGCGCGTAGAATGACAGTCCTTATCCATATAGATATGGTGGTACGAGAGACTTCTGTCTGATTTGTTGCCGATAAGGGGATGAATAATCTTTTGAGAAATCTTCGCCTTGTTTTGGAACGTCGTAAATAGATTTTGAGAGCTCGGACTGGGCATAGCGATAAGTCCAGTGTATCTTGAGATCCGAGAATCGAGGATAGTGCAGGGACGTGAAATAACCTGTCTGGTTGACCTGGTAGTTGATTTTTGGCGATGAAATCCCATCTTAATCCCAGGTGTGCTGTGTTTTGATTGTCATCAAACTGTATCCTCTAGAGCGTGAATTTCTGACATTCTGGCTGCCGTGGCTAGAGATAACAGGAAAAGTGTTTTCTGTGAGAGAAATTCAAAGGTTGTCGATTCCAACGGTTCATAATCCTCACTTGTGAGGTGTTGTAGCACTACATTCAGATCCCAAGCTGGGGCGTGGAACTTCCGCTTTTGGTCCTCCAATCGGAAAGCACGTAGTAAGGCCAGTAACTCGGGAGTTTTACTCAATTTGACACCCGTTCTCATAGTAATCACAGAACTAAGCGTGGCAAGATATGTTGACAATGTCGAGCCTTTTAAATGTTTGTTTTGGCGTTCGAATGCCTAGGAACTGCAGATCTTGCGATGGTACTAGGTCCGACTTGAGTAAGTTTACTAACCATCCTAGCTGTGTTAGTAGCTTTATGATGTAGTTTAACTGTAGTTTGAGACGCTGTGGATCTTGATCTACTTGTATCCCGTCGTCGAGGTAAAATGCACTGCGTAGCCCTTGACGATGTAGATAGGTGATAATCGGTTTCGTTATCCTCGTGAATAGCTAGGGGGCTGATGATATTCCGAATGGGAGTACTTTCCACTGGTAATGTAGCCCGTCTAGTGTAAACCGTAGGTATTTCCTGGATTCGGGATGTATTGGGATGTGCAGATATGCATCCTGTAGATCTATACTGCCCATGTAGTCCATGGGGCGAATCAACTGCCGTAACTGAGGTAGATGTATCATGCGAAACATCGGTGGTTTGCGTAGATAATTCTTGTTGAAGAAGCTCATGTTGTAAATGAGTCTGTATTTCTCCTTGGAGTTTTTCTTGGGTACTAGGAAAACTGGGGAGTAGAAACCTGGTTCGATGTTTCCTTGATCTATTACTTCTATGGCCTGCTTGGTTAGGAGTGATGTAACAGCCTCTCTTAACTTTGGTAGTTGTTGTGCCTGTAAGTCGAACTTGTGAGGGTTGACTGTCAGCGGAGGCTTGGCCTGTAGTGGGATACAAAACTGTTGAAGAATGTTGGAGACATAAGGGTCTTGTAACATTCCCCAGTTTTCCCAGTGTAGTTGAAGGCGTCCACCCACTTGTGATGGTTGTACTGGAACGGCTGGGGGTGGAAGACTCCAGTCGTTCCGAACCTGTCTTTCAGCGTTTATAGTTGCGGGAACCTCTGGGTGTCCTGCCTCTTCCTGACCCTCCTCTATAGTTGCCATATGGGCGACGAAAAGAATCTTTTCCCCTGGAGCTGGCTATCTTCCTGTCCCGTGCTCTCTGTAGACCAGTGAATTTAGATCTCCCTGAGTATCTTTGTGAAGTCTGTCGGATGACGCTGGCTAGTGTGTCCATCGATTTAATCATAAGGACTTCTCTGGAATCCTTAGTGACTTCCTTGGAGACTTTGTCTATTCCTCCGTCAAAGATGGATGGGGAAGACCACGGGGCTGTATATAGTGGGGCTGTAAAGTTCTCACCCCAGCTGCAGGAAGCGAGGAGGCCTTGACGACGAGCTAAGGTCAGTGCTGCTGAGACAGATGTGAGATGATCCGTTAGGAACTGCTGGTCCTTCTTTTGCATAAGTAGGGCCGAGTAAATCATTCTATCATCTTCAGAGGTCGTGTTACGAAATCTGGTGATAAGTGTCTCATTGATCGTTCTAGATCTATTTAGACCAAAGAACATACGTCTCGTCATGGTTTCTATCTGAACCAGTTTGCGATCGTCAATCTTGTAGTTCTTATTCTTGACATCGCTGATCAGCTTGTAGTTTTCATCGATGTCTTGAGCCTTGAAGAAGGGGTCCATGTTATGCGTGGAGAACTTCTTGGCGTGAAAGTTTGGCAGATGTGGTGTCTGAACTTTCGTGGCTTTATGGAATGCTGTGTCTAGATTCTGTGGTACCGCAGCAATCGGGTCGATCGGAGGTAGTGTGACAGCACCTGCATCGTCTTCTTTCATCAGGTATGTCTGCGCCGGATTGCCACTCTTGGAAGGTGATGAGAGATCTAGGTTGTTTACCATCCAATATCGTATCTCTGCATCTGAGAAAATAATTCCTCCATCATCTTCTATTCCAGCATCATTGATGAGAGGTTGGTGCTCTTCTGATGGTGGACTGTGTGGTTCTATCTCTATGTCGGGTGACGCTTGTGGAGACCTGGTTGTAGACTTGTGTGCAGACCTGTGTGGTGATCGACGTGGTGATGTACGCGGAGATCGGCGTGGTGAATGGCGAGGAGATCGTCTTGGTGATCTACGTTTATGGGTTGACCTTCTCGGAGACCTGTGAGGAGAACGTTGATAGCTTCGCGAAGCTCTTGTGTAGTCCCTCGATGTCTTTCTAGATGATGACGATCTGGGTTCAGGCGTCCTTCGCGAAGGCCTTCGCGAAGCTTCCTCTACGTCCGGTCCTGGGGAACGGTGATATGACCTTCGCGAAGGCTTTCGTAAGGTCTGGTGGTCTGAGTCCGTATCTGAGAATGAAGCCGAAGAAGGTGATGATCTATCCCGCCTTCGCGAAGGCTGTACATCTGGGTCCTTCGTCGAGGTGGTCTGTGACTTCCTTCGCGAAGGTGGCATCGTCGTGGCTGCTACGTTGACGGGGGGTGCCTCTGGGGTGCTGTCTACGTTGGAGCCTTCGCGAAGGCTCGGACCCTGGGTTGGCTGCTTCTCCAGTCTGTAGTGGCCCTCCATCATGATCATGATTTGCCGCATTAGATCGTCTGGGATGGTCTGCGACGAAGTAGACGGTGCCCTCTCTGCGATGTTAACGGTGGGGCCCTCAGGGATTTCGTCTGACATCAGTGTAGAGGCATCAGGCTGCATGGTGATCTCAGCTGAAGTCACTGTAGCTGTCACCGGTCGCTTCTTGTGGCGTATGTCGGGGATGATGATCGGCTGGTCATCGTAGAGGCCCAATTCTGCGGCTGGAACGATCTCGGCTGAGAAAGTTCTTGACGACTTCGTAGACTTTCCTTTGGAGGTTGACGCTGCCCTGGGGGTACGAAGTCTGCGTTGAGAAGACGTTGAGGCCCTCTTGGACTTTAGCTGCGATGACGGGATGTCTGGGGAGGCCGGTCGCTTCTTAGAGGTGACGGACTGCATCCCACGGCCCTCTTCCGATGGGGTCTCTAGCAGAACACCAGACGGGAGGGGGTCGATCGACAGCACCTGCCCGCATGGGAAATCCAATGTATCGGCCATGTCTAACCCTTGTTTGCGTGACCTATCTGCAGCACGTCTCAAGACGCTAAAATGGTCTTTATTAAAAGCAGAATTAGTTAAATTAATGCAGTAACTGCAACGTGAATCAAACGCACAAGGCGTAGAACAACTAGGGCATACTACATGCGGATCAGCAGCAGAAAAACGTAATCTACAAATAGTACAGATTTTCATCAACGTAATACTACCTGAACAATCACGAACTCACGTGAATAAACAGTAGAAATATGATTAATTATCAATACAAATTAATGAAGGATACTAGCTATACCTTTATAGTAAACTATAAGAGGTAACTAACTAAGAAAAACCAAAGGATATAGTGTGTAAGGAGACACAGGCGCTCTCACATCCTGCTCACTGGGCGAAGAAGGAGAGAGTGAAGCATGAGGCCAGAGGGTGGCGACACCTGTTCCCGCGCAAACGGCAAAGGGAGGCAACTCTTGGTGAGTACCAATTAGTGATTTTACATTGAAGGGAGCTTCAATTAAGGAGATACAAGTGTTCCACTATGTTCGCAAGAGGAAGAAGACAAGCAAAAGAGAATGAGTCAGGATAAGGAAAAATATACAAATCGCTTTTCAAGACCAACTGCAATTGTATGAAAAGTATGAAAGCAATAGTGTACATCATAAATTCGTGCATGCCATACTGACTGACTGACTGAGTTTAGTTTTACGCCGCTTTTAGCAATATTCCAGCAATATCACGGCGGGGGACACCAGAAATGGGCTTAACACATTGTGCCCATGTGGGGAATCGAACCCGGGTCTTCGGCGAGACGAGCCAATGCTTTAACCACTAGGCTACCCCACCGGCCCCATGCATGCCATAAATTAATTAATAATAATAACATGTATACATAAAATCAGTTCCCTATGGGTTTGACAGCTTTTGAAAGGTTCAAGCAATAACACTGTTAAAGTGAGGAAGCTTTGACAGTTTGACTTCAGTTAAGTTACCGACTGAAAACATTTGCTGAAACCAGTTCTGCTTGATGTGTCAGTGCAAACTCCATCGGTAATTACATTGGATGTGTTGCTGGAAGCAAGCTGAAGAAGCTTACCTTGCTCTGAGGGGTAGTCTTTGGTTGAGATGTAGACAGTAGGTCTACCAATCTATGGAGAAATCATAGAAAGAAAGGTGATAAATAGCTGTGTTGCCACAGAATAAGGTATTAATGACTTAACAAAAGCAACATGTTCTGAGTGATACATGTTAACCCTATGGAGCTCCATCCCACACTTCCACACTATCAATATTACAAGTCAATTAAATTATTTAATTAAAGCCATTAAAGTTTGTGCCATATTGCCTCATTCCTACCCACTCAGGACCCTGTGGTCTACATAACTAGACAAGTGTTAGTACTGTTACAAGATGAGATCATGACCGTGCATACATATGTCTTGCACATCTTACTAAATGCTACACCACAGCTACCCTAATGTCTGTAAGCCCCCTTTAATCTGCTATTGTCTTGCCAGTCATCATTCCCTAGTGAATTTGTAAGAGCAACAACATATGCTTGACAAATAAGATGATCACTTGCTGCGATCAGGCTGACTGGGCTCTGGCGAATCGTTAAAATAGTGCAGTACATCAAACACGAGAAACCTGATTTGACCCAAGAGCAGGAGAATACCATCAGCTGCAGATTATTTTTGTATGAGGGTCAATTTCATCTGATTTTATAGTCATTTTACTCTACCTCCCCTTTTAAATTAAATTTTGTCCAAGCTTTTTGTGATTAAACATATGTAAAGCTGCTATGTTGAGTGTACTTGCCCATTTATGCTTCATTTTAACATATATATTGCATTGAATGCTACCTTAAAAGAAATCTAAACTTTTAACCCCAAATATTACCATCCATAATCTCTTAGTATTGAATCCTTATTGAATCCATGTTAGTCAAATTTAGAATAAATGTTAAGTGTTGAACATGTGTGTTGTCCTGGACAGCAGATAAGCATTACATGGCGATCTAATATTAATGTGAATAGGGCAGTTCATCATGTTCATGCTTGGTGCCACTGGTGGAGAAAAGTTGTGTATGAAAACCCATGAAGTATGACAATGTTACTGCCTATAGCCAAGTCTTTACTGGATTCGAAATGTGCTTCAAGAAATAATAATGACAACCTCTAAATAAGCTACAATAGCACTGCCTGGCAGCGTTCAATCGTATTATTTGCTTGAAAGACATTTTTCGTAAAGTGACGGGTCTTGTAGCTTTTTTCAGCAAACACTGAAACACTGAGGCGTCATGCAGGCTGAACAAATTGAATATGAAACAGATCGTGATGGTAATGTAAATATCTGCATAAAATTCATACATACGCTGCTTTTGCAACCCGAATCTGTGTGGAATTTAGCAAAATTACTCTCATTGTAGGATGGGAGACCTTTCAAAAAGTCCGCCTGCAAATAAAGTACACAATGAAATATTGATCAAACATTAACCAACATGATGCATACTTCAATTAATATTACATATTACAATCAACTAGCATCATCTGGGCGCAAATTTGATTTTGACAGCATAGTTAGCTTGCCTACCCACCATTTTGGCTCAAAACTTCCTGTCCATTCAGACATGCGCAACCGGAAAACATTTTTGTATTACTTGTGTTAAGACATATTTCTACTGAAACCATTGTTATAAGTGGAGGCAAAATAGAACAATCAAATATGACAAAAAAAATCCAAATAATAATTTTGAACATCTTATGTTAATTTTAGGTACGTTTGTTATTGACAATGTTGTCTTTTATGAAATAAAAGAAATATTATATGCTTCTTATTATAAGTCGTTAAAGGCATATCACCATCAGTTCAAGATGTCGGACGATGATTTTATGTGCGATGACGACGAAGAGTATGATTTGGTAAGTAGAATTTGACAATTTTATGACATGAACTGCCATCAGTGGTTCCCCTTCCTCTGTGGCCAAAGCTTTTTTGAATAAAAATGCCGAATCCTATGCCTGTCAGCAGGATGTCAACAGCAACTCAGTTCAATCATGAGTTGGGTTGCGAACACAAAACACAGTAGAGAGTAGTAACACTAGTAATAAATAGTAAGAATGTTCTGCAGCTTATAACTACAAGGTGTAGCTTACACCGATATTTGGCTGCAAGCTCTTGCTCTCGCTTTACTGATCTCAGGGGTTTCTCCGATCCTTAAGGGTAGTTACGTTTGGTAAGGGCAGGTAATCCAGAATTTAATCCCAAGAAAATCTTTCCGGTCAAGCTCCCATATGACCTAGTAGTAGTAATTAATATAATAGTTATTTCATTCATACACCATTTGGCAACAGTGCACTTTAGAGTGGTGACTGGGGTAGCTTGCAATATCGCAAATTGGCTTAGGGTGCCAACTGGGCCCTCAACAGTCTCGCATTGTAGAAATTTTATCGTTTTTTGTCATATTTGGGGTCAATTTTGTTTGTTTTAAGGTAGGTTATCCTAAACTTCATCCTTAGCTAATGGATGCCCTATCCGATCAAGCATCCCATGAAAATCATCAGCATTCATCTGATCAGATGCCCCTTCACGAACCTTGGGTTAGGCACCATTGTTTATTAATCAAATGACCATTTTCAATCCTTAGGATTAGTTGAAAAGTAAGGTAAGACTACAAAATACCGGATACCTTCCGCCATCTTTGAAAGCATGCGAGTTTACTTAGGGTTAGGGTAAGGTTTAGGGTTAGGGTGACGTGACACTAAACAATATGGCTGGTCGGTATCCTGTATTCTGTAGGTGTACCAAAAGTAATATATGAGTTATTGATGAATAAATACAATGTAATCTGAGGAAACTTTGAAATTGGTTTTGTTTATAAAGTTTTTCAGTTTCATGTAGAAAATGTCTACTTTACAAGCACAAAAGTGAACATCTGGATGCTGATGACTTCGCCAAACACTATTTGTGATAGAGCCCATGGTCCCGTGTTTTGGCTCATACCATTATATCATCAGCCCAGCTGATCTTAAGGCAGGTAGGGCGGTGGGGTAGCTTAGTGGTTAAAGCGGTCGTTGTGAAGCCACACGGAAGACCCGGGTTTGATACCCCTCATGTGTACTATGTGTGAAGCCCATTTCTGGTGTCCCCAGCCGTGATACTGCTGGAATATTGCTAAAAGTGGCATAAAATTCAACTCACTCACTCATTCTTAAAGCATTTCAGCTCAAGTTTGATCCTCAGTAGCGCATTAATTGAAATCGAAAAATGTGCAGTACTTCCAATCTGGATGCAGCAATAGAAACATTTTTACCTCACTATCCAAAAATGATAAGATAGCCAGCCCTTTAAAAAAGGCATGTTTCTATGTGTCCTTATGGTAACTTCACTAATGTGACTATTAGGTAATTTGGAATGGACTGTACGACTAGTACCAGTTTCTATCACTGCACATGAATTGGGAAGAAATTCACACCCACTACTACTTGATTACTTTCCTAGTAAGCAATCCCTTGCACACGGGAGACCTCATCTTGTCAAAATTTTGGGTTTGCTGTGTATTTTTTAACCATAAGTCAGATTAATGTTACCAGTTTTCAGTGCAGCCTCAGTGCTGATTGTTCTAGTTGCAGTCGTTGCAATTATTACCGAACTTATTACCTACCCGAAACCACTAACATAATAGAGCCACAAAATATGTTTTATACGTTTGTCCAATTAAGAAAATATTAATTTTACAGAGCTACAGATAACTTTTTGGGTCATTGAGTTATGTACTCGCTTGTGTTCATCTCAGTTGGGTAACCTACTTTTCCTTTAAGTAACCAAATAAATTGTACTCACCTCACTCAAACTCAATTGGGTATTTTGCCATTTTCCATTAATTTTTAAAATAATCATATAGTTTAAATGTTAGTGTTTGTTATTTATATTTGATCTGTAATATGAGAAACGATAAGAAAGACTGCAAGTTGTCATGTTCATGTCCTGAAATACAACCTCTCAATATACCTAAGTTATTTTATCTATCCACTGGTACCCAAGCTAAGATTTGACGTGTTTGTGTGTACACAAGTAAGATCACATTTATTGAGTATTTACAAAAATTCAAGCGTACTTGTACGCAACAGACTTAATAGGAATTGAGTTTTCACATAAATATTTTCGTAATTTACGCAGATATGCAGCTTATCTGTACCTCTGATTTTATCTTTTGGAAGTGTCCTGAGACATTCACAAACGAAAGAGTCATATGAGTGAAAGAGAAACATTGCATGTGCAGGGGTGGAAATAAGCCATTGGCCGACGTCCGAGTCCAGTGTTTTTTTCTGTCGGGCAAGCAAATTGTATACCAGACTGTACCATTGTCCAGTTGACTTTCCAATGTTGATTATGTTGTTTATTTAAAAAATGAACAAGAAAATCGGCTGGTATAGTGGAAAACTTATCAGGGCAAGTGATTTTATATGTGCCACTGTGCCGGAGTACACTAGTAATTTTAAAGTTATTTCCATCCCTGATGTGAATGAAATTCAACACCGAATGCTCTTGTCTAACCCTACATATTACAGAGGTGGTGGGCAAGCTGGTACACATGCACTTGACTAGATACATGTCCACCTTAATTGCTTAGTACCTTGTATTTGTTACAAACTTATATTACTTTTACTTACTCATTCAAAACCTTTGTGTTGGGCACAGACACTTTTATTCAATATCAAAGCCTGAACCACCAAATAAATAGTCATGCACAACCTGATAGCAACTTTCATGTTTCTAGTTTTTCGCAGACCCGTGAAGGTCCAGGTTAGAATGAATCTTCAGTAACCCATGCTTGTCATAAGAGGCGACTACCAGGATCGGGTGGTCAGACCCATGTTATCGGTTCCCAATTGCGCAGATCGATGCTCATGCTGTTGACCACTGGATTGTATGGTCCAGACTCGATTATTTACAGACCTTCGCCATATAGCTGAAATATTGCTGATTTCGGTGTAAAACTAAAACTTAAATCCAATGTTTTTTGGCAGATTTAAAGAAACACTGCAACTTTGTTTATATAGTTTCATTACTGGTACCAAATACTTATATCAGGTTTTTGTTTTGGTGAGAAGTAAAGACCATGATGACCCTCCACTTGCTAGAAAGACTATTGTTATGTTCGACACATTCTGCTGCTGTAGGAATACTCCGAAGAGAGTAACTCAGAGCCGGATGTGGACCTAGAGAACCAATATTACAACTCAAAAGCTCTCAAGGAAGATGATCCTAAAACAGCCCTGGAGAGTTTCCAGAAGGTGAGTCATAAACACGATTAGTACCATGACTACTGTCAGCAGCCCTGTCAGGCATAGACTGTCTTAGGGTAGTACTGTTAGGCGTACATTTTCTTGAGGCACTACTGTCAGGCATAGACTATCTTAGGGTAGTACTGTCAAGCGTAGATTTTCTTGAGGGAATACTGTCAGGCATAGACTATCTTACGGTAGTACTGTTACTGTTAGGCGTAGATTTTCTTGAGGCACTACTGTCAGGCATAGACTATCTTAGGGTAGTACTGTTAAGCATAGATTTTCTTGAGGCACTACTGTGAGGCCTAAACTACTTCAGGGCAGTACTGTCAAGCATACACACATTATCTTAGGGATGTGCTGTTCGGTATAGGGCAGTGTTGTTAAGTATAAATTATCTGTGAGCAGTATTGTCGAGAATAGATTATCTGTGTGTGGTATTGTCAAATACAGAATATTTGTGAGCATTATTGTCTAATATAGTTTATGGTACATGTATAGATTATCTGTGAGCAATATTGTCGAGAATAGATTATCTGTGTGTGGTATTGTTATGTATAGATTATCTGTGAGTGGTTGTGTCAATATCTGAGCATTATTGTGAAATATAGTTTATCACTGAGCAGTATTGCAAAGAATAAATTATCTGTGAGCAGTAATCCCAAGAATAGATTATCTGTGAGCAGTAATCCCAAGTATAGATTATCTGTGAGCAATTTTGTCAGGTATAGATTATCAGCTAGCAGTATTATCTGGTATAGAAATGGATCACATACGATGATACAGGACATTGCCTAGAACAAAAATGTGCTGTAGCAATTGAATGATACACTCAAGTCCTGAAGCATGCTAAAACACCTGCTACACTTATCTGATCTCTGTTACAGGTGCTGGAGTTGGAAGGCAAGGAGAAAGGGGAATGGGGATTTAAAGCCTTGAAGCAGATGATAAAAATCAACTTCAAACTGGTAATAACACTGTTTGTGTGTTTTGCAAGGTCTCAAGGAACAAGAAATGGACTTTTCTGTTATGTATCATCAGATGATCATAGATGAAATTGTTAATTATTAGTTGTCACAAACATATAGATGTGATTTGTTTCCCAAATTCAGTGACTCTGCCCCTTTAGTTATTGCTTATCAAGCACTTTTGTGAACATTCATATGTTGACCTTGTTCCTGAATTAATGAAATTACATGTGAATTTGACTTTTTATGGACAGAATTATCCTTTTCTGCAGGATATATTTGAGTGAGTTGTTGTATGATTCATCTGTTGGACGTTGCAGGGCAACTACGATGAAATGATGAAACGATACAAGCAATTGTTGGCCTACATCAAGTCAGCAGTGACCCGGAACTACTCTGAAAAGTCCATTAATTCCATACTGGACTACATCTCCACATCCAAACAGGTCTGAATATAACGTCTGACTAAGTCAAGTTCTTGGATGCCCTTGTACAAAGTGATCTTAGTGTTTAGACGATCGTAACTCCTATAGCTTAACATAAACTAAGGACAGTTGTAGCTCTAAGATTGTTATATACCACAGCACCCTGATGCCACAGAGGCACATTTGAGTCAACGACAACAGGATTAATACAGTTTGATTCATAAGGTAAATCTTCAGCAATTGAATAGGATGTTACCACTCTTACTGAAGTGAAAGAAGCTTCCCATATTACAACCACTTATTATAGGGCTTAGGTTGAAATGATATTTATGAAGTATGAGGCTAGATGAGAAGTATTCTCATTGGCTGTCTTAATTCCAATGAGCACACCTGTTTGTGCCGTGTGACACACAGTACATGTGTATCCTTGGTGTCCCAGATGGAGCTCCTGCAGGACTTCTATGAGACAACACTGGAAGCCCTTAAGGAGGCCAAGAATGAGAGGTTGTGGTTCAAAACTAACACTAAACTTGGCAAGCTGTACTTTGACCGGGGAGACTACACTAAACTACAGAAGATCCTCAAGCAGCTTCATCAGTCCTGTCAAGTGAGTAGCATTGTGGTCACCATTACATACAGTTTCAGTCTGATTCAAAGTAGCATTTTGAATGCAATTTGAGGAAACAGTTTTGAGGAAATGTAAAATTCTGTTCTACAAGTTATCAATATTATTCAGTATGGCGAACAGTAAACCAATGAATACTTTGTCAAGTCACTATAGAAAGACCTTTATTAGCAATGGATGTAAGTGTTCATTGTTTGACAATATATATCGTTAACCCTAGTAGAGAACACAAATGATTTTCTTTTCATTAGACGGATGAAGGGGAAGATGATCTCAAGAAAGGGACACAACTCCTGGAGATTTATGCACTAGAGATTCAGATGTATACAGCACAGAAAAACAACAAGAAGCTGAAGGTAGGAATCTGCAATCCCCTGTGCTATGTGATCGGGTATTGCAGATCAACACTTTTCTCCATGATATTGCTCTTCCAAAGGTAGTTTTGTTTGCTCCTTTACTGCTGTAGTCTTCTTGTTATCCCTTGCCGCAACGTGGAACGGGGGACTTTGTATTCAGCAGTCCCAATTCTTGTTAGCGTGATATCTCATGAACTGTTGTACCCAATGTGTTCAAAGCCTACCTAGGGGGATTACGCAGACACCAGTCGATTTGGGTGACCTTGACTTTGACCACTTTGCAAACTCTTGTTAACGCGATATCTCATGCACTGTTGTACCAAATGTCTTCAAATTTGGTGACAGCCTACATTGGGGAATTACGCAGACACCTGTCGATTTGGGTGACCTTGACTTTATCTTCAAGGTCACCACAACACTTTGACCACTTTTTTTACTCTTTTTAATGCAATATCTCGTGCACTGTTGTACCCAATGTCTTCAATTCTTTTTCAGAGAGATCGTCCTTGGGGTACATATTATGCATTTTCCGGCTGTAAAATGTCCTGTGACAGTTGTATCAATGTTTTTTGAATAAAAAGATTGTACAATAAATAAACTCTTTTACTTATTATACGGACCCTACCTCACGGAGTTACCTCCCTTAGCGCATGCGCACCAACTGGGTAGGCTCCTAGACCCGTATCATCATTCCTTCTGCTGTCACGGCCCTGAACAGACGCTCGTTCAGATTACCTTTCATGAGCCGTGACGCGCTTCATTTTAAGATGTCTGAGACACCACCTGTATGTTTGGTTTTATTTGTCTAAAACAATAACAGTAAAGCCTTATAGTGGTGGTTGTTTCATAACTGTGACTTTGTATAAGTACTATCAAAATAGCACGCAAACTTTCCGTGGTTTCACGCAAGTTTGCTCTGCCATGGAAGTTTAAGCGTGCAGCGTGGTCGTAATAATATTGGCGCTTTAAAACCAACTATTACTTTCAGGGTAACCTTCACGTATTTTCAATGTTTTCTACGGTTTCTCTGCTTCTGGCCACAAGTTAACTAACATGTTTACGTGTTTGTTTCAGGCTTTTACCTGTTGTTCGGCTCTGTGGGGAAGTATTCCCGGCTGACAGTCACTCCTAACGCGGCCTGTCTGGAGAAGACGGGCCATGTGGCTGATACATGTTCAATTTGTCTGGCCTTTTCCCCGGCACAGAAGAGGCGGGCGCCGACACCCTGTTTTACCGCGAGATGCGTGAGGCGGAGGGGACCTGACGCAGGTTCCCCGCCAAAACCTAAACGGGCGCCCAAAAGGAAAAATCCCGCGGCCCTTCCCCCCTCCTACCACTTCGAAAGTGGTTTTGACATGTCTCTAATGGAGTCGATGTTTCAGAAGCAGATGGACTCAATGAAGTCCTTCGCTCGAGTCGGGTTGGAGGTCTCTCGCCAGGAGTTCTCGCCCTCCCGACGGGGCGAGAGTCCGGGTGGGATCGCCGCCCGGCTAGATCCTCAGCCTTGAGGCGTCTGTCCATCCGCTGCCTCTGGCTTCGGGTCCGACGCCGGGTCTGCTGCCCGGGAGAGGAGGTGCTCCCAGTCCCTCTCTCGAGCTTGGGCGCTTGGGCCGCTGAGTATTCCTGGTATTCCCGTCCCTCGCACACCCGCCTCCCATGAGAGCGGAGGCACCAGTTCTGCCTGGCCTGCCTCCCTGCGCCTCGGGACTGGGTCCACGCACGCCGGGCTGGCGCTGACGTGGAGCAGTCGGTCTGTTCCTCCCTTCCTGTGGTGCCCAGCTAGGCAGTCCACCGGTCGGGTTAGGGTCCTCTTACGGAGGAGACCCAGCCTCTGACTCGGGCTCGGACGCCGAGGCAATGGAGCTCGGGAGGTCGAGGAGCATGACGGCAGCTTCCGCTTTGCTTGCGCCTGCGGGAGGTCCGGCAGAGAATTGCCGAGGGCCTACCCCAGGCCGCTGGGTGCCTGCTGGTGGCGTGGACTCGACTGAGTTCCGCTTGCCTGGTGAGGCGCTTGCCCCTAGGCAACCCTCACAGACGCAGCTCCGCATTCTGCCATCGCTGGTCGCGACGGGTCGCATCCCCTCTTGTCTGGTACCCGAGTCAGGTTTGACTTACCTGAACTCGCGGCGGCGCTTACCAGCTTGGGGAGGATTCCCTGTTCGTCAGACCCCATCGTGGACGCAGTGTGTTTTCACTCCGCCGCCTCTGGGAGGCTCGGCTTCCTCCCGAGCAGCTCCGGCTGCTCGGGCAAGGGCTTCACTCCACCTTTTGCCCTCGCGGGCGCCGCGGCGCGGCGTGCACTCGACCCACGAGGAGGTCTACCGGAACGCGATGCAGCAGGTGCGGTGGTGGTCCATGAGGCCTACCTCTCCTCGAGCACAGAGGTCGGCCCTGGAGGCGGAGGGGCATGCTGGCACACGGTCGCCGCGATGTCGGCTACTCCGCCAGCTGTCGGAAGTTCAGGCTCACCTCGCCACTCTTTGGCGGGTCTGCTGCGCCGACGGTGATGTGCGCAGTCATCAGGGGATGCGCAGGCTGTGGCTGTCGACGCCTAGGTACTCCGGCAGCAACACAGCAGACCTTGCTGGCTCTCCCTTTTCCGCCTGGGAGCCACCTCTTCCCGGGCACAGCAGGTCATACGGAGGCTGCCGCTGCAGCTACCTCCTTCAAGGATTCTAAGGCCTTGTTGGAGCACCCGCCGGGTGTCTCGCTTCAGCCCCGCGCCACCTTCCTCCGCCGGGTGCAGCCTACACCCGAAGTCTGCCGGGCTGGCTTCGCCGCTTGGTAGGGGTAGGCGGAGGAGTAGGTCCGCTTAAGGGTAGGGGCAAGGAGCAGTCCTCGACTAGCTCCCAGCCTTTCAAGGGCGGAGGTCTGCCCCCACCTCCGTTAACCCAACAGGCTGCCGCCAAGCCGTGTGTCACACCCAGTCAGCTCCGCTTACTAGGGTCCACGACGCTTCCTACCCCATATCCCAGTGGGAGGTCAGCTTTCTCTCTATTCCTGCCGGAATGGGAGAAGGCTACCAACAACGCTGGGTGCTGGCCACGGTCAGCATAGGCCATCTCCCACTGTGGAAGCGCAGGTCCGCCTCGACTTCACCGGGCATACGACGCACTCCGTGCCGCCATGCCAAGCCAGGGCGGACATATTGCGCGACGAAGTTCAGGCTCTGCTGGACAAGTCCGCAATCGAAGTTTTATTCCACCGAGAGGAACAGGCGGATTTTACTCCATCGCACTTCCTCACCCAAGAAAGACGGCGGGTTCCGTCCGATTCTCAACCTCAAGGGGTTGAATCGCGATGCTCGGTACCATCCTTCAAGATGGAGACACTGCGCCGGTGATCTCATCTGTTCAGCCCGGCGATTGGCTCACGCCAATCGACCTAAAGGACGCGCGATTCAGCATGTACCCATACATCCCTCGCTCAAGCAGTACCTCCGCCCTCTCTTACCACGGGATGTATTACCATTCAGGGTGCTCCCCTTCGCATATCGACTGCCCCAAGGGTGTTCACCAAGCTCATGTTAGTCCCAGCTACCCTAGCTTCATCGCAAGGAAGGCGTTGTTACCCTTACCTAGACGACTGGTTGCTCGGAGCACTAATCGACAGCCAGCTTGAAGTCAAGATGCTACTCACACAGTGATAGACATTCTAACTTCGACTGGGGTGGATCATCAACCTCAAGAAATCCGACCTGGTACCCACCCAGGACTTGGTTTTTCTTGGAGCCGCCGATTCCAAACGAACAAGGATCTCGCTTTCCTTGTCGCCCGACCGGGTCACCAGAGTTCGGGAGATGGTATCTTCATTCCTCTCTCCAGCCCCAGGCACCAGCTCGGGACTTGGGCTCGTCTACTGGGCCATATGGCGGCGACGCATCTCTGTAGTGTGGGCGGGCGGTTGAGGATGCGCCCCATACAGCAAGCTTTGGCTGGGCTGTGGACTCACACGGAGGATCTGGAGCGCCAGTCTCCACAGTCCCCGAAAGTGGTTGACACCTCACCTTCAGTGGTGGACAAATGTCGGGAATCTCACCAGGGGTTCCCTTGGAAATCCCGGACGCCAGCTCTCACAGTTCAGACAGATGCGTCCCTCACGGGCTGGGGGCGTTCTGGGCAGTCTGTCGGCTTCGGACTCTGGTCCGGCGAAGCTCACCTTCACATCAGCGTGTTGGAGCTGAGAGCTGTGCGGTTGGTATTCGAAAGCCAGAGAGCATGTCCGTGGCCAGGTAGTCCGCCTTCAGTTAGACAACCAGACGGCCATGTCGCGACATCCTGAAGCAGGGAGGCACGGTGTCCCCAGCGCCTCCGAAGCGTGGGACTTTCTCCTCTGGAGCCACCAGTGCGCATTGTCAGGTACTCCCTGTTTATCTCCGGGCTGGAGAACGTATGAGCAGATCGGCTCTCGCCGGATCCTGGCCCCGCGACGTAGTGGATGCTCGACAGGCAGATATTCACAGTAATCTCCCAGTTGTACGGGTCGCTCGAGGTGGATCTGTTTATGCGCCCGGCGGGACGCATCAGACACCCGTGTTCTGCTCTCGGATACGGACCAGAGGCGCTGGCTGCCGACGCCTTCCTGCTGGATTGGACGGGCAAAGTGCTCTGGGCGCTCCCGCCGTTACCACTCTCATTCTCGCCGTGTCCTTTCACAGCTGTCCACCCAGCCAGCTCGGCTACTTGTGCTACTGGCACCGCTTTGGCCGTCACAGAGCTGGTTTCCGTAATTCTCAGGTTTCTGGCTCAGCCTCCTGTTCCCATTACCTTTGCTGACCGGACATTCTCACTCAGAACGGAGCCCACCCAAATCCACGGATTCAGTGGGTGGCTTGGCCTCTGTCAGGTCTAACCTCGAGGCACGCTGGAATTCCTGCAGCAGTTGCAGACACAACCCTGGCTTCGAGTATGGATTCGACAAACGCTCAGTATGAGGATAGGTGGTCCCGCCATGCCGCTGGTGTTCAGATAGGGGCATTGCAGATCCCCTTTTCGCGGATTTAGTCCGAAAGTATTGGAGTTTTGCAAGCTCGCTTGGAAGAAGGCCTGGCGGCTTCACCATTCGTGGCTACTCCACCGCTATTTCCACTTTTCACACCCCTGTCGATGGTGCTCTTCTGGGGCAGCACCCTCTCGCATAGCGCTTAGCTGGCGCTGAACGGATTCGACTCTGCTCTCAGGCTAACCAGTCCACCTTGGGATTTGTCGATCGTGCTCGATTGGCTGTCCGTCCCACTTTCTCACACCTATCGGCTATTTCCATTCAGTTGTTGACCTGGAAAGCTGTGTTTCTGGTGGCGGTAACATCTGGTCGAAGAGTCGGCGATATACATGCTATGTCGCCCGACCGGGCGCTGACTGTGTTTCACACGGATCGTGTCAGCATTCGCCTCCCAGATACTTACCGACCGAAGGTCGACCACGCTTTCCATGTGACAGCTCCTATCGAACTTCCTACTCTTACCCAGCCTTCCACATCGGGACCACTCCCCACGCAGCACTCACCCGCTGGATGTCCGTGAAGACGCCAAAGTCTATATCAAACTAACGAGGGGATCCGTGACGGGTACCCAGCTGTTCTGTTGTTACGTATGGAAGAAGGTTGGTCTGCCAGCGAGCAAGCAAACTTTGTCTCGCTGGCTTGTTTCGTATTTGTGCCGCTTTATCAGGCTAAGGGCAAGCCTCCCCTGAGGGGTTGAAGGCTCACCGGTCAGGGCAGTAGCCGATCAAAGCTTTTGCAGCCGCACTCCCCATTGAAGAGATCTGCTCTGCCGCTATTTGGAGCCGCCAAGCACTTTTATACGCCATTATCAGCTCGATACACATTCACGCTAATCGCGGCGAAGCTTTGGTCGCATCGTTTTCCAGTGGACAGTGTCCTGCCACCCTGACCAAGTGAGTCTTGGTTTATTGGTTTGTGTTGACGCTACTGTACAATGATTCCATTATTGACATGTCTGCTACGAAAGCACTCAGAGAACCTGTACCCCTTCGATTCTCTAAGGAGTTACGATATCGCTAGTGAGTGGTATTTTTGTTTTCCCCACGGTGCTCTCAATGAAGAAGCCACTTAGTGGGTCGGATTTCACTGACATTCGTGACCACGCGGCAATGTCTCATTATGCTAGAGGTCGCCTTTGAGCACAAATCCTCCCTGTCAGTTCCCTCCCATAATGCCTCTCTCGAAGCTTAAACTGGGTCGAGTGACAGGTGAGTGTTATGGCTGCCTGTTCAATTTTTTTCCATGATACGATCGCTATATTTTGTGTGTGCTTGACAGAATTCCCTCCTCCCTGGCCTCCGGGTCTTTGGGAGTCTGTGTTTATGATAATATGTACCCCAAGGACTATCTCTCTGAAAAGAATTTTCCAAACCTGCAGAGGTTTTCAATTCTTTGAAGAGAGTCGCCCTGGGGTAGGGCCCACCCACCTCCCCGCAATTCTGTTCACTGATGAGAATTCAGCAGAAGGAATGATGATACGGGTCTAGGAGCCTACCCAGTTGAAAGCATGCTTAAGGGAGGTAACTCCGTGAGGTAGGGTCCCAGATAATAAATAAAAGAGTTTATTTATTGTACAATCTTTTATTCAAAAAACATTGATACAACTGTCACAGGACATTTTACAGCCGAAAATGCATAATATGTACCCCAAGGACTCTACTCTCTTCAAAGAATTGAAAACCTCTGCAGGTTTGGAAAAATTTCAAAATCTCATCCGTCTCAATACCCGGACCGTTATGATCATGTGACTAATAGATTAAAACATTGTAATATGTTATACTTTCTTGATTAAAAGGTTGTATTGTCTTTGAAGATTTAGACATAATTTACAGTCACCTGTTTTGAATATAATTTATGGTTAAGATATTGAAAAACTCGAAATTTTAGCCTCCGGGCTGAAGAACATATTGCCATTTCTTACAAATTTGATGTCAGGAATTAACATGACGGGTAACAGGGTAGGGTAGAGTTATAGGGGGTGGGGTACTCAAGTAGAAAATTTTGACCTGACCCAGCCCTATTACACACTGATACTGACAGTGGATATGTGCATCTGCATCTATACATTCACATCTACTATATTCCTGAAATATCTTCAGAGTTGGGAGAAGATTCTGAGAAGTGACCATGACTAAAAACTACATCACACAAAAGATAATGTACTATGTGAGCAAAAGATAAAAACTAGTAAATATGTTAGATTTCATTCTTCTTTAGTGGCAGGGGACATTGCCGTGTTAGTGGCAAACACTGGTTTTGCACTGCATTCAACCATAGTCATGGGAAGCTGTAATTAACTGTCTGTGGCAGACAAATCAGTGGTTGATGTTATGAGCGACATTTCACACTTACAAAGTATGAGGTGTGTAATCAACCCTCTAGACAGGGATCAACATTGTTAGCAATCTACCACTGGTTTGTTTGAGCAAGATCTTCATTTCAGGTCCTATGTGCATCCTTAAACGTAATATGTGTCACAGATCTGTGTATGTAATGTGTTCATGTTTCAGGCATTGTATGAGCAGTCGCTGCACATCAAGTCTGCCATTCCCCACCCTCTCATCATGGGAGTCATCAGAGGTGAGACTTTCCTGTAACAATCATTTAAGAACAGTCACTCTATGAGTGAAATAGTGTTGATGTGGCTAAATGTTTCACTCATCGAACATGCCCTGAGCTCAATATTCACAACTTGAACTTGGCTATCAAAGACAACAATCACACAATAAATTGTTTCCTTTACTTTCATGCTTTCAGCATTAAATTGGCATTTTTCTGGTTCCAACTCAGCAGTCTTAACACTTTCAACTATTGTTCCTACTATAAATAGCTTCCAATCAAGTACTGTTACAAGTAGTATATAGGGGTGATTGGGTAGCCTTGTGGTTAAAGCGTTCACTCATCACGCTGAATGGGTACGATGTGTGAAGCCCATTTCTGGTGTCCCCCTGTTGTGATATTGCTGGAATATTGTTAAAAGCCGCGTAAAACCATACTCACTCACTCAGTAGTATATTACTATTATTAGTGCTTACTCTATTTGGGGGTGGTGGTGGTGGGGTAGCCTAGTGGTTAAAGCGTTGGCTCGTCACACCGAAGACCCGGGTTCGAATCCCCACATGGGTAAAATGTGTGAAGCCCATTTCTGGTGTCCCCAGCTGTGATGTTGCTGGAATATTGCTAAAAGCGGCGTAAAACCAAACTCAGTCAGTCAGTCTATTTGGGTGATCAGAGTGATCATGTTCATTCCAGAGTGCGGAGGCAAGATGCACTTGAGAGAAGGGGAGTACGAAAAAGCCCATACTGACTTTTTTGAAGCTTTCAAGAATTATGACGAGTCTGGAAGTCCAAGGTAACAAATACTTTCAACATGTTTTAATTTTAATGTCTATCTCATTATTTCGAAAATGTCTCTTGCTGCCGATAGGCGTGCGCTCGTCACGCTGAGGACCCGGGTTCAATTCCCCACATGGGTACAATGTGTGAAGCCCATTTCTGGTGTCCCCCATCATGATATTGCTGCCATATTGTTAAAACAGCGTAAAACTCAACTCTCTCACTCTTGCTGCTGATATTAGCCGACAGACTAGATAAGATTCATCAAGCTAATGTCATGTTTACTTTTTGTTCATATTTAACAAATCTGCAGAATTTCCTTTGTAAGTGAGGTCTTATTGGTTTCAGGAGAACGACTTGCTTGAAGTATCTGGTGCTAGCAAACATGTTGATGAAGTCGGGAATCAATCCATTCGACTCCCAGGAAACCAAACCCTATAAGAATGATCCAGAAATCTTAGCTATGACAAACCTAGTTAGGTGAGTCTGCCGGCTTATGAACATGATGAAAGGGAAAGTAGAACTTGTTTGTAAATGATGGTAGAGGCATGGCATCAAGACATACAGACAATCTCTTACAGATAATAGGCCACTTATATAGGGCAAGACTCCATGCACACCAGTGATGCATACTTTTTAAAACATATCACTTTAATACCTGGTCAGTGGTTGCATGAAGTTGCATTTTCATCTCATGGGGATTCAAGGTATGAATAGAATCCCCTTCCCTAAATGGATTGGTTGTCAATCTCAGGGACTTGCTTGAATGCATGTCGCTGTGTCGTCTCTTTGTCCGTCAATGCTTATGATGTCAGTCACTGAATTATCTAGTCCACATGCAACTAACATGTGCCTTGTATATTACTGCATTCAACATATTCAGTAACAAAATCATACTCAGCTCCCTGAGAATCATACCACCTTTTCACTATTAATCAACACTGTTTATCCATATCTGAAAGATCTTTGATATACTTCTGTTCACAACTTGTGGTTTTCTTTTTCAGTGCTTACCAAAATAATGACATCAATGAATTTGAAAAAATATTGAAAACAAACAGGAAAAATATAATGGAAGATCCCTTCATCAGAGAACATATTGAAGGCAAGTACTGCTCTGTATTACGATTATGGCGTGTGGCCTGTGCAGAGAGCTCAGGCCACAAATCAGTTGAAGGTAAGCAACATCGAGTTCAGACAGTCCTTGGATGGGTGACAGTGTTTGGCAGCTTGACACCTGAGAGTTTCTCGGACTTCAGTCCTGCCCCACAATGAAGCACATGTGATACATGTGGTCTCACCTTAGGTACATGAGTTTGTTAAAAATTGCCTCTGTTCACTCAGCAGAAAATGGGTACCCGGTTGGATAAAGTCATGTGACCATAACCTTCTAGCGCCTAACAGGCAGCTTGGGGTATCCGGAGTAAGATTCTGATTAAGCATCGCGAGCAATCACTTGGTGTTTGGAGACTGTGCGCTATAGAAGATGACTCATTATTATTATGTGTTTCTTATGTATGCAATGCAAAAAGTGTAGTGTACAGAGCTATGTTTTGTATGTTGAGTACATCAGACATCATGCATGTGATAGCATCACCAGTAGAAGGCCTTCACTATGTCATTTGATGTCATTTTGTTTTCAGATCTTCTTCGGAATATCAGAACACAGGTTTTAATCAAGCTTATCAAGCCTTACACACGAATTCACATACCATTTGTATCTAAGGTGAGAATACAGTCTTACACATGAAAATGTGTATACACAAAGTAGCTTTCTCATTATCAGTTGCATTTTGGGAGATCAGAGTTAGTTTTTGATATTGATATGGTTTATATGCCTCGATCTGATATTTCTGAAACTGTCATGTGTTTGTGTGAATGGTGATTGGAAGGGCACAATGGCTGCTGATTGTAGGCAGAACATGGAATGGTGACCACCTCAGTGGATTAGGTCTCAGCTCTGATGAAGCTACTGAATTGTCTTGGAACAGCATTAAGTTGGAGCTGAGAGGTTTTACTTGCTTGTAATTTGTAGACTGTGATTGTCACTTGTACCTCAAACGTTACCCAAAGTAACTCACTCACTCACTGTACTTACAGGAACTGAATATTGATGCCACAGAGGTAGAGAACCTCCTTGTCTCCTGCATCCTAGACAGGTGAGTTGTCTTGCACTAAGACAGATGGGTCAGTTGTCCGCCCAGTCATTATACAACTCTTCAGAAGACACCTGGCTAGCTATTCTCGAAACGTTCGTAGCCCTACGAACTTCTTAAGCCCATTCTTAACACATTGGCTACGATCAAAGTTAAGAATTCTTAGGGCTAACGTTCGAGAATAAGTCTAGTCTCATGTTCAAGAAAACGTTCATGATGGTACCTATTGAAAAAAACTTTGGATGTGACAAACTCCACCAAATGCCTTAATAAAAAAATGTTTGTCAAAAAAACAAAATTGTTCAAATGGTATGAAATAGCACAATAAAGTCATCCAAATTTCTATATATAACTTTTTACAGGGACAGGTCACAAGTCGAGACATCAGTTTCACTTGGCTTTAGTCCTGAGTGGTTCAGCACACTGATACCAATGTGTTTGTTTTGGCAGCACCATCAAGGGGAGTATTGACCAGGTGAACCAAGTGCTGGAGTTGTCCCAGGAGGCCAGCAGTCTGGCAGCACGCTACTCCGCCCTGGAGAAGTGGACCAGCCAGCTCCACAACCTACATCAAGCTGTCATCAACAAGATCGCATGAGGCGCACACTAACTGTGCTGCATGGCTACTTAGGGACTGGCTGACTAACAAACTGAAACCAGCCATGTTGTTGTGATTCCAGGAACTGAGATAGATGTGTCATCTGTGACTGACGTAATTTCATCTAGAGGATTCACTTACAATAACAGTTCTAACTTCTGGAAATGAGTCTTTCTGGCTTGATTTCCTACTTAAGCACACAGAATGTGACTTTTCTTTGTCCTGTAGATACAAGTGTCATGCACGTCACCAGGTATAAGTGACCTATTCTGGCAGTCTGTTATGGACATGATTCTGCCCAATACTACTTGCTGCTTCTTCCAGAGTTTTCTGTGTATGAAGAAGAAACACAAAGGCGAATAATTGGATCTTTGTTGTGTACCCGGTACAAAGAATGTTTCAAAATATTGGATAACGCAAGGGAATAAAGTGATGTTTTCTATTTACAAATATCTTGTGACTTGTTGGGGAGTTTCATATTTGGCTCTTGGATTAATCATTCATTTATGACAGTTTTTACCACACTAATCGCTTTTTGTGAGTATTATATTATGTACATATACAAGATTAAGTATTAATATATCACACAGGTGTTTTGTATTAATTACCGACCTGTTTGGAACAGCTTATGTAATGACACATAATACTAATGTGAATAGAACCAGGGTATCTCACACCGAATATGATATAACAAGACTTTAGTTAAGTTTTGACTGCCATTTTCAAACATAAATTCCTGAAAGCGTGTGAGATCCATCCTTGAAAGTATGCTGCCAGTGTCAAGCAGTTTTATAGCAGATGTCTCTGTCTTTTTCACAGCATGGATGTTGCATGTGTTCCATGCTGTGTGATGGGATGGGTCATGTAGTAGGTACACCCATCTGCCGTGGCAGTCTGCTGGGCTGGGAGGAAGGTCAAATCCACTCTGCTGATGCGGTGACTCCGCCCCTGGGTTGGCTCCAGTTGCAGGTCTTCCTTGACAAGATGGCCAACATGGTCGGCAATACCCAGACATCCAGACAGGCCGGTGGAACGAATTCCACCAACTGTGATCCACTGTCTGGAACATAGAATAAGAGTCATATCTATTTTCTATGAATTAGTGGTTGGATGTCTGATCAGGCCAAATGAGACTCCACCTAACATAGTGTTGACTAGGGTCTCAGTCTCAGCAGACAAATAAAAAGAGGTAAATGTTGTTTAATGAGGCAGTAATATTTCAAGTATATCACAGGAGCCTGTAAATTGAATACCTAGCTACTACACAAAAAGGTGATGAGTGACTACCTTGTTTGGTCGCTGGTGATCTGATAATCCTTAAACTGGGTGGCAGGCCTCACACCAGTGTATTCTCCGATGACATCACAGCCGATCAGGTTTGGAATTGTCTTTTGGGCATGATGGAGGAGCCTGGCCTTAATGAGTGGGTCAGGTGCTGGAATGGAGCGCTCCACCACATCCTCCGCTGTGGGGCCGATGATTAGATTGTTGTACACTGGAAAACAACGCAGGTACATCTGAGAAATTTATGACATAAATAAGTTGTGTGATTATCTAACGGTATGTAGACGGAGTAGGGTTGAGAGTATGTTGTAGGAGAGGGAGGTGCAAAGAAGTGGAGGCTGCTGGTGGGGGAGGAAGGGATGGGGAGTCCAAGCAGCTGGTTGGGGGGTTCGAGTTACTGGTCAAGGGGGAGGGACAGGGGTGTGGAAACTGCTGGAGGAAGAGTCAGGGCTACTGGTTTGGGGTGATGGGGGGAGGAGGAGGAATGGGCAAGTACAGGCTACTGGTTTGGAGAGAGGAGTATAGAGTACTGGGGGAAGGGAATTGATGTGGGCGATAAGTAAGTGAAGCACCAGATATTCAGTGAGAAAGTTTCAAATGTACTGAACTTACCAGATTTGAAAGCTATGACACCTTTCGTTTTGTCTGTTGGAACTGGGAGAATGCTGGAGTTGATGAGACTCCCTTTGTGTGAGCCATACACAATGTACTGCCCCTTCCTGGGCCTGATGCTGGAACAGTAGGGATGTTGCTCATGATTCCATCACAGTTATCACAATATACCATATATAACTGCAGATGCATGGATCAATGTGGATTTGTTGACTTTCTACTTCCGATGAGGAGAAAATGAACAAAGGTTGTTGCTTCGGCTTTTGTATGGAACATTTTGAGTGATATGTCAACAATAATACTTGGACTCACTGGAAGTCATGTTTCCCTGCCAACTTGTCCACTTCATCACCATGGAGACCAGCACAGTTGATGACAGCCTTGCACTTTAAGGTGTTTTTATTAGTTGTGACAGTCCAGGAGCCATAGCTTTGTCTACTGCATGAAAGAACCTTGCAGTTTGTCCATACCTACAGAAATTGACCACAACAAACTGAAACCTTTCCATCTGTCCACACTGACCTCATTATCCAGTATACTGGCTGTCGTTGAAAGAGTGTACACTTAAGCAATACCAAATTTCACAAGAAAACAGGAAGTGGTCCTAAAATATATTGTGTATGTGTAAAATTTCGGATTTTTAAGGAGAAATATTTACATCGTTGAAATGTGGAAAATGTGATCATGTAGTTTTAATACTAATAGTGCAAGAGCTTTTGGCACTTCAAAGTATGGAGATAAGTGGTTTCCAGTTCTGTTTACATCTGTGTATCCACAACTGGTATGCTCCTTGCATCATGTCAAATCACAAATAGTCATGCAATAATAGTAACAATGATATTTCTCAAAACACTTTGCATAAAGGACTTCAGTGTGTAACAGTTCACTTAAAATATTACAATCAACATAACTGACATACTGTTTTGGACACTGTTGAGAGGTGTGGTTACACTCACCTGAGCCCCCTGCCTGCGGGAGTGATGAAGAAGAGCTACAGGCACATGCCAGGGATCGACAATTGTCTCCCCTGGAATCCACAGAGCTGAGTGGGCTTGTCTACAAAGGTTGGGTTCCATCTGGTACAGTTCGGAGGCTGTGATGTTGTAAATGTCAGGAATATGTTTGTCTTCAGACATTTTCTGTATCTCCTGGAGTTTCTGCCCCTTTTACAGAAATATACACTTGTACATTTCTCCATGACGTCATGGATATAGCTGCCCCTATCTGGTATTACTTCCCCTGTAAACACTGGTGTCCCTGTTGGACTTGAGCAGTGTATTTTTTACCATCCCTGGTAGTACCTGTATATTATCCCATGCCATTATTGGTAGTGCCTGTATATTATCCCATGCCATTATTGGTAGTGCCTGTATATTATCCCATGCCATTATTGGTAGTGCATATATATTTTACCCCTTGCCATTACTGGTAGTGCCTGTATATTATCCCATGCCGTCCCTGGTAGTACCTGTATATTATCCCAAGACATTATTGGTAGTGTCTGTATATTATCCCATGCCATTATTGGCATTACCTGTATATTGTCTCGTGTCATCCCTTGTAGTACCTGTATATTGTCCCATACCTTTATTGGTAGTGCCCGTATATTGTCCCATACCTTTATTGGTAGTGCCTGTGTATTGTCCAATACCTTTATTAGAAGTGCCTGTATATTGTCCCATCCTTTTATTGGTAGTGTTTGTATATTGTCCCATACCTTTATTGGTAGTGCCAGTATTTTGTCCCATACCTTTATTGGTAGTGCTTATATATTGTCTCATACCTTTATTGGTAGTTCTTGTATATTGTCCCATACCTTTATTGGTAGTGCCTTGTATATTGTCCCATACCTTTATTGGTAGTGCCCGTATATTGTCCCATACCTTTATTGGTAGTGCCAGTATATTGTCCCATACCTTTATTGGTAGTGCCTGTATATTGTCCCATATATTGTCGTATATTGTCCCATACCTTTATTATTGGTAGTGCATACCTTTATTATATTGTCCCATACCTTTATTGGTAGTGCCCATACCTTTATTGTTGTCTCATACCTTTATTGGTAGTGCCTGTATATTGTCCCATACCTTTATTTATTGGTAGTGCCTGTATATTGTCCCATACCTTTATTGGTAGTGCCCAATACCTATATTGTCCCATACCTTTATTGGTAGTGCCTTGTATATTGTAGTGCCCATATATTGTCATACCTTTATTGGTAGTGTCCCATACCTTTATTATATTAGTGCTTGTATATTGTCCCATACCTTTATTGGTAGTGCTGTATATTGTCTCATACCTTTATTGGTAGTGCTTGTATATTGTCCCATACCCCAGTATATTGTCCCATCTTATTGGTATACCTTTATTGGTAGTGCTTGTATATTGTCCCATACCCATATATTGTCTCATACCTTTATTGGTAGTGCCCTTCATATATTGTCTCATACCATTGGTAGTTTATTGTTGGTACCTTTATTGCTCATGTCCCATATTGTACCTTTCATATATTGTCCCATACCTTTATTGGTAGTGCCTGTATATTGTCCCATACCTTTATTGGTAGTGCCTGTATATTGTCCCATACCTTTATTGGTAGTGCCAGCATATTGTCCAATACCTTTATTGGTAGTGCCTGTATATTGTCCCTTACCTTTATTGTTAGTGCTTGTATATTGTCCCATACCTTTATTGGTAGTGCCCATATATTGTCCCATACCTTTATTGGTAGTGCTTGTATATTGTCCCATACCTTTATTGGTAGTGCCGGTATATTGTCCCATACCTTTATTGGTAGTGCCCGTATATTGCCCCATACCTTTATTGGTAGTGCCGGTATATTGTCCCATACCTTTATTGGTAGTGCCCATATATTGTCTCATATCTTTATTGGTAGTGCTTGTATATTGTCCCATACCTTTATTGGTAGTGCCAGTATTTTGTCCCATACCTTTATCCCATACCTTTATTGGTATTGCCCATATATTGTCTCATACCTTTTATGGTAGTGCCCATATATTGTCTCATACCTTTATTGGTAGTGCTTGTATATTGTCCCATGCCATTATTGGTAGTGCCTGTATATTTTCCTATACCATTCCTGGTAGTACCTGAACATTATCCCATGCCATCCCTGGTAGTACCTGAACATTATCCCATGCCATTCCTGGTAGTACCTGAATATTATCCCATGCCACCATGCTTGCCCCAAGCCTTGTATATGGCACCCCCAGCTTGTCCAAGGTGTGGTAGATCCTCTGCTGACACAGTTTGATGCAGGTCAGCTCCAGGCTCCCTTGTGGAGCATCAAACCCTGTGTGGAGCATGCCGCTGACAGCATCAGGGTTGTTAGGATCAAATAAATATAAAGTTAATAATTGCAGATTTCTCTGCTGAGAATATTTACACATGATTATGCCTACTACATTACTGGATTCAACCTTAAAAGGGACACTGATCCCGAAAGCAACTAATGTTTTGCTCCAACAATCTTATCACATCATTTAGCTGCCAGGTGGTCAGTCCCTGCTCCCTCGAACATGATGGACACGGGGACTGGACAGCTGTCCACATTGGCAAATTTCTTTAACCTAAACAATGGAACAATAACAACAGTTGATGCCCATCAGATGGCGTTATTTGAAAATATCCCTGGTGGTTCCAGTCTGATTGTGATAAAGTATCCCAGCAGTGTAAGCTTTTCCAGATTTTCTAATGTGTGGATGGTAGGATAACTGATCCAATTTGATCCTATTAGCATTTCTATGTTTTTACCACGTTATTTAATCATGTCACGTAACAATGTGATGTCTATTGAACTATGATATTTCATTTGTTTGAATCCCTAAACTAAATCAACCCCACTTTGCCATTGTAGAAAATTCTGAAAAGTGACTAATAGGTAAATATAGGTATACTGGCTAGCGAACAGTTATTGCCAATACATCAGTATCACACGTGCGCAGTTCCCATCAATTACAATGATGGTAATTTTTCCCACGGTATTTGATAACTTTTGATAAAGGAAAGCAAAAGAACATTCTTCATGGTAAGTAACATAAGAGAAAAATTAAAGGTAAAGTTATGGACTCTATAAAATGTTTTTAACTCAGTCGGTGGGTTGTCACACTTTAAGCAAGTTCAAGTTCATAAGTCCTTAATTGTTTCATTCCCTATCAATCTACTGTAAAATAAACACTCAAATAGTCACACAATCAATGATTTGAGGTTGTATGATATAAATATATATATTACTTCACGAATACAGAGACCATATATGGTCTCTGACGAATAGCATGAGAACTTCGGGAATGGCGATAACTGTCACAGTTAGTTGTGAGAAAACATCTATTTATACTGCCATGTTTACCTTCTGCCGCGTTTTATAAAAACTTGATCAGCGGCAGTGACGGGCTGGACACATCGGTGAATAGCTAAATTAGTATCCTAATTAATTCTGATTCATAATTTAACGAACGGTGGAGTAATTTTATAAATACCGATAAAATATGGCGATAACTGTTCGGTAGCCAGTATACAGTTTAACTAAGCACACAGCAAATGCTTATATATGCATTTTTATGCAACAATGAAGTTGTGTTCGTATCCTCAAAACAGTGTTGACCCCTACGATTTTGTAGGCAATCTAAATTGCATGCAATAGAGCCAGCAGCTGAGGTCGCGACCCAGTCAAGATTTCTGTGATATCATCCGGGTAGTTGCGAGGGAAGAAACAATAACAAAAGCAACAACCAGTCACGGGAATGGCTCTGGATCAGTGTCCCTTTAAATTTCGACGTAGTGGACTGGATGGATTCGTTGACCAGTCATATACATTCCACACTACAACCGATCTTACCTACCTCTGTTGGTCACCATAGTGTAAATGTAATGTATCAACGTATTTTTAAAACGTTTAGTGTATAAATGACTTGTTACGAGACTGTACCTGTTGCCGGAGCTGGCTTCGCTGAGGACGTTATCATTCTTCTCAAGTAAGGCGCAGCTGTATCCCATATTCGCGAGGTGGAAGGCTGTAGCACAGCCCACGACCCCACCCCCAATTAGGATCACGTCAAACACCTCACCTTCTGCCATGTTGCACACACTTATATTCGTATCTGAACAACTGCGTCGCTTCCACGCCGGGTCACGTGACACAGTTTTTTTATGCGTAAACATACAGAGGAATGGAAACTCGTTTCCGCTATAATTACTATTATAAACTCGAATTGATTCAGAGAAATGCATGTATATCGTCATCGTCTAAACAACTCGAGGCCGCCAAAAGACAGTGGCAATGAGCATGATTGTCGCTGTGTGTGTGTGTGTGTGCGTGCGTGTGTGTGTGGTGGGGGGATGATACATGTCTTAATTGCATATATACTTTCATTCTGTTCGGTCCGGTCCTCCAAGCTCAACAGAAAAAAATACTGAACGAAATAAACATGCTATGAACCTCAGCGAAAACATTGTTTCACATAACAGTCACCATTACGTCATAATTGATCAATAACTTAATATCAAGACTTGGTCTTGTTATTATGAGGGGGAAGGTTATTACATTTCAAGCCACGATGTGATGATCATACCCTGGATATTCCCTGCTTTGCCCTTTCTCCAGTTTGGATTGATAGGGGGTGAATATTACCACCATTGCCTTTATTGATACAATATCTACTCTCTATATATATTACTTCTGAATTTGTACTGCCACACAATTTTATACTGCCATAATATGATATCATTGAAGTGATTTGTGAACTTTTACTTTTAAGTTACTGTTAGAATAAAACTGTTAAGTATAGCACATTTCTTTGTTGTTCGTTGGTTTCACCCGTAGTTCTCTTACGGGATGATTCCTGGTTTACTTCACACGTAACAAAATGACAACAAGAATACCAGTTTTCAGCTAGTACTTATAATGTAATTATGTAAAATACAGTGTACACAATAGCATATCCATTCAAAGGCTTGGGTTTTCTAAATGTCAATCAAAGCCAGCAGAGAGTCCAACTCCCGCGACAACTCCTCCTGGGCTGCACGTCGTGCCGCCCTGTCCATCACTGGCCCAGCACTTGTTCCCCTAGCAACCTGGGAATCAGACTTACATTCAGTTCCAGAAATAATGTTTTCTTGGTTAAAAATAGGTTGTATATCTAGAAAAAGAAAATTTAATGAAATCCAAAAGGAGATGAGAACCAACACTAATCCCCTAGATTAAAGGAAATCGAGACTTGCCCAAGCATTCTAGATTTGAGTTGAACTCCTTTTAAAATATATCCCTTGGGTCTGGGAAACCTCGTGCCCTGACACGCCCTGATACTGTAGGCCCAGCAGGCCGGGGGTGGCTCTGAAGATGTGGTGGGTGACACTGCTGCAGACAGTCATGCAAAATGTGGTCGCTACGTGCATTTCTCTCCTCTATTCCGCATTATCCGCCCTAAGGGTACGTGGTACTATTCTGTAAGTCTGACTTTTGCATACATTCCCGTATACAGAAACGTACCTGAGGTACATATCCGCAGCAATCGTGCCGACAACAACCCATCCAGTCCTAACATTACACAAGGTTAAATGTCCCTGTTTCTCTGCGAAGAGAAACCTTGTGAATAGGAGTCCCAGTTTACTGAACCAAGGATATATGATATCTTTATATTTGCAAAGGCGTTTCCCTGCCCATGGAACTGAGAGAATAAATGTCAGCAGAAAGAGAGAAAGTAAGCATACGAAACTATTTGTTGTCCACATCCGTCTCAAAACGGAAACTGCAACTAGTTCTGGGGGGCAATTTCGTTTGTGTCAGATATAATACAATATATTTGCATTATATACTAGGCACATAAAGAAACTGTGCATACAAAAATTTAAAATCTAAATTTATCAAACCTGTGTAGACACATAAGGATTTAAACTCAGAGATTAGTGTCATGTATCCAACATGCATGCACGTGGGCCCTTGCGATCGTTCAAAAAATTAAACGGCTATTGAAACGCATAGCATGCCAAGGCTCACGTCTGCACAACGTCATGAGGCCATTGGGATGGTCCGTGGGGGAATGTCTCAACGACAAGTGGCTGCACATTTCCACTGCCACCGGAACACCATTTCTGCACTGGTGAGACGCTACCAGAACACAAATGACGTCATCGATCGGCCACGTTCTGGACGTCCACATGCAACAACGCCAAGACAGGACAGATGGATAAGGGTGACCCATCTTCGCCACAGGTTTCAGACTGCAGTGATGACTGCCCGAACCATCCCAGGACTTCGCCGTATCAACCCCAACACAGTTCGAGAACGTTTACGTCATCATGGGATCAGACCACGACGTCCCGCCATACGGCATATCCTGACACAACGTCATCGACAAGCTCGCCGAATGTGGTTCCGAAATCATGTCCGCAGACCCTTGTTTTGGTGGAGAAATGTTGTTTTTACAGATAAGTCCAGGTTAAACATTTCCTATAGTGATGGAAGTCAACGTGCCTATAGACGCGTGGGAGAACGTTATGCACAGGCCTGTGTCTTGGAGAGGAATCGCTTTGGTGGTGGTTCCGTGATGATTTGGGGTGTAATAACAGCACGCCAAAGAACTTGGTGATTGTTCAGGGCAACTTAACTGGTGTGGGCTACAGAGATCAGATTCTTCGACCTGTGGCACTTCCTTTTCTGCAACGTCCTGGGTTAACATTCCAACAGGACAATGCCCGCCCTCATACGGCGAGGGTTGCTATGGATTTCTTGCAACACCACAACGTTGACTTACTGCCTTGGCCTGCAAATTCACCGGATCTCTCCCGATAGAGCATGTTTGGGACGAGATGGATCGACGTCTACGCCGTCTTCCTCATCCGCCAGATAACGTCCTTGACCTTGCAACAGAACTTGAGAGAATCTGGCGTGGCATCCCACAAGCCTTCCTTGCACGTTTGATAGGCTCTATGCGTCGTCGATGCACTGCTGTTCAAAATGCCGTTGGTGGACATACCCGTTATTGAGCTTGTGACATGGTCGTTTGACCCCTGTCCCGCTTGTGGACTCGTGACGTCATTGTGATTGACTTTTCAATTGAAATTCTCTCGACTTGTTATGGTCTCATGATCCCTCCATTAAAGTTTATATGTACCTTTGACATTGTTATCGTACTTATCAACTGGGATAATATTTTGACAATGCACAGTTTCTTTATGTGGCTAGTATATTTCGGCTTGCAATTTCGACACGCAACACACATCTCTGTTGGTTGGAATATTGCAGATTGAAGAACAACATTCACCCACCAAACCCAACCAAAGCGGGTCAATAATAAATCATGGTGTATTGGGCTCACCGATGTTGAGATCCTCGCTGAATCCTGTGCTGCGGTGAACTTTTCTAGAGTCTTATCGACAGCTGCATCGCCATTTTGGAGGGCCCTTCCGTCTGAAACACAAGTTTCAATCCTATCTAATATATTTGTAATTTTTATCAATCATTCTAATTTCTAAGTGTTTATCGTATCTTATTTATTGCCTGGCTAAAAAATTGAAACGATTGAAAATACCCGCTTCATTCTGCTAATTTCTGCGTTCCGTGAAATTATGAGGTACCCTCATTCTGCAAGCCAGGTAGATATTGTAATGCCCCATAGTTATAAAGCATGTACCATTCTGCATAGCTAAAAGTATATTAAAATGACGCACACGTTTGCTGAAGTCTTCAAATATAACAAACACCAATGGTTAATCGATGCTGATTTATGCGCATTCGATGCGTATAATTTAGACGGGTATCACAGTTGTGTATTAGTTGGTAATGTTGGATTGTTTCGGCGACAGTTTCCAGCCAAATAGGGTCTTATAAATAACGTTTGTATAAGTTTTAAGAGACATTTCTGCTTGCGTCTTGCTGATATAATTTTATCGTCTGCTGAGAGTTCTGCTCACATTGACTTTGTTGAAGTCCCATCTTGCAGTTCTCTTCCGAGTCCTCTCTTACATGGAACTTCCTCCGCGGCTCTTCCATGGCCTCCAGGTCCTGCAGCAGCTCCTCCAGTCCATCCAGAGGATCTGTGGGATGAGTCAGGATGGGCACGGTTTGTCCACGACTTCCACAGCCATCTTGACCAAAATAAAAACGTAATATTCTCTTTGCTATATATTATATGGGGTAACTGGAATTTGGTACAGTTTATGAATTCGAATACAAGGTAGAATGGAATGGGTTTGGTCCAGATATTCCACTGACCTACCTTTGGGTACAGTTGTTGTCTTGGGTATTTGACATGTGGTGTCTGTATATGTATTTACTTGGATTATAGGTTGTACATACATTTAATTTGTTTCTACCATAGCCATGCCCCAAACGGTCAACATACCCTGTCCAGTGTTTCTGGCTGTAGTCATCCTTTCTGTTGTCTTACTAGGGGATATTAGTAGGTCCCCCAATGAAGTTTTCGTTTCCACGGTCCTCGAGGTGCATGTATGGGCCCTGACCTTCCCTTGTGTTCCCGCACGTCCCGAGCTACATGGACCCGCCTCCACCTCGTTCTCGCTTCCACTCGTCCTCGTGCAGAAAGGAACTGATACCAGGACGTTTTGCTTCCTGTTATTTTTCTCGTTTCTGATACAGTCGTTGTTCAGCAGATTTACATTTCCTGATGAACAATGGCTCTTTGAGCTCCGATCAGTTTCCCGAACACAAGAACGTCCTACCAATGAACGTATAAGCCCCATTTCATAGTCCTCACGATTGTCAGGTGACGATGAACCGGATGCCTTGGACTTAAGAAGGATCTTGGGCTCGACACAGGCGGAATACTCTAGGACGGTATCATTGTCCACTGCTGTGACCTCTGATAGCACAACATCCCTTCTCTTACTCATACGCAAAGATTCCCTAGTCGGCAGTGTGTCATTTCCGGGGATCTTCGACTCATCTGCTGAGAACCCTTCCACGTCAATCTTCTTCTGGACACATCGCTTCCCACACTTCTTTCTTGACCTCTTCCGACAATTTTCACCTTTGTGTTTGGACGAACCTCTCTCTGGCACTATACACACGACACAAAACAAACACCGGTGTAAAGGAGTAGCTGGAGTCGTACATGCTGTGTATGAATTAATTTTGAAAGGTCACTGGCCAGGAGGGCTAGTTAAATAAAAATGTTGCTAGCCCACACCATACTTCAAAATGTATGCCCTGCAAAATATCAATAACAAAATGCACATCGGTCAGAATTGGTGTGATGTCAAACGTTACATTTGTATTGCAATGGTTCCTGACCTCTTTTGCGCAACGCTATTAACATTGTTTATATACCGATCTTCCTGTGACAAGAGATAATAAATGTCACGAAACTTTTGCAGACTGACTTTTAACACCTTAATAATTCACATCATCATATTCATGTGCATTAAATAAAGAACAAATTATCTGAGATTTTCTGTTGGCCAATCGGGATTATATACTGAAAGGCAAAAGAAATGTCGTAATATTGGAAATGACATTTAAGTATCAATGGAACATTTGAACCTATTTTTTAAATAATACGCCACTGAAATGCAGTACCGACTTTCATCAGAGAAGAAAACCCCTCTCCATTGTCCCCCACGACAGTTTTGCCGCTGTTGTGTCCACTTCGATACGTTCCCGGCGGTGACGTTGGGTGAATATTGGTCTCCTGGCAGGACATCGACAAAACAGGTTCCTGGCTTGGAGACGTCGCCGAATGGTAGGTCACTGTCTGGTCGCTGGTGGTTTCCTATGGTCACCCAAGCTGTGTCTCTGGCCCTTGCGAATAGGTCTTGCACGTGTTGATGGACGATATGACGGTCCTGGCGACGTGTTGTTACACGGGGTTGACCACTACGTGGACGGTCATCAGTGCTGCTGGTGGCGTTGTATCGCACTCTAAGACGTTCTATCGTTCGTACGCTGCAACTGAAGTCATTAGCAATGACTCGAGCATGTTGACCAGCGTGCAGACGTCCACTAGCTTGTTGTGGTTGATCTCTCGTTAACCTAGTCATAGCTGCTGTGTTCAGAAAACAAGTGAACGATTGCCATTCAAGCCGGCAATTTATGCCTGAATGCATTTATGATGCACGTGCATCTCGATTTCAATGTTGTGTTTGTGGGAACTTTTCCCTCTCCAAAAAACCAAAACATTTCTAACTTCAATCTCAAACAATACTTTATTGGGCAATGCAGGCTATACGACCACGATTCATGTTTCCTCAAACTTGACTTCTGGTGTATATTTAAAAAAATAGGTTCAAATACTCCATTGATACTCAAATGTCATTTCTAATATTACGACGTTTCTTTTGCCTTTCAGTATATTACTGGCCCGATCCACAATCAGCTAGCATTTGGCTAGCGGGCCAGTAGCTATTTCGAAAGTACATGTCATATGCCAGGCCACATGTTACGTCAAAACATGCTTCACTAGCATTCCATACATTATTAACAGTTATATTAGCCATTTATTTATATACCTCCCTCTCTGATATAACTGGACTGTTGCCTATAAAGCGGTGTAAAAAAACATATACCCACTCACATGGAACGTTCACGGGAAGCGTTGAGACCATGACGTGAGTTGTACCAGATACATACCACTGATGCCACTGTCTCTGTGTAGTTGTCTGTAGAGGTCGATGGCTCTATTCCCGGGTTCGGTATATGCATGGACGCCGTTCAGGTCGTTGTGAGTCGTCACCAGACTCCGAAACTGATCAACATTTGCACATGGCGTTTCAAACATAGTAATGTTAAAGATGGTGTACTCTTCGTGAATTAAATCTTAAGTGATGCCCATCGTGATGTTATTTTCAAGTTTTTCTCACTAATTATGTCTCGCCTTTTCTTGGTGTCTCCCACCATGATATTGGCGGAAGACTGCTATAAGAGGCGTTAAGCCATCATCAGTAGCTCACTCTTTCACTCATTGACTTACTGCTGAAGGGATCAAATACAATCGTGTTATGTTTCAGTAACATTAGTTGTGCACAATTGCCGAAAGAACTCACTACTTACAAATGAGGTCACCTTGGCTCCGACGCTGGAAGTCGACCTTGGCCTTGTGTGACGTTGTTGACCAGGCATCTTTTTTCACCTGTAATATACATCCATTATCGTGTTACCACCTTCGTATCTTGCAGCCATTCCGTAGCTTTCTATTATGTTTCATGTCTCCATTACTCTCCGTTTAGTTGTGTTAATGCACGACTTTGTATAACACGGTTTCTTAAAGTTATAATTTTTATGTAAACGGTGTGAACTTTCTAATGGACATAATGTTTACATGGGACACACTTTATTTTGCTTGAGATGTTGTTTATCCGCTGTACAGACATCCACTCAGCAATATTCCAGCTATATGGCGGCGGCTAAATAATCGAGTCTGGACCAGACAATCCAGGGATCAACAGCATGAACATCGATCTGCGCAATTGGGATACGATGACATGTGTCAACCAAGTCAGCGAGCCTGACCACCCGATCCCGTTAGTCGCCTCTTATGCCTAGCTATATTACCCGCGTGGTTTGGGAGCTTGTTTAAATAATTCCGTAGGGAAGTAAATAGAGAAAATACGACGTTTGGAATGGATGCGGCGCTAAACAGACCTTACCTCATGATGCCGTTTTGCGTTCATGTATAACTGTATTATGACGTCATTCGTCTGTCTATCACAGTCACGTGCTATTTTAGGTTGTATCACGTGGTTTCTCTGTTACATTTGTTAAAAGTTTCGCGTGTCATCGAGAGCTAATTAGGTTCATACATAAAAGAACCCAACAAAATGTTTGATAATAAAGTTCGGAGAATAAATTTATATTTTGATTGTCTTTCATAGATGAAATCCTCGCATGTTTACAGTGAGTGACTTTGGTTTTACGTCGCTTCACATGTTTACAAAACACACATATAACAATCATGTTATGGTGAATGCTGACTATATACTGATAGTGCTATTGGTTTAGGTAGGGGTTCAGGTAGTCTGTCATATAGACTAACAACTAGCCTCTGAAATGAACACATTTTACAGAAAAAAAAGCTCATAGTAAAAAAACTTAAAAATATAATGAAAAGGAGGCCTGAGACTTTCTTCATTTTCAGAAACTGGAAATCTTGACTTGCTACCAATTCTAGAATTGCGTGGGGTTTCTTGAATGTATTTGTTTCTGGGTCTGTAGACTATCTGACAGACTATCCGGCATACAGACTCTGAAAGAAAATATCCCAAAAAGTCTATGCAAGTCTAGAATATGTGGCTAGTCTAGATTACCACAGTTTCTGAAAAACGGCATCATGTCCCATGTAATGTAATGATGAAAGTCTCTGGGCTCCTTTTCATTAAAGTTTATAATTATAATTTGTGAACCGTTCTTTTTGTAGAATATGTTCATTTCAGAGACTAGATGTTAGTCTAGAGTTCAGGGATCCACACCCCCAGTGTATATAGGAATTAACACAGCAAGACACTTCTCGTCTGTTCTTATACCATTTCTAATTAATTTTAGTTATTTATAGATATCGTACAATATCACGCATGGGTATAAAACTAATACCACATAGTTTATTTATTTCATTTTACATACATATGTTTCACTTGTATGCATATTAACAATTTAGCAAAGAATACCTGTAAATAACGCAAGTCCTTCAGGAAACTGTTGGGTCGCGGTATGTATCACCTGGAGTAAATGTATTACCTCCCCTTGAAAAGGGCAAGTAATCCCTCATTACCAAAATGCCAATGCCAAGATGTGTTGATTCACACAGCTATTTTAAGAGGAATTTCACATCAGTTAATAATTCGTCACCACTGAATTTTGACATGAAAATTAACTGTATTATTTCAACGATGTGATTCCGAGGAACACACCAGCTCAAAGTTGGTAAGCCAGACGGAGGACATGTAATTTGATATGTTCATGATGTTCGAGATTGTTTATCTGTTTATCATGTCTGCTACTAGGGCTGTGTAGGAATCGATTCTCACTTTCATTCTCTGACAAACTTACACTGATAATATGCGGATTGTTACATCCACCAATAGGAAGACAAATATTCAAAGGCGTTAATTTGATCAGTTGAATCCATCTCTTGTTGAAAGTTTTGACAGCTCGATTCAACATGGTGTAATGACGCATGCCGGTGAGTGTTTAGGAGAGTGTGCATAATAATCATGCTACTTATCTATATCTAAATGCAAATGTGAATGGGGTTTAATTTCATATCCATGCTTAATTTGTGACTAATGAGGTAGTTTCACTGATAGAATTGGCTGAAATTTAGCACAGTCCTGCTTCCCTTATTCTGCCCTCTGGTCACTAATATATTGTGCAGCTTCTAGTCACACATTCATAACGTTCTGTAAACGTTCTGATGCAGATTTGGGGTGTGGGTAGCCTAAACGTTCGAAGACCCGGTTCGAATCCCGTTCTGGGCACAATGTGCAGCCCATTTTGGTGCACAGGCAGTCAGTCTGATGCAGATTTAGCACAGGCAGACCTAATCTTAGCCCTTCTGAACAAAAGAATATGATATTTGTTCACAGGTAGCTGTCAAATATTGTCAGTAATAGTACTACTTAGTGGAATGTTCAAGATGTTGAAGTGTCTTTGACTTAGGGGTGACCATTAGAGTGTGTGTACGTGTGTGGGGGTGGGATTTGTGTGTGTGTGTGTGTGGATTTTTTGCACCTTAAAACTTTACATTTGTCTTTATATGTCTAATTGCTTTAGACATGTGGACATGGTAGACACCTGACTAGTCACTATGTTAAGTGTACCCTTGTTTAGATGTTGAAATATGTTAAAGGTTCTATGTATTTAAAGTGTTTCAGTGACTAGTACACTGAGCTTCACTCAGCATGGATGTGACTGGACTGAGTCACATTGGGGATCCAGCCCAGCTGCCATCTTTCAAAGCTCTTCTTCGTGATGGTCCCGTGCCATCTACTGCTGCACTTGATGTCTTCATCACTGATCTGGATATTAGGCTGGACCAAAACTCAAAAGAGTAAACAAACTGTTTTTCATTTAACTTTCATATTTTGATACTCTCCTTCCAAAAGAAAAACCCATGCCCAACTTTGCTTGTGTTCAAAGAATACCTTGTGAAACATGTGAAGGGTCACTTAAAGTGTTATGTTAAATGTCATGTTATTGTCAGTTTGTGAGGTCATTACTAAAAAAGCCATTGTTTTGGACTACCCACTAAAACCTGCAAGATGTCTGACTGAAGACAGATGGACTCTGACAGTTATAAGTATCCAGCCATGCATGTGAGGGGACGTACTACACACCATATCTTCTGTCCATCCATGGTCATTTAATCATGGTTTTAGGTTGGGAAACACAAAACCCAACCAAATTATTCCTCAAGTTCATGTACATATTTGACTTTGTATGTTGTTGCCAGGGACAGAAATGATGGCCAGTTTTGAAAGAATGTTTTTCCACCTGTGAAAATATTTTCTGTGCTTTTCTAAACAGTTTTACAAATGAAATATTGTTTCATTGGTATCCTTGTAATGGTTTTCTGACACGTAAGAAACATACATTGTTTACTCGCTGACCTAATCAATTGTGAAACATTTCATAAACTTATGAAAGACAACACAATCATAAAAACAAACTATCATTCAAATATTTTCATGATGCAACACACCTTGTTACAACTGAAATAAACACTGCTGTCAGAAAACACATGATAACTGAAAACATAATTGTATGATGTGTGCTGCTCCAGGCTGGATGTGTGCCTCCAGTCTGTGCTAGACTTCACGAATGACCTCCCAGGAAGCAAGTGTTTCACGTCTCCCAAGGAGGGCCTTGCTCACATGCACAACAGCCATGTGTTAGAGAAGGACTCCTGCTATGACCCAGAGATGGAAGATGTAATGGCAATGCTCACTTATCTAGTAAGTCAGTTTGACATGGAACTCAATAAATCTTCACGGATAGGTGACATGCAGTAGCGCATGCTGGGATGTAGTTTGGAGTTGTCTGGTGTTTCATATTGTTTATGAATATTCAGTTGGGTACATATAACAGCAAACTTGGTGGGATCATGCTTAGCCCCACTCCAGTCATCACCCCTGATTACCGTCTTCTACAATATGAAACAAGTGCCCCATGCTACATGCACTAAGCTCTCAAATGTACATGACAGTTCATATTTTCTTGTGTATTCAACGAATTGTTTCACTGAAAACACAGCAAAGGATGATATGTATATGCATGATATAATTGGCCAGTGCCTGTTATCAAAAACATCTGAGGGGCGGTGAGGTAGCCTAGTAGTTATTTGCTCATCACGCTGAAGGCCCGGGTTCGATTCCAAACATGGGTACAATGTGTGAAGCCCATTTCTGGTGTCCCCCACTGTGATGTTGCTGGAGTATTGTTAAAAGCGATGCAAAGCCATACTCACTCACTCATTCAAAATCATTTCAGTTTCATTGACATTTGAACCAATTTTTTTTTCTGACAAGAAATCTAACTTGTGTGTATTTTAAATAATAATTTAAATAATTCAGGGTGCTTATTGTGCATACATGGTATAATTTGTTTGACACTGTCCTTGGGGAAGCAGGGGTGAAAGACCAAGGCCCTTATTCTCGAAACGTTCTTAGCCCTAAGAATTCTTAACTTTGATCGTAGCCAATGTTAAGAATGGGCATAAGAAGTTCGTAGGGCTACAAACGTTTTGAGAATAGCTAGCCTGGGCCCACAAAGCGATCTTAGCACTATCACTCTAGTGATCCAGTGCTAATGTATGAGAGTTCTGATTACATTAGCGTTTGAATTGTTTTGTGGAACAGGGCCCTAGTGTTGATGTTTGATATGTTTTCCTCTTGCAGCATAAGACTCTAGAGCAGTGTCCTGGATGTGAGGAGGCCGTTCTTCAGGAGATCCTGACACTGTCCTCGATAGAAGGTCTCTCTCTTCCTCTGAAGGCCTCAGACACAGACTCTATGTCCATGTCCATGGTATCTCTCAATATGGTGGTGGACAGCGGGGACCAGCTCATTGAGCAAAAGTGGAAGAAAGTCACACAACTTCTCAAGAAACATTTTGTGGACCGACTGCTGCAGCTTCCAGTCAGTAAGATAGACAGCAACCTCAACGTGCTGGTCAACATGAGGCTCAACCTACTGCAGAGCCTGCGAGCCATTGCTCCCGATGAGGATGTGTGGAACAGGTTGGTAGTAGGATGATAGAATATGCTGCACATATTTCACTTCTTCCAAGAAGGGATCCTGAGTTTTGGGATAAACAGGATCTTAACTGAAAGTGTTCCTGTGTACATAATAATAAACCATATGCATTGTATGAGGTGCTATCCAGTTGTTCCAGCCCACCAATGTGTAGACATATTTGCAAGTATCATCTTGTAAGTGCTCCTGCGATGACTGAACATTGACATGAGAGTCCATATTTACTAATGTAAATTACACATGTTTTTACACAACACCGCACTGTAGAAAGGGAATCACTTAGAAATTAAAGTTTTAGTTTCATTGACATTTGAACTGCCGCTTCATCTCTCACAACCGACTTGTGTGTTGTTTTATGAGAGCCTGCTAACTGATTGTTGTGTTCCCAGGTATCGGTCTCTGCGAACACAGCAGCTGGAGAAATGTTTCAGCGACATGTTGCCTGAGCAGCAGTCTGAGAGCACAGACTACAAGGCGTTCAGCCATCACTGCAATGCCATGGCAGACATTATCATCAGCATGCTTGACGAAGACTTCATCGTCCTCAACACAGGCATGTTCACAAAGGTCACCGGGGTGTTCAAGGCCCTGCATGATCTGTACCTGGAGAAGTATAGTGACGAGATGTCCTTGCTTGTGGAGGAAGTGTGTGATGAGATCAGTGATATGAAAAGCAAGGGAATGGCTCAGTCACACAGTGAGTTCACCATTCAGAGTAACCACCATAGCAGTATGGCTAAAAGTGGCCTGGCTCAGAGTCTGGACAGCATGGTGGCCACATCCACGGCGGTACAGGCTGCACCAACAGAACCCAAGTCCTATATCCCCCAGACTTGCATGAAGTCTTTGCTGCAGATTCTGTGTTCCATCCTGAAGATTGAGGAGCATGTTGACCAACTGCTGAGGAACACATCGTGGGATGTGTGTGGTCTGGCAGGCAAGAAAAGCAAGAGGAAAGGCAGTCTCAGAGGTAACATCTGTGTATGAATTGAATGTTAGAGGTGGATAGAAGGTGTATTCACTGTAGATAATCATGAAATGAGATTATATTAGATTTTCATCAGTAATGCAGGTCTCATCACTTGGGTGAAGATACAAGTTAGTGTATCAGTTAGTTAGAATTTCTTCTAATTCTGAGTAATTTGTTAACATGACCACATTTAATGCAATCTTTTGCACCATGTGTTTTCCTTACATCAAACAGTTTTGTGGATGTATTGTTTTTGTACAACAGGAGTGTTGAAGCCGAGTTCCAGCCCTGAGATGAGTCGCCACTCAATGAATCTGAGTGGCCTGAGTAACAGTGAGACGAACCTTGATGGCTCAGTATCGTCCTCCGTGTCCTCACTCCACAGCAGTACAGCAGCTCCTAAAGGTCAGTCATCCCTGGACTCTGTCCTTGCTATACAGCGTGTCCTGTTTTGTACGATATCAGTATTATGAGGAAACCTCATAACTGATTGGTATCAGTGTTCTGTGTGGTATTTATCTTGTAAGTCCTACTGATCCACAACTTGGGTACAATGTGTGAAGCCCATTTCTGGTGTCCCTTACTGTGATATTGCTGGAATATTGCTAAAGGCAGCGTTAAACAATACTCACTCACTCACTCACTCACTCACTGTTCCACAACTACTGCTAACTAAGGTATTTCTCCTACATCTGCAGTGATAGAGAGAACAAAGACAGAGGATAGACTTCACTGGGATTGGAAGATCATCTTCAAGAAAGTGTCATCTGATTTGACTCATGCAGTAGAGAATGACCTTCATGAAGTCATGTCAAATGGCCTTGACCTTGACCTCAGGCAGTGGGAGCTAAGCAGGAAGTTAGAGACATGCAATGTTCCAGAAATTCTACATGGAGGAAAGCTTGATTATCCCAAAGTTGTTTCCAAGGTAGTGAATGAAATGAGTTTACAGGTTACATCTTATATATGTCACTGTTTTATGTGCAAATCGTGTCAGAATGCTGTTTTCTGTCAGTGTCTCTCTACTCTGAATTCTCAGTGGGACTGCTCAGTTGAACCAGTATAATGGTATGCAGCAGTAAACTTTGTGATGGGTATTGCATTTTTTATAACTCTGAAAAGCTACACCAAAAAATTATTTCCAAAATTTATTTCCCTTTTGAAACTGACAAAATGGCAGAAATGTGGAAGTGAATTTTTCTCAGGTTGCTATCTCCCTTGTATCCATGACCAAAAACATTTTACCTACTGACCAATAATTACTGACATACATAGAATACAGGAATATAGACTCTGTGTGTATAATTACTGTCAATCACTATCAGACACTTTAGATCCTGATATATTGCAATATGGATCACAATACAGATTCCTGGATCGCAACATAATGAAATGCAGACATTTTGCCAATGCACCTTTCTCCCCAGATAGAATAGGGACACAAATGACTTGTTTGTTGGTCTCTGTCCAGGCTGTGTTTGACTTCTTCTATGCCGCTGACAACTTGCTACCCCTGGCACGAGCTGGCCGGGATGGCACCTTCCAGACTGTGAGGTCAGCATTTATCGAAGCCATCAATCTTGGGCTCAAGAACTTTAGTGTGCATTTTACAAAGGTGAGAATGATTTGTCATCAATTTGACCTAATTATCTGTGCTTGAAAAATGTAAGGTCTGGGTTAGAATATTGATCTTCAGTAACCCATGCTTGTCATAAGAGGCGACTAACGGGATCAGGCGGTCAGGCTTGCTGACTTGGTTGACCCATGTCATCGGTTCCCAATTGCGCAGATCACTGCTCATGCTGTTGATCACTGGATTGTCTGGTCCAGATTCGATTATTTACAGACCGACGCCATGTAGCTGGAATATTGCTGAGTGCGGCGTAAAACTAAACTCACTCAGTCACTATCACAGCTCACCTTGAGTTTGCTGTGTTCCTTTCCCAGTTGGGTGCTCTAAGGGAATGCCATGTTAGTGATGTCATTTCTCTATTCAGGGTTAAAGAAAACCATGTCCTGATGCACATATAGCACATGCAGTGTCTCCTCTAGCATATTTGAAATATGACCCTGTTCACCCAACACTGAATAAGTACACAGTTCGCCCAACACTGAATAAGTACTCAGTAGGATGAGATGTGGCTGATAACCCTCCAGCGCCTCACAGGCAGTATTTGTTGTATACTACTAGGGCTGTTAACTCCTAAGGAGCTGAGAAAGAAAATTCACATTTTAATCTACATACTGAGATAATAAAGGTGTTAGTAGGAGTCAGATGGAATATTGAGCATCACAAACGTCCGCTTGGGCGATTGAGAAGAGAGTGAGGATAAGGCGTGCATGGGTCACGTGGGTGCCTTTTGGTGCCAAAAGGGAGGTAACTCGAGGGTGAGTGATTGTACGTTCGCTTTAAGGGATTTGAAGGGATTCAAGTTCCCAGATAGCATTCAGACGTTGGCCCAATGTTGGCAATGGGCCAACGTCCAAATGCTATCTGGGTTTCCACTTGACCGTTCGGAAGAGAGGATTGAGTAAGCAAAAAAGCATGAGTCAGGATAAGTATAATATATCAGATTTTTAAACTTATCCTATCTCACGGTATGCACTTCTCTCTCTTGATTCGACATTGAGTGGAACGATGTAAACTTTTTTCCCTAGGCCTCTCTTGTCCATCCGCCCAAGCACTCCATGCTACCGTCATTATAAGATAGCTTCCTAGCTCTCATGCAAAGCATGCGGCATGCACCACTAGCTGCCCACAAGACTATCTCCGAATCATCATTCTCTTTCTTGATGCACAGTGTGGACGTATTTTGTTTTGCTCAATGTTTTCAACTTAGTATACAACATGGGGAAAGTTGACCAGCCAAAGAAGGGGAAAAAATGCTCCCGTGTAATAAAGCGTTCTCCGCGAGTGATCCACATGGATATTGTATTGACTGCATGGGACAGTCATTGCGAGTGACTACACTCGGGCTTGCGCTCGTCATGTTGCTGACAGGGCTTGTTATGCTGCTTCACTTGACGGACCCAGTCCCTCCAAGTAAGGAAAGTTTGTGCGTCCTACTTTGTCTGCTTGGCGGTCACAGTCCCCTCACTCGAATAAAGAGGACCCATGAGAGCGTTGTCAGATTACTTATCGGAAGACATTCGGCATTTGTTGGGCTCTCAACATTCCAGCCCGACCAGTTATCTCGGCATGCTTCTAGCATGACCATTCGACTTGGCTCTCCAGATTACTTATCCCAACTGGTACCCCCTTTCAGCTGATTGAACAGATGAAGTAGGTATGTCAGTAGCGCAGACATTTAGATTACGCTGGCACTTCACGCTCTGACGATCCCAGATCTCCCAGACTTAGACTACATGACCAGAGCTCATATCATTCTGGATTTATCTACCTTCCGATCTTCACTTGTTGGATGATTTGGTTTAGGAATCTACCCTTTGGTGTAGATATCAGCTCCACAACCACTCGTCTGTGCATTACTAGACAGGCTTGCTATCCAGGAATTTTTTCGACGCTTCACTAAGTCCAGTTACTACAAACTACTCGTAACAGCGTTATGGTGTAATCATGGCCTGTTCCCTTTACATCAGCAAGCTTCTGGACAGATGGGTCAAGTTTCTGCGCATGGTACCAGTACTGATGTCTTGTCAAGTAGCTATCATCCAGTTGTGCCTCGCACGGTTCACCGTAGACTGTGTTGTCCGGATTTTTGTCACTGTTGCATTGTGGGTACCATTTGCAAATGGCGGACTACCCCTTGTTTACCGGAGAATTATGATATTTAGAGTCACTATGAAGTACACTGACAGATCTGTCTGGGTCCTACAAGCGGATAACAATCCCAGCTTTTATTGCCAGTGACGATGAACAGTGCCATTCCCGGTAAGAGTGATTCGTCAGCCAGCCGAGAGAGACAGTTCACCAAAAGTTACTCGGCTTTCAACTTTAGCCCAAGCCCTCAGAGGTCACTGCAGTTCTGCCCGCATGGTCCATAGGCACCTATTTTACTGCCTTCATCTCCCAGACGAACCTTCCCTGACGTCGCCAGGATTTTTTACCTTCGTCATTACAGCAACTTGACGAATGTTTCAGTATATTTACGATCTCCATGCATCGAATCTACTAATTTTATCACTCCATCTGGCGGACCAATACTTCATTTGGCGAACCAACTTTCCTGAGTTCACTGATTTTACGACCTTCATCACTTCCGTGCAGTGTGAACGTTCCTGAAGATTGACTGACAGCCTCTATGCGCCGACTCTACTACATTCAGCACTCGGTCAGTGCTGCCATGGTAGCTTGACTATTTAAACGTTCCTATCTCAGGAGAGATATCCCTACATCAGTGACAAGAGTTGCTAGGTCTCCTTACCTCAGCACTAGCCTTCACCGACAGGGGGCGGTGGGGTAGCTTGGTGGTTAAAGCATCCGCTCGTCATGCCAAAGACCCGGGTTCGAATCCCCACATGGGCACAATGTGTGAAGCCCATTTCTGGTATCCCCCGCCGCGATATTGCTGGAATATTGCTAAAAGCGGCGTAAAACTGTACTCACTCACTCACATCACTTACAGAGGTCAACTTTAGGCGCTACTTCACCTTCGAAGCTACATTGATGATTGCATCCAGGTACAACAGGATTCATTCGTACTTCTTCGCCAACTGCAGTTCACCACCATGCTGCTCCGGCAGTTAGGGTGGCTATTGTACATTGTGGAATCGATCCAGAGACTCCACTTCATCGATCCATTGTTTGACATCAGTCAAGGGATGATGTTCGCCCTTCAAGACAGGTGGATCTCCAGTGCTATCTCAGTGGCAGGAGCTACTAATCTTTCTGACGTCAGATCAAGCCCAAACGTACAGAGTTCAGCTTCGCCGTTACAGCACTTTTTGTGCCCGTACCTTTAGGCCGACAATCCCAAGGAACTGTTTCATCTTCCCGAACCCGTCATGCTGAAGACCCGGGTTCGAATCCCCGAATGGGTATAATATTTGAAGCCCATTTCTGATGTTCATGCGTAATACAGATGCTGTTGACCACCAGCAAGATTCTACTGCTTTTGGTCGTGCACTAAGTCCTGACCAGCGAGAAGTTAGTTTGTTGACCTAAGAAGCCTGGCAGAGCCAAACCCAGTACCGCTTCCCGACCGGGGCAACCTGCTTTCTCACCCTCACCCGGAACTACGCCTCTGGTCCCCTCAGACCCTTAATCTACACTTGGGCATCTCCAGAGATTACTCATAGCTCATGATTTCAGCTGGATAAGGCTACTCTCATCAAGTAGCCACAGCTATCACTTCAGTTCATCCTTATTTCGACCCATTCTTTCTACGACGATAGTGGAAGAAGTTTGAAGGCTGTTGTAACATTAGGGAAATCCATCTCCCAATCTGCCTCTACTCGCGGGTCATTTCTGTGTTCCTGCAGCATCTCCGTGCTACTAGGGAACTCAAGGGTACTACATCGGCTACCTAACTGGCTGCTATCAACTTGGTTTTGGCTACTAACACAGGCTCGAAGATCTCCACTCTTCCAGAATTGCAGAGTTTTTTTCACTTCTACAACTCACCGACCAGTCCAGAAAGTTCAGACTTCTGGCCTGTGAACTGTCCGTTGTCCTTCATCATGTGATTCTACAGACTACAAACCTTTAGAAGACAGGGACTTCGAGTGAAGTGACGTTCTTCTTCCTGGTAGCATGGCTACTGCTGCTCGTATATCTGAGCATCATGCGCTTGTTGTCAATCGTGTGCGGTTCGAGCGGAAGAAGCATGGCAAGGTTTTTTACTGGGTCTCCACTGAGACTTCATCGTGAAAAAACCAACTGCCAGGGCAACCGGACCGGATGTTTACCATTCCCCCATTGTCCATCTTTGGGCCTGGTGATACTGAAAATTTGACACTCTGCCCTGTTAGGGCTGTACACCTTTACCTTGCTGCCTCCAAGGATCGTCGATGGCTACAAAGCGCCTCTTCATACCCTTGTCGGCCGCTTCAAGAGCTGAGGTTTCCCGAGCCACATTGGCTTTCTGAATTCGTGGCGAATGCGTGCAGGGTTGCTGCCACCAATCCTCATGAGACTCCTGCATTAGCCTTGACGATGGCCTTCTGTAGCAACTGCTCCTTGACTGCTCTCATGGAAGGTTGCTTCTGGCGTTCAGATACAGTCTTCTCTTCACATTAACTGCGAGACCTGTCTGTCACAGATGTCCTGGGACTACACTAGTTCGGACCTCAGCAGCTTACATCAGCCCACCAACGCAGTTGAGGGACAGTTCCGCTTGCGTGTTACTGCTTCTTTCTACATACGGAACAAAGTTGAACAGGATCTCAATCATTGTTCTCAAGTTATGGGTTTAAGAACTACTTCACATGGCTCTCATACCAAGGCATGGATCTGAGACACAATTAGTATGACGATGCAGAGGTGTTTGACATTCACGCTTACTGTCCTCTACTCCACGGAGCAATTACGTCAGTGAAGTGTGACGCTCCCGAATTCCAGTGGATTTCGTTGCGTTCCGACTCCGAAGTTGCCGGGCACATCCTTTGACTAAGCTTATGCAAAGGAGTGAGGGTCAATTTGATGCTGTCCCGGAACTGAACGTTAAAACTTTGAGTTCCCGAGTTGTGCTTCTCTTTCACCCGCCCCTGGTTGGTGTCTGTGGGGGTCTTCTCGAAGCAGGGGCTGGCCCGATTATTGTCAACCGACTTTAATTTTTCGGGGGTACCTTGAAAATTGTGGCAAAGTGACATCCTTTCTTGTTTAGCTGCGTCCTTATTCGGAGGTTATTGCCGAACACCACATTGCTCAGGAGCACCCATCTCCCTGGGAGACGTTGTGCTTAGTAAGCCAAGGAGTTCAAGAGAACTCAGCACAAGCATAGGAGTTGCGTGCATGCCTAATAGGCCTCCCTTGTGCATCGCCAGTCTACACAGTTCCTGCTGTTCGCACTGTCAAGACACAGGGTATCTGCGTCCCGCCGTCCGACTGTGGGATAAGTGCATACCGTGAGATAGGATAAGTTTTAAAATTTTAAAATTTTACTATAAATTGTATATTTATATACTTATCATATCGCATGCGACGGATTCCCCCCCATCCTTCCCACTATGCAGTCTGGTGTCCCCCGCCGTGATGTTGCTGGAATATTGCTAAAAGCAGCGTAAAACCAAACTCAGTCAGTCAGTCAGTCCCGCTATGCAGATTCTCCAAGATGGATATTATCCAGTGGCTCCAAGAATGAGGGCAGCTAGTGGTGCATGCCGCATGCTTTGCATGAGAGCTAGGAAGCTGTCTTATAATGAGGGTAGCATGGAGTGCTTGGGCGGATGCACAAGAGAGGCCTAGGGAAAAAAGTTTACATCGTTCCACTCAGTGTCGAATCAAGAGAGAGAAGTGCATACTGTGAGATAGGATAAGTATATAAATATACTGACTGATGGACTGACTGAGTTTAGTTTTACGCCGCTTTTAGCGATATCCCAGCAATATCACGGCCGGGGACACCAGAAATGGGCTTCACACTTTGTGCCCATGTGGGGAATCGAACCTGGGTCTTCAACGTGACGAGCCAACGCTTTAACCACTAGGCTACCCCACCGCCCCATATAAATATACAATTTATATTAAAAATTTCAATTTTATCATAAAAATTACATTATTTTTTGTTAATGTTATATCATTTTTGTTATTAGTTGTATTATGTTGAGAAACGAGTGCATGACATGTTCTGTGTGCAGCTGTGCAAGGATGTCCCCAGCCAGGCCCCTTTGTTCAGCATGTATGTCATCCTGTCCAGTGCTGCCTACATCAGGAACCAGCTGGTTCACTATGAGAAGGTCCTGGTGTTTGACGAGGCAGGGTGAGTATAGGCATGAATGAATGGTTCTATTACACATGGGACTCATAATCATATCTTGATAAACAATGACATCAACACATACAGATAACACAACTGCTACTGTTGTTATTTACAAAGAGCTGAAATGATCAGACATACTTTCTTTGAACGTGAAGGCTCTGATTTGCATCCCTTTCATTAAGGGATTGTACATGAAAAAGAGATCTGGCATGTTTTGTGTGTGAGTTGGCATAGGGTGATGGGCAGGGTGATTTTGTGGTTTAGATTATCAGAGACAATCTTCCATATTGAAAATATTGCTAAAATTATGTCCATGTAATTTCTGTGTTTCCAGGAAGAAGCCATTTAATGGTCTTTACAAACAGTTTGTGGAGCTGACAGAATCGCTGACTCAGCAGGTTATCGAACTGCACACTCAGCTAATATCCACCAGTATTTTACATGATGCTGACGGGGGTGACTGGGCCAGTATGAAAGATTTCTATGAGGTGGGTGTAAACTGCATTAAAGATATTTAAATACTTCAGTATCACTTGCAGTGAAGGAGGTATAAACTTAATTCTACCTACCAAGCTTAACATGTAGATTATTAGTGTCATTCAAGCCAATCCAGGCTCTAGTGTCCTGACAGAACAAAATACTGATTGTAATTAGAGAAAGCTTGAGGACCATAATACAGGACAAACTGTTTGGTTAGCCAATCAAATCCCTTACAGTGTATTGCTACCTGACAAGGTGTGGTGCTGTAGTCATGAAGAGTATGTGATGTCTGCTACAGGATGAGCGGTGCTCCTTCACCATACAGATGTGGAACTACCATCTCCGGGCATTGCAGAGTGACCTGTGGTCAGTGGCTCCCCCACAGATGGCTCAGTACATCTTCAGCATGGTCTTGAAGGAGTCTTTGACTGTCATTGCTCACAGATATGTGAGGGTCAAACCCAGCTTTAAAAGAGTTAAACAGTTCAGGTAAGACTGATATGGCCTACTCTCTTACTATGGCTGTTCAATGATAATACCCAGTCCCTGATTATCTCAATAACTGCAGTGTTATGTAGGCCTGGTGTCTGTGGATGTCTGTACTGCATTGTATAACAGGTATCAACTGACCAGTGTTTTTATAGCTAGCTGTGTTACAAGGAGGACCTTATGACTGTGGGGTGCAAGGGGTGTGGCATAATGGTTGTGTTTGCTTACAGGTATGACGTGACAGCTGTGTTGTGTTACAGGTATGACCTGATGCCTCTGTTGAGTTACAGGTATGACCTGATGCCTGTTTTGTGTTACAGGTATGACCTGACAGCAGTGTCAGAGTTACAGGTATGACCTGATGGCTCTGTTTAGTTACAGGTATGACCTGACAGCTGTGTTGTGTTACAGATATGACCTGACAGCTGTGTTGTGTTACAGGTATGACCTGACAGCTGTGTTGTGTTACAGGTATGACATGACAGCTGTGTTGTGTTACAGGTATCATCTGACTGATGTGTTGTGTTAGAGGTATGACCTGACTGATGTGTTGTGTTTTACAGGTATGGCCAGACTGCTGTGTTGTGTTACAGGTATCATCAGACAGTTGTCTTGTGTTACAGGTATGACCTGAATGCTGTGTTGTGTTAGAGGTATGACCTGACTGATGTGTTGTGTTTTACAGGTATGGCCAGACTGCTGTGTTGTGTTACAGGTATGACCTGACTGATGTCTTGTGTTACAGGTGTCATCTGACTGATGTGTTGTGTTACAGGTATGACCTGACAGCTGTGTTGTGTTACAGGTATGGCCAAGCTGATGTGTTGTGTTACAGGTATGACCTGACAGCTGTGTTGTGTTACAGGTATGACCTGACACTGTGTTGTGTTACAGGTATGACCTGACAGCTGTGTTGTGTTACAGGTATGGCCAGACTGATGTGTTACAGGTATGACCTGACTGCTGTGTTGTGTTTTACAGGTATGGCCAGACTGATGTGTTGTGTTATAGGTATGACCTGACTGATGTGTTGTGTTACAGGTATGACTTGACTGCTGTGTTGTGTTAGAGGTATGACCTGACTGATGTGTTGTGTTAGAGGTATGACCTGACTGATGTGTTGTGTTTTACAGGTATGGCCAGACTGCTGTGTTGTGTTACAGGTATCATCAGACAGTTGTCTTGTGTTACAGGTATGACCTGACTGCTGTGTTGTGTTAGAGGTATGACCTGACTGATGTGTTGTGTTTTACAGGTATGGCCAGACTGCTGTGTTGTGTTACAGGTATGACCTGACAGATATGTTGTGTTTTACAGGTATGGCCAGACTGATGTGTTGTGTTACAGGTGTCATCTGACTGATGTGTTGTGTTACAGGTATGACCTGACTGATGTGTTGTGTTACAGGTATGGCCAGACTGATGTGTTGTGTTACAGGTATGACCTGACAGCTGTGTTGTGTTACAGGTATGGCCTGACTGATGTGTTGTGTTAGAGGTATGACCTGACTGATGTGTTGTGTTACAGGTATCGTCTGACTGATGTGATGTGTTACAGGTATGGCCAGACTGATGTGTTGTGTTACAGGTATGACCTGACAGCTGTGTTGTGTTACAGATATGATGTGACAGTTGTGTTGTGTTACAGGTATGACCTGACTGATGTGTTGTGTTACAGGTATGACCTGACAGCTGTGTTGTGTTACAGATATGACCTGACAGTTGTGTTGTGTTACAGGTATGACCTGACTGATGTGTTGTGTTACAGGTATGACCTGACTGATGTGTTGTGTTACAGGTATGACCTGACTGATGTGTTGTGTTACAGGTATGACCTGACAGTTGTGTTGTGTTACAGGTATGACCTGACAGCTGACTGCTGTGTTGTGTTACAGGTATGACCTGACTGATGTGTTGTGTTACAGGTGTTGTGTTACAGGTATGACCTGACAGCTGTGTTGTGTTACAGGTATGACCTGACTGCTGTGTTTTGTTACAGGTATGACCTGACTGATGTGTTGTGTTACAGGTATGACCTGACTGATGTGTTGTGTTACAGGTATGACCTGACAGCTGTGTTGCTGTGTACAGAAGAGTTCCTACTTCACACCAGCAGCTCGGTGTCTCACATCCTCGACCCAGGACACACAGACCAGCCAACCTACACCATTCACAATCTTTGCTCCACCATCTTCTCAGCCATAGCCATCGTCAGCTCACCTCTTGAAATTCTCTACAGGTCAGTGTCAGCTACAATGTTTAGAGGATTGTTTCAGAATCCCCGACCGCGTCATACTAAAAGACGTTAAAATATGGTACTTGTTGGTCCCTGCCTGGCGTTCGGCATTAATGGGTACAACAAGGACTGGTCGGCTCGGAGTCAGTATAATGTGTCTGAGTGGGGTATTCATGCTTCACTGCGGCATGGTATCTCAGTGAGCTAGCACTATAAAACCAGCTTAAGTCTGGGCTAGTACAAGCAGCCACACATACACATACACGCATGCATGCACGTCATATGAGCGAAATATTCTCAAGCACGACGTTAAACCCAATTTCACCTCACCTCACCATTTACATGGTCTATCTATTTCTCAGTCCATGGGACTTTCAGTAATAATTTGGGGGTCCAGTGCATGAACCAAGGTCTTAAGGTTGCATCATTTGGTTTGCTTCACTTGATTGCCGGGGTTCACATGGACACAAAGTTATCAGTTTACCTGCTATGTATCTACTAGAAGTTTCCCAGTAGGGATTTTAGTGTGAGGTCATCCATTGATTGTCAGAACATTGCCCTCCTTGTGGATATATCACATCCTCCATGGGTCACAAAGGAATTCTGCAGGTGTTTATCTGTGTGGATTTGGAAAATCTGTACAGTCTTTTCTCCATAACCATTCAGAGTATACAAGAAGGGATATGGTCGACGGCGTGACAGCCATGAAGAGTTCTCACTCCATCTAGCAACATCTTACACTGGTTCCAACACTCACTGGCTCCATTGGATCCGCCCAGAACTCTATCACACCAACCAAAAGCAGTGAGTATATTTCTGGAGCCTAAACTGGGAAGGTAGCTGTCATTTAGAATAGCTGACGGTGATGGCTAGATAGGATCTCATATTACATATATACAGTGATGGCTAGACAGGATCTCATGTGACATGTAGACAGTGATGGCTAGACAGGATCTCATGTGACATGTAGACAGTGATGGCTAGACAGGATCTCATGTTACATATATACAGTGATGGCTAGACAGGATCTCATGTGACATGTAGACAGTGATGGCTAGACAGGATCTCATGTGACATGTAGACAGTGATGGCTAGACAGGATCTCATGTGACATGTAGACAGTGATGGCTAGATAGGATGTCATGTGACATGTAGACAGTGATGGCTAGATAGGATCTCATGTGACATGTAGACAGTGATGGCTAGATAGGATCTCATGTGACATATAGACAGTGATGGCTAGATAGGATGTCGTGTGACATGTAGACAGTGATGGCTAGATAGGATCTCATGTGACATGTAGACAGTGATGGCTAGATAGGATCTCATGTGACATATAGACAGTGATGGCTTGACAGGATCTAATGTGACATGTATACAGTGATGGCTAGATAGGATCTCATGTGACATGTAGACAGTGATGGCTAGATAGGATCTCATGTAACATGTAGACAGTGATGGCTAGATAGGATCTCATGTGACATATAGACAGTGATGGCTAGACAGGATCTAATGTGACTTCAAAATATAGCCGCTCCTACAACATATAGACAAAGATGGTTGTATATTATCGTATGTGACTTGTATATATTGTAGCTATGACGACATGCAGACAACGATGGCGGTGTATGTGCAGTTGCAGCTGTTGTTGCATCAGCCAGATCCTCACTGGGGGAAGCTCATACAGGTCAGTTCACACAATCAGGTGTCCGAAAACATAGAATCCAGTTATACTTGTTAGTACGCCATGATTCATTTAACAGATTCTGATGAGTTCTGTATGGGAGTTGTTTTGATTTCAGTTGCTGATAATGAAGGAATACACAGTGTCTATCCTGCTGCTCACTCGAAGCATGGAGAGGATACGTGCCACAGAGGAACTTGTCATCCAGATTGAGACAGCCACAAATAAGCTGGCAACAGTACCCACCATCGACACCAATCAGTTAACTGTGGCCAAGACGCTCTTCCAATCTATAGTGAATATCCTCTCTCTCAGTCAGAGCTTCCCTGATGCACTTGCCAAGTCACTCATCCCAGTAATTGACCGGTTAGTGGACTTCTGTGTGTGTTGTCTCGTGGAGATAAAAGAAGGGTGGGACCCAAGGTGGCTCCTCTGTGTGTTATCTTGTGGACATACAAAAGGGTGGGACCCAAGGTGGCTCCTCTGTGTGTTGTCTTGTGGACATATAAAAAGGGTGGGACCCAAGGTGGCTCCTCTGTGTGTTGTCTTGTGGACATACAAGAAGGGTGGGACCCAAGGTGGCTCTTCTGTGTGTTATCTTGTAGACATACAAGAAGGGTGGGACCCAAGGTGGCTCCTCTGTGTGTTGTCTTGTGGACATACAAGAAGGGTGGGACCCAAGGTGGCTCCTCTGTGTGTTGTCTTGTGGACATACAAAAGGGTGGGACCCAAGGTGGCTCCTCTGTGTGTTGTCTTGTGGACATACAAGAAGGGTGGGACCCAAGGTGGCTCCTCTGTGTGTTATCTTGTAGACATACAAAAAGGGTGGGACCCAAGGTGGCTCCTCTGTGTGTTGTCTTGTAGACATACAAGAAGGGTGGGACCCACGGTGGCTCCTCTGTGTGTTATCTTGTGGGCATACAAGAAGGGTGGGACCCAAGGTGGCTCTTCTGTGTGTTATCTTGTGGACATACAAGAAGGGTGGGACCCACGGTGGCTCCTCTGTGTGTTATCTTGTGGACATACAAGAAGGGTGGGACCCAAGGTGGCTCTTCTGTGTGTTATCTTGTGGACATACAAGAAGGGTGGGACCCACGATGGCTTCTCTGTGTGTTGTCTTGTAGACATACAAGAAGGGTGGGACCCACGGTGGCTCCTCTGTGTGTTATCTTGTGGACATACAAGAAGGGTGGGACCCAAGGTGGCTCTTCTGTGTGTTATTTTGTAGACATACAAGAAGGGTGGGACCCACGATGGCTTCTCTGTGTGTTGCCTTGTAGACATACAAGAAGGGTGGGACCCATGGTGGCTTCTCTGTGTGTTGTCTTGTAGACATACAAGAAGGGTGGGACCTAAGGTGGCTCCTCTGTGGGTTGTTATGTATAGATTCAAGAAGGGTGGGAGCCAACATGGCTCCTCTGTGTTTTGCTTTATGCAGATACAAGAAGGGTAGGTCCTAAGGCAGCTCCTCTGTGTGTTGTCCTGTGGAGATTCAGGATCATAGTAGGGCCGAATAAGAAGGGTATCTCTCTGTGCATTGCCCTGTGTAGATTCAGGACTAGGGAAGGATCCATCATGACATTTCTATGGGTTGCAGGGTGGACAAGTAGTTGGTACAGTCTTGTTCAGTATTATTAGGTTTCTAGATCTCTGTCTTTGCATCTGTGTGTCGCTGTCTGTAGGTAATACAGTTTTGACTAAAGATTTGTTTCAAGAAGTGTTCTTATGGATTTCTTACAGATTGACATTCAGTACAATTATTGGCTTATTTTCTTCTTTCTGCTGTAACCTTTTTGTTTGTTTTCCCTAACAGATGCAGTGACTGGGACTGTCTCAACATTAAAGGTCTGGCAGCTTCTCCTGATTTTAAGGTCAGTATTTTTCACTTGATTGTTTCACTAAGTATACTCGCAGAGATGCCAACCTCTACGATTTTATTGTAGTCGCTACAAATTTTAGCCTCAAACTACACCAATACCATTGCACTAGAAATTCTATGAAATTTGAAGAAAATTGATTAAAATTTGCATACATAGACAAAAACATATTTTTTCATAAATTAAATACATTTTCGCTTAAAAGAGACGACAAGAAGAAATGTAATGCTAATAATTTGGAAATCTGCTATTGGTATGTGAAATTAAAGCTTCACTCTTGATTAGTGTCATATTATCTTTATCAGAATACATTATGATTTTAAGTATTTAGTTGACGACTAATTTTATGGTCAAACTACTAATTTTGATCCTTGATACTACTATTTGCAACACTTTGGGGTTGGCATCTCTGTACTCGTTACAAACAAAATTATTTGGGTACAAGAAGTCATCTAAACTTGTCCAGAATTGAGCAGAATCTGTAAAAACTCCAGAACCTACTGCTTTTCAATGTTTCTGACATGAAAGTAATAATGCAATTTCTCCTTTCAGCCTCCATTTTGGATGGAAGCCATATTTTCTGTGATAGAACCCCTCATACAGAGGTAAGTCAGAAATCCTTCACACCAGTAGTAACTTCCAAGCTTGTTATTTCCGAGTGCAGTGTTGCCAGATGTTGAGATGTGTGTCTTGTCCCCAGAGTGCTGGGCCCAGTGTTAGACTACCTGATGATGCTGCCCACCAGCACAGCCTCCCTGGACCCCCTCATCATGAAGATCAGTGAGCTGCCTTGTGGGTGCCCACCCTGTCAGCACGAACCCAACAACAACAGGAAGCCCCCAGGTAGGTCACACAAGCACCTGCCGCAGCCAGCATTATGCTGATTGTGTGTTTGGTCAAATTCTTGACAGGACATGCAGAAAAATAATAATGACAAGTGTCTTTTGGAGATGTATATGTTTATAAAGCCTGTCACTTTAAAGTTCATGGGTTTATCAAATTTGACTGTTTTATTTAAAGCTCAGTTGTTCTAAGTTCAGAGTGAGTGAGTGAGTGCATATCTTTTTACGCTGCTTTTAGCAATATTCCAGCAATATCACGGTGGGGACACCAGAAATGGGCTTCACAAGTTGTACTCATGTGGGGAATCGAGCCAGAGTCTTCGGCGTGACAAGCGAACACTTTAACCACTAGGCTCCCCAACCGCCCCTTTAAGTTCAGATGATATAAGAGTATTCATGATTTAGGTTCATGCTTTTGAAGACTATTTGTGTTGAATTTATCAGGTTACAAGTGTGTGCTGTTTATGGTTCACAAGATTATTGAGTTTGTCTGTTGCCAGCCTTGAAAACTGTGATGGACGGGGCACTGAAGATCCTCATCTCTGAGCTGAGTGAGAGCGTCCTGTGTCTCAGGACTCCAGTGTGCCTCATGTTCAATGTCCTGCAGGAGGCCTGTGCAGAGCGGAAAATCAAGACAGGGCACAACTGTGTGGGCTTGCAGGTATGTGGCTTCTAACAGAGGACTGATGCTGTAGGGTACTAGGATTTATTTAAAAGTTTGTTTCTTCTTTGAAAAATCCCCATTTATAAACAACCCTCAAAATGTATCTGTAATAGGTGGTCCCTTGTATACCTCCCCTGAGATAGTGTTACCAGTGTTACCATGGTCGGCATATTAATATGGTGAAGAAATCTTCCCAAGACGGAATTGTTTTTGGTATATGTTGTTGACAGGTTACATGTTGTGAGAAAGTTAAAAGGTATTTATGTATTTGTTCCTTCTCTGGGATTGGACCTGCTTTCATATGTTTTTTGGTAATATATTGCGAAGGTCAAGGTCAGGGTTTAGGTTTTCTAAAAACGCTTTAGTGTAATTGAAGCAAGGCTGCTTCCATAGGCATGGGGCTTTGTACATGAAAGTTTCATAATAAATTCACTTTAAGTGTCAACTACACTTATGTCAACACTCAAAGTCATCTTTGAGGTAATTGTCCAAGTAGTTGTATTATTACTTATCTTAAATTTCATGAAAACAATTTTGAAAATAGATCATGTCCTCCTATAGTCTTATTCCATATCATTGTGGAAAATTCACATCCTGAACAGGCCAAAATATAATGGCCAAGGTCATCAAAACCTCAAGAATGGCCAAAGGTCAAAGAACATTTTTTGCGTCACTGTTCTGAGCAAGATTACCTCTAGATGCATGGAAGTTCAAATGTTTCTAATTCTGTTACCAATTCTACACATTACATCTTGTTGGCATATCTATCAAAGGCCATGGTCATCATTGAGTTTATTATGAAACATGGTTGTTTGTCTTTTACCTTTACTTGTATAATTCTGTTGCTTGGTAAAATGTTGGATGATGTATAAAGCCTTGAAGTAAAGTTTTTTGGACTGAACAGAAATGGTGCTGTTATAAGACTTTAGATAACTGTGGCAATGGAGTTATGGGGCTGCTTCTGTTCTTGCTCATACACACAAACAGCTCTGGTTCGTATGTGTGGTAGTGCAAGTCTGTGTTTTTAACTGTTTGTATTTTCCCAGTATTTTGATTTTTGATTGTTGTCCATCTGTATCAGCTGATTGCAGCCAGTCTGAAGTGTAAGCTTCAGGATACAGAGTACCTGGAGAAGGCTGTTGGGCTCAGCTTCCACCCTGAAATGCTGAAGCAGATGGCCTCCCTAGCCGAGTGTGTCTACTATGTCCTGGCTATAGGCAGATGTAAGTTTGGGGTACAGATGTGGACATATTTCATTCACTTGGAAGATGTGCTAGAGATACAGTAAAGCTCATTGTCAGATGGTTAAGATTTTGCTCTTAATGTAGTCATGCATCTTGTGTATGTTTCACACCTTTTTTCGACTGTGTTGAGGACATTTCATATTTTACATGCAGATAATGATTTCTTTATGTGTTATGCCAATAAGTGTGCAGTGAAGAGGTACAGTTCTAACATTGTGGTAGCACCTGGCATCAGTTCTGTGTACAGGTGGCTACACAGGAGATTCATGTACCTGACAGCCTGGGGACACTGTGATGTGTTGTTGATAGTGTAGGATCAACTTTCCTTTATGCTCGCTCTTCAGTAACAATAACTCAAGAAGGGCCTGAAAGTGCCTGATATGAGAACATATGTATTGTTTCAGCTAAGAGCCAGAACACCCCTAAATTAGCTTCCAAGTTCTGCAAGTCCCACAAGGAATGGATGGCTCAGAAGTTCCACGTAATCACGAGTCACTTCATGAATGAGTGAGTTTCAGATCCTGCTCTACCTGTGTTAAGTTAATCTTTTGCTTTTAGGTATAGAAACCAGATCAATATTTTTATTACTCACCCATTGAAGATATCCCTGTTTAATAATTTTACAATGTTATTACACATTGTGTAATAACATCACTTGATGCCGTACATATGACGTCAAAGTGGTTTATAGTTATGACGTCAAAATGCTAATACCTCTTTCACAATAGTATTAGACCTTGCTTGACTCGGAAAACTGAGAGTCATCACACTCGTTGAATTCTTAGGAAAGAAGTACTTTGCTCGATATTATTTTGCTAATGTTGGGTGAGTAGCATAGAAAATACTAAACTATTTCCCCTTGTAATACCATATTTATGAAACTCACTTTCGCTCGTTAGATACCAAACCATTCACTCGTTTCATAAATATGGTATTACAAGGGACATCGTTTAGTATTCTCTATATATCACCTTCAAATTATCAACAGGAGTTTATTTCTTTGCTTTTTGCCTGCCATCTACTCTTTATTGAAAGATGTTATGAAGATGAAAGGGCTGTACATGTTACAAGTTAGACTGCTTTTCTAAAACAATTCATGTAAAATATATTGTATCTAAACTTATGACATACAGTAAACAGTGAGACTAGAATATGTGTGTATGTATGTATTTTCAGTAAATCAAAATGATGACTTTCTGTGACGTTTTTATTTATAGAAAGAAAACTGCATTAATTACAAAGACCGTTATCTTATTAAAGTAGTTGTAGATTACAAATATTTGTGAGCAAAGCTTACCTCTGTTCATCAAATGGCACTAAGAAATCAATGAAAATATATGTACCAGAGTGAACCACATTGACAATTTCTTTCATTCAAGCACTAATGTAAGCTCCTCTTTTGCATGGTGATTTGCTTTAAACCCTCCTTAAACCTCGTCTCTCTGTAACGGACAGCAATGGTGTTTCATGCATCACATCAGTGTGTTGTCGGCACACTGATTACATGCAGGAGGTAAGTAGCCGTCAACATGACATTCTCAGTTTCCAAAGCCATGCTGATTTCTTTGCAGTATCTTCTGTATGCCAGACAGTGATATCCTAGAGGGCGCCACCACAGCGTACAGTGACGATGTGTTCACAGCTATGGCCAGCAGTACTATTGATGCAGCCACAGGTGAATACACCATATTCTCATCTCCTGCAATTCTGTTGCTAGTCAAACAATCCAGGACAATATCTGGCAACCAACACTGCAACCTCCGCCTTCAAAATACACAATAGTTCTCAGCCTGAGACAAATAAAAATTTTAAGCACAATTAAAAATCCAATGATGGTAGACCTTGCTAGTTTCCTTTGAGGGATATGATAGTGAACCAGTTCTCAATAGTTAATAATGCTTCAACTTAGAGCGGAGTGTTACTGACAGAAATTGCAAACACAGTAAATATTTGTATGTGGTTCAAACATGACTAAAGGACAGATTGTCAGTTATCATTTGTTTTTGTGCTGACACAGTAGTTGTGCCAACGCTGTTGGTTGTTGCAGGCCTGTATGACCTTCAGACAATACACGACATGGTCCACAACAACGGAGAGTGGCTGCTGCAGCAGATGGACGTGAAGCCAGTTATCAGCAGTGAGGGAGTGGACCCAGTACAAAACTTCACTTTCAACATCACAAAGCCAAAACCTAAGCCCTTCATCCCAGTCAAGGAGTTCTGTCGGCTTGGGGACTGTGTCTTCGATCAGGTAGGGAAGGCACAACATGTCTCTGTGATCTAGTATTTATGGTGGCACATGTTGTTATGTTTCCGTTGTTGAAACAGAAGATGTCTGTTCCATTGTTGAAACAGAAGATGTCTGTTCCATTGTTGAAACAGAAGATGTCTGTTCCATTGTTGAAACAGAAGATGTCTGTTCCATTGTTGAAACAGAAGATGTCTGTTCCATTGTTGAAACAGAAAATGTCTGTTCCATTGTTGAAACAGAAGATGTCTGTTCCATTGTTGAAACAGAGGATGTCTGTTCCATTGTTGAAACAGAAGATGTCTGTTCCATTGTTGTCACAGAAGATGTCTGTCCAGAGTAGTAATGACAGTCATCTGGGTCTTTGTGTGAGATGCAGTATCAGTTGGAACTCATGCTATCAACCACTAGGTCCATTTGCACAAAGCAATCCTAGCATTGCGACAAGTCTGTGTTAGAGTTTGGGAGTTATGATTTGTGCAAGTGGGCCATGTACTATTGTTTAACATGCTGCTGTGATATAGTTCACTCACTCAATAGTCACGCCGAAGACCTGGGTTCGAATCCCCACATGGGCACAATGTGTGAAGCCCATTTCTGGTGTCCCCCGCCGTGATGTTGCTGGAATATTGCTAAAAGCGGCGTAAAAGCAAACTCAGTCAGTCACTCACTCACTCAATATCCAGGACAGTGGAGTAGTCTAGTGGTAAAATGTTTGCTCTGCTTGTCAAAGGTTTGGGTTTCATTTTCTTAAACACTATATTTGAAGACATTTTCACTTTTCTCATACCATTATATTACTGAACCATTGCTAGACGTGGTTTAAAATTTAAATCACTCTCTGGCATAACATCTAGGTGTTGGAGATCATGCAGATGACAATGCACACTGATGTCTATCTGATCTGATAGATCACAACAAAAGGCTGTCTTGTATCAGGGCTTCGTGTAGTGATTCTAACAGTGTTGAATGGAAGCGTTGCATGCTGTCATTGTTGAACTGTACTTTCCAGGACTACCTAATCCACTTCCCCTTCAAGTGGTCCGAGATGCTGCAGAGTGACTTGGGCTTGAGTGAGCACGGTTTCCGCTCTCTCCTTTTCCACCGCCAGGAAATGCAGGATGGGGCTTTCCTAGAGGATGTGGAGAAAAAAACCAGTAGAAGTCCTTAAAGCAAAGTTTGACTCCGAAATGATTTGATCACCAGCAGTGTTTTGTGTTTGAAATCTGAAAATCTATTTTGTGAAAGCCATTGAAGGCAGTGTTTAAATTTAGCGGCATGCAATTTATTGTTTTAGTTTGTAAGCACACACGTGTGCACCTTTTAATGAAGGTATGTGAGACAATCATGATGAAATATCAGCTTCCTGATCTCTGTAAGTGTTAAGTCTAACCCATTACCAGTGCCCTATAATTTCCTTGCGCGCACATCACTCGTATTCTGATATTTCCTTGGCATCAAACACCATCCTTTCTCGCCCGCCTACCTGGTGTTTCTTTGACAATCCACTACTCTCACACGTTAAGTGTCTGTACCACCTACCCACATTCAGTATTCTGGTAGTGTCTGGAACATTCACGCATCCATCACAAGTATCATGTTATTTCTGACCCACCACATGTATGCTGGGGTAGCTGATGGTGTTTGATAAGAACAAGACGATCAGAAAAAGGGTTGTACAAAAGCAAAACTGGATAGTTAGAAGTGTATTATCTCCAATAGTCGCTGCCTCCAGACATACAAACAACAATGTTGTTATTGTTGTTGAAACTGCCCTGTCTGACCGCTCATCTTCCTCTGTGTATCAGTATTTTGTCAGTGCATTATCCTCATACTAGCATTTAATTTATCAAAGCGTATTTGTGATCCTTTTTTTGTGAGTAGATATTGCTGTTTTACTGTCAGGTTATCAAAGGTTTTTTGCATGGCAGAAGACCAGTGACTGTCTGTTGTCATTTTCTGTTGTCTCCTCTGGTGCAAGACCAGTGAGTGTCTCTTGTCATTTTCTGTTGTCTCCTCTGGTAGAAGACCAGTGACTGTCTGTTGTCATATTCTGTTGTCATCTCTGGTACAAGACCAGTCACTGTCTCTTGTCATATTCTGTTATCATCTCTGGAAGAAGACCAGTGAGCGTCTCTTGTCATTTTCTGTTGTCTCCTCTGGTAGAAGACCAGTGAGTGTCTCTTGTCATTTTCTGTTGTCTCCTCTGGTACAAGACCAGTGAGTGTCTCTTGTCATTCTCTGTTGTTCATTGTCTCTTCATTGTTTCCCAGGAAATAATCACAGTCCCTGATATCATAGACAAACAAATATACCTATCATGTCAAGATCTGCTTGAGCACAAATCTACTTGAATTTAGTACGAAGAAACTGTGATATACCTACTAGTTTACACTGTATTGGAAGCATGACTTAAAGCAGTACAATTTATACACATATAATGTTCTGTAGTTGCTATCTTCAGGAAGTACAGTTGCTTAGCTTCATTGTTATTGTTTGCCGTCCAAACCCCTGTCCACATGCTATTTTACACATAATTGTTCTTTGTTTTTTTGTTGGAATGTTTTATTCTTACCACACATATTGTTATCACCCATAATTTATGTTTACGACACGACCTTACACAATAAAACGTGAACAGTACTGGAACACTAGCTTCTGTTGTCATTCCTAGTTAGAATTTGTCTTCAGCAACCTTTCCTTGTTCCTTGTCAGACTAGGTTTCTGGCTGGTAGCATGTCAACATACTGCTTTGGCTAGGATTACTGCTTACAAGGTAAACCAATGACTGACTTGTTATAGCAGTTGTCAAATAGTTATTGATGCCCTCATTTAATTATTACTGAGCATGAACTTAAACCCAGTTTTGGACAGTATTTCAATAGTACTAGCATTGATATGGTGCTAACAAACATGAATGAGGGATTTCAACCCATGATCATAGATTTCTAGGCCACCAAAGGAATGTAACTCTGCTTACAGAATTATAGCATGCTTGAGAACTGGGCCACGATGGTCCTACTTGGGATGTATGGTACACACGGACTACTGTAGATGTGACTATTGCTGCGGTTTTTGAGATCTGCAACATGGTCCAAATTTATTGTCTTTATTGCGAGTTATACATGTAATGATTAAAGATCCACTTCTGAGATTCATCCTCTGGGAAACAGGCGTTCATGATGAGCCCCTGATCGTCCATCCCAAGACACAGTTGGCTGGCCTCGTGTCGAAGCATACCACCCTGGAGTGAAGGAAATATGGAATATGGGTGAGCCACAACAACTGCAGCTGTCATCATTAATGGGCATGGGACCTTCCACTGACACTCCATGCAGGTCTGTGGTTCAGCCATATAGAAGGATTTGAATACATGACATGATTTATGGGTAACAACTTCCTTTTTATTCTTTTCAGGACGTTTCAGAGCTAATTCTTGCTCAAATCTTTGAAGGGCATTTAAAGTGGAATACATAAGAAAAGCAAGATTTATGGATGTCAACTTCTTTATTGTGAATAACACGGCGTTTGAGGTATGCTTGCTCCTTCACCAGGTGAATGAAGGAGCAAGCATACACTCCGAAACGTCGTGTTATTCACAATAAAGAAGTTGACATCCATATATCTTGCTTTTCTTAATTCTTGCTCCTTCATCAGGTGAATGCTGAGTCAGTGTACAGGAGCAAGAATTAGCTCTGAAACGTCCTGAAAAGAATAAAAAAGATGTTGTTATCCATAACACGTGTCATGTATTCATGTTCGTCCAACTTCTAAATGCCTTTCAAAAACTTCATATAGAAGGATTTGTATAGCATAAGTTGACTATGAACACTTAGAAAGCTACTGTTAATGTCTTGTTCACTGAAAGCACAGCTGTCAAAGCCAAAATATGGAATTGTGCAGCTCTACCAAGCTAAATTTCCTTTTTGAAGTGGTTTATGACAATTATGCCATTTCGTAGTACAAACCTTCACGTGTGACCACTTGTCATGTGATCCAATGAGACAGTCCTCCAACATGGGATGCCCCCCGACCTGCACCTCCTTCACCACCACACACTGCAGGGACGTTCGCAACAACCCATCCGTCGTCCACGTGAAACCCTGCAGATAGTGGGTTAAACACACTTTACCCTCAAACAAGTGAACCCAACAAGTCAAACAAGTGAACCCATACTTTATCCTACATCAATCACGTGCACACACACTCTAACTTACATGACACACCAAACCCATTCTTTACTATACATAAAGCACGTGAACCCGACCTTTACCCTACACAAAACACAGGAACGGGCACTTTACCCTATATCAAACACGTAAACCTTCCCTATACTTTACATCAAACACATGAACCAAAGCTTTACCCTACACCAAACGGAAAAAACGGTCATCGAATAGTATTTCAGCAAAAACCAATATACAAACGGTAAACTTGAAGCCCTACAGGGAATGCAGATATCCAAACAGTAAACGTGAAGCTCTACAGAGAATTCCAATATCCAAACAGTAAACGCGAATCTGTACTGTGTATACAAATATCTAAACAGTTAACGTGGAAACCAAAACAAACATCCAAACAGTACTAAATGTAAAACCCTACACAAATATCCAAACAGTAAATGTGAAACCCTACACAAATGTCCACAGAGTAAACGTGAAACCAAACACAAATATCCAAACAGTAAACACGAAACCCTTCAAAGAATTCAAATATCCAAACAGTAAACGCGCAACCCAACTGATGATTCCAATATTCAAACAGTAAACGCGAATCTGGGCCCTTATTCTCGAAACGTTCGTAGCCCTAAGAATTCTTCATTTTGATCGTAGTCAATGTGTTTAGAATGGGCTTAAGAAGTTCGTAGGGCTACGAACGTTTCGAGAATAGCTAGCCAGTAGCGTGTACACAAATATCTACTCAGTTAACGTGAAACCCCAAAGAAACATCCAAACAGTAAATGTGAAACCCTAATCAAATATTTAAACAGTAAACGTAAAACCCAACACAAATATCAAACAGTAAACGTGAAACCCAACACAAATATCTTACACAGGGGGTAAACCCTGTCCATGCTCAACCGGAATTTGGTCGTCATCAACTACCATTTCCCCGATAGACATTCGATCCCGGTAGAGAGAATACCAAACTTTGTAAGATTTTGATATTTCCAAGAAGTAAATGTTTATGAAATCGACGACTTTTAAGCTGAATGGTCATGGATTATAACCCCTACACGATATATATACTGAGTCAAAAAAGAAACTTCACAAAATGTAATTTGAAAAAATAATGAATAATTTTTCTCTGATGATACATATATGTATCCGAAATGGGATCCCTATCTTTCGACTCTAGAAAAACGTTAGCAAAACCCACTCAAACCCATCCATTCGTCGTGCAAATGACGTTAGTGCCAAATCAGGTTTTGCACGTGCAGTCGATCACGTGATCTTCGCATCGAAGTTTTCTTCATATGCACGTGTTTGCATTGGCCTCAAGAATTAAAAAACACTTTTAAACCACAGTTCTAACTGTACTTGAAATGCCACGATTGTCAAATGAGCAACGTGAACGTGCCGTTGGCATGTTGCAAGCGGGAAGATCAGTTATTGACGTCGCAAGAGCAATGGGATGCAGCCGTCGTACTGTGTATGACTTGCGAGGTCGTCTACAACAAACTGGCACCACTTCTGATCGCCCAAGGTCGGGTCGTCCACGTGTGACTTCACGAGCAGAAGACCGTCAAATCGTCCTACGTCACCTACGTGACAGACTTCTGCCGGCTACACGAACCAGGGCTGAGATGTTTAAAGGTCGATTGTCCTCACTTTCGAAATCGGTTGCGGGCTGCCAATCTCCATTCTCGACGTCCATATCGTGGGCCAATATTGACGCCGTTTCATCAACGTCAACGTCTGCTGTGGGCCCAACGTCACCTCCGATGGACCCAGAGAGACTGGAATCGAGTCGTCTTTAGCGATGAATCCAGCTTTACCCTCAGATTCGCGGACGGCAGGCATAGAGTCTGGAGACGACGTCGTGAACGGTATGCCCAATGTTGTGTACAGGAAGTCGACAGATTCGGGGGTGGCAGTTGCATGGTGTGGGGTGCTTTCTGTGGGAACAGCCGTTCCCGACTTCTGGTCATCCGCGGAAACCTCACAGCTGCTGCTTACCGCGACCAGGTGCTCACCTCTGAACTCGTTCCTTTCATGGCGGCTCATGGCCTAGGTCTACAGTTCCAGCATGATAATGCTCGGCCGCATACCGCGATGTTGACACGAAATTTCCTTCAAAACGCTGGAATCAACGTCATGGACTGGCCATCGAGGTCCCCTGACCTTAATCCAATAGAGCACGTTTGGGATACACTTGGGAGAAGGCTTCGTGGTCTTAGGAACCAACCTCAGAATTTGCAGGAACTTGGCGCTGCCTTGCAAGAACAATGGCGCAGAATCCCCAACCACGTGTTCACAAGCATCAGGCAGTCGATGAGGAGACGGTGTTTGGCAGTGGTGAATGCGCGGGGCGGCCATACATGATATTGAACTGAGAAATTTCGCATTTTTATTCTTGTGACTTGACATTCTGTATACCCATGTTTTGGAACGGCGGTGTAGCCTAATGGAACTGATTACGGCACTGTCAGTGTATCGAGTACATCACACAGATCTCAGCAATGAAATAATAACAATTTAACCATCTTACCATCTCTTGTTCTTTTATAGTGCCCTGAAGAAAGAATGTGAAGTTTATTTTTTGACTCAGTATATATGTTATTTACATTTGAAGCATTTCTTGACACGCCTTGGATGTTGATGTCGACCAACTTCCGGTTTAGTATATATCCAAACGTTAAATGTGAAACCCTACGCAAATGTCCAAAGAGTAAACGTGAAACCCTACACAAATATCTAAACAATAAACATGAAACCCAACACAAATATCAAACAGTAAACGTGAAATCCAACACAAATATCCAAACAGTAAACGTGAAACCCTACACAAACATGTAAACGTGAAACCAGTGTACACAACTATCTAAACAGTAAACGTGAAACCTACACAGATATCAAATAGTAAACGCGAAACCTACACAGATATCAAACAGTAAACGCGAAACCCTACACAAATATGTAAACAGTAAACGTGAGACCTACAGTGTACATAATTATCTAAACAGTAAACGTGAAACCTACACAGATATCAAACAGTAAACGTGAAACCTACACAGATATCAAATAGTAAACGCGAAACCCTACACAAATATCCAAACAGTAAACACGAAACCTTACTGAGAATTCGTGAAGCCACAGGAAACTGAATACACAGTGAAAACAGTAAAATGTCACAGGTTATAGCTTGAAATTCAGGTACGCTTTAACCAGGTAGGCAACTATAACACCATGCCACAATGGCCTCAAGAGCTGTGTTAGTAAACACGTGGCACTACGGTTAGTTATGATTTGTTTGTTTATTTGTTTGTTGTTTGGCGCAGCTCTCAGAAATATCCCAGCGATATTATGGTGGTCTGTAAATAATCGAGTCTGGACCAGATAATCTAGTGATCAACAGCATGAACATCGATCTACGCATGTGTCATGATACGATGACATGTGTCAACCGAGTCAGCGAGCTTGAACACTCGATCCCGTTAGTCGCCTCATACAACAAGCATGGGTTGCTGAAGACAACTTCTAGTCCGGTTCTTCACGGGTCAGTAAGTTATGTGGAAGATAAACTACTACAATCCATGTATATAGTTCAACATAGTATGAAGTTGACTATCCCATAAATGGAGAAAGTAAATTTTCTTGTAGTAGTGACAATGAACCTGCTTTATTAGCATTTATGGTTGAAGTTCAACGACCTGTGTATCACATAAAGAGAAAAAATGACTTTCATTCAGGCGATTCGGGTGAGGTCACAACGGAGAACTGGGGACACCAGATGAAGAACCTTGAGGGATGTTTCTCAAAAAGTCATCCAAAGATTGGCTAGACTGAACTAGCTTTACCAGGTGGTTCTGGTTCTGTCGATGTCGCCTATCCAGCCCACCCAAGGCATATTGTGATGTTACCCATACCATTACACTTCCATCCCAGAAAAATGACGACGTTGAGAATTGCAAGCGTCGCTAAACCGATCTCCTGGACACCAGAAGGCCCAAACACAACCTTCAGAGATGTCCAGATGACACTTGAACTAAACTAAAGTATACTGTCCCACTCTTGTCTTCTTATGCTCTCATCTACCTGCCTGACGGGGAAGCCAAATCGGGGCCGGATGTTGCTCCAACGACTGGTTACAAACTGTTCTGCAACTTATTGGTCTTATACGGGGAATTGTCGAATGTGTCGGGTTGGTATAGATTCCGCTATTGCAGAATATGGATGTCTGGTTGACCGCTATTGCACTAACAGAAAATGGATGTCTGGTTGACCGCTATTGCACTAACAGAATATGGATGTCTGGTTGACCGCTATTGCACTAACAGAATATGGATGTCTGGTTGACAGCTATTGCACTAACAGAATATGGATGTCTTGTTGACCGCTATTGCACTAACAGAATATGGATGTCTTGTTGACAGCTATTGCGGTAACAGAAAATGGATGTCTTGTTGACAGCTATTGCACTAACAGAATATGGATGTCTTGTTGACCGCTATTGCACTAACAGAATATGGATGTCTTGTTGACCGCTATTGCACTAACAGAATATGGATGTCTTGTTGACCGCTATTGCACTAACAGAATATGGATGTCTTGTTGACCGCTATTGCACTAACAGAATATGGATGTCTTGTTGACCGCTATTGCACTAACAGAATATGGATGTCTGGTTGACAGCTATTGCACTAACAGAATATGGATGTCTGGTTGACCGCTATTGCACTAACAGAATATGGATGTCTTGTTGACCGCTATGGCACTAACAGAATATGGATGTCTGGTTGACAGCTATTGCACTAACAGAATATGGATGTCTTGTTGACCGCTATTGCACTAACAGAATATGGATGTCTGGTTGACCGCTATTGCACTAACAGAATATGGATGTCTGGTTGACCGCTATTGCACTAACAGAATATGGATGTCTTGTTGACCGCTATTGCACTAACAGAATATGGATGTCTGGTTGACCACTATTGCACCAACAGAATATGGATGTCTGGTTGACCGGCCTGTGGCACCAACAGAATATGGATGTCTGGTTGACCGGCCTGTGGCACCAACAGAATATGGATGTCTGGTTGACCGACCTGTGGCACCAACATAATATGGATGTCTGGTTGACCGGCCTGTGGCACCAACAGAATATGGATGTCTGCTTGACCGGCCTGTGGCACCAACATAATATGGATGTCTGCTTGACCGGCCTGTGGCACCAACAGAATATGGATGTCTGGTTGACCGGCCTGTGGCACCAACGGGATATGGATGTCTGGTTGACCGGCCTGTGGCATGTTATAAGTGTTGCCCTGCTGTAGTATAATAGGTTCCAAAGAGATAAATATGTCCGCATACTCATGGAGGATAGACGTACACCCCGCGTGTGTGAGCATCATGTTTCCCACAAATCGCCGTGCATGAACATGCACGTGAAAATTGGCAATCACGACCATCAAATTGAGGAGATGTCTCAATTCAAAGATGCATTATTTTATTTCTGAATGTCTTATTGAACTTCATATGAAGCACAGTTGCTTGTTTACAGTTAATATATATACATATGGAACTTAAATAAGCACACACACCCCCCCCCACACACACACACCCTGTTTTTTCATATTGTCATGAAACTGAGCAACTATTACCATTGGTATGTATACTGGAAGGCTTCAACGCTATTGTTTCCTGGAAGTTGACATTTCAGACTAAACAATAACAACAAATTCATGACAGTTTGCAATATGTTAATTTACTAAATGACATGAAAACGTCAACGATGTTTTGCGAACAAAATATATCCCTGTACAACTATGGGGCAGCAGTTTCAAAATGGGAGAGGTGAGTGTCTCTCAGTCTGAAAATGTTCTCTGTTATCTTCAGACAACAAATACATGAAAAATGTTAATAGCGTGCATATCCACCTTGTGCACGGATGGCTGCTTATGACCCCCTCCTCATGCTTGTCGCGAGTCTCCGGATTCGCTCCAAAGGCAGCTGCTGCCACCCCCGGCGACAAGTTGGTTCCAAACATGCCAGATCTTGTACAGGCGGATTCAGCGCTTGCACTCGGCGTCCAAGAATGACCCAGACAGGATCCAATGGGTTCAGATCAGGGCTCATAGCAGGCCATGGAAGATTGGTTACAGCGTTGTTGGAGTAAAACGTCACAAGTCGGGAACGATGTGGTCGGGCGTTGTCATCCATAAATACAGGGCGAGTGATTAACGGGTGGTTATCAAAATGTGGCACAAGAACAGGATCCAGATTGCCCCCGATGTCGGTCGCCATTGAGATTTCCACGAACAGTTACCAAGTCCAGATTACAATCATGGCAGAGACACCCCCAGACCATGACAGATCCATCACCGTAAGGAACTGATGCTCTGATGTTCTTAGGCTCATAGGCACTGTTCTTGGTCCTCCAGATTCGCTGGCGCCCGTCTGTGACGAGCAATAAAAGTGACTCTCATCCGACCAATGCACCTTCCTCCGTGACGTCAAATTCTAATGACGTCGGGGTAAACACCACTCCAAATGACCTCTCTTGTGAAGATTGGTCAAGGCGGGACGCTTGATCACCGTTCTTGCCGTCATCCCATGTGCCTTTATGCGGTTTTTAGTCCTATTGCACAGACGTCTGTTGGGGAGCCATAGGTGTTTCAGGACGCCATTTGTAGTGAAAGCCTGACGTCTCACAAGGCTTGCTAAATCCCGATCCTCAACTTGAGACGTCTTTCGGGGTTGTCCTTAACCTTGTTGGTTTGACGGTGTTTTTGATCAAGTCGACTTATGACGGTGTGGTAAATGTCAAGCTGTCGCCCAATAGCCCTGCATGGCATCCCAGTGTCGTGCATTCCAATACTTTTCCATCCTCTTGCTTCTGGTAGTCTGATACGTGTCATTGTAACATATACTGGTAAAATCATTAAAACGTTTTGGCGTTTTATGCACTTAGCCGCATTGAGTTAATAGTGCTTTTTGAGATAACCATGGGTAGTGTCCTTCAATTGCATGCTGGGATGTTTTCTGACGATTGATTTAACAAAACCCTTAAACAATATTGAAAGGGAATACAGTTCAAATAATAGTCATCTTTACAATTCAAGATTTATCATTAGGTAAGTCAGTAGCTTAAAATATGTCAGGGGGTGCTTAATAACTTCCATGTGCATACATAGTGAACTTACTTTATTACGGTGGAAGCTAACCTGTGTGGGTGTGGGTGAACTCACCTTTTTATTATGGTGGAAGCTAACCTGTGTGGGTGTGGGTGAACTCACCTGTGTAGCATAGTGAAAGTGACACTGTTCTGCAAACAGCGGCTGTGCTGCTTGGAATAAGTACTGGTGGTTGTCTAGGCAACGGTTTGAAGCGGGATTCCTGGCCTAGGAATGGACAGAAATACAATGACGGGGATTATATAAGTAGCAGTATTTTCAATGGTACTCTTTCATCGTAAGACTTAGTTATATTTGTCTCCATATACTTACCGACCCCCAAGCCACCGCATTCTTATCATAGACGTTGAGTTCAGGCCAGTGATTCTCTAGGAACCATGTGAAACTCTTGCATCCTAGCCTTTCCTTTAACGCCAGACGTTCACTCAGGTCTCCGACATCCATAGACTGCAGATCAGAGGTACAATAATATTGACACTAGTACACAATCACAGATTATCCGGGTAACAACAGTGGAACCAGCATCACTACGGATGTTTTTGTATTTTTTTCATAATTATTGGCGTAAAGTTTATCGTAAAATAGAACTAACGTCAAGGTCATAATATAGAAAAATACTAAGTACTGTAGGAAGAGTGTTAAGCTAAACTCACGCCATGGCTGAAATGAACTTAAGTCAGGTAACACTGAAGCTATCTTTCAAGGGAATTTGCGAATGACACTCCACGGGGGCAAGACAGTCAAGACGAAATGCCATGCGTTTCTCTTTGCCTCGGACGTAAGTATATCTGGACCCACTTTCACAAAGGGATATATGGTAGAAGGAAGCCTATGCTGTTGTATGCGGGTCACGATCACCTTGGTGCTAAGATCGCTGTGTACAAGTGAACCCTGATGTCCAGACGCCTTATTGTACATGTGAAACCCGAGATTCGCAGCTTACCTCCATCTCAGGGAAGTAATCGTAGATGAACTTCTTGTAGGGCGGGTCTATCCACACGTCCACAGCCCGCTTGTAGTTGAACACCTCTGTCTCTCGCCGACCCTCCGGGAACTTGTAGGGCTGGACCCGGGCGATGTGCCCCACCTTGCTGCAGGGGAGATGCACGAGCCGCCCGCCGCACATCCACACCTGTCATTATCAACATCCTGTTTATTTGAAATACTCCCAATAATTTTGCATTCGTGAAGATTCGGATCAGAATTGGTCTTCATCAACCCATGCTTGTCGTAAAAGGCGACTTGTTTGACACATGTCATCGTATCCCAATTGTGTAGAACGATGCTCATGCTGTTGATCACTCCATTGGTCCAGACTCGATTATTTGCAGTGAGTGAGTGGGCGAGTTTGGTTTTACGCCGCTTTTAGCAATATTCCAGCACTATCACGGCGGGGACATCAGAAATGGGCTTCACACATTGTACCCATGTGGGGAATCGAACCCGGGTCTTCGGCGTGACGAGCGAACACTTCAATCACTAGGCTACCCTGCCGTCCCGATTATTTACAGACCGTCGCTATATAGCTGGAATATTGCTGAGTGCGGCGTAAAACTAAACTCACTCACTCAAAGAAATGGAATATTGCTGAGTGCGGCGATTTTCACCAAAGGTCGAAAACTGTTTGTCACCACGAAAACCTATACTCTAATAACATATTCTGAAAATTGTGGTTATTTCAGTTAGTAACACTGAACTTGTATAAACATATAATACTTCATGTTTAAAAAGGCCTTTACTATGACAGGTATTAGAGGATAGTCCTTTCAATACATTCTCTGTACACGAACAACCTTCTCTATATGGCGTTGAGACTGTAATTTGCTGACAATTCTCTTTGTACTTCGAGCGTATGTCGACGTGATTAGCTATGAAGGCTTTCTATAAGTTGCATGTACTCTTTCGTATGTAGAAATTATGTATGTAGTTTGCTCCACATTATGCAGGTGCGATACACCCCGTGAATTACTCTGTGCACTATGTTGGGAGTTCTATAGACTATAAATTATTTATACACCCTTTAGCGTGTACATATGCTTTCTATAAAATATAGGCCATCTTTACACTGACAGGATAAAATCCTTGTACTGAACTTCACGCCGCATACAGGCCCTGCACAATACTCGCTATGTGTATCCTGAAGTCACTCACAACTGAGCATGCGTACCCGCCAGGCAATCTCCAGGTTCTCGCCTCCCCAAACCTTCATTTTCTCATCAAAGCCGCCGATTTCCGCGAAGTATGTTTTGTCCACGGCATAAGCCGTACCCACCATCACCGAGCCCCTGAAAGGAAAAGTTCATAACGCATATATTATTGTATATATCAGGTGTCACCATCACCGATCCTCTGTAAGGATAAGTTCATAACGCATGTAGTGTTGTATATATCAGGTGTCACCATCACCGAGCCTCTGTAAGGATATAAGTTCATAACGCATGCAGTGTTGTATATATCAGGTGTCACCATCACCGAGCCTCTGTAAGGATATAAGTTCATAACGCATTTAGTGTTGTATATATCAGGTGTCACCATCACCGAGCCTCTGTAAGGATGTAAGTTCATAACGCATGTTATTGTATATATCAGGTGTCACCATCACCGAGCCTCTGTAAGGATATAAGTTAATAACGTGTGTAGTGTTGTATATATCAGGTGTCACCATCACCGAGCCTCTGTAAGGATATAAGTTCATAACGCATGTAGTGTTGTATATATCAGGTGTCACCATCACCGAGCCTCTGTAAGGATATAAGTTCATAACGTGTGTAGTGTTGTATATATCAGGTGTCACCATCACCGAGCCTCTGTAAGGATGTAAGTTCATAACGCATGTAGTGTTGTATATATCAGGTGTCACCATCACCGAGCCTCTGTAAGGATATGAGTTCATAACGCATGTAGTGTTGTATATATCAGGTGTCACCATCACCGAGCCTCTGTAAGGATATAAGTTCATAACGCATGTAGTGTTGTATATATCAGGTGTCACCATCACCGAGCCTCTGTAAGGATGTAAGTTCATAACGCATATATTGTTGTATATATCAGGTGTCACCATCACCGATGTAAGTTCTGCAAGGTTGTATAAGTTCACCATCAACTGTAATGTAATGTTGTATATATCAGGTGTCACCATCATCGAGCCTCTGTAAGGATAAGTTCATAACGCATGTAGTGTTGTATATATCAGGTGTATATATCAGGTGTCACCATCACCGAGCCTCTGTAAGGATATAAGTTCATAACGCATGTAGTGTTGTATATATCAGGTGTCACCATCACCGAGCCTCTGTAAGGATATAAGTTCATAACGCATGTAGTGTTGTATATATCAGGTGTCACCATCACCGAGCCTCTGTAAGGATATAAGTTCATAACGCATGTAGTGTTGTATATATCAGGTGTCACCATCACCGAGCCTCTGTAAGGATGTAAGTTCATAACGCATGTAGTGTTGTATATATCAGGTGTCACCATCACCGAGCCTCTGTAAGGATGTAAGTTCATAACGCATGTAGTGTTGTATATATCAGGTGTCACCATCACCGAGCCTCTGTAAGGATATAAGTTCATAACGCAGTGTTGTAGTGTTGTATATATCAGGTGTCACCATCACCGAGCCTCTGTAAGGATGTAAGTTCATAACGCATGTAGTGTTGTATATATCAGGTGTCACCATCACCGAGCCTCTGTAAGGATATAAGTTCATAACGCATTTAGTGTTGTATATATCAGGTGTCACCATCACCGAGCCTCTGTAAGGATATAAGTTCATAACGCATGTAGTGTTGTATATATCAGGTGTCCCCATCACCGAGCCTCTGTAAGGATATAAGTTCAAAACGCATGTAATGTTGTATATATCAGGTGTCACCATCACCGAGCCTCTGTAAGGATGTAAGTTCATAACGTGTGCAGTGTTGTATATATCAGGTGTCACCATCACCGAGCCTCTGTAAGGATGTAAGTTCATAACGCATGTAGTGTTGTATATATCAGGTGTCACCATCACCGAGCCTCTGTAAGGATAAGTTCATAACGCATGTAGTGTTGTATATATCAGGTGTCACCATCACCGAGCCTCTGTAAGGATATAAGTTCATAACGTGTGTAGTGTTGTATATATCAGGTGTCACCATCACCGAGCCTCTGTAAGGATATAAGTTCATAACGCATATATTGTTGTATATATCAGGTGTCACCATCACCGAGCCTCTGTAAGGATGTAAGTTCATAACGTGTGTAGTGTTGTATATATCAGGTGTCACCATCACCGAGCCTCTGTAAGGATAAGTTCATAACGCATTTAGTGTTGTATATATCAGGTGTCACCATCACCGAGCCTCTGTAAGCCCGAGCCTCTGTAAGGATAAGTTCATCATAACAGGTGTGTGCAGTGTTGTATATATCAGGTGTCACCATCACCGAGCCTCTGTAAGGATATAAGTTCATAACGCATATAGTGTTGTATATATCAGGTGTCACCATCACCGAGCCTCTGTAAGGATATAAGTTCATAACGCATGTAGTGTTGTATATATCAGGTGTCACCATCACCGAGCCTCTGTAAGCATGTAAGTTCATAACGCATGTAATGTTGTATATATCAGGTGTCACCATCACCGAGCCTCTGTAAGGATGTAAGTTCATAACGCATGTAATGTTGTATATATCAGGTGTCACCATCACCGAGCCTCTGTAAGGATATAAGTTCATAACGCATATATTGTTGTATATATCAGGTGTCACCATCACCGAGCCTCTGTATTGTATATATATAAGTTCATAACGCATGTAGTGTTGTATATATCAGGTGTCACCATCATCGAGCCTCTGTAAGGATGTAAGTTCATAACGCATGTAGTGTTGTATATATCAGGTGTCACCATCACCGAGCCTCTGTAAGGATGTAAGTTCATAACGCATATATTGTTATATATATCAGGTGTCACCATCACCGAGCCTCTGTAAGGATAAGTTCATAACGCATGTAGTGTTGTATATATCAGGTGTCACCATCATCGAGCCTCTGTAAGGATGTAAGTTCATAACGCATGTAGTGTTGTATATATCAGGTGTCACCATCACCGAGCCTCTGTAAGGATAAGTTCATAACGCATGTAGTGTTGTATATATCAGGTGTCACCATCACCGAGCCTCTGTAAGGATGTAAGTTCATAACGCATGTAGTGTTGTATATATCAGGTGTCACCATCACCGAGCCTCTATAAGGATATAAGTTCATAACGCATGTAGTGTTGTATATATCAGGTGTCACCATCACCGAGCCTCTGCAAGGATATGAGTTCATAACGCATGTAGTGTTGTATACATCAGGTGTTACTGGTCTCTTAATTAGAAGGCAGGACCTATATATGTACGAAGAGTTTAAAATGACTACGTGTGATAAAGTGCCAATGGCAGGCTTAAATACACAATGACTCGGTTAACAAAAAGTCCTGGGCCTCAAGGGAACACTCAAACAAATACTTTTGTTAAAAACGCATACACTCAGATTTTGATAAGTCAGTGATAATTGTACTACCACACAAGATACCTAAACAAACCAGTAGGAATAATGAACATAATACACGCTTAGGGAAAGCTAACTTTCACATGACTTATTTCTTATTTAGATTAAAAGCATTCTTATGATTGGAACACTTCAATCGAAAAGGACAAACCTACAAATCCACATATACTCACCTATTCCTCGTGTGACACATTTATTCCTCGTGTCACACCTAGACATCTACATTTATTCCTCGTGTCACAAAAGACATCAACATTTATTCCTCGTGTCACACCTAGACATCTACATTTATTCCTCGTGTCACACCAAGACATCTACATTTATTCCTCGTCTCACACCTAGACATCTACATTTATTCCTCGTGTCACACCTAGACATCTAAATTTATTCCTCGTGTCACAAAAAGACATCTACATTTATTTCCCGTGTCACACCTAGACATCCACAGGTTTTCCCCCTGTCACGCCTTGATATCAACATTTATTCCCCGTGTCAAATCTAGACATCTGCAGGTATACTCTGTGTTACATCAAGATATCCACAGGTATTCCTCGTGTCACACCTAGACATCTACATTTATTCCTCCTGTCACACCTAGACATCAAGATTTATTCCTCGTGTGACACCAAGACATCAACATTTATTCCTCGTGTCACACCTAGACATCGAAATTTTTCCTCGTGTCACACCTAGACAATAACATTTATTCCTCGTGTCACACCTAGACATCAAGATTTATTCCTCGTGTCACAAAAAGACATCTACATTTATTTCCCGTGTCACACCTAGACATCCACAGGTTTTCCCCCTGTCACGACTTGATATCAACATTTATTCCCCGTGTCACATCTAGACATCTGCAGGTATACTCTGTGTTACATCAAGATATCCACAGGTATTCCTCGTGTCACACCTAGACATCTACATTCCTCCTGTCACACCTTTATTCCTCGTGTGACACCAAGACATCAACATTTATTCCTCGTGTCACACCTAGACATCTACATTTATTCCTCGTGTCACACCTAGACATCTACATTTATTCCTCGTGTCACACCTAGACATCAACATTTATTCCTCGTGTGACACCAAGACATCAACATTTATTCCTCGTGTGACACCTAGACATCTACATTTATTCCCCGTGTCACACCTAGACATCAACATTTATTCCTCGTGTCACAAAAAGACATCTACATTTATTCCTCGTGTCACACCTAGACATCAACATTTATTCCTCGTGTCACACCTAGACATCTAAATTTATTATTCCTCGTGTCACACCTAGACATCAACATTTATTCCTCGTGTCACACCTAGACATCAAGATTTATTCCTCGTGTGACACCAATACATCAACATTTATTCCTCGTGTGACACCAAGACATCTAGATTACCCATGTCAAATCTAGACACCCACAAGAATCCTTATTGTATCAAATACAGCGACTTTCTGGCATACTCTTCATGTCTGCTAACAACCCATACAAGAAACAGAGAAAAACCCACATCAAATATCTATCGATATCACTAAATAGAGTTATATACGCATAATACATCACCTCAATTTCTGGATATAGTCAAAATACTGAAATAATGACCTGAGGCATGTCCCTCCATCAGGAGGAGTAAACGTACGGTTTTGGGCTGTGGTTTCCTTCTCCATAATGGTCAGGCCGGAAGAAAGTCTCAAAGAAGATGAGTCTCCAGTCAAAGCCGTAGCGGGTGACGTAGTTTTCATGCCACGTGTACTGCATGGTGTCCGCCTGTATGTAGTCCAGTGTTCCGAGAGCCACCGTCTTCCGGTCCTTCTTTATCTCGGTCAACAGGGGCTGTAGCCTGGCGGAATCAAGGGCCGTTACACAAAACTGTACACATGGGAGTTTAGACACGGGACGAAAAGACGGATTTTACATCACGGAACCAAATGCAAATACAGTTTGAAAACCATATTTTGGCCGCATTTGTGTATTTTTCCTAAAATTAGCTATTTTTATTTCATATGAAGATACACATTCGGAATATATGATCAACGTTTATGACTGTATGCAGATATTACGAAGCATGAATTCAGAACTTTGATACCTCAGTAAATACTTGATCACAGAGTATTTCCAATACATTCCTTTTATTTATAACCTGTACATATCCGATTCCAAGCTTATCTGGGTTTAAAATATATTTCCGTATTGAAATGAGTTAATGCCATAGAAAATGATATATAATTCCGGATATTAGGGGTATGTATTTGAAAGTTTGTATATAATCATGTGACCGGTACCAACACAGGAAGATCATAGATAATGTGAAATATAAGGTTCACATTGATCTATTTTCTATATTCGGTTACTTTTGCCATTGAGCCTCACATAAGGTCATTAAGCAACACAAGTTATACAAGCTGACATGTTTCAATTAGGCCAAGAGCTTAGTAACTTCACATCAATCGGTTGCTAGTACTATAGACAAATGTGAGTGTAGCAGAAAAGGGCTCCAGACAGTCAGTGACTGAGTTTAGTATTACGCCTCTTTTATCAATATTCAAGCAATATCACGGCGGGGGACACTAGAAATGGGCTTCACACATTGTACCCATGTGGGGAATTGAACCTGGGTCTTCGGGACTCGAGACAGATTTTGAGCCATTTAGCGTATACCCACATATTATCACTCACGTATTAAGTTGCAATGAGCAAGAATTCCAAAGATGTAGCTGGCAACTAGGACCTAGCATAAACCACATTCACTCACTGAAGCCAGGCAATAATCAACACGACTGGTTTCTGTCCGTATGCGAATGCAGGAGTCCGTTAACTTGGTAGGACTGGGGGACAAGACAATTCACAGCATACGAAGCGGGACGACGTAGTCTAACAGCATCTTACCAGTAACGTATGTTACTAACCAGTCGATATTCACCTCCATGTGACTATCAAATATGACAATAACGTCACCCTCAGCCATCTTCCATCCCATTTGTCGGGCCTTGATAAGGCCCATTCTCCCGGGCATGCGCACGACTCGCACCAGACCTTCGGGGAACTTCTCAGACACATATGTGCTTAAATTGCCTTTAAGTTCTGCTGAAAACAAGAAACACCTACGTTTATTTCTAAGATATTTAAGGCACAACTAAATATTCCGCCAGATAATGGACTACGGTTGCCTGATTCCCGATTGTTTGGGGCTTGTGTTGCATTAGTAGGGCCCGTTTTAGGTCACGGCACCTTAGTACTCCCGGTGACAAACGACGTACGCTTGGTCCGGTCTAGTAAAGTCATATATGGCGGTCGCGCAGTTTGGATCCAGAACTGATTCTTGAATATACGCTTCTCACCGGAAATCTGGTACCGGAAGTAAGCTGAGCCCCGTCTCGCATATCGCCATTTGGCCCACGCAATCAGCTTAGCACCGGCAGTTGCGCCTCGCGAGATACTGGCCCTATTGCCCTAAAGATGTCACTGATTGCTCTCAACGTTTGTCTTTGTAGGTAATTCAATGATCAACCTGTACGTATAGCTGACATATTTATTCATAAGAATTTACTGCTTTATGTTTTAACGTTCATTGAACTATGCGGATGCGTACCTCTTTACGTTAATAACTGCATTAACGCAAACAATGGAAGTCATTTCTTAATAAGCAACGCTAATTAAAACATGATGACCTCATTCATACTTAACTACGTCACCTCACACATATCCCTGTCAACTCATCCGTCATTGTCAACTCACACATGCGTCGATCAACTCACACATGTCCCTGTCAACTCACACATGCTACCATCAACTCACACATGCTACCATCACCTTACACATGTCCCTGTCAACTCACACATGCGTCGATCAACTCACACATGTCCCTGTCAACTCACACATGCTACCATCAACTCACACATGCTACCATCAACTCACACATGCTACCATCAACTCACACATGCTACCATCAACTCACACATGCTACCATCAACTCACACATGTCCCATCAACTCACACATGCTACCATCAACTCACACATGCTACCATCAACTCACATGCTACCATCAACTCACACATGCTACCATCAACTCACACACATCAACTCACCATGCTACGGTCAACTCACACATGTCCCTGTCAACTCACACATGCTACCATCAACTCACACATGCTACCATCAACTCACACATGCTACCATCAACTCACACATGCTACCATCAACTCACACATGCTACCATCAACTCACACATGCTACCATCAACTCACACATGCTACGGTCAACTCACACATGTCCCTGTCAACTCACACATGCTACCATCAACTCACACATGGTACTGTCGTCATCCAGCAGCAGGATCTCCTGCAGCAGGTGCCTGGGCGTCCTGTTGATGATGCTGTAGACAGTCCTCAGCAGGATGGAGGGCCACTCGTTGTGGAATGGGATGATAATGGAGGCAGTGGGGAGGTCGTGGTCATAGGAGACGTCCTTGCATCTACACACACACAAACAAACAAACACAGGGGCACTTTTAGAATCAGCTGTACATAAATGCACACAAACGTAAAAATATGCAGGGGCCATATAAATTCACAATTGAAGAATTTTCAGAAATATAACTATTGTTCCAGTCTGTAGATTTTAAAAAAATTAATAGATATAAACAAAATGTCCATAGAAATATGTATTGTGATTAAAGAAACACTTACTCTTGGAACCGCGAATCCGGCACAATCCTGTTGAGTGGAATTCTGTCACTAGCAAGAGTATTCACTCGATGCGTTTCGAGAACATTTCGAACCTTCTCCATGTCATCGGACTCGAACGCAACTCCCCGTCCATTTTCTCCCACCGCCCGGGGGTCGTTTTTTCCATAATTATCAATTAATGGATTTCCAATTTTCAAATCAGAATTTTTTCTGAATTCTTCTGCGGTTACCATACGTCTTTTTACACACACGCATATTGGATAAGTTTGATATGTTTGCCAGTCCCGTCTGTAGGCGTCCTCTCATGACGTACAACGACAGCAGCGCCAGCTGCACGAACAGACACGTCACGAGGTAGCGCTCTGACAGACGCATCGTCAGTCTACGTCTTCACGGAGTCACGTGATGTCTAGAAGCCCCAACAAAATCCCATTCGTAATGGACAACTTCTGGCTCTGTGACACAGCAACTGAAATGTACGGAGTGGTACGCTATCATGACACACTTATCCGGTATAACTAATTTCTCTATATGTCATAACCCGTGAAGGTGCGGGTTAGAATATTGATCTTCAGTAACCCTTGCTTATCGTAAGAGGCGACTAACGGGATCGGGTGGTCAGGCTCGCTGACTTGGTTGACACATGTCATCGGTACCCAGTTGCGCAGATCGATCCTCATGCTGTTGATCACTGGATTGTCTGGTCCAGACTCGATTATTTACAGACCGCCGCCATATAGCTGGAGTATTACTGAGTGCGGCGTAAAACTAAACTCACTCACTCTATATGTCATAAACAATCTATATCTATAATTGTGTTTTGTTATTTGATCGTCATGCATTAGCTACGGGTGACACAGCTGCAGCTTGAACCTTGTATTTTGTAACGATTTTCAATGGAACCTTTGTGTATAGTTTCTTTTGTTTGGTATCATCATCCCACAACGGTGTGTGGTCCATGCCTGGCTGCCCCCGTCGTGATGTTGCTGACACATTGCTAAAACGAACTTATACAAACAACCAGTCACTCCTCCCAGTATATAAAGATGATCCAATGACACACACACCTTTAACTTTCTTGTCTATCTTTCACCTGGCTGATTTGTAATGAATTACAGTGCCTATCTAATTTTGAATTCGTACTGACGTTTTTTTGCTGCTGAGTATATATAGCTTTGCAACCTATTGGGCTTACACGAAAAAAATGGCTTGCTACGCGCCTGGAAGAAGTTTTGATATAAGAACATTAGATCTACTCCAGCATACGTGTCTCGTATTGATGACACTATTAAGGGATCGGTTACTAAATTACCTGGCAAAAGAAGTCCATGGCTGTGAAGTCCATTTCTAGTGACCCACGCCGTGATATTGCGGTAATATTGCTAAAAGCGGCGTAAAACTACAAACACTCACTCAGTCGGTCGATGATGTCAGCAGGAATCCTGTTCCATATGTCCAAGAGAGTCTGTTCACGTTCCTGTCGGTTGTTTGGAGGTGGTACACGCTGTCCAAGACAATACGTTGACGTTAACGTTGTGCAGGTATTCTCGAACAAGTCTGGCGGCGTGAGGCCTTGTGTTGTCATGCTGCAAAATGACTCCTCTTGGCTGTTGTCGAATAAAGGGCATCACAAAAGGTCTCAACACTTCATCCCTGTATCGCTGGGCATTCAGATTTCCTCGGATGATAACCAGTCTTGTTGTTCTCTGTAGTCCTCCTCCTTCTTGAACGCTGTTTGGCGCCAGTCTCCTCTACGTCGACAAACTCGCCATCGTTTCTGAACCGACTTTCATCTGTATAAAGGACTCTCTCCCAGTCACGTCGCTGCCACCGACGTAGAGTTCGAGCCCATTGCTGTCTGCGTTGACGGTGTACACGGGTCAAGGCCATTCCACGGAAGGAGCGGTAGGCTCGTATACCAGCCATACCAAGTCGAAGGACTGTTCGTCCTAGTTCTGTCGCCGACGTTGACGCCGCCGTCACGAATCTGTTCCGGAGGTGGATCTTCCGGATGTAGCGGTCTTCGGCCGGTGTCGTGACTCTTGGACTTCTTCATTTGGGGCGGTCTTGGGTCTGACCTGTTTGCTGGTAGCGGTTTATCAATTTGCCGATGATTACCTGGTTGCAGTTGAACGTTCTTGCCAGCTGACGATGTGAAGCCCCCATATTGGCCATACCGATCGCGTTGACGTATGTCTTATTCGTGGTGTTTTTTTGGTTCCTGCATGCTTTGCTCTGTCCAACATCAGTATTTATGCCACAATAATGCACGTGCATTTGTACTAACGTCCCACAATTATGATTTTCACGTTTTGAAAAAATGCACGATATGTACTTAGTGTACGGACAGCTGCATTGTTATCGAGACCATGTTGCGTTTTAGCGAATGCTTCCTGCGTGGGTTCAAACCTGTACCAGCGTTTTTGGTTTTTATACAATTACTTTAAAGTGATAACTTTCTTTAGCCCGGTAGTTTAGTAACTAGGGAATGTCGTTATCAACCATATGCTACACTTCCGTGAACATGTTTAACATGCTCAAATTTAGGGGATGTTCTGAGATCCCAGCCTTATTCATCTAATAGACCATGAACGTGTTCAGTAATTTAACAGCGACAAAACGCTTTTCATGACCATCAGATCTTCATGCAAAAAGCTGAGTCTACTGTACGATATCGACATGGGCGAGTCGTTATGATTCTACATCAACAAGAGAATATGCCAGGTGTTCAGATGGGACTTCTGTTGATAAAGAGAGAGCTATGTGGGTGTATAAAGTCCTCGTGTTTGTGAAAGTCTTTCGATTCAATAAATAAATCCGGGTGTTCGTGTGTCTATCTTGCTTCAGTAAACAAATCAGGGTGTTACTGGGTCATCGACATCCACCCGTAAAGACTCGGTTTAGAATTGGTCTTCAGGAACTCACGCTTGTGGTAAGAGGCGACTGAGGTGGATCCAGGTATATGTTAATATACCAAGTGTTTTAACAGACAGTTAGTGCGTGGTGTTTGCACAAGACTAATTATCAATTGTACTTGAGAATAGTAGATCTAAAATCAAGTGCGCTTCAATAACATATTCATATACTCACTGTTCAACCTGCTACAATACTTCAGAAAGTTTCCCAGCTCTTATCCATGCTTCCAGTCTTCTGGAGTAGACGACCAGCATGCCGTCTCACCCGTTCCCGATAACGCCTCCCTAACAGGTGTCTGGTCTCACAACATTGCACGTAACAAGCAGGTCACTGATTAACTTTACTCTCGCCATTGTCGCATCAAAACGTGTTGTACAGTCGATGCCGCCATGTTTTTGATTATACACGCAAGAGTATTTTGCACACGGCACTAAACATTTAGTCTTTGAGAACATCAGATAACTGCTTCTTTTGTCACGTATGATAGATATGTTTTGTCGCAGAGTTCATGGCACTATCTACAAGGGTTCCCACTGCTGCCACATTAACACTGACGTAGTATAACACGTTATCTTTGGGAGTTTGGGAAAGTGTAAGTGTCAACCCAAATACGTGTTACCATTTGACCAAATTCTTCAAAGGCATCTAGAAGTTGGTGTAGTAATACAAGACAAATCTTATGGATAACAACTTCTTGATTTCTTTTGTGTAAAAGAAATCAAGAAGTTGTTATCCATAAGATTGTCTTGTATTACATTTGACCACTTTCAAATGGCAGTGTGTATTTATTGACGTAGTAGAAGTACTATGCGTAGTAGTAGTGGTTGAAGTAGTTGTAGTAGTAGTCCTGCTGAAGTAGTAGTAGCAGCAGCTGTAGTAGTAGTAATCCTAGCAGTAGCTGAAGTAGTAGTAGTAGTAGTAGCAGCAGCAGCTGTAGTAGTAGTAGTAGCAACGCAGCAGCAACTGTAGTAGTAGTAATCCTAGCATCAGCTGAAGTAGTAGTAGTAGTAGTAGCAGCAGCAACAGCAATTTACAGCAGCAGTAATAGCAGGAGAAGTAATCAGGCGCGTAGCAAGCATTTTTTCGTGTAAGCCCGATAGGTTGCAAAGCTGTATATTCAGTTAGTATTGAGGGCTTGCCCAACCTTTTTAGCAACAAGCATGTGTAAGCCCGGGCTTTTTGGATAATGGTAGTTACGCCACAGCAACAGCAAAACAGTGGTAGTAGTAGTAGCTGCAGCAGCAAATCAGTAGCAGTAGCAGTGACAGCAGCAGCAACAGCAGTAGCAGTAGTAGAAGTAGTAGTAGTAAAATAAGAATTCATTCTATGTACACAATGACTGACTAGAGAAACGTGAAAATTAAAAAATGACATAAAAAAGAAATCAATATTCTTTTTTTAAAGTAAATAAATGCTATTTTTCACAGAAAGAACTACTATATACGTGTGTGAGTGAGTGAGTAAGGTTTTACGCCACTTTTAGCAATATCCCAGCAATATCACGGCGGGGGACACCAGAAATGGACTTCAAACATTGTGCCCCTGTGGGGAATCGAACCCGGGTCTTCGGCGTGACGACCGAAAGCTTTAACCATTCGGCTACCCCATGGCCCCAACTATATATAAAGTAACTTCTCTCTCTTTTAGCTCCATGTTAACATTATGCTTACATAGATACATCATTAAACATTCAGTTGTTGGCTTCTACGGGTAAGTGTTATAGGTGGTGTAAGCGCCTTGTGCAAGCATCATCACCTGTGTCAGATGCTCACTTGTGTAGTATCTTTGTTTGTTTATGTGTTTTTCGTGGTCACTGATAAATACATAAAGGTAAACTTAAATAGGAGTAGGTACACATTTAACAGGTTTATGGAGAGAGGAAAATGGAAAAGATATGAGTAAAAGTGTGAAACATTCTTCATCTCAATACACCCGTGAAGATCCGGGTTGGAATTGGTCTTCAGTAACCCATGCTTGTCGTAAGAGGTGACTAACGGGATCGGGTAGTCAGGCTCGCTGACTTGGTTCACACATGTCATCGGTTCCCAATTGCGTAGAACGATGCTCATGATGTTGATCACTGGATTGTCTGGTCCAGACTCGATTATTTACAGACCATGTAGCTGAAATATTGCTGAATGTGGCGTAAAACTAAATTCACTCACTCATTCCTTTCGCAACATAGCAAATCTGGGTAACCATGTGGTATCGAACTACTGCCGTCATTTGACAAATGTCATTTATCGCCTATGTACGATTATGTAGTTTTGAAACTGATTAATACATTGTTAAAATTTCTACATTGATGAACTGTGGCCATCGTTTCAGAGTGAGTGAGTGAGTTTAGTTTAACCCCGCTTTTAACAATAGTCCAGCAATATCACGGCGGGGGACACCAGAAATGGGCTTCACACATTGTGCCCCTATGGGGAATCGAACCCGCTTCTTCGGCGTGACGAGCGAACGCTTTAACCACTAGGCTGCCCAAATACCCCCATTGTTCAGAATGGTTAAATATTCATCTGACGATGCTTAGAATATCTGATGACGTATGTGGTTTTGAATGTTAAATTTTTGTTTCTGTGAATACCTTTCAATTTAATCATTTTCGCCTATGACATCTGGAACTTGGTCAGAGATGAATGATTAGGTTTTGTCACGAAGCACAAAGCCATACAAAACCCGTAACCACTCAACAACATTGATCCTGTTTCCCGACATCGATAGTATGTCTGATGGTAGAATGAAGATGACCTTTGGAATAATTGGAAATGTCAAAGAGGTCCAAGCTGGCATGAATGTATTGGATATAGTTCACGGGGAAGACGAATGTAGAAACAGCAGGAAAATTACTGAAATCTTTCAACGCGTAATTTCACACTGAAGACGCCTTAAGAATTCATAGGTACTTTGTCTTAGAAATATCCAAATCTCTAAAGTTTGTTCGTGTATTTTAGGAATCTAGTTCCTGAAGCGCAGGCTTCTGTTTCATGTTCCATTCTACTTCTTAAATATGGCTTGCTAATCTTTTTACCTATTGATAAAGGTTGATAAATGTTGGGCGAAATTACCTCGTTTCCCGACTCTCTAAAAATAACAAAAAACAAAAGAAAACCAAACCAAAATTAGAATAGATAAAAAACGAAACCGAAAACAACAAAACATAAACAAGTGTTATAACAATCGAACTGGCTCTGTTATGTGTTATAATACGCTTTTGAGAGCAAATCTGAAATGTCTCTAATAATTTTTTTGGAAAAGATGTCTAATCCCTGTGGATCCCTGTAGTTTATGTATTTTATTTAGAAGGTTCCGATACCCGGCATTCATTCAGGTTCTTTGTACAATGAGTTTTTACATGTACGGATGGGTCTTTAGTGACACTGTATGGAACCCTGGAAGGGACATAAAAAGTGCATAACGTAACTAAAAATTGTGGGGTTTTTCAAGGTAACTATTCATTTAAAGCTGAGTCGTGAGATCAGCCGGGTGTTTACGAGTCAAGGTAGCGGTTTGAACCATAGATATATACAGGTGTGGTAAGTGGGGACCATATAATGAAATGCAATAACAATTAAATAAGTATCCAAAGAAGTATTAAGTGTAGTTACTGGAACATACAACTGAATGAAGTAGAAAGACAAACTGTGCATGACAAGGTTATAGGAGAAACATAAAATATTAATAAACACCTTACCGATCTGAAGTCTGTCGAATGTTTCTGCTTCTCTATATACAGATAACCTGCTGCGTCACGGTGGGTATGTGAGGGTGTGAAACAGGTCACGCTTCATGACCATCTTCTTTGTGAACAGACGACTGTCACGTGGTACCGCCTTGGCGACCTGTATGGGTATAACGTATCGGTTTCAATGATGTAAAAGTCCACACCTTTCTTTTTCTCAGGTGGTATGCTAACTTTTACTACAGCCCGTACCCATTTGAACTAATTTGCTTGCTTACCGGATATATCATCTAAGCTAGATCAGTTTAGTTCATCACGTTGGGGATTCACTGAGAGACTGCCTGTGATATATACTGTCATGCGTCTAATATCTGGAAACTTGGGCAAAGTGCGCTCTATGTCGGGAAGTCTCTCAACATAACAATTGTAATCTCCATGTCCATTAAGGCCCCCATTCTATTGTTGATAGAAGCCATGAGGTAATTAAGTATAAAGTTGCCTGTTCATTGAAGTAAATTTATAGTCACACAGGTGATTTTTTCCACCTAATAGGCAGCTAGTTTTAATTAGGAGTTTTGCAGTTGATATTTATTAAAAAGCTTCCTTGACGCAAGCTTTGTCACAATCACGAGCTTCCCTTCAGCACGTGGCCAAGTTACAGAATACGGTCTGTATTGGAGATGTACAAGGAATACAATGGTACCATCCAAACTCCTGGTAATAGGTTCTTGTAGACTACATCAGTTGATCATTGCCATCACCCACCCCCTCATCAGTATGCCTGACATTTCTCTGATGGACTGAGCAAGAACACAGAATACAGCACCAATCTATGACGCTGACATCATCTGTGAGGTAGAATCGTCACCTCCTACCCAACGACTACATGTTCACGAGAGGCTTTACTTGCTCCCAAAGTATCCCCTTATTTGTCAAAATTACAGACAGCAGCAAACATTTTCTGATAGGATGAAAGAAATAAAATATGTCAACGCTATTTCCCTGTATTGTTTTTACACGAAGTTGGTTCTTGGAATTCAAACAAGACGAATGTCTCTGCGTGACTTATTAAACCAAACTGTCCCACTTGACAAAACGTGTTTAAAGGTCTCTCGTGTTGACGAAAGGTCTGCCCATTGTTCTTGCTGGCTAAACCTGTACGCTCAGTTGGCTACCAACTGATGTCGGTCACTAGCCTAAGATGACGTTTTCAAGATGTGCTTCAGCTTCAGTTAGCGAGAAGCTTGGGTTGACCAGCTACCCATGTACTGGTGGGTGAGCTCGGATCGTGGAGTCGAGTAGTCCGGAGTGTTTCAGACTGGTCAAGAGTCGTGTCAAGAGTAATTGCTTTATTGCATGAAAACAAGGGACCCCTCCTATACCAGACCGAGGGATCTCTCACTACTTGTCGATTACTACAAGGGTATCGCTAAGCCTATTTGTAAGGGCTCCGCCATTCTAGGACGTCACAACACCAGGCTCCTGTTAAATATGAGCAGGTAGAATGGCCAATGAATTCGTTGCCAAAATCAGACATAAGAACGCTTTGACGTCATCAGTATTGTCCAATAGTTGTTTCTAGGCTAATTATTACATTACTAATCCTTTCACAGAAAGTGATATTATAGCTCTGTAATTTCATGGTCGCGCTCCCTGTTAACGAGTAAAGAGTCCACGCGAAATGAACAGTTGGTGGTATGTTTATTAATGATCAAGTAGTCACCTGCGACCCAAACTGCATTAGTGCCACCAGCATGCCATGTCAATATACATCCCACCTGCGTTTCTACAGTAATCAACTCTTAATTGTCACGCGTGCTATAAATGTGAACCTGGTAGCCAGTCACCCGTACGGGGAGAGGTTAGGACACTAGACACTAGGCAGTTGGTAGAGATGTTGTGCGAGGGTAAGGTAGTTCTAATAACAGGCGCTGCTCAAGGACTGGGGAAAGCTATCGCCGAGCAAGGTGCAAAGGTAAAGTGTCTGTGGAGTGATCACCCGTACTGGACACTAGACAGTTCCACCAGCATCCATCAAGGCGTAGAGATGTTGTGCGAGGGTAAGGTAGTTCTAATAACAGGCGCTGCTCAAGGACTGGGGAAAGCTATCGCCGAGTCACTTCTCGCCCAAGGTGCAAAGGTAAGTGTCTGTGGAGTTAGCCAGATCACCCGTACAGGGAGAGGTTAGGACACTAGACACTGTTCCACCAGCATCCATCAAGGCAGTTGGTAGAGATGTTGTGCGAGGGTAAGGTAGTTCTAATAACAGGCGCTGCCCAAGGACTGGGGAAAGCTATCGCCGAGTCATTTCTCGCCCAAGGTGCAAAGGTAAGTGTCTGTGATGTTATACAGATCATGTACAGTGAAAGATTTCCACTGATTCATGTATCTAGACCTTACAGAGCAGGAACTGACACTTGACTTTACAAAGCTTAACTCCCACACCAAATGTACATTTATATCCATAATTTTGAAAATGTATGAATTACTCTCTCTCTCTCTCTCTCTCTCTCTCTCTCTCTCTCTCTCTCTCTCTCTCTCTCTCTCTCTCACACACACACACACACCACACACACATTTTGTCCTACCTTTACAGTCAATATGGCTTTACTGATACATCCTGACAGCGATGGCTACATGTGAACATGCATCTGACATATAGAATATAGTGATCAGGCTTGGTGACTTGATTGTTTGACGGAAGCCACATCAGCCACTGATTCATGTGACTCGTAAATTTACATACCACTTTCACATAGCTGTAATACTGTTGAATGCAACGTTGAACCTCGTCCTAGTCTCTCAAATATTTACGAGTCCAACACGAACGATCGATACCATATGGTGACGATTGTGTAGCTGGGTGGAAACTGTTGAGGTCCCCCGTTAGATGAGACGCCTTACCATGTCAATAACTTATTCATGGACACTGTGATTAGAATCCCTCGATTACGTAAACCCATTGTACAAACACTATTTCCAGTAGGCTACCAAAACATCACATAACACACTGTCATTAAAATGTTTTAGTTCACAGGATTAAAATTCTGTTTTCATTTTACACCAGGACACAAAACTTCACCGCAAATGTAAGAAGTGAGGAGCGAGGACTCATCATTTAATGGCAAATCATTTTCGGGCAAATAAATGCATTATTGGCCGGAAGCCTGCTATTTGAATACATTCTGCCTGGTTAATATTGACAGGTGTGTGTATGCGATGTCAACGTGGACATTGGGGAAGTGACCGTAGCCGGATTACAGAAGCAACATGGCCAAGACAGAGTGTTCTTCATGAAGTGCGACGTGCTGGTAGAAGCTGATTTGGAAGGTAGATCATCCAGTGGAGAGTCATGAGTAATGGGATCCATCAGCAGCTATATCACCTGCAGCTCTTTCTTTAACATATCCCCTTGCTATAACCTATAACACCTATAACATATGGGACAGCAAACCAAATTTAAGGTGAGGTGAGGTGAAATTGGGTTTAACGTCGTGCTTGAGAATATTTCGCTCATATGACGACGTGCATGCGTGTGTATGTGTATGTTCAGCTGCTTGTACTAGTTCAGACTTAAGCCGGTTTTATAGTGCTAGCCCACTGAGATACCATGCCGCAGTGAAGCATGAATACCCCACTCAGACACATTATGCTGACTCCGAGCCGACCAGTCCTTGTTGTACCCATTAATGCCGAGCGCCAGGCAGGGACCAACAAGTACCATATTTTAACGTCTTTAGGTATGACGTGGTCGGGAATCGAACTGCGACCACCAGTTTAAGAAATTTAGTAACGACATATTAGCAGCAAATGGTGTATTTTGTTTCATTTCCCAAATAATAGGGCTACTTCCACCAGTAAACAGCCCAATCAATGCCATGTGTGCTTTTTGGCATGGGACCGATTTCCAGGTTGAGGACAAGCATTAATATCCTGAAGATCGGGGCATCTCGTATAACGACGCATGATCCTCATGGATGATGCCATGCAGGTGTCAATATGTCTCGTGCGCCACGAGATTTGATGTGTGGCTGTGTCAACGAGCAGTAGCACTTCCTCAGATCATTATTGAACCACTACCAAATCAATTATGCGTCACAACAGAAGAAATCCTCAACAATTCATGGCACTAGCCTCCATGGAAGATAATCCCAGTGTTCCAGCTACATGACTTTACTCATCGAGTCTTGACCAGTCAATCCAGTGACTGGTATCGTAAGGGACGACCCACGCTATCAGTTTACAATGACACACGACATGGCGTTTATGTCGAATTTCTGAATATTCAGAACAGAAACCAACAGGACGGGAATCTGATTAATGTGGTCTAGATAATAAGCGTGTGTGTCATTAACGCCCCCATCCCTTGGATGTAGGTTTATCAAGTTGCTATCCCACCTCTGTGGCTCTAGGACGTCCTGGTTCAGTATTTTATACCGCTGCCACAGTGTCCGATAACACGCTTAGTGACGCCAACATTGCTGCAAACTGATGTCGACTGTATATGGTGGAGAACTAATGGCAACAGTACAAAGAAGTGAATGATCATAATGCAGCTATCGCTAAGGCGAACATTTGCAATGTCGAGAGTTTGCGCTTGAACGAAATATCCCATTCGCAATGAAATTTCAGGCATGAGTGAGTGAGTGACTATGGTTTTACGCCGCTTTAAGCAATATTCCATCAATATCACGGCAGGGACACCAGAAAAGGGTTTCACACATTGTACCCATGTGGGGAATAAAAAACCGGGTCTTCGGCGTGACGAGCCAATGCTTTAACCATTAGGCTACCCTACCGCCCTTTCAGGCATGAACAGCGGATGATGGACACAGAAGCCAAATCGTGTGCGCCTCTAATCACCGATCACAATCATTGATGCAGTTGAACTAAGTGCACAACTACAATGCCCCAGAGACAGTGTCACAGTGATAGGGCTTCAACGAGTCCATTTTCTTGGACTCGAGTACTCGAAGGGTGAGACTCGACTCGGACCCGAGTACTCGAAATTCATACCTTTCAAACAAACGATAGCGTAACCGGCATGACATGTGTTCCGATCACACAAGTGAACACTTACTTCATTCCGACTTCATATCGTCGTGTGACTAACATTTCCTATTGGTCAGAATCAGTATTTGGATGTTTACTTGCAATATGTTTTTTTTTCATCGTACTGGTTGTACTGCCTGCATAACGCAGTGATATACCGCACAGGCGGAATTTGGTTATTTTTCTCTTTTTACTATCCAGATCAAGACACGCCCATACATTTGATTTTTTTATCGTTCTCCATGTCTGTTAAGATAGTTACCTTATCATTTTAAGAAGTGAAATCCAAACCATGTATAATATTTACTCTCATCTGCAGACTTGTAACAACTAATACCATACAGCCACACCGTGTGAGGAGTAAACTATTTAATCTAGGTGTTAATAAAAACATTATCAGATGGGTTAAAGAATTCAGGGTACATAGAACTCAGATATCAGATATCAATAGATATAGATATCAATCTTCTTTACTCTCAACCTCTACTGGAGCTCCACAGGACTGTGTTCTTTCATCCGTACTCTTCGTTTTGTATACCAATGACTGTTACTTCTCATTAAATGACTTGTTTACTGTAAAATTCGCAGATGACGCCACTGTTACTGGCCTAATTTCTGATTCTGAACCTTATTATCGTCAAGGCATTGACAAAACCGTAATGACAGTTTTTATCAAACCTTTATTCAAAGTGTGTTGACCTACAATTTTCTATGTTGGTATGGGGCCTGTCTGATCGCAACAAAACATTTCAAAATTGTTAATACTGCCGACTAAATTTCGAGTATATTCCCTTTATCTATGAGCGCCAGATTGTCAAAAAGGCAACTAAAATTAGATTTGATAGTTAACATATTTTATCTCATCATTTTGAAGTACTTCTTTCTGGACGCTGCTGTCGATTACCTTCCCTCAAAACAAACAGAGCTCGACAGTCTTTCATACCCTCAAGTATTCGTGAATGCAACAAATATTTTGAATTATCACCATGTGATAACAACTAGAATAATTCAGCCTCTTTACCTATGTGGTTAATTGAATAATATCATGTCAGTTTTACTGTGTAAATAGCTTTCGTTTTGTGCATGTAATTATTGTGTATATTTTTGTGAATTGTGTACATATTCATTTTGAGACAGTTTGGATGTATAAGAATTTCCTCCGGGATAATAAAGTTATATCTTATCTTAATATTAGACGTTAACGGTGGCTCATGCTCAGCACATGGCAGACAGTCTGTCAACGTAACCCAATAATTCGAGTTATCTCCCCCTTTTCTAGTCCTCGAGTCCTAGAAAATGGACTAGAGTCCAGCTAAACCCGACTCGTCCTCGAGTACTCGAGTACCCGTGGAAGCCCTACACAGTGAACAGAAAAAGTATGGAAAGGACAAATACGGGACAAAAATAATGTCTTCTCATTACATTAATTACGATATTTCGAGACATGTTGACGAAATTTCGCCCCTGTCTGTTTGCTAGAAACATCGACTGAAAAGTTGAATTTCAAGTTAACAATGCAAGATCAATCGTGTCCAGGACGTCACCGATTACGCCCGACGAAAAGGCATATGGTGATTGGACTGGCCCTGTACTTCACCTAATAAAGCAGCTATGGGATGTTCTCGGACATTAATTGTACGCCATCCCCAAGAGCCCGCAAAAGAGGCCCAGCTTGGAGAAGCTCGTGGGGTGGAATGGCGGGCAATACCATGGGTAACCGTATATCAACAGAATGCCCTCAAGGCGTCGTGCACGTATTGATCCACATGATCCACACGTCCGATTAACGTACGCACACTCATACAGTCATTATACCTTCACTGTATTTCATCAATTCCCCTTTTCGTCCGTAGTGTATTTATCTATGTGTGGTAATCATGCCAAAGACTTCAGATATCAACGCTTTGTGTCAAGTTTCGTTCGTGTCCATACCGGGATCTTTCAATAGCTGTCGAGTATATACACAATACTTATACAGTTGTTACCGGATATGCGAATCATTTCATCACACATATCATCCGGATATAGGGGTTTGGACCCGGGCTAGACCATACATTTGATGAGCAAACCTGTGCTAATAAGATGCACCAAAGTGATCGAGTGTTCAGGTTCGTTTGATTACAGATCATCGCACCCTGACCCCTTGCTCATGATATCAATCACTAGTCTATCGGTCGAGACGCAGTTATTCAGCCGCCCCCGGCCATGCATATAGAGTGATGTTTAGTGCGGTATTAGACATTGAACAGCCACACAGCCACATTATATTATAATATCATGGTTGACTATCGATACTTCCCATATAGCTAGTATATTCTGGGGCGTAATACAACAAATAAATAAAAACAGTGTAACAAAATCATGCCACCATCCCTTGCAGGCGTGTTCGTCGCCGTGAGAGAGCGATATGGCGGACTGGACATCGTGGTGAATAATGCTGGTATAGCTGACGAGAAGAACTGGTCAAGGATGATAGACATCAATCTGGTAGGTAGTCATGTCATGGAACTCCCTCTAACCCAGGTGGAACTATTCACGTTGTAACTGTTCGGATCAACACATCTAACTGATGGGGCGGTGGGGTAGCCTAATGGTTAAAGCGTCCGCTCGCCACACTGAATACCCGGGTTCGATTCCCCACATGGGTACAATGTGTGAAGCCCACCTCTGGTGTCCCCCGCTGTGATATTGCTGAAATATTGCTAAAAGCGACGTAAAACCATACTCATTCACATATTACTGATAAACGAATCATGTAAATGCGAAATATCCACTACATATTTTGAACTTCTCCGTAGTTCATCTTCAGAAGGAGCGGTTCCAGACTATCGATTGTGCTTTCTTTGGTCTCCTTACCGACTCTTTCCTCAGACAAATACTTTGTTAGTGCACATCAATGTGTGATGGTGGCTAAAAAGACACAAAGAAGAGTGTTTATTCGATGCTGATGTGGAATTGTATGACATAGTATGCCAAATGATGTTATGATTGTAAAATATCTATTTAAACTTTTTGGGAATTCAATTTTGAACAAGCATACATTGCATCTATGAGTGTAGTAATGTAAAGGTAAGACATGTTATGTGACCTTATTTTTACGTTTATCGGATTTTGACTCCACGTTTGTTCGATTAGTTTATGCCAACCATAACACTATCCCTAGATTATATATCAACGGGTTTCCTTCCAGAAGTCGGTGATCAGTGGTACCCTTCTGGCCGTGGACGCCATGAGTGCAGCAGGGAAAGGCGGACTCGTGGTCAACTTGGCGTCTCTGTCAGGTATTAAAATATGTATCATTTATACTTCTTAATCATTCGTGAATCGCATGAATACCAGTAATATCTGAAGCTCTCACACCTGCTTGTCACTTCCAGGGATGGTGCCCACCTACCATCTGCCAGTATATGGAGCTTCCAAACAGGCTGTCATTTCCTTCACTCAGAGTTGCGCTGTGAGTATACTCCCTTCCCAAGTTTTCTGTCATCCATATGGCATAGGCTTTCAAGATAGTGATCCGTCATGGTATTTCGTTTCTCTGGCAGGACAACCCACACTACAAACGTGCCAACCTAAGGTTCGCCTGTGTGTGTCCCGCCTTCGCAGATACCGCCATCTTGCCTCAAAATGACCTTGACCCTCGCTTTCCCTACCCAAGACAGGAAGCGCAGGCCCTTGTTGACATGTTTGGTGTAATGAAGTAAGTATACGTTTCACCAGAAATAATGAGACTTAGAATTTATATCAGAATTGTCAAAAGTCAAGTGGCTTGTTAATACAAACCTTAACCCATACCGCTAATTATCCACACTGACGTGTTGTTTATGATCATACACAGTAATATACTATTCAAACTTTGCTAAGGATCAAATCATTGATTCAACAGAAAACTAATTTGGTTTAAATATCTAAGCTTATTGTAAGCGTGGATCCTAGGTTTCAGTATGTCATTTCATCTGGTGGATCCAACACCTGCTATTGACAGGTATTGTGTACTTGTCAATGACCCATGCCATGATTTGCAAAATGGTTGGTTGGGGCCATGAAAACCATTTTTATGGTTACTCATGTATCAAGTACACAAGGTTAGAATAAAGTGGCTGTTTGCCTAAAGAAGGGTTACCATATTATTGTTTATCCAGTTTTAAATTGATACAATTTAAAATTAAAAATCTATGTTTAAGTAAAGTTGGCAATTTTTGTGATCCTTAGCAAAGTGTGAGTAGTATATGTTATAACTATCAAGCGTTATCGTTCAGCCAATCGATGCTTTTTTTGTCATCTGGCTGAGACAAACATGAACACTGATGTAATGGTATCTGAAAGTGGGTATACCATGGATTGATGCTGTTTTACTTTACTTTACCGCACCCGTGAAGGTCCGGGTTAGAATATTGATCTTCAGTAACCCATGCTTGTCGTAAGAGGCGACTAACGGGATCGGATGGTCAGGCTCGCTGACTTGGTTGACACATCGGTTCCCAATGGCGCAGATCGATGCTCATGCTGTTGATCACTGGATTGTCTGGTCCAGACTCGATTATTTACAGACCGCCACCATATAGCTGGAATATTGCTGAGTGCAGCGTAAAATTTAACTCAATCACTTACTTACTTTACCGCTGTACTCTACTGGGAAAGTGTAATCCCAAATGTAACATACGTTACATTAGACCCCTTTCTCAATGGCGTTGTGTATTCAATTGGACATGATATTGCCAAGTTCCTGTATGTTTGATGTAAATCACGGTAGTCGTCTCTCTGTTCCTCGTCAATCCTCCTCACCCTTTGGCGTTACATTTAGTCTGAAAGAATTACTAGATTTTGTTGTGCCGTTGAAGTCAATATTAATGATGGTTGCAGTCTTATGTGAACCTTTTATCGTGTTTGCTGACAGCCCGAGTAAAGTGGGTGAGGCGTTTCTGGAACTACTGCAGGAGGAATCTCTCGATGGTGCTCTCGTCACGGTCAGCGAGAAGTTCGGCACCCAAGTCAAGAAATGGAGGCGTTAAACACACCCTAGCTCTGTATCTGTTTTAGCCGGGTGTCAGGTCATGCTCGGATATAACACTTCACAGGGGCGGATACAGGATTTTCGTTGGGTGTGTGTGTGGGGTGTGGGTGTGGGTGCACCCCAATCCTCGGAACCCAGGGCATATATTATAGACTATACCTATTCCATTACACATGATCGGAGGCAGCGGAAATATATACAATGCCCTCGGTTCTGAGGATGGTGCACTTGACTTGAGTGTCTTACATCTCGTTTATATGTACTAAAATGATCACTTTGGATTGAGGAACGTTTGTACAGAGCAGTCAGCGGGTACCATGTGGACCATGCCTGATATTGTTACATGGAGGACATTTATCTACTCAGAATTGAAGTGATTAATCTTAAATACTTCAGTTTGATTTTCAAAGTTGCATACAAAACACGTTTGCTTATAACTGGACTTAAAGATATAAATTATGTGTTCAAATCCAAACTTTAAGGTTACTTGTTGAGCTTAGACCATATATGATGCTAAGGTTTTCAAATAAAGCTTGAATGGACAGTAGTCAGTGAATGTGACTTGTCTACATAACCCATGGAGCATCTTTGAATCTACTGATATAGGATGCACCCTTGGAACAGACGCCGTCTGTGTTTCTGAATGTACATCTGAACAACACTTTTAAGATCAACATCACATGTTTGCATTTTAACAGTGTGAGTCCAGCTAGTCTTTCTTGACCCATAGTTGATCGCAGGTGTGACTTGACCTGCCTTAAGGAGGAAAATGTTCTCTCTGCCTCTACACTCGTGTTGCAGCATCTCTCAATAGCTGTTTGATGTTCGGGTAGACCGGGATCGGGTGGTCAGGCTCGCTGACTTGGTTGACACACGTCATCGGTTCCCAATTGCGCAGATCGATGCTCATGCTGTTGGTCACTTGATTGTCTGGTCCAGACTCGATTATTTACAGACCGCAGCCATATAGCTGGAATATTGCTGAGTGCGGCGCAAAACTAAACTCACTCACTCACTACGTCAAGAGGCGGTAGCAACTCCACCTTGGCCTGCCAAGAGTATGTCAATCCAAAAGAGCATGTTTTGGACATTATGGGTCGCAGAATACGCCAGAGTAATCCTCCAGTACCAAATCTTGATGCAATATAACAATCCCTCCATCGATAATACGTTGATTGAATATTCACTGTTATCTTGCACAGTGGGTTTGTCAAAAACATTTATGCATGTAGGTTTACCATAGCAGACGGTATACACCCCTACAGTGGCAACTGTAAAACCAACATACTTTCTTCGGGGGATTGGTCGCTAATACGTTCATCGGTTGCTGATTGATCTCTAACGAAACATATTTTTTTAAAGAACCGTGGATATCATTAAAATAGATGTGCTGTCTTAGCTGACCAATGAGACATTACACCGATTTGTAAAAGCTGAAACAAACTTACTTGATCAGTTGAAAGACGAATATCCTGAAACATTGGGACATTCTTAAATAGTGTTACAAAGCCACGTGACATCGAACAGGTTTCTATGTACAGCTTTCGATAGGATATTGTTCCTATTTGTGGATATTAATACATTCATCGAACAGGGTAACTGCCTGATATACATATAACTTGTTTTGGTTGTAATTACAACATTTGCATGTTGCTTTCATTCAATGGCTGTAGCAGGAACGAGGCCTCAATGGTTACCGATCAAAATGTACCATACGTGGAAAGCAGCTAGCAATTATTGCAAAGTGCTATTATATTTTAAATATATTGTAAAAGCTGCAACTAACATCATTCAATATTGATTTATATAATTTCTGACAAAAAACCAACAGTTTCATTCGATCATCCCGCCAAAATTGTTTGAAGTTATGTAGAGGTTTTTAACCACTGGTTGATTTGATAAAAATGTGCGTTCAGCTGACGGCTAGTTTACGGCTTATAGTCTGTTTGCAGTGAAAACGCACCAATGAATTTCACTCTAAACAAAAAGGTAAATCGAATAAAGTGAAATTAAGATTGCGAATCCTCATAATTTTACCTTGCCAATTGAACATTCAAATCTCAGAATTTTATTCAACTTAGGATAAAAGTTGTTTAACAAACGATCATAGTTTCAAATCGCTGTTATAGGTTTGCATTACAAGGGGGTATGCACTTTAAATGAAACATCGAGAACAAGTAGTGTTGGTTTAAGTTAACGCTCATCACGTACCGCACGTGCATGTGTTTCACTGTTCCATCTACTGCGCTCACCCCTTGTAATACGAACCAATAATATCGATTTGAATCTATGATCGTTTGTTAAACAACTTTTATCATACGTTGAAAAAAATTCTGAGATTTAAATGTTCATTTGGCAAGGTAAAATTATGAGGATTCGCAATCTTAATTTCACTTAACTTGATTTACTTTTTTGTTTAAAGAGAAATTCATCGGTACGTTTTCACTGCAAACAGACTATAGTAATTATGAGAAGATAAACACAGTCGTCTTGATATCTATAAAACTATGCCTTGCAGGACCAAAATACGAGTATAATGGGTAAACTTTCATGCCTAATGGTAATTTATCTCAGATTTCACACACATCATTCATCAAGTTAATCCCCTTTTCGTTCACCAGAATAGGGATACTGTGCTTGATAATCATGGTAGACAAGTCCCGTTAGTATTAACAACAAACTCATGTCAGTCTGGATGTACCTCTTTATTGCATATCCTTTGTTATGATAGACAGCTTCTCGTTCTTTGATCATCCGATAGGTGTCGCTTCGCGCAGCGCAGCGAGAATATCGCTGAACACAAGTAGAACCTATCGAAATTAGTCCATGATGAGCATATTTATATTCCGCGAAGAAACTACCAATCCATATCTCGATGCTTTGAAAGATGGCGTTTTGTTTCCCTTTAAGCTTATACATCTTTTATTAGTTGCTGTACAAAATTTACCTTCATAAAAACGAAATAACGATACGTCCAGGTCAACCGTGTTTCAGAATTTGGTGTGGTGGCATAAAACAATTAACCACATATATATATAACATATTGGTGTTTTGCAGGGTTCAACATTTCTATGACAATTCCCCTTCTCACCTTCCTTACAGTTTATGAGGCATGAGGGAGAGAATAGAGCTTCATATTGCATTAGCAATCTTTCAGTTATTGCACAGGGGCTCCTTTCACGAAGCAACCTTTACTAAGGTTAACCTTAACTCCCATACTTTAACATTGCACTAAGGTTACCTTAGTGACTTACGTTCACCTTAGTGCTTCGTGAAAGGAGGCCCGGGACAATATAAGAATCAGTAATCACAAGACAGATAACATTAATGGTGTTCCAACATCTGATACAACCAGTAGGAACCTGAAGTACTCAGAACTCCATGTAAATTGTGTACACCTTCTTACTATCAAGCATTGTTCTTTACATAGATATGTGACATTGAAGATATTTCAATAACAACTACAGATAAATGTGCTAGACCAGAGTGAATACATTCTACATCAGTATTAGCTGATACTGTAATTAATAAATGACCTTGAAATGTTGGTGTGGTATCAATAATTCAACAGCACTGATCTACAGATACATCTTCTCATACATTCAAACATATTCTCAATTTTATATGTTTTGCAATGGGACATCTACTGACCCTGACACAGAGGAAGAGGTAAGGTCAATTACATCCAGCACAGCATCATCCCTTTAAAAAGTCACTGTGATCATACACAATTTATTTTATAGTGCCCTTGACCTTTAATGTCTGAGAATATTCCAGATGTATTCCCTAGGGATACATACAATACAGATGTACATAGTCTCTAATACACACAGCATGCATACATAATGATAAGGCCACAACTCTCTATTTGCTTCGCAGGGCTCGATTTAGTGCTTTGTTACTTGCACTGATGCTAGCCAATATTACAAAGTGCAACGTAGTTATTAGTCTAGCTTGCACCAGGTGCAGGTCAATTTTTGAGTGGGTAAACTTCTGAATAAAACATCTAAATAATTCAATAGCATATTCCATTCATTACATATTACCATAAAAGCAGTGCAACTGGAATTTGGCTGGTGCAACTAGGTTTTTATCTCAGGTTGCACCTGGTGCAAGTAGGTTAACATCTCTTAAATCGAGCCCTGCTTAGTATAACAGATTTGTTTGTCAAAGTAAGAAAAGAAAAAATATTATAAACATGATGAGTTCAACATGAACTCTATTTTTTTAACTTGAACTGGATCAAAGAATGTTATTACCTATGAGGTGGGGGCCATCTTTTGCTCAATTGTCTAACTTTCTTCTTGTGTCATCATTCTCAGTGGAAAAAAGGAAGCTAATTTCTGCAAAATTCATCTGTCCAGGACGAAGGACATAGCTCTAGATATGTTGTGAAATGAGCTGAACTATGACTTGTCGACTGAACCATTTGGTGAAAAATTTCTTTGATCAAATGTAGCACAACATGTTTTCTGAAAGACTGGGTATTCCCACTATAATTGGGTATGATGTTAAGGTGGAAAAAGGTGTAAATCTGGAATATTATTTTTTGAAGATAAATAAGTAGGCAGATCCATCATCTAACAACTAGAGAAATACTGGCCCAAGAAAACATACTTAGTGGTTCGAATCAGTGGTAAATACAGTAACCAATGTGTATTACCAACTTCCATTTATACAGTTTGAATATATTTCAGTAAAATATACAGTTAGGAACATGATAATCACACTAACAATGGAATGAAGACACACAGGCCTACAGTCAGTGGAACTGTCACTTCAGCATACCTTGGTTCATACACAAAACACTGATTTGGTGTACATAATCTCATGCAGGATACAAGCAAAAATTAACAGCCATACTATTATGAGGTGTACCACACTAAACCAAGGAGTAGCTTTTCCAGATACATAGAATACAATACCTTAACAGGGAAGATAAAATTGCCACTAAGAAATGATAATTCAACAATGCCATAATTAGGGAAATAGATGTATGTAAAACATATATTTGTGCAAGATAAATAATAAAATCTTTCACCTATAAAAATATAACATAAAATTAATTACAGCTGGTTCCTACAATGTATAAAACTTCTGCATGAACTTGCAGAGCCAACATTCAGAGGAACTGTAGCTACAGTTTACAGGTGATACACTCTGGTGTATAATTCCTGTATCTTGTTGTGTCTGTTAGCGCCAACATTTACAGAAACTGTAGCTACAGTTTACAGGTGATACACTCTGGTGTATAATTCCTGTATCTTGTTGTGTCTGTTAGTGCCAACATTTACAGAAACTGTAGCTATAGTTTGCAGGTGATACACAGTGTATAACATCTGGTTGTGTCTGGTGCCAACATACACTCTGGTGTATAATTCCTGTATCTTGTTGTGTCTGTTGGTGTCAACATTTACAGAAACTGTAACATACAGTTTACAGGTGATACACTCCTGTATAATTCTGTATCTTGTTGTGTCTGTTGGTGCCAACATTTGCTGTAAATACAGTTTACAGGTGATACACTCTGGTGTATAATTCCTGTATCTTGTTGTGTCAGAAACATTTGTGAAACTGTAAATACAGTTTACAGGTGATACACTCTGGTGTATAATTCCTGTATCTTGTTGTGTCTGTTGGTGCCAACATTTACAGAAACTGTAAATACAGTTTACAGGTGATACACTCTGGTGTATAATTTGTATCTTGTTGTGTCTGTTGGTGCCAACATTTACTGAAACTGTAAATACAGTTTACAGGTGATACACTCTGGTGTATAATTCCTGTATCTTGTTGTGTCTGTTGGTGCCAACATTTACAGAAACTGTAAATACAGTTTACAGGTGATACACTCTGGTGTATAAATATCTTGTTGTGTCTGTTGGTGCCAACATTTACTGAAACTGTAAATACAGTTTACAGGTGATACACTCTGTATAATTCCTGTATCTTGTTGTGTCTGTTGGTGCCAACATTTACTGAAACTGTAAATACAGTTTACAGGTGATACACTCTGGTGTATAATTCCTGTATCTTGTTGTGTCTGTTGGTGCCAACATTTACTGAAACTGTAAATACAGTTTACAGGTGATACACTCTGGTGTATAATTCCTGTATCTTGTTGTGTCTGTTGGTGCCAACATTTACAGAAACTGTAAATACAGTTTACAGGTGATACACTCTGGTGTATAATTCCTGTATCTTGTTGTGTCTGTTGGTGCCAACATTTGCAGACACTGTAGCTATAGTTTACAGAGTGGTTTGTAATCTGTATCCCACTGTGTCTGCTGGTATCAACAAACACCGGACTGTAGCTACAGCCCTATAAAAGAGCAGATATTTAATACCATTAATTACGTCTTTGGAACAGTTCTTATCCAACCGGATAATTTCATTCAAGCTGGTTCCACTAGAGAGGAAATATAGACATTTGGCATTCCAAACATCCAAAGAATGTGTAGAATTTACATTGACAGAGAAAGCAATACAAATAGAAAGGTAAGCCACCATCCAATATATTGAATAGCTGGATAGGATTTGTATGGTCTTATTACAATTGTTTCTATTAAAGCATACATTTGATGGAAATATATACATTCATTGTGCAGAAAGCTGCCAGCAGCCATATGTCATTGTTAAGGACAATTTGAATATAAAACATTCTAAATCTATAAAACCATACCCCATTCACGTATTTTCAGTCCTGAACCCTTTTGGCTACATTAAACATTCAGATAGAGATGCCTGGGTGTGACCTGAATCACCAACACGTGCTGCACAACACATTTCCCTGCCTCTTTCACACTGCTAACTGTCTTTACTCAGGTTTAGAAACACCTCATTTCAAAAGCTGCTACTCAGGTAAAACACTATCATGTTGTACAATGTTTTCTTAGCAGAAACATGCAAGGTGCTGACAGTATTTTATCCCATGATAAACTAGACTTTTTGAGTTATATTGTGATGGACTGATGTAATGACACTGTTCGAATAACTTCCTCTGTTTTCTTTTATCAAAATGGGAGTACATTTCTTTCATTCTTGTCAAGATGGTGCCTCCACAACAATTATAAACAGGTTAAACAGTTTCTCTTATTCAAAAGAGAAACCTTTCGAGCAATGGACAGCAGTATGATAAAACCTATAATGGTGTTGACAGCCATGAGAAGGAAAAACAACCATGTATGTATCAAACACAAATTAGTGACACCAGTCAAGGCCAAGATACGCTTCGTTACCCTAAACAAGGGGTTGGAGCAAACATCACTTCTAAAAGACATGTACATGTTGGTAGTACCAGCCCCTGTTTTTGACCACTGTGTCTGATGCTGCATTGACCAAAGTGTACTGCAACTGTTGCCAGGGTGAGTGAGTGAGTGAGTGTAGTCTTACGCCACACTCAACAATATTCCAGCTATATGATGGCGGTCTGTAAATAATCGAGCCTAGACCAGACAATCCAGTGATCAGCATGAGCATCGATCTGCGCAATTGGGAACCGATGACATGTGTCAACCAAGCCAGCGAGCCATTCCATCCGATCCCGTAAGTTGCCTCTTACCACAAGCATGGGTTACTGAAGGTACATTCTAACCCGGACCTTCACGGGTAGTTGCCAGGGCGATACAGTACTGAAAACCAGTCTTATGACCCTGCACATCCTGATGTATAAATACCAGCTTGTCCTAGTGTTGTCTCATAACTAGTGCAAGAGCAGGACTGTTTTAAAACACCATGAGATCATGACGCACAATTCCCATATCACAGACATACACGCTTGGGAGTACGCTTGTGATGAGTCACTACACACATGTCCATCTTGTACATCTCAGGCTGTTACAGGCTGATGTTGATATTGATGTTGATGTTGATGTTGATGTTGCTACAGGCTGGTGCTACAGAGAGTGCTCTTACATGACAGATCTTTATAATGTGAGACACAGACAACTAATGACACATTCTTCATGGAAACCCATCAAGTTGACTCAGGCATCAACAACACAAGCAATCACTAGGCATATCACAGACATCTTTTTCCTTGGTACAAGATGACACAGATGGAAGTGACTGATTGATTGTCTGGGCATTTTGGAGATGGTCATTTGACAGAAAACACGTTGTTCCAACTGTAAATGTGATCGATTCCAAAGCAGAGGATTACCCCTACAGAAGACAGTATGTTATGACACTGCATGCTGCTGTTGTCGTTGCTGCAAGCAGCCCTGCACCCACTCGGCAATCATCACTGTATTACTGTCAGCATGGCGTTGTACAAACTGATGATTCTGCAAACAAACATTACACGCTTTTGGATTTTATGAAATAACAGAAATCACACCATTTTATCCACGTCAGATATATAAACCTATTTAAGAATACCGACAAGACTTATCATTGAACAATAATAGGGCAGTAGTACTGATGAAAGAGGACCATAAACCAGTGGTGCGGGAAAACCCCAGGGCAAGGCTGTCAGGACAAGGTTAAACACTATCTCAGAGCTCAGATAAGATTTAGCTCATGTGGGTACTGTGCCCACTGCATTTTTTTAGTGGGTATTTCATTTTCCGTTACCCACTGCTTTCAAATATGTGCTTATTTCAGTCATTTTACTCACCTAAGTAGTAAGTAAGTTTACTAAGCAGGTATATTCTGCCTTATGTCATACCTAATCAACACCAACTTAAATATAATGGAAATGATTTCATAAAAATCACTAATCCTAAACTGGTATTACAACTTGATAGCAATCGATGTCTTTTCATTCAAGCGGTTTTATAAATATATTCCGTGCAGCATTTGTTTTAAACTTTTTGCATATCTAACCCCAAATGCATAAGATACGCATAACAATTATTTTTCAATGTGTAATTTGAAATTTTCAAGGTATTTTACCCGGAACACAACTTATCTGCCTCTGCAATCTGAAGTTCAAGTCCACTGGTCAAGGCTGCAGGACTGCTCCTACCACATGATGGCTTGGAGGGACCCTTAAGTGTGCTTAAAAACACTTGGCATTTGCCTTACATTTTTCAGGACCATCAAGATCCATCTGCTCATTAGGATCCCCATTGTTCCTCCTCTACTACGTGTGCCAGGATCATGTGTATGAATAATACTCTGAGCTATTGGTTTCTCAGCACCATGTTCTGTGACTGGTAAAATACTCACTGCAAGTTCTGATGGAGTCAGTCTGCGAGCTGGATCCCTCAACATACTGAAGAATAAACAACAATCACAACTGTTACATCAAGGCTGTGGGAGTAAACAAAGCAAGCAGATACAGTTGGGGGTGAGTACTCTGTGGCAGTGTCATCCAGAAGTGGTCACTTTCTCCATGGGCCTCTCACTGACTTCAATAGTGTTATTTTTGCAATCAGATCACCCTTTTCTTATTTACCCTTAATGACATAGCATACTTTAGGACCCTCGATCATGATGAGTGAAAGCTTTAACCATCTGGGTACCCTACAGCCCTGAACTGGGCCAGGTGTTGTATGGTCATTGTTTGATGCACAATCAGCAATGTCCCTTCCTTAATGGGACATTGTGACAACCAAGTTTTCTGCGATTAAGACTGAAGACTGACTGAGTTTGGCTTTACGCCGCTTTTAGCATATTCCAGCAACATCACGGCGGGGGACACCAGAAATGGGCTTCACACATTGTACCCATGTTGGGATTTGAACCAGGTCTTCGGCGTGACGAGCCAACACTTTAACCACTAGGCTACCCCACCGCCCCTGCGATTAAGAGAGTTTAAGTGAGTAGAGTGAGAGAGTTGGGTTTTACGCCGCTTTTAGCAATATTCCAGCAATAAGAGAGTTTAAGGGTTACTATAGCAACTGGTGTGATGCAAGGAGAAGGGACTGTGGATGTAACAAAACTCACCAGCTTGCTGCAAAGCCGACAAACTCGGGAGTGAAGAACTCTTGTGACAACATCAACGGTGTCTGGAAATACAAAACATACAAGGAGTAATAGAGATTAACTGTGGCTGTTTTCTAAAAGACTTTTGTTGTCAGACTACCTTCTCTCTGAATGTAGTTACTGTTATGGAGGTGATTTACAGATCCACTAACCACATTGATCAAGACATTACATCAGCAATTACTATTTGTCTGTTGTCTTCTATATATACTCACCTCCTCTATAATACACTGCATCAGTTCAAAGGGCTGAAATACACAGGAGAATGGAATAGAAACATGCACATAATCAGATGAATTCAGGATTTGGCCGCAAGATCAAGGGTTTGGATTATTTCATCATCACTTTATGTTCTGACACTGGAGATCAAAAGACAGTGATCTGTCCAGTAATTTCAGGCCAGGTTACAGCCTCTATTTCCAGATGAAACATCATACACTCTGAAGACTCACTCATAGCCATCATACAGAGAAAAGAGTGGTTTGGTGTATTTACATAGCCCTGTATGCTCAGAGACTATATTCCAGCTATATGAGAGAGGCTTGTCATCAAGCAAGGACCACACAATCCAGTGATTGATATGAGAAATCACCACATGCAATTTACCATGTCACCAAGCTTAACATCCTGATTAATTCTGTTGCCTGTCAGGACAAGAGTATAGGCTGTTTGGGATCTATTCTAACCAGTAATCTAATAAACAGTATTTTCTAAATATGCTGCTCTGATAGAAACGACAATGTTACTTACCTTCATTTCTGGATTAAACTGAAAATTGACACATAAATTGTGCAGTTAACCAATACAGGTAACAAAATTATAGAGGCAAATACATCTTGCTGACAGAGTGTAGGCTATTCTCAAAACTGGTAAACAAATTGTAATTGAACGGTGGGTAAAAACTACATTACCGATGCTTTAAGGATTCAACAAATAAATAATGCAGACAAAAGCTGCCAAACATAACAGATATACTACATGTAAACATTCCCTACAACACTCACATTAGAATCTGAAGAGGCATGTTTGAAATATAAAGGTATGCTGCATAGACTTGCTGAATTAGATACACAATGTAAGTCATGTTTCTTAATAACAGCATGGCTCTACTTTTCATCCTCAAACATCACAACACTTACCGACTGAAAGGGTATCTTTCCTGTAGCCAGCTGCAACAGAAATCACATCGATCAATTTATGTAAACCTCATGTGACCCACAGGGGTCTATTGAGTGAGTGAGTATTTAACGCCGCTTTTAGCACTATTCCAGCAATATCACGGCGGGTGACATCAGAAATGGGCTTCACACATTGTACCCATGTGGGGAATCGAACCACCACCAGCGTGATGAGCGCTTTAACCACCAGGCTACCCTGCCGGCCCGGGGTCTATTGAACACCATCCAAACTGAAACATTCCTCACAATCACAGTATGTTCTGGTAAAAACACATCTGTTACAGGGAACCAGAAAACCTCACAAAATGTATGAAGAATTTGAAGTGTAATTGCCAACACCTAGAGTGACAGTGAGGATGCTGCTGGCTGCAACTGCATCAACAACAGCAGTCAGGAATGTGAAGACAGATGTTCTAAAAGTAAGCATAATACTGAATGTGAGCAAGGGGACACAACAAGCTACAATGTCTTCTGTGAGTTTGCTAAAATTGCCTCTGTTCACACAGCAGATAATGGGTACCCGGTGGGATAAGTAATATGACTATTAACCTTCTAGAGCCTCGCAGGCTTCTTGGGTTATCTAAGGTAATAATGTCCATTACCTTTCATGCACTTGAAGTTCAGAGTTATATAAGTGGCCTTATTATCATTATTATTATTATCTAGTGCTCATGCGTCTACACAGCATGGTGGAAACTACACAGGTTCCCTGACTCAATGTTCAATGAGATCAGAAGTCTTGTGCATCTGACCTACCTCAAACAGGGTGATGCCCAGGCTCCACACCTCCGCTGGGATCCCATAGTGGCTCCCTTGGAGCCTCTCCGGCTGAAACATGAGAGTAATCATAGCAACTACATACACCATCTTCAATAAAACACTTTTGGTAAAGTGCTGTTATGAGTGCAACCAAGCAAAGACGCTGGAATGTTAAATTTCATATTCACATTTTAAACTGATAACTAACAACAGCCTGCTAATCAGATTTATAAAAAGGGTAGTGTTTCTGATCAAGCATATACTTGAATTTAACATATTAAGATATCTACACGTTCCACCATTTACTGACTGAATAAAATCATGAAACTCAATCTATTAAAGCTTTCTGTAAAATTACATACTACGAAATTGACTGCCATAAAGGCCCTAAATGTAGTCTACCAACTATCCCCACCATGCCCCTTATGTAGGTACTTACTGCCATGTACACATTAGTCCCCACAAAGGTCGTGGCTATAGACTTGACCAGCTGAAACATCACATCATTTACATAGCGTACCAGTTTATGGCAACAAGGTAATCATCTGAACCATTATCACACTGTGCTTTACATGTCCTATGTATTTGGCACTAAACCTAACAGATAAGTGCAGTGGTTGAGGTACCATGAATGTATTTGCTGACGTGTGTCACCATGGTTACATTATGGAACAACACTTTATTGCTAGGGATACTACAGCTTGAGATCATTATAGTTTAATTAATGGCAACACTGTAACAATATGGTAATAGTTTATAGCAACACTGTAACACATAGGTAATGCTAAACAGAAAAACTGTAACACTATGGTAATGCTACATAACAACACTGTAACAGCATGATATTACTACACATCAACATTGTAACTTTATGGTAATATCACATAGCAACACTTTAACACTATGGTACTATCACACAGCAACACAATGGTAATATCGGAACAGTACACTGGTACATTATATAACACTGTAACACTATGGAAAACTTGAAACAACATTGTAACACAAATACAACAGTGTATAAGTGTGTGTGATGCAGAAACTGACCTGTGTGCTGACCCCAAAGTCGCACAGCTTGACCTCCCCCTGAGTGTTGACTAGAACATTGTTTGGCTTGATATCTGAAACCAAGCAATATTGTTTGCTGAATTTAAGGATCACAGTTTCAATTTTCTTATTTAATGCTGTGACGGTTATGTCATTTTTTCCTAGGCATAGCCCAAATCAGTAGAATATCATTTGATAAAAACAAGACCCTCCTGAGAATCTTTACCCATGTTTGTGGGCATGTTTTGTTTCTGCCCTGCTGTTCTGCCCTGACACCAGGTGGAGATGTTACCATACCTCTGTGAAGGATCTTCAGGTTCCACATGTATATGAGGCCCTCCAGGATACACACCGCCATCCTGCCCAGCACGGGTTCCACAACCGGCATGTAACGGTCCAACGACCCACCTGAAACATAGCAACATACACAAACTGATTGTCACATATACTGTAGACTGTATACTGACATGAAACAGTTGTGTACAACGTAGAAAAGTCCAAGGTCACTTAATACTTCTGAAGAAAATTGATGAACAAATTGGGGACTTAGTACTTCCGCTCTGGTATTTTCACCAATATTCACTGACTATAAGTTATTGATATCATCATCCACTGAGAATGCAAATTGCTCTATTTCATGGGTAGTATCTACAGTAATATCTACAGACTTGATGTAGTTATAAATTCAAAATACTACTCAAGTGGTTTGGTTTTCCAGCTAACCCAGAGGTTTCTATTTGGTGATGACCAGACAATCCAGTGATCAACAGCATGAGCATCGATCTGCGCAATTGGGAACCGATCTACACTGAGGAAGGTCAGTCTTTCAGTTATAAGACCTTTGAATCAGAAAGTTGCATAAAACTCAAGTGATCAGTGGAATATACATCATTTAGAGCTCACTTAGTTGTAAATAGGCGAGGGGAGGTGAAATTGGGTTTTACGTCGTGCATGGCATTTATAGTCATAATATTCACATTATAGTGCATAATATTCACATCCATCTTAATTCTTAATAAGTTTGTCATGAGTTTGGGATGTATTGCTTTGCATCTGGTGAACACTGCTTCACTGGTACATAATGTTACTTTATTTTCCAGGAAGTGATCTGCCAGGTGGTACACAGTGGAACAATCACAGCATTTGAGTGTAAGTCATCACAGAACTAAAGCTGTGACATTCATACTCCTGAAAAGTTTTATGCATGATTTTATAACACACAGAACTGTGAGGTGAAGTGAGGTGAAATTAGGTTTAACGTCGTGCTTGAGAATATTTCGCTCATACGACGACGTGCATGCGTGTGTATTTGTATGTGCGGCTGCTTGTACTAGCCCAGACTTAAGCTGGTTTTATAGTTCTAGACCACTGAGATACCATGCCGCAGTGAAGCAAGAATACCCCACTCAGACACATTATACTGACTCCGAGCTGACCAGTCCTTGTTGTACCAATTAATGTCGATCGCCACCAAGGGACCAACAAGTACCATATTTTAACGTCTTTTGGTATGAGGCGGTGCGGGATCAAACCCGCGGGCCTTTCGCTCTCCGGGCGGACGCTCTAACCACTACACCACGGAGGCGGTCAGTTGTAAATAGGATACCAATGTTATCTTGTATAATAATTTGCATACCATCCATGTACTGGGTGCACATTGAGATCCGGTTTTCAACAAAGAAGGCACCATAGAAGTCGATGATTGCTGGGGAATTGCACTGTTGAAACAAGAAAACAAAGTGCGCATGGTGCATATCCTGCAATGTATGACTTCTAAGGATTAACTGTTAAGTTTGTTCAATTCATTGTGGTAACAATACACAAAAACTGAGTTACAAACTGTATGAATCTGCAGTTGTTGGAATCTGCAAAGTAAAACTATGTTGACACACCTTGTGAACTACAACATTTATCATTAGGTATTGCTATTGTTGATGTACAATAGTCATTAAACATGTACTCATCTTACGGTGGACCCACACAAGGCAGACCCCACACCAACTAATTACACACTAAAAAGTACCATGAAATAAGCAAATATGTACATGGCCACCACCCAGCCACACCAAGGGTCTCCACCATGTATAGGGCAACCACACCAAGGGTCTTCTATGTGTATAAGGCAACCACCCAGCCACACCAAGGGTATCCACCATGCATAGGGCAACCACCCAGCCACACCAAGGGTCTTCACCATGCATAGGGCAACCACCCAGTCACACCAAGGGTCCCCACCGTGCATAGGGCAACCACCCAGTCACACCAAGGGTCCCCACCGTGCATAGGGCAACCACCCAGTCACACCAAGGGTCCCAACATGTGCATAGGGCAACCACCCAGCCACACCAAGGGTCCACACACCATGCATAGGGCAACCACCCAGCCACACCAAGGGTCCCCACCATGCATAGGGCAACCACCACCCAAGGGGTCCACACCAAGGGGCAACCACCCAGCCACCATGCATGGGGCAACCACCTGCCACACCAAGGGCCCCACCATGCATCAGGAAACCACCCAGCCACACCAAGGGTCCCCACCATGTTTAGGGCAACCACCCAGCCACACCAAGGGTCCCCACCATGTATAGAGCAACCACCCAGTCACACCAAGGGTCCACACCATGCATAGGCCAACCACCCAGGCACACCTAGGGTCCCCACCATGTATAGAGCAACCACCCAGCCACACCTAGGGTCCCCACCGTGCATCAGGCAACCACCCAGCCACACCAAGGGTCACCACCATGTATAGGGCAACCACTAAGCCACACTAAGGGTCCCCATCGTGTATGGGACCACCAAGGGTCTCCTGTGTGCATAGGGCAACCGCTCGACCACAGCAAGAATTTCCACCATGCATAGGGCAACCACCCAGCCAAATCAAGGGTCTCTACCCTTTGTATAGGGCTGACACTAAGACAGCCAACTTGGTCCTACCTTGCACAAGGCAGCCATCCCAACAGGTGCTTTAGGTTCAGTTCCCCACCTTGTATTGGGAATCCACCCCGTTTAGAGTAGCAATGTTAGTTACCCCTAGGTTGCCCACCTTGTGTGGAGTAACCACCTGTTACCCCCAGGTTCCCCAGCTTGTATAGGATAGACACCTCAGTCACCCCCTAGGGTCCCCACCTTGTGTGGAGTAACCACCTGTTACCCCTAGGTTCCCCAGCTTGTATAGGATAGACACCTCAGTCACCCCCTAGGGTCCCCACCTTGTGTGGAGTAACCACCTGTTATCCCCAGGTTCCCCAGCTTGTATAGGATAGACACCTCTGTCACCCCCTAGGGTCCCCACCTTGTGTGGAGTAACCACCCTAGGGTCCCCACCTTGTGTGGAGTAACCACCTGTTATCCCCAGGTTCCCCAGCTTGTATAGGATAGACACCTCAGTCACCCCCTAGGGTCCCCACCTTGTGTGGAGTAACCACCCTAGGGTCCCCATCTTGTGTGGAGTAACCACCTGTTATCCCCAGGTTCCCCAGCTTGTATAGGATAGACACCTCTGTCACCCCCTAGGGTCCCCACCTTGTGTGGAGTAACCACCTGTTATCCCCAGGTTCCCCAGCTTGTATAGGATAGACACCTCAGTCACCCCCTAGGGTCCCCACCTTGTGTGGAGTAACCACCTGTTACCCCTAGGTTCCCCAGCTTGTATAGGATAGACTCCTCAGTCACTCCCTAGGGTCCCCACCTTGTGTGGAGTAACCACCGTAGGGTCCTCACCTTGTGTGGAGTAACCACCTGTTATCCCCAGGTTCCCCAGCTTGTATAGGATAGACACCTCAGTTACCCCCTAGGGTCCCCACCTTGTGTGGAGTAACCACCTGTTATCCCCAGGTTCCCCAGCTTGTATAGGATAGACACCTCAGTCACCCCCTAGGGTCCCCACCTTGTGTGGAGTAACCACCTGTTATCCCCAGGTTCCCCAGCTTGTATAGGATAGACACCTCAGTCACCCCCTAGGGTCCCCACCTTGTGTGGAGTAACCACCCTAGGGTCCCCACCTTGTGCGGAGTAACCACCTGTTATCCCCAGGTTCCCCAGCTTGTATAGGATAGACACCTCAGTCACCCCCTAGGGTCCCCACCTTGTGCAGAGTAACCACCTGTTATCCCCAGGTTCCCCAGCTTGTATAGGATAGACACCTCAGTCACTCCCTAGGGTCCCCACCTTGTGTGGAGTAACCACCCTAGGGTCCCACCTTGTGTGGAGTAACCACCTGTTATCCCCAGGTTCCCCAGCATGTATAGGATAGACACCTCAGTCACCCCCTAGGGTCCCCACCTTGTACAGGATATCCAGCTCACACAGGATCTGCTTCTGGACTTCAGGAGAGATGTCAACCTGTATCACCTGAAAATTATACACAGCTCAGACTCTCATGTTTGTCATCATCTTTGGTGAATGAATAATTGTAGAAACTCTGCTTTTTAGAGCCAATCTGACACACATGAACTACGACCAAGGATACCACGATTAACTGGCTGTATTAGAGCTGCCGGATAATAGTGCTACATCAACAAAGTGTTCTTATAACAATAATTATCACTATAACATATTCTAAATAGATAAGGCATGTGAAAAATATTTAATCCACCAACAGAAACATCCACCTACCTTGACAGCAATCTGTTTCCCTGAGGGCACATGCACCGACCTGAATGGAGAGAACCAATGTTTACTTGTCAGTGAAATGAGTGTCAGTAAACTATCCGTCTTTGTTTGGGTCCAAGATACTAAATGGTGTGTCATGTGTGTTCTCCATTACAGCAGAAAGACACTGTCTGGCAACGTGACCACTGCCTCCACCAAGATGTTCAATGGTGGGTACGGTGTGACCACTGCCTCCACCAAGATGTTCAATGGTCGGTACGGTGTGACCACTGCCTCAATCAATATGTTCAATGGTCGGTACAGTGAGACCACTGCCTCCACCAAGATGTTCAATGGTAGGTACGGTGTGACCACTGCCTCCATCAATATGTTCAGTGGTCGGTATGGTGTGACCACTGCCTCCATCAATATGTTCAATGGTAGGTACGGTGTGACCACTGCCTCCATCAATATGTTCAATGGTCGGTATGGTGTGACCACTGCCTCCATCAATATGTTCAATGGTCGGTATGGTGTGACCACTGCCTCCATCAATATGTTAAATGGACGGTATTGTGTGGCCACTGCCTTCATCAATATATTCAATGGTTAGTACGGTATGACCACTGCCTCCATCAATATATTCAATGGTTAGTACGGTATGACCACTGCCTCCATCAATATATTCAATGGTTAGTACGGTATGACCACTGCCTCAATCAATATGTTCAATGGTCGGTACGGTGTGACCACTGCCTCCATCAATATGTTCAATGGTCAGTACGGTGTGACCACTGCCTCCACCAATATGTTCAGTGGTCGGTACCATGTAACCACTGCCTCCACTAAGATACTCAATGGTCGGTACTGTGTGACCACTGCCTCCACCAAAATATTGAATGATCTGTACCATGTGACCACTGTCTTCACTAAGATACTCAATGATCTGTTCTGCGACACTCACCTGTAAACCCTCCCTCCAGCACCAGCACCAAGACACTCAATGGTCTGTATTTGGTCTTCAGTAATGTGGCCATCAGTGAGGACACGTTGGAGGCCTGCCGGGGACATCTCAGTGGACGTGCTGAAGTCATGACACACAATAATCACAAGAAGAATATCTATTTCAATGAGCTCAGTTTTCATTTATTAGTGTACCATTGTGTTTGAAATATCATATTGTTCAATCTAAATCAGAAAACTCATACTTCAAGCAAAGAACTGTAAGTTAGCATAACTGATCCTTACTCCTGTGAGGACAATTTGGTGTGTAAACTAATGTAAGATTTACCTCACAGCCATCTGAGACAGGTGTGGCCCAGGTTGAAGGGGTGTGGAGGTGTGTGGGGTGACAGTAATTGGCCCCTGAGGTGGGGAGTTGGTGGGAACCATCTGTACAGGTGTGTTGCCCGGTAGGTCTGCGATGGATGGAGCCTCTGGATCGACTGGACTGGGGCTGCCTGGCGACTTATTGAGTTGTATCTGCATCAACACACACTGGACTTCAGAGAGGACATCAAGATGATGGCCTAATCCACACAATTCTAAGAAAATCATAACTGTGTGTTCACAAAAAGAGCTACAAATGGAAAATGCTCAAACATGTCATCGCTTTGCTGATGACAACACACTCCCCTGAAGGCCCTACAGCTTTCTCTCAACACACTCACCTTATCACCTTAAGGCCCCACAGCTTTCTCACAACACACTCACCTTAAGGCCCTACAGCTTTCTCTCAACACACTCACCTTATCACCTTAAGGCCCCACCGCTTCCTCACAACACACTCACCTTAAGGCCCAACAGCTTTCTCACAACACACTCACCTTATCACCTTAAGGCCCAACAGCTTCCTCACAACACACTCACCTTAAGGCCCTACAGCTTTCTCACAACACACTCACCTTATCACCTTAAGGCCCCACCGCTTCCTCACAACACACTCACCTTAAGGCCCAACAGATTCCTCTTCTGGGCAGTCTTCCCAACTACAACAATCAGTGAAAACTTCTGATAATGATTATGGTGGATTAACTGTAGCAGTATACTGCTAATGTAAGTATGGTTGAAGCAGGACAAAGTTTATGTTAGTTGGATGTAGCAGGATATTTTGTTGATGTAAGTATAGGTGTAGCAGGATTATGTTGATGTAAGTATAGCTGTAGCAGGATGTTGATGTAAGTATAGGTGTAGCAGGATTATGTTGATGTAAGTATAGCTGTAGCAGGATGTTGATGTAAGTATAGGTGTAGCAGGATTATGTTGATGTAAGTATAGGTTTAGTAGGATTATGTTGATGTAAGTATAGGTTTAGTAGGATTATGTTGATGTAAGTATAGGTGTAGCAGGATTATATTGATGTAAGTATAGGTTTAGTAGGATTATGTTGATGTAAGTATAGGTTTAGTAGGATTATGTTGATGTAAGTATAGTTGTAGCAGGATTATATTGATGTAAGTATAGGTGTAGCAGGATGTTGATGTAAGTATAGGTGTAGCAGGATTATGTTGATGTAAGTATAGGTGTAGCAGGATTATATTGATGTAAGTATAGGTTTAGTAGGATTATGTTGATGTAAGTATAGGTGTAGCAGGATTATGTTGATGTAAGTATAGGTGTAGCAGGATTATGTTGATGTAAGTATAGCTGTAGCAGGATGTTGATGTAAGTATAGGTGTAGCAGGATTATATTGATGTAAGTATAGGTTTAGTAGGATTATGTTGATGTAAGTATGTTGTAGCAGGATTATGTTGATGTAAGTATAGGTGTAGCAGGATTATGTTGATGTAAGTATAGCTGTAGCAGGATGTTGATGTAAGTATAGGTGTAGCAGGATGTTGATGTAAGTATAGGTTTAGTAGGATTATGTTGATGTAAGTATAGGTGTAGCAGGATTATATTGATGCAAGTATAGCTGTAGCAGGATTATGTTGATGTAAGTATAGCTGTAGCAGGATTATATTGATGTAAGTATAGGTGTAGCAGGATTATATTGATGTAAGTATAGGTTTAGTAGGATTATGTTGATGTAAGTATAGCTGTAGCAGGATTATGTTGATGTAAGTATAGGTGTAGCAGGATTATGTTGATGTAAGTATAGCTGTAGCAGGATTATATTGATGTAAGTATAGGTGTAGCAGGATTATATTGATGTAAGTATAGGTTTAGTAGGATTATGTTGATGTAAGTATAGCTGTAGCAGGATTATGTTGATGTAAGTATAGGTGTAGCAGGATTATGTTGATGTAAGTATAGCTGTAGCAGGATTATATTGATGTAAGTATAGGTGTAGCAGGATTATATTGATGTAAGTATAGCTGTAGCAGGGTGAAGTCAATGTGAGCATAGTATCAGGATAATTACTCACGTTTTGGGAAGATAATGAGAGGTGGGAAGAGGCCCCGGTCTCGGTCCTCCTCACTCATCTCACGGAAATACTGAAACAAAATATGGCTGCACTGCACACACCTAACACAACATGGCAGCACTTGCAAGAACTGCAAAAAATTCTTTCTCTGCCCTAAAACATAGTTTAAATAGGAAAGTGTAGACTTCTTGTTTTCTCTCAGTAAATTCAACGATCAGTTAGACTAATCTGTTGCTTGTGCCACTTTGATGATTGGACAATAGGCTTTTGGATTAATCAGGATCAGGTCTGGGACAAAATCACAGACACGAGGTATTTGTACATTTGAACAAGAAAACAGAAGTTAATGAGTGTATCCCGCCAGCAGACTTGGACAGAATGTCACTTATATCACAGCGGGTACTGAGGAGTGAGTGAGTGAGTTTAGTTTCACGCAGCTTTTAGCAATATTCCAGCAATATCACGACAGGGGACACCAGAAATGGGCTTCACACATTGTACCCATGTGGGGAATTTAACGCGGGGGTTCGGCATGGCGAGCGAACGCTTTAACCACTAGGCAACCCCACTGCCCCTTGGGTACTGAGGAAAGCCTAAAGTGATACAGGTACTAAATGTTGAACAGTTTGATGGACTCCACAGGCTTGGCCACAGTACAGACAAATATGTCAGGATAGGATTCTTGCAGGTCAATGGCATGCAACTCTACACAGTAAACCACAGAAGAGGAAGAAGGAAGTGGCTAAGCACACTCCTGAAAGTATCTTACATTGTCAATCATGCCTTTCATTTCTTCCTCGCTGCGAACTGTGATGTGATCCCCATCCTCGTCTTCATCTGACAACAGAAAGCTCAAAGCTCAAATTGTGTGATGTGCCAAAATGATAATACAATAAGGTAGTCATATTCTGAGATATGGCCAACTGCCTCCAGAAAACTTCTTTGAGTGGCATGTTTAGAAGTTGGTGAATCAGATAAGGAACAAACTTTATGGATAAACAACTTCTTTATTTGGATGCGATTCTTGTATCAGTTAGGATTGGTTGATGAGGCATACGATGACCTCATCAACCAATCCCAACTGCTTGTATACTTGTATAAACATGTCCTATCACTCCTGCTCTGTACACCCCACAGGCTTCTAATGTATCCATTGTCACTGGCTTCCACATGGACCGTCTCCGTGGTGTAGTGTTTAGAGCGTCCACCCGGGGAGAACGGAAGGTCGCGGGTTCGATGCCTGATCGCATCATACCAAAAGACGTTAAAATATTGTACTTGTTGGTACCTGCCTGGCGCTCGGCATTAATGGGTACAACAAGGACTGGTCGGCTTGGAGTCAGTATAATGTGTCTGAGTGGGGTATTCATGCTTCACTGCAGCATTGGTATCTCAGTGGGCTAGCACTATAAAACCAGCTTAAGTCTGGGCTAGCACAAGCAGCCGCACATACACATACACACGCATGCACGTCGTCATATGAGCGAAATATTCTCAAGCACGACGTTAAACCCAATTTCACCTCACCTCACAGTTCTGTGTGTTATAAAATCATGCATAAAATGTTTCAGGAGTATGAATGTCACAGCTTTAGTTCTGTGATGACTTACACTCAAATGCTGTTATTGTTCCACTGTGTACCACCTGGCAGATCACTTCCTGGAAAATAAAGTAACATTATGTACCAGCTGAAGCAGTGTTCACCAGATGCAAAGCACTACAGGGGGTGGAAATAACTTTAAAATTGCTAGAGTACTCCGGCACAGTGGCACATGTAAAATCACTTGCCCTGATCATTTTTTCACTATACCAGCTGTTTTCTTGTTGCATTTTTAAATAAACAACATAATTAACATTGGAAAGTCAACTGGACACTGGTACAGCGTGATATACAAATTTGCTTGCCCGACAGAAGAAAGCACTGGACTCGGACGTCGGGCAATGGGCTATTTCCATCCCTGCAATACATCCCAAACTCACGACAAACTTATTAAGAATTAAGATGGATGTGAATATTATGCACTATAATGTGAATATTATGACTATAAATGCCATTGAATGCAAATGATTCTGGAATGGTTGAAGCTTATTGAAGCACATATGTAACATTTATGAGATATATCTGTTCTGATGAAATATGTATCTATTCATCAGCAAGTCAAATACAGATTTTCTTCAGTCAAACACACAAGGATATACCATCTTGGCATCTATAACAAGCATGCAATGAGCATAAGCAGGGGTGGAAATAACCCATTGCCCAACGTCCGAGTCCAGTGAATTTTTCTGTCGGGCAAGCAAATTTGTATATCACACTGTACCGGTGTCCAGTTGACTTTCCAATGTTAATTATGTTGTTTATTTAAAAAATCAACAAGAAAATGGACGGTATAGTGGAAAAATGATCAGGGCAAGTGATTTTACATGTGCCACTGTACCCGAGTACACTAGCAATTTTAAAGTTATTTTCACCCCTGATAAACGCATGACACTTCTACAGTTCTAGTCATTACATTGTTGGATCGGATATATGTACAATGGTCAGTTTAATGTTATCAATTCACACAAAACTGTTATGGTGGTAAGTGTTTTCCATATATGACACCATAGCATTTTGAGACTTTGGCAGAGTAGATAACAACAGCACACAAACTTCTTCTTTCAGCTGGAAAATTTACAAAATTATACAAACCTATAAACTACTCATTTTAAAAACTCTTAACATAGACAAGCAGTCACCATGATAATCCCTAAACATAAGTCACAACTTCATGAATCAAAGACATAGGCAACCTGCTAGCATGATAAGGCACTGACATCAAGTCATAAAAACTGGAACTTTGCAAAGTGGGTAGGCAAGGTATGCATCAGTTTGGCTATCACTGTTCCACTGTCAAAATGACTGGGTGCCACTATTGTTTATGTGAAAGTCAGTGGTCCTTGCCTGTGTTACAGTCAAGATACTACTGCAACCACATGAATATTCACTAAGTCAATGACCATGAATACCTGGAGTTGATGCTACCGTATATCTCCAAGCACAAGACTTGTTATAAAACACAGGAAGGACCAGCTGCATTTCAAAGTGAACAAAACTTTTACCATTAGGTAAAAGGCAGCTCTGTAGCAAGGCTTGGTACATTTTGTAACCACTTTTACCCTTTGCTCTCAAGCATATGATTCTTGTGAAAACATAATAAATTTCTAAAGTTGCCATGATGTCCCCCTCATTATTCACTGGCACCATGAATGCCTACCAGAGTCTGTCTGAAGGTGACTTCGTCTGGCTGGACCATCCAGTCCATATCCTGATCCTGGTCATTCCGGATGCGGATGGTCAGTGGCGGAACGTTCATGTTGGTGGTCAGTTCTTCACAGGAGAGTGACCTTGGTCACATGTCAGCAGGAACCTAAGACAAGACAAAAAACGACTTATTATGACAAGTAAAATATCTCACTATCACGCTGTTCCTCTGTCTGTAGCAAATGTGGAACAGCATCAACAATTATGCTGGCTCCAGGAAAATGTTCACTGTTGGCAAATACTGGACCATGGCGGGCCTCTGTCAGATATTTAGTAGAGATAATAAAGCTTCGCCGAGTTATGAAATGGATTAAGCATGTATAACTAATTATATACACTCTAACCAAGTTAATATAGTTTGGACTCGGATAAATTTGCCATGTGCCAAAGAGTCCCATATTTGGACTGAAATAGAAATCCAAACAGGCCATGTAGGACCCACTTAAAATCAGTATACAAATTAAACCAAGAGATACTCATCATGATGTCTATTATACATTGTGACGATGGTACATTTCATAGCAAGCATGAGTTTAAGAATGCACCTATATTTTAAACATATTATACATTTTGCTTTCAAATGAACTTAAGGATTACATATGGAATCTAATATACATATATATTTTTACACACAGTAACTTGCATTGTTATCCACAGGAATGGTGTTTATTGAGAATATTAACTGATGCTGCACACATCTTTAGCAATAAATCTGTTAGGCTCCAGTTTTGTAATCAAAATGAAGAAAAAGACAAATGCTGGTACACAGATAATAACCATGTGGATGTAGCTTCATCAGTATCTACGGGGCTAACAATCCGAAGGTTCCAAGTTTGCTTCCAACAAACTAACAAAACTGGTTGCTGTTTAAGTGGCATGTGTCCTATGGCAGATATCGCCCTCATGATAGGTTGTTGTGCTTAGTTCTAAATGTGTTCCTTGGTGATACTGAGGCTAGGTGACAGTGGTTAGTGAATGATCAAGTAGACAACTTGGGGAGTAGTTTGCTTCCAACAAACTCAAAACAAAACTTTTAATGGCCATAACTACAAATATTAATAACTGATCATATAACAACTCGAGCCAACATTTCATGATAACCAAAGCGGAGACAAAAACAGCAGGAATGTCAGTGATTGCTGATGTCAAAGTGACCTACTGTCAGAAGTGAAAATTCAAACGCCAACATTGGACTAATAACGGATGTGCAGTAAGCACGTTGGAAGAAGGCTTGGGGTATTGTCTTGTGCAATGAGATACTGGGCCAGTTCTGCGGTTGTTTCCTATGGCACGGTGTGGTCGGGCATTGCCACCTTGGAATATGGATCCACGCCAGTCATATAGCGATTTTGGTCGACATAGAGAGGTGTCCTTTGATGAAAGGAAAACGCACCCCAAACCCCTCCTCCTGGAAGCCAATCATGAACTGTAGAGTAAACCTAGACTCGTTGGAGATAGGTGCCAACTGAGCACGCTGCCAATGAACATGGCGCCTACACCAGTCATGTCTTGCCGTCGGTGTCGCTGAAGGAAGCGGTGGTGCTGGTGAGTTCTAAGATTGTTCCTCGCCAGTCGGTTCCTGACAGTCTGATCAGATACCAGGGTACTTGTGGCAGTTCTCAGTTGGTCTGGTATCTGCTGGGAGAGCCATATTTGTCAAGTATCGATCTTCTCTAGGAGTTGTTGATGGAGGTGCCCGAATAGTCAGCGTTCCAGCGACACCTAAACCGGTACCATAACTTTCCAATGACATCTGACTCACATTTAGTCTCTGAGCCACACTGCGTTGATGTTAGGTGTCATCTTGAAGCCATGCAAAGAGCTCTTCCTCCGTCTGTCATGCTCAGTTGACGCCTTGCCATAGTTGAATGATCAAGTGACAATAACAAGACGAATTACAAGTTTTATAGGGAAAATAAGCATGCACAGCACTAATCCTACGAAGAACGCGTGCACATGTTGTTCGTGATGAAACATCATCTTTCACACGCACAGTGGTGGCGCTTCTGTGAAGCACTCAATGTTTCAATTTGTTCATTTTTTAACACCCTACCACATGATGACTATTGGCACCACGGTTATCTGCAGCCTTTATCCAGGTTCTGCATTGGTTTTGAATAAACTGCCATACACGGAATGTAAAATTTATTTAAACATAATGCAATCAGCCTCATCAATAACATTACATGATGACATCGCATGACCCTTAACTTGTTTTGAGTAGTATATATTAGTCGGTACGCTGACTGGAGAAAAGAACACCGTTTCTGTACTGACAGTGGTACTAACACCTGTATCCTTATTTGTATTTATAGATTCGTACTCATATTGGTTTATTACTTTACGCTAAGATGCCGATGGGTGCTATCCTTAATCTTCTTAGAAAATATTTTAAGAAATCAGTTTGAGCAAATACTCACAGTTTGTATATATTTCGGCGTATATTTCCTCTTTAATAATCTGATAGAATGTTCAAGATCCGTGAATATATTATTCATTGAAACCCCGATAAGCCAGGATGTCTGTGATGTTTGTTTCGCACTTTCCTATGGGCGCGGCCATATTGGTTTACTAACATCTCGAAAATTCTCACGAAATGTGACAATTCGCGAGACCCGTTCATTTCAACTGGGTCCACTGTTGATACGCGCCACAAACACAGCGCTCACTCTACCAAAGGCTGGTTTTAGCAGCGCGTGATCGTACCTTTCTTGTTGGTCGGCGTAAGAGAAATGAGAAAATAACAAAAGGTCATTCAGGCAGCAAAGATTCCTTATTCTTCAAACTACTATTTGTATGTGTAGCGATTAATCTGCACTGTGTCTAACAGTCAATATCCTCTGCATTATGTCGATCAATCTATACTATAAAAAAGTAGGGGATGTTAATTGCATGGGAACCAAGTTGTAAGATTGTATATGGATTGGGAAAATAACTCTTCCATTCACAACGTGTGTGAATTTCGTCTGGTTATGTTTCACCATTTTAATTTATTACTCACCCAACATTAGCAAAATAATACCGAGCAAAGTACTTTCCTGAGAATTCTACGAGTGTGATTACTCTCAGCTTTCCTCGAGTCAAGCAAGGTCTAATACTATTGTGACAGAGGTATTAGCATTGTGACGTCATAACTGTAAATCACTTTGACGTCATACGTACGGCATCACGCGATGTTATTACACAATGTTTAAAATGATTAAACAGTGATATCTTAAACGGGTGAGTAATGAAATATATTACATGTGCATATGTGCCCATATCACTTTTGCCCAGCAACCATTGTTTCTGTATTTCGTCGTCTGTGACGTCATTATACAATTGAACGTGACGTCAGTGAAGGGGAACGTCACAATTGCTTACCGTGTTTTACTGCACAAATGTACATGAATAAAATGGATAATAACGAAATTATTACACTCGAGCAAATGTGCCATCTGACCTCTACGAAACTCGTGGAAAATTATGTTTACAAAATTTCACACTCGTTTTGTATAATTCGTATGTTACACTTGCTCGTGTAATAATCTCTATATATCTCGCCGTCTGCGTTATGAGAGTAACGTGTTTGTGCGATTGCTAATATGTAGACATTGATGGAAATATTGCAGAGTAAAGAATCACAATATATACTGTGGTGTTCCTGTATATTGTTTACAGTCTTGACAGGGAGCATAGCGCTAAGAAACTCAATGCAGTCGCGACTTTCACTGGAGTGTTCCTGTATATCGTTTGTTGTCAGTGCAAAAGTCCTGATAGTGAGCATAGTCTTATAAAAGGGTCATCTCTATCACACTGCTCCTGGGAGTGACGATTAGAAACTCAATGCTTCGACCAACAAACGGTTGGGACACGTTAACGACGTCGCCCTGCAGGAATCTGTGACGTCATCACTATGGCTACGTCATTGTTTATTGACTGCCACAAAGTAATGACGTCGACATCACAGACACATTACGTCAACAATCACTTGACGTCACAGAAAATGACTATATCGGCACTGTACCTCGTTGGCGGGTATGTAGCTTTCGGTGTTTACAGCAAAAACGGGTTTTCGTGAGACAGGAAGTGTGTTTGCGTCAGGTGAGTCAGCGGCTTCATTCTTTGATGTGAAATCCTTTTTAGTTTAATGCTGAAACAAGGCCCAAGTGTCATCAGCTGAACAACACTGCCGACGACTGTGTAGAATTGGTGATTGTATCTTCTCGTGACTTATCATTTAGTATGAACTGACAAAGCCAATAGTCTTGAGGGAACTGTCCATGGCAGCTTGGCATGCTTGTCGTAAGAGGCGACTGACGGGATCGGGTGGTCAGGTTCGCTGGCTTGGTTGACACATGTCATCGGTTCCCAACTGCGCAGATCGATGCTCATGCTGTTGATCACTGGATTGTCTGGTCCAGACTCGATTATTTACAGACCACCGCCATATAGCTGGAATATTGCTGAGTGCGGGGTAAACCTAAACTCACTTACTCACCTTATTGTGAAACTAAAGTGTCTTTCTTATAAATTTTGTTTTAAAGGTGATGGCCAACTGGGCTATCGAGCGTGGCAACTAACATATATATATTTGTTTTTCATTCAGTAATTTGCACCATAACACAGGATTAAGTTTTGAGTACATTTATCTACCGTCACATCTAGCATGTGACATATTTTTGCAATACATTAGTTAGTTCATTAGGTTCCACTGCACTAAATCAGAATCACATGCTCCCTGAGCGAGCACGGTATGTAACAACTGAAGAGACAGAGACATGTGACAGCTGTGATTGGATGAAATAGTGTAAGATGTTTATGTCTTTTAAAAGCACATCCATCCAGTAATTAAAACTGACCACAATTTTAAGTATTTAGTGCTGTCATTTCTATCACCATGACTTGTGCTTTTTGTGTGTACAGATATTTTCCAGTAGGTGACATTTGGTGCGGAACTGGAGTTGATGCCGCTTCCTGTGCTCGGAAAATGAGCCGCACAATTTTGCCAAAAGTAGAGTTTTATTGTAGTTTAGAGGCCAGACTGTATCCATGTGTACCTGGAATGGCTGTTGAAAGCCTGGATAATTTTTAAAAAATAATAAGGTTAATATAGAAGACTATGGGAAACGTTTGGTGTTGTGTAACCTGTAGGCTCCGGTTTTGTCAAGTGGTTGAAATATAATTCTTACGGACTGTGTAGATTTGTTAAGTTTATCTTCAGGTTGAATTGACCTCGAGGAAACTGTCCTTGACACCGTCCGGGAAAACTGCTGAGTTCAGGGTCAACCGCTGAACACCGGAATATCTGTGTACTTTAGTGACTATCGTTTGCCTTCATGAATAACTTGAATATGCGTGATTGGATGAGATTGTAAAAGACCGAAGTAAAATACCACTACTGAAACACGAGTGAATTTGCCAGATCGTTTCTCCTGCAGCGGAGTCAGTGAGAAAAATGGGTCAAGTCGTGTTAAATACAAAGGTTATTTATTCAGATGTTACTCATTTTACATGGAAAATTCATAGGCATGTCGCTGACGCCCGTTGTACCCGTCAGTAAGTATTGCTTGTAGATCAAGGGCGGATTATGCCGATGCATTGCTCCATCTGACAGGTATTTGCCACGGTAGTGCTTTAGACAGCGAAAGGTTAACGTTGGGAGCTCGAGGGAACTACTACAAGACGTACCATTCATCTATTCTCACATGTCTTTGTGAAATATTCCAATAAGATTAAGAAATCAACAAAATGACAATAAACTTAGACGTTGAATTTGGATTGAAAAAAAAATGATCCCGGTTTTATGTCCGCTTCACAGATCTTCAGTTCTGTACGGCGACACACTTCATTCGATTCCTAAAGGGTTTGATGTTTCTCAGAAGTAAGCTATTGTTTATTTACAGATTAGTAAATGACGATTACTTTTACGTTATCCTTTTGCAAAAGCTTCAAGAAATATCTGCCATCTATTTCACGGACAGGGTTTCGCTTCTTGTGCCACTTCTTGTGTTCTGAAATCCTGATTTCAGTGTCTAGTATATGTCACTCATTGAGGAACAACAGAGTAAGTAACAACGAGTCTAGCATCTTCTAAAGTCACGGGCGGCGGTGGGGGTAGCCTAATGGTTAAAACGTTGGCCCGTCACGCCGAAGACCCGGGTTCGATTCCCCACATGGACACAATGTGTGAAGCCCATTTTTGGTGTACGCCGCCGTGGCATTGCTGGAATATTGCAAAAGTCAATAATAATGTGGCTGATAAACTGGTTATTCCATCTGTCGAGGATACGGCGAGTTACTAACCGTTTATGAAATCCAATCTCAACTGGTCTATGCACCCTAATGTTTGACATGAACAGCCTCCACACAGTCCAGAAACTCTGGACGATGCCAACACTTAGTCAATACACCAAACATGTCCATACAAGAAAATTGAAAAATACAAATATTTATGCTTAGACATTGACTGAGTTGACTCTTCACTGTGAATTAAATTCTGCATTCAATGCAGGGAAACGTGTTGAGAGAATATCTATAGAAGAAATCTGTACCTTGAACAATTGATATTTTTTAGTTTTAGAAGTATTAAAATCAGTTTACCCTTACAAGTAAATCGTTTCATGGCAAATGACTGATGATGAATAAACGTAACACGGAGAGAAGCAACTGTTTGGTAAATCAGCATCTCCAACTGACTCACCAGTCTATATTCCATGCACGGAACAATTCAAAGGCTTGTACGCTCTAATTGGGCATAACAGTCGGCCTTATAAACATACAGATAGTATATTCACCGACAGGTCGTGTAACAGCATCTCCGAATGGCTGCTCACGACTTGAAACAGCCATGGTTCTACACGCCGACGCTGGAGCATTAGATCAGCCGCCCTAGCCCATTCTCCAAGGATTCAAAGGGGGACACTACCACCTGCTCTTTAAAATCATCGAACACATTTCACAACAAGATGGGTAAAGAGGGAAATGCTGCTGACACAGAGCCTGACTTTGATGAAGTCATTCATGCAACGGGTTACTTTGGTCGGTACCATGCCTTGCAGGGGACGCTCCAGATGTTGATAGGCTTCTCAGTTGCATACCCCCTGCTCTCCATCGTCTTCACGGGTAATATACCACACGTGTACCGTTATTGTCTTATATACCACATATGAACAGTTATTGTAATTTATCTCCGTCGTGTTCACGTGTAATTAACCACACGTGTACCGTTATTGTAAAGATTTTCACGTTTACGTCTTATATAACCCATATTTACCGTTTTAGTAATTTACATCCTTCCCATTTACGTCTTATATACCACTCCGTCGTTTTTACGGGTAATATACCCCATGTGTACCGTTGTTGTAAAGATCTTCACATTTACGGGTTATATCACACATATTTACCGTTTTGTAATTTAAATCCTTCATATTTACGTCTTATATACCACTCCGTCGTTTTCACGGGTAATATACCCCATGTGTACCGTTATTGTAAAGATCTTCACATTTACGGGTTATATAACACACATTTACCGTTTTGTAATTTAAATCCTTCATATTTACGTCTTATATACCACTCCGTCGTTTTCACGGGTAATATACCCCATGTGTACCGTTATTGTAAAGATCTTCACATTTACGGGTTATATCACACATATTTACCGTTTTGTAATTTAAATCCTTCATATGTACGTCTTATTAACCACTCCGTCGTTTTCACGGGTAATATACCCCATGTGTACCGTTGTTGTAAAGATCTTCACATTTACGGGTTATATAACACACATTTACCGTTTTGTAATTTAAATCCTTCATATTTACGTCTTATATACCACTCCGTCGTTTTCACGGGTAATATATCACATGTGTACCGTTGTTGTAAAGATCTTCACATTTACGGGTTATATAACACATATTTACCGTTTTGTAATTTAAATCCTTCATATTTACGTCTTATATACCACTCCGTCGTTTTCACGGGTAATATACCACATGTGTACCGTTGTTGTAAAGATCTTCACATTTACGGGTTATATAACACATATTTACCGTTTTGTAATTTAAATCCTTCATATTTACGTCTTATATACCACTCCGTCGTTTTTACGGGTAATACCCCATGTGTACCGTTATTGTAAAGATCTTCACATTTACGGGTTATATAACACATATTTACCGTTTTGTAATTTAAATCCTTCATCTTTACGCACTATACACCACATATGTACGTTGTTGTGATTCATTTCGTCTTCACGGGTAATATACCACTCCAGCGTAAGATCCACTTCAGGCCGCTATGTGAGGCGTGAAACCTTCGCCACAAGGACACTGCGTGCCTCACAGACGTTTGTCAAACAAGACCGTGCGTTACCGTCTCAAGGATCATCAGGAGTCAAACTCTGACTCATGTTTTGTTTGCTCGACGTCGCTGGAATCTTCGAACCATTGGTCACATGTTTACGGATGGTCGCCTGATAGTTTGGAGGCACACTGATACTGCTGACATGCCCATGAACATTCCTCCTACTGTTCCCTTTGGTGGAGGCTCAGAAATGGTGGGGGGATGTATGCCCCACGACTGTAAGATGACATTGGTGACTGAACGTAGAAATCTTAATAGCAAGTGTCGCATCATGGACATTCTTGATTAAGTTGTTGTGCATCATTTTGATAACCACCCATTGGCTATTCGCCCGTATTCATGGCCACGTCGTTGCCGTGCTGTGGCTGTTCCTGTGGAATAACGCTATTGAGACTCTTCCTTGACAAGGAACCCTGAGCTGAACCCCATCGAGCACATTTGAGACAGTCCTTGTCGTCGTTTGCAGGCAAGGGTACTTGCTGTACAAACTGTGGGTGAACTGGAGGCAGCATTACATGAGGAATGGCGGCAATTGCCTCTGGAACGCATCCGCCGGCTGACTGGTGGGATGAGGAGAAGGGTGGAGGCTGTCATCCAGGCACGTAGCGGATACAGGAGCTACTGATGTCAAACATCTCGGCAGATTTACAGACAGCGAGGGGCATTTACAGACACCATCTCATCGTGTGTCGTGCCAGGATAATACTTTTTCAATGAACTACTTTTCCACAAAATCAACAGTGTTGGCATTTCTCACGTACAGAGCATACAAATACACATATTGCATATATTTTGTAACCGTAGCCAGTTATTCCACCTTCCATAAGATAATCAGGCATTACTGCCCTTTTAGAAGCAGGAAAGTTCTGACCTGTCTGTTCATATTACTGTTCTAAAACATGGGGTGCAGAATTATGTTCCGTGTGTGTATTTCAACACACTGTCAGTGTTATTTAACGACTTCTAGAATCTGTCAAAACAATCTTCATTGTTTATTGCCATTTGGCAACCAAATCATGAAGCGATTTATGAAACGTATCTAATAAATTACTCACAAGCTTGAGCAACTCAAGTTGCAGTAAAGAGCTTTTATCAATGTATAGTCGATTGATGATCCAGTTACATGGTTTCAGCCCTTTGAATTATGTTCTTTCATTATTTACACATATTACCAATTTTGCAATTTTGTTAACTTGTTCACTTTCTTACTTTATCATTTCAGGCTATGAAATTCCTCACAAATGCAAAGAACTCGTCAATATTACAAGCATCAACCTCCAACATGTCGTCATTAACAATTCAACAAGTATTGAATATGGAGAGTGTGAAATAAAGGTTGAAAACAACATTTCGGGTGTTGTGAAAAAGGATTATCTCCCTTGCGTCGCGGGACATAATTACAGTCAGCCCATATATGTGTCATTCGTTGCGGAGGTAATTCACGACGCGTTACTTCTGACATGAAGTGCGATATTCCGTATATTCCACTACTTCAAAGATATGCAACCGCGATGTTAAAAAACATGTCAGTTCTAGTTAAAACTGATCATATTGATGAGCAGAATGTGTTAGGCTAAATTAGATCGGCGTCCAACATATTTCAACAGTAGGTGTCAACTCTTTTCCATCAGTAGGTGTCCAGCATATTCCACAAATAGTGTCCAACATCTTCCAGCTGCAGATTGTTCATCAGATTCCACTACTTGGTATTCTACTTATTATCAGTAGGTGTTCAAGATATTCACTCGTAGGTGTCTGTATACTCATCCAGTATGTGTCCAACATATTGCAAGTCGGTGTCCACCAGCAGGTAGGTGTCCAGCATGTTCCACCAGCAGGTGTCTAACATTTTCCACTGGTGGGTGTCCAATATGTTCCACTGGTAGGTGTCCAAAATGTTTCACTGGTAGGTGTCCAACATTTTCTAACGGTGGGTGTCCAAAATGTTTCACTGGTAGGTGTCCAACATGTTTCACCGGTAGGTGTCCAACATTTTCCATCAGTAGGTGTTCAACATGTTCCACTGGTAGGTGTCCAAAAATTTCTAACGGTGGGTGTCCAACTTCTTCAAACGGTGGGTGTCCAACATGTTCCACTGATGGTTGTCCAATATTTTCCACCGGTAGGTGTTCAACATGTTCCACTGGGGGTGTCCAACATGTTCCACCGGGGGTGTCCAACATGTTCCATTTGTAGTTATCTGTCCGTACTTAGGGGTAGGATGCACCACCTTATTAAGTTTATAGGTATGGTTCTAAACAAAGCTGTGGAAGCAGTTGCTAGTGGATTTGGGAATGGTGAGACCACTGTCAGAATGCCATTGAAAATGACAAGTTTTGTCCGACCAGGAGATGTGACGCTCACCCTTAACATAACGCTTTCGCCACCAAACTGTCAACGTTGAACAACGCACGCGTCAGCATACCGTTAACCTCGCCGTCTGTACACCCTTGCCCTGTCATCCAGATGAAACCTGTCTTGTCTGCTGATTCTTGTCTCCCAATCTTGTGCCCTGTACCGTAGATGCTGCCGGCACCAGGCAAGACGTACCTGTCGGTGACGTTGGAGCAAAATTGGACGTATATTGCAGGCCGTCGGTGCTGGATGTTGTGCTCACTCAGTCAGTTCCCTACAGTCCTGGAACGGATTGGACATAAACCAGGAATGGTCCAAGCACTCAAACTGGTATTCTGGAATCGATTCCTTCGGTGGATCAGCCGAATGTGGTTGTCTTAATTGCTGACGAGACGCCACGCGTGACGAGACACTGGTTTTCTGTAAGCAGTGGCATGACGTACGCGCAGTTTAGATTGAAATTAACGTGTTTTCCACAACATTCAGAGGCTAGAGAATAATCAACCGTTCTTCAATTTTCAATATCAGGTGTGTGTACAAATTGTGCACATAGCGCAATACGCGCCATCATATTTCATGCGAAGTGCTTTGCTAATTGTTTATATAGGACTAGTTTATGGCTTTTCAATAACGTTTATTTTATGCAATGTTATGTTATGCACAGTTACATGTTTATATGTACGGAGGTGTATCCTTGGTTGCAGTGGGGCCTAAAAGTGTTTGTTGGTTATAGTGTGATGTGAAGGTGTTTGTTGGTTACGGGTGTGTGTGAAGGTGATTGTTGGTTACAGTGGGGTGTGAAGGTGTTTGTTGCTTACAGTGGATCGTGAAGATGTTTGTTGGTTGTGTTACAGTGTGTTATAGGTTACAGTGGGGTGTGAAGGTGTTTGTTGGTTACAGATGGATGTGAAGGTGATTGTTGGTTACAGTGGGGTGTGAAGGTGTTTGTTGGTTACAGATAGATGTGAAGGTGATTGTTGGTAACAGTGGGTGTGAAGGTGTTTGTTGGTTACAGTGAGATGTGAAGAAGGCGTTTGTTGGTTGTGTGAAGGTGTTTTGTTGGTTACAGTAGATGTGGGGTGTGAAGATGTTTGTTGGTTACAGTGGGATGTGAAGGCGTTTGTTAGTTGTGTACAGTGGGGTGTGAAGATGTGAAGAAGGCGTTTGTTAGTTACAGTGGGGTGTGAAGATGTTTGTGTTTGTTGGTTACAGGGGTGTGAAGGTGATTGTTGGTTACAGTGGGATGTGAAGGTGTTTGTTGGTTACAGTGTGATGTGAAGGTAATTGTTGGTTACAGTGGGGTGTGAAGGTGTTTGTTGGTTACAGTGGTATGTGAAGGTGTTTGTTGGTTACAGTGGTATGTGAAGGTGTTTGTTGGTTACAGATGGATGTGAAGGTGTTTGTTGGTTACAGATGGATGTGAAGGTGTTTGTTGGTTACAGATGGATGTGAAGGTGTTTGTTGGTTACAGTGGATGTGAAGGTGTTTGTTAGTTACAGTGGATGTGAAGGTGTTTGTTAGTTACAGTGGGATGTGAAGGTGTTTGTTGGTTACAGATGGATGTGAAGGTGTTTGTTGGTTACAGTGGGATGTGAAGGTGTTTGTTGGTTACAGTGGGATGTGAAGGTAATTGTTGGTTACAGTGGGATGTGAAGGTGTTTGTTGGTTACAGTGGGATGTGAAGGTGTTTGTTGGTTACAGATGGATGTGAAGGTGTTTGTTGGTTACAGTGGGGTGTGAAGGTAATTGTTGGTTACAGTGGGATGTGAAGGTTACAGTAGGATGTGAAGGTGTTTGTTACAGTGGGATGTGAAGGTGTTTGTTGGTTACAGTGGTATGTGACGGTTTGTTAGTTACAGTGGGATGTGAAGGTAATTGTTGGTTACAGATGGATGTGAAGGTGTTTGTTGGTTACAGTAGGATGTGAAGGTGTTTGTTGGTTACAGATGGATGTGAAGGTGTTTGTTAGTTACAGTGGGATGTGAAGGTTTGTTGGTTACAGTGTGATGTGAAGGTAATTGTTGGTTACAGTGGGGATGTGAAGGTGTTTGTTGGTTACAGTGGTATGTGAAGGTGTTTGTTGGTTACAGTAGGATGTGAAGGTGTTTGTTGGTTACAGTGGGATGTGAAGGTTTTTAGTTACAGTGTGATGTGAAGGTAAGTGTTGGTTACAGTGGGGTGTGAAGGTGTTTGTTGGTCACAGTGTGATGTGAAGGTGTTTGTTGGTTACAGTGGAATGTGATGGTGTTTGTTGGTTACAGTGGAATGTGAAGGTGTTTGTTGGGTACAGTGGGATGTGAAGGTGTTTGTTGGTTATAGTGGAGTGTGTAGGTGTCTCTTCGATAAAAATGGGTGCGAAGGTTGCTATTTACTGTTGGAATGAATTTGTTTGTTTTTTATTACAGTAGGATGTAAATGTGTCTGTTTGGTTACAGTGGGACTTGGTGTGTGAGAAGGCCGGACTAGGCGAGCTATCTCAGACAATAATGATGCTTGGTCAAGGCTTTGGAGGACTCATCTTTAGCATCATGGCCGATAAGTATGGGAGGAAGCCCATCTACATCGCCACCCTGTACGGTCTGGCCGCACTCTGCTTCGGAATGGCGTTCTCCAATGGCATCCTCGTATATATCATCATACGGTTCCTCATTGGAGCTTTTCAGCAGGTGCGTGATATTCTTTAATTTAGCTTTCATTCACATTTGGAAAGTACTGTTTTCATTCACACTATTAATTTCACCGTTCTAAACATATGGAATTAAGTGGATGGGGTTCAATTATATGTATATTACAGGGGTCGGGTCTTACAGCGTATACCATACTTGTGGAGATGCTGACGACTGAACATCGCCCTCTTGCGGGGACTATTGGTGGTGTAGTGTGGTCCCTCTCCGTCATGACATTGGCCCCGGTTGCATACCTGATGCAGGACTTCAGCTGGCGATACCTGCAGATCGCCCTCAGCTGTGTCACTCTCTATGTCTTCATCCTTTACTGGTAGGTGCAAACAGCCGTCACCTCCACTGTGTCTCTCTAAGTCTTCACCCTTTACTGGTAGGTGCAAACAGCCGTCACCACTGTGTCTGTCTAAGTCTTCACCCCACTGGTAGGTGAAAAAACCCGTCACCCCCACTGTGCCTCTCCCGTGCAAATACTCCTCTCGTCAAATGTCGGCATTAATGGGTACAACAAGGACTGGTCGGCTCGGAGTCAGTATAATGTGTCTGAGTGGGGTATTCATGCTTCACTGCGGCGTGGTATCTCAGTGGGCTAGCACTATAAAACCAGCTTCAGTCTGGGATAGTACAAGCAGCCGCACATACACATACACACGCATGCACGTCGCCATATGAGCGAAATATTCTCAAGCACGACGTTAAACCCACTTTCACCTCACCTCACCTCACCTCGTCAGCTGTTTGTCTTTATATTTCCACATATTACTGGTGAGTGCAAACATTTCTTAAACTCTGTCACCATCTTCATTTTCCATCGGGGCGTCGGGGTAGCCTTGTGGTTAAAGCGTTGGCTCGTCACCCCGAAGACCCGGGTTCGATTCCCCACATGTATACAATGTGTGAAGCACATTTCTGGTGTCCCCCGCCGTGATATTGCTGGAATATTGCTAAAAGAGGCGTAAACCAAACTCACTCACTCAAACATACTCATTTCCACAGCTGTACAATTCAGTCACCTCAACTTTAGATTACTTACCATGTATGTGCGTTCTGGTGACTAAATACCTATTTCTTACACAGTATACATTCACAATCCTTGGCCACACCAGCTGATGACTTCTATCAGTAATACTTTGTAGTTTGACTGTGAACACTGGTGACCGTTATTGCAATCATTGTGGCCCTGATTAAATGATCGCCAGTTCATTTGTCTTTAAGCTGAGGTAAAACTCGTCTTTTGCAGCACGCTGGACGAATCACTACGGTGGCTACTTACAAATAACAAAATAGATGACAGTAGGAGGATCGTACGGAAAGCCACGGCCATGAACAAGTCTAACGTGAGCAACGCTCTCAAAGTGCTAGAGCGAACTATCAGGCTTGTTTCTCAGGTAGTAGTAGCTGATGCACCAAACACCGCTGACAAAGTGAGTGGAGGAAGTTCCTTGTTGGTGAATGAGGTCAAGGTTGGCGGCGAGAGTGAAGGCCGGGTTGACGGCAGTGTGCAGTATTCCATCCTTGACCTGTTTCGACACAAGGCCATCCTGTATACTTCGGCTATCACCTGGTACATCTGGTAAGATTGGGCGGAATAACAACTGAACAACTCAAGTGAAAAGCATCAGTGTGTATCTTTACAGAACAACTGTAATTTAGAGGTTTCCTCGGGATTGTTTCACTTTAGTTGAACTAATATGTCTTACACATATGTTACCCTCTAAAAGACTCTATTTAGGTCTTGCGTATAATAAAACGGTAACAACTGCCTGTTTGGATTCTAACGAGAATATTACAAAAGCACCATACATAGAGGTGTCTTCTGTGACGTGGTGATACACATCAATGACGCAATTCTCCTATTATTTCTACCATAATCATATTCCTGTGTTTATTATACTCAACATTTGACTTGACGTTGTCTGTGGATGGAGGCATCTTTACGGGAACGCCTGTAATCATCTCTATTTGATACTGATTCATAAATCCATGCTTAGTACATAGTCGGAAGTGTACATCGGTTTTGTTTTTAGCAGATATTTATATGATCATCAAAATAGTTATGTCGCTTTTAATTAGCGCCCAAAACAAAACAAACACAACAAATTTCAAGTATAGAGAAGTTCACTGCAATATGAACTGCCCTGACACTTAACTATGTGCATTTTCTGTCGTTGACGTTGTAGGACAGTTAACAGTCTGACGTACTACGGGTTGTTCCTGACTGCGTCGTCATTGGCAGGGGATCGGTTCCTCAACTTTTTCCTGTCTTGCGTGGTGGAGATTCCTGGAACGATCTCAGTATACTTTATGCTCAAACGGTAATCACGACACGGATGTTTCACTGGTCTCACCCTGTTGGCATAACACAGATGTATTACTGGTCTCACCCTGTAGGTATAACACAGATGTATTACTGATCTCACCCTGTAGGCATAACACAGATGTATTACTGACCTCACCCTGTAGGCATAACACAGATGTATTAATAGTCTCACCCTGTAGGCATAACACAGATGTATTACTGGTCTCACACTGTAACACAGAGTATTACTGCATAACACAGATGTATTACTGGTCTCACCCTGTAGGCATAACACAGATGTATTACTGGTCTCACCCTGTAGGCATAACACAGATGTATTACTGGTCTCACCCTGTAGGCATAACACAGATGTATTACTGGTCTCACCCTGTAGGCATAACACAGATGTATTACTGATCTCACCTTGTAGGCATAACACAGATGTATTACTCACCCTGTAGGCATAATACAGATGTATTACTGGTCTCACCCTCACCTTGTAGGCATAACACAGATGTATTACTGGTCTGTCACATAACACTGTAGTACATAACACAGATGTATTCCTGGTCTCACCCTGTAGGCATAACACAGATGTATTACTGGTCTCACCTGTAGGCATAACACAGATGTATTACTGGTCTCACCCTGTAGGCATAACACAGATGTATTCCTGGTCTCACACTGTAGACATAACACAGATGTATTCCTGGTCTCACACTGTAGGCATAACACAGATGTATTACTGGATCTCACCCTGTAGGCATAACACAGATGTATTACTGGTCTCACCCTGTAGGCATAACACAGATGTATTACTGGTCTCACCACTGTAGGCTGGTCTCACCCTGTAGGCATACAGATGTATTACTGGTCTCACCCTGTAGGCATAACACAGATGTATTCCTGGTCTCACCCTGTAGGCAACATAGATCATATATATATCATATATACAGATTTGTATTAATAGATATCCAGCCCGTCTCAGGCATCACAAGGCGCTTTACTTTTCTCTCGTTCACTGGTAGTCAATCAATCGTGCAGGATGCGTTACTCAATCTCAACTCCCTGTGGGAGCATACAAAGCTCGTTGCAGTCTCACCAGGTAGGCATATGAGCCGAGATTATTATGGTTCCCATCCTTACGAGGCATGACATGTATGTACTACTAATACCAACCTGGAGGTGTAATACAGATGTATTCATAAAGAAATCCCAATTTCTATAGTATCCTGTAATTGCTAGTAAATGTGGTGTACTACTGAGTACTGTTTGATACATTGCAGACAAAACACACACTTTATTAGACTCACCTTGTAGATATAGTACTGTATTAATAGCCAAACCATTTTGAAGCCACGGTGCAGTGCAACTTGACAGCAATACGGTGATGACATGTCCTTAATGCAGCCCTGCATGGATACTTACAACATCATTCCTCACCTTGAACTATTCATGTTTAGGTTTGGACGACGTCAGGTGGCGATGATCTACCATTTCATGGCGGGTACCTCTCTCATACTCTCTGTCATCATCCTCACTACCGCAGGTAAGCTATCTGTGATTACCCTCTCCCGGTTAGGTGACACCTGTAATGTCCGATGTCCATTATTGGTCGAACACACATTTATGTTCAACCAGAGACCATATAATAGAGGGACGGCCCTCCCCAACAGTTTATCACCGACCATCAGCGCTACGGCCTGGCATGTAACCAAATATTTCGGAAAACATCATATTTCGTCGCATTGCAGGAGCCAAAATAAGGAATGACGCGACCGCCCTAGACTTATAAATGCCACTATACCAATCTTTATCTTATCTTCTTTCATTACACCCCGGTAAGTAAGGATTTGTATTGAGAATTAGTATCCGTTATTGAAAATCAAAATCGGAACTTTCGCCGATTTTTCACCTCCGCCATTGTTCTCACAGAACAACGAGCACACATGACAGTATTCATCAAATACAAAGACAAATATATGCTTTAGCACCCCTAATACACCTCTAATGCACTGTTGCAAATATAAGTATATGCATGAGAATACATGAAAAACATCAAATCTTACCTTTGCAATGAAAATACGCGAAATCGATGACTGAAGTCAACACACGTTTTTGCCAGCTTCCGGACAGGCTGCGCAGTAAAAGCCGTAGCGCTGATGGTTTTGCGCACTGGCTCGAGGGCCGTCCTTCTATTATATGGTCTCTGGGTTCAACCCATGAAAATGAACATACACTCGTGTTTGTATCCCAAGTCACACATATGCAGGTGGGTCAGCAGCTACTGCACTCAACATGTTTGGGAAGTTCGCCATCACTGGATCCTTCAACGCTCTCTTCATCTACAGCCCCGAGCTGTTCCCCACAAACCTCAGGTACAGTGACCGCATCACTGCTGGATCTGTAGGAAGGGATCACACATAGGCAGAAATTACGTTTTCAGATTCCGAACAAACAGTACACACCTTCAAGGCTGTACAAATATTGATGCAGAACTTGTTAGATACATGTAACGAAGACAATCACGAATCTGACTATAATGCATGCCCATTCATTCCCACCTCGGTAAATATATTGTTTTCATCGTTAGTCAAGTCTGACAAATCATGGCGTCACGTATGCGGCATATATTCAAATTAATTTAAAGTGGAGCAAATGTTTAATGATCTCAGTTGCACGTACAGAGTATAGCTTGATGAAATATGTAGACGTTGTTACGTTGGTTTCAGGATGGCAGGTTTAGGAATGGGGTCGACTATGTCGCGGGTAGGTGGGATGACGGCACCGTACTCAGATCGACTGGTGAGGCCAACCATCCATTTTGGATATTTATCCACTGTAAATATCACCCCCACCCCAAGCCATTCCTATCCACCTAACCTCCCCTTTCCACGATCCATCAAAAGACGTAGACTGATTGTTCACTGTACAACAAACGCGTTATCGGGGCTAAACACAGCTCTAGGGAGATCAAACATGGTACGTGCTGACATGCAGTACCCCTGCAGTTTACTCGACATTCTGACATAGACACGTGTTGTATAGAGAGTGTTCCACACAGATAGTCGCGATTATTTTCTGCCAACAGATACAATTGCTTTCGTTTCCACAGCCAGACAGATACAACCTGCGTTACTGACATCAGATTCGCATCTTTTTCAACAGGCTGCGAAGGTGATATGGGGTCCAGGGGCTCTGTTTGGGACACTCTGCCTTATCGCTACGTTCCTCATACGATTCCTCCCAGAGACAAAGGGACGAGAACTCCCCACAACAATAGAGGAAATCAATGAGATGTACACAAGGAAACGAAAACCAAAGCAAGATGAGAAGCAGGATGACAGTTGACCTTCACATTGGATTGTTCTGAAAACATTGTTTATGTTGTATGTTTTCGTTGCTAAGTAATAATACCAGAAATAAAACTGTGTTTTATTGGTGTGTTTTCTGTAGATCACGTGTTTATCACATGTGTGAGAACGTTACGCCTATGAGTGTGGTAGAATCGGGAGACAGCAATCTCAGTTAGGTTGGTGTATTGACCGTTTCTGATTTCATGACCACAAATATTCCGTAAATGTTGAAATTTGGTACAGTAGTACATTTGAGAAATAGACCTGAATCGTCCTGAATAGTCCCCCTTCATAGTATGTTGACGCTCCCCACAGACGATGGGTATATGGCGGCGGTCTGTAAATAATCGAGACTGGACCAGACAGTATAGTGATTAACAGCATGAGCATCGATCTACGCAACTGACATACGATGACATGTGTCAACCAAGGCAGTGAGCCTGGCCACCCGATCCTGTTAGTTGCCTCTAACGATAAGTATGGATTGCTGAAGATCAATTCTAACTCTGATCTTCAGTGGTTGAAGGTAATGAGATTTACCCAGGGAAATGAAACCGAAGAAGACGATGAGAAGCAGGGTGATAGCTAACCTTCACATTCTATCACCCGGTGGAAAATGATCTTATTGAACGTTTACGTCTCTATGTAAGACTGCGAGAACTGTTGAGTAATTACTTTAACCAAGATATTGTTTGAAGAACTTACTCTGGACTTTTTCTGGACTTTTACGAAATGTAAAGCCCCATATTTCACTGCCATAACATGCAATTGGTGCAAGTTTAGTATCAAATATGGACAAAATAACCTTCAGCGAAAGATCTGGGTAAAATTTCATTTGCTGGTAAATAGGAAAACAAGCTTTTGATGCTTGGTTTGCAAGAGTTTCACAGGCTGTTGACCAACACAGTCGTGATGAAAAGATCACACCTACATACTTATAATACGTCACAGTTTTCAGTTGGTTGCCCTTATAATACCACTTCTCAACCGTTTTAAGCTTTCCGCCATTACGAAAAATAAGTGACACGATAAATTCGATGTGATACCTCCGTATTATCTTACTGAAGCCTCACATGATAAATACCACTACACATTGATACGTTCAATACAGGACCGAAACGACATCTGATAGAATACCAACTATGTCATCAAGATAAATCTGAAAATACTCGGAAACTAGTCGGGGTCATGAAGCAATTATTGCAAAATATCCTGCAATCGGTCAAGCACTGTGCTTCCGTTAAGAGATACGTTTTAGAAAGGTCTGCTACAGGAGTATTGAGCAGTGCCAACAGACAGATACTCGATAGTTGTTTCGCTACAGTTAAACCGTTATTGAATGTTGTCTTGTTCCGTCAGTTTGCAATGTTCCAGCCATATCATGACTAACCTATTCAAGGGATTTAGTTAGCGAGTCTGTTCAAATGATGGCAGAATGCAAACAACCAGCAAAGGAATTTGCTTTTTGAAGACGTATTTATTATTGCAAAAGAGTAAACATCTGACGAACAAAGACCTGTCCTCAGTGGAGTTTTGAATGAACGTCTTATGCGCAGATGCAGACAACAAAGAATACAGGCCCAACTCTCCTGAAACGCTGAGGGCAGTAGTCGGTGTTGGAATGATATTTGTCCGCGTTGTAAACGCAGTAGTGTGTGATATAATAGACGCAATAACTCGGTGCGCCTAGTGGCCGCAAGAGTTGTATGATCCCCAGGGAGATGAGATTGATAATATGACATCCACTGATCGAGGGAAAACAAAGAAGCGCTTTGAGCATGCAATTGGGATGGACTATAGCGCTAAATGAATACCCATATAATAATAATAATATAATAATAATAATTGATGGTGTTGAAGACGGAGTAGTTTGTTTTGTATAGGCAGCAGTTGGCGTTGTAGGTGATTTAAATGGTGTTCTAGAGGCAGTACATAGTGTTGAAGCAGCAGTAAATGGAGTTGAAGAGGCAGCAGCTGGTGTTTAAGAGGCAGTAATTGTTGTTTTAGAGGCAGTAACTGGTGTTGAAGAGGCAGCAGTTGGTGTTTTAGAGGCAGTAATTGGTGTTGAAGAGGCAGCAGTTGGTGTTTCAGAGGCAGTAATTGGTGTTTTAGAGGCAGAAATGGGTGTTGAAGAGTCAGTAATTGGTGTTTCAGTGGCAGTAATTGGTCTTGAAGAGGCAGCAGTTGGTGTTTTAGAGGCAGTAATTGGTGTTGAAGAGGCAGAAATTGGTGTTGAAGAGGCAGCAGTTGGTGTTTTAGAGGCAGTAAATGGTGTTGAAGAGGCAGTAACTGGTGTTGAAGAGGCAGTAATTGGTGTTGTAGAGGCAGAAATTGGTGTTGAAGAGGCAGTAATTGGTGTTGAAGAGGCAGAAATTGGTGTTGAAGAGGGAGCAGTTGGTGTTTTAGAGGCAGTAATTGGTGTTGAAGAGGCAGCAGTTGGTGTTTTAGAGGCAGTAATTGGTGTTGAAGAGGCAGAAATTGGTGTTGAAGAGGCAGCGGTTGGTGTTGTAGAGGCAGTAATTGGTGTTGAAGAGGCAGTTACTGGTGTTGAAGAGGCAGTTACTGGTGTTGAAGAGGCGTAGAGGCAGTAATTGGTGTTGAAGAGGCAGCAGTTTTGTGTTTTAGAGGCAGTAATTGGTGTTGAAGAGGCAGTTACTGGTGTTGAAGAGGCAGTTACTGGTGTTGAAGAGGCGTAGAGGCAGTAATTGGTGTTTAAGAGGCAGCAGTTTTGTGTTTTAGAGGCAGTAATTGGTGTTGAAGAGGCAGCAGTTTTGTGTTGTAGAGGCATTAGCTTGTGTTGAAGAGGTAGTAGTAGGTATTAACTGCCGTCGAGGAAGGCAGTAGTTGCCTTGGTAGGTGCAGTAGTCGCTGTTGTAGAGGCAGTAGGCAGTTGTTGGTGTTGTTGTAGAGGCAGTAGCAACACGTAATCTAATACCTCGCGTCAACATATCTCAAATTGGGGAACTATCTAAGTATCACGAAATTAGGACACGGCAGTAGAAGGTTTTCCAAACCACGAGTGATTTTGTAATAATGTAGTAAGGGATTTACAAAGGCAAACAGATTGAAAAAGGTGATTAATCATATTAGTGCAAGGCTAAGCATCTCTGTTCTAAAGTGAGGTACCGCCTCCGTGGTGTAGTGGTTAAAGCGTCTGCCCGGAGAGCGGAAGGTCGCGGGTTCGATTACCGACCGCGTCATACCAAAAGACGTTAAAATATGGTACTTCTTGGTCCCTGCCTGGCGCTCGGCATTAATGGGTACAACAAGGACTGGTCGGCTCTGAGTCAGTATAATGTGTCTGAGTGGGGTACTCATGCTTCACTGCGGTCTGGTATCTCAGTGGGCTAGCACTATAAAACCAGCTTCAGTCTGGGCTAGTACAAGCAGCCGTACATACCCATAAACACGCATGCACGTCTTCATATGAGCTAAATATTCTCAAGCACGACGTTAAACCTAATTTCACCCTCTACAGTGAGGTTTACAGATGCCCAGACACGACCCTGTCCACGTGACTGGCGACTCTCCACACCAGCACTGTGAGGACATATTGTTCAACGTTTCTGGCGTGATTGAGGTCCTCTCTGTTGGGATCCCATAACATCACGTTGCAGGTAGGTGCTGGATTGTGCAATAGTGCTAGCTACTGCGCAGTGACCTTCTTCCGAAATATTGGTGAGCTGAAGTATTGAGTTTTAATATACTCATGCAATACCAAAATCTTGATGATGGGCCCAACAGAGGAATAGAGGAAGTACAATCACTGTTTTCATGTACAATGCTTCTTAGGACCACTTGTTCTGGAATTAATATTGATCAGTTTGTTTTAGACAAGTAAATATTCTCTTGAAGGATTGATAGATTTTGAAAATAATTTGAGGATACCAGAAAAATTGTTTCTTGTCTTAGTCGAAACTATCATAAACATATGGAACATACTGTTTTCACACTAACAGACTGGGGAAAATGCGCATCAAAAGTTTCTTTTCAGACGTTTCACATTTTCTTTCCTTAGAACAAACTCACATGTCGTCAAATAGAAGCCGCCCTATTTAAGGTCTTCTTTGTTGCAATGGTAACGTACATTTCGAAAAGACCCGTGAAGATCCGGGGTAGAATAGGTCTTCAGCAACCCATGCCTGCCACAAAAGGCGACTATGCTTGTCGTAAGAGGCGACTAACGGGATCGGGTGGTCAGACTCGCTGACTTGGTTGACACATGTCATCGGTTCCCAATTGCGCAGATCGATGCTCATGCTGTTGATCACTGAATTGTCTGGTCCAGACTCAATTATTTACACACCGCCGCCATATAGCTGGAATATTGCTGTGTGCAACGTAAAACTAAACTCACTCACTCCATTTCGAAAAGGAAGAATTCACGTCTCGGTATGGGTAATGTAACACAGTAGGCGGTCTTTAGCAGCATCGGTGTCGTACAGCATCTGTACAGGCGGCATGTTGGCTTCTATAATGTTCACAATATGCGCATAGTTTCGAATACTACTTTGGCAGGAATGATGAAACTTTTGTATCCTTTTCATATGTATAGATGTTAGGGTATATCATCCATAGGCAGTCGTGTATACATATGTACATTGAGTTCCAGGTTGGCAGTATAGGGAAATTTGAGTTTAACGCCAATAAAGTAAAATATGGCCTATATGTATATGTTGGGAATCATATTGGCTGTTATTCATAAGTGTACTTGTCTACGTTTCAAATCAGACAAAAACCTTTGCATTTAGAATCTTCTATAATATCAAGCCATGAGTTCTGTGGTCTTGTGTAAATGCATGTTTTGTAAGTTAAGTAAAAGCAAAATCTTATTAAAATCAGTTAATAGAAAATAAATACATACATGAATGACTGACTGACTGAATGAATGAATGCACCGACGTTATTGGTAAACCATCACGTTTCTCATGATACCCGTGTGCTCTATGTGGGCTTGCTTAAGAAATTAAACCGAATTGTTTTAGTAATTTAAAGCCTAGTTTACATGCACTGATTTGACACCGGGGTTCTCTGCCTCCCTTGGTTCTCTTAACATTGTGCATCATCAAATCCTTTACCGGTTACATTCCACCAGTTTCTACTTCTTGGTCTTTCCCATATGGATCTTTCTGTGAGAAAAGACGATGTCTAACTGTTCACAGCAGTTTCATAGAATCTGTATCGGTGTCACTGTCGGGACCGGCGTTTGTTCACATCCTTTGCTCTGTATGAGCTGTGATTCATAAATGGTTGTTATTACTTTTATCATTATATTTCCGAGCTAACAATGATCATGTAAACGTACTTCACATTTGCCCTTTGCCACCCCGGGGGTATAATACCCACAGGGACAAATCGGTGCATCCAAACAAGGCTTAAGATAACATCTGATTGGCTCAAAAACACATGCATCCTTCATTTAGAGTAGGTGGTCAAAGTTCGTCGAGGGTTCAACTGACGCAAGGTGTGAGCATATATAGGCATATATTCTCCGGGTTTACGTGCAGTGAAGAGTATTGCACCTAACCCAACATATATCGCAGTGGGCTAGCACCAGACAACCAACATTAATCTAGACAATCAGCCACAAACAGGTACGTCGAAATTCGAAAAAAAATGTATATTTGCCTCGCCTCCACTGAACTGGATCAAAAAGCTAAGGTTTACGTTCAGGAAATATCAGACAAGTTCCTCCCTGGTGGTAACACAGGTTTGTTGTTATCACAGGCACGATGGACCATACTAACCTCGACCGGGTGCTGAACACGCTGAAATGGTACGGGAGGTACCAGGCGACACAGTTGGGTCTCATCTACATGTCCGTGCTCCCTGGGTCCCTCACCATCCTCTCCTACATCTTTGTGGGTAAGTCATGCCACACATGTGGACACATTCCATCACGACATCAAGTAGTTCATGATTCTTATTGGTCTGAATCAGATGAAATCAGGTGTGTATATCCTTTAGATACCTCAAAGGTAACAAAGTGTTATCATACAAACACATTGCTTGTGAAAACCCGATCTCTCGATAGTCTACCATCGCTGTGTTGTTACAATGGCTGCCAATAGCCCCTTAACATTATATCGATATCAGACACCTCACAACACACACGCTAATGTAAGTAACGTAAAGCACTCAAGAAATCTGCGTCATGCTGACACTGCAGATAAAACGGCGGTATTTTACCATACATTCGGGTGGTTCCGTTGGCAGTGAGGTTGTGTATCAGACTCACTGCCCAAGCAAGTCATCATAGATTGTCCTGTTGGTTAATACAGATCTTTTGATCTTTTGGCAGCCATGGAAACAGCCAAGCCATCAAATTTAGCGCTGTCGGGGTGGAGATATAGTCTTATAAATATATATTACTGTTACTTTGGTAAACTACTAGTACATTAGTATAACTAAAAAGAGTCGAGCATGCATTCCAAAGCATTAATAATTCTAAACAATTAAACCTCCCAATTAAATGGGGGCTAACTTAAAACAACCCAATAGAGACAGTAAGGCTCCGAGTTATGGGAATCAGTGAACGGAATTCGTTAAAATATGACTAACCGGTCGATAAATTTCCGTAATTTCACCCCAGGGCGCAAACACGGGCTCATTGTCTGATATGGTTTCTAACGAATCAAGGTGATGTCTCAGGCAAGTCAGGCTCGAATACCTTAAAATGAAAGAGGATATTTGCGGTCTTGAAATAGAGTCGAATGTCTGCCGTTCTAGTTTCCCACATGACTAGTCCATTCGTGTGTGCGTGCGTGCGTGCGTGCGTGCACGAACGCTTATTTAGGTTATTAGGAGCCATCGCCCATGGACTTAGCGGAAGTCTCACGGCCGTGCAAGTTGCAGATTGTTGTCACTGACCGTGGCGGCACGGAACGGTGTGGTTCGGAGTTACAAATAGCAATCCCCACTGGCCACTTCTGGTTACCTGCCGTTTTAACCCCACCTCAAAAGTGATGGTTATGTTGGTTATGATGTTGCAGGTTATGACGTTGCAGGTTATGATGTTATGATGTTGCAGGTTATGATGTAGGTTTTGATGTTGCAGATTATGATGTTGCAGGTTATGATGTTATGATATTACAGGTTATGATGTTATGATGTTATGGTGTTGCAGGTTATGATGTTGCAGGTTATGGTGTTGCAGGTTTTGATGTTGCAGATTATGATGTTGCAGGTTATGATGTTGTAGGTTATGATGTTGCAGGTTGCAGGTTTTGATGTTATGATGTTGCAGGTAATGATGTTATGATGTTGCAGGTTTTGATGTTGCAGGTTTTGATGTTGCAGGTTATGATGTTGCAGGTTATGATGTTGCAGGTAATGATGTTGCAGGTTATGATGTTGCAGGTAATGATGTTATGATGTTGAAGGTTATGGTGTTGCAGGTTATGATGTTGCAGGTTATGATGTTATGGTGTTGCAGGTTATGATGTTGCAGGTTATGATGTTGTAGGTTTTGATGTTGCAGATTATGATGTTGCAGGTTATGATGTTGCAGGTTATGATGTTATGATGTTGCAGGTTATGATGTTATGGTGTTGAAGGTTATGGTGTTATGGTGTTGCAGGTTATGATGTTATGATGTTGCAGATTATGATGTTATGATGTTGCAGGTTATGATGTTATGGTGTTGAAGGGTATGATGTTATGATGTTGCAGGTTATGATGTTATGATATTGCAGGTTATGATGTTATGATGTTGCAGGTTATGATGTTATGATATTGCAGGTTATGATGTTATGATGTTGCAGGTTATGGTGTTGCAGGTAATGATGTTATGATGTTGCAGATTATGATGTAATGATGTTGCAGGTTATGATGTTATGATGTTGGAGGTTTTGATGTTATGATGTTGAAGGTTTTGATGTTGCAGGTTATGATGTTGCAGATTATGATGTTGCAGGTTATGATGTTGTAGGTTTTGATGTTATGATGTTGCAGGTTTTGATGTTATGATGTTGCAGGTAATGATGTTATGATGTTGCAGGTTTTGATGTTGCAGGTTTTGATGTTGCAGGTTATGATGTTGCAGGTTATGATGTTGCAGGTAATGATGTTGCAGGTTATGATGTTGCAGGTGTTGATGTTATGATGTTGATGATGTTGCAGGTTATGATGTTGCAGGTTATTGTTATGGTGTTGCAGGTTATGATGTTGCAGGTTATGATGTTGTGATATTGCAGGTTATGATGTTATGATGTTGCAGGTTATGGTGTTGCAGGTAATGATGTTATGATGTTGCAGGTTATGATGTTATGATGTTGCAGGTTATGATGTTATGGTGTTGCAGGTTATGATGTTATGATGTTGCAGATTATGATGTTATGATGTTGCAGGTTATGATGTTATGGTGTTGAAGGGTATGATGTTATGATGTTGCAGGTTATGATGTTATGATATTGCAGGTTATGATGTTATGATGTTGCAGGTTATGATGTTATGATATTGCAGGTTATGATGTTATGATGTTGCAGGTTATGGTGTTGCAGGTAATGATGTTATGATGTTGCAGATTATGATGTAATGATGTTGCAGGTTATGATGTTATGATGTTGGAGGTTTTGATGTTATGATGTTGAAGGTTTTGATGTTGCAGGTTATGATGTTGCAGATTATGATGTTGCAGGTTATGATGTTGCAGGTAATGATGTTATGATGTTGCAGGTTATGATGTTTTGATGTTGCAGGTTTTGATGTTGCAGATTATGATGTTGCAGGTAATGATGTTGCAGGTAATGATGTTATGATGTTGCAGGTTATGATGTTATGATGTTGCAGGTTATGATGTTATGATGTTGCAGGTTTTGATGTTGCAGGTTATGATGTTGCAGGTTTTGATGTTGCAGGTTATAATGTTGCAGGTTATGATGGCCCGCACACGTGCAGTGGGGTGGCAAATACATCGGACTTGGGTCTGACTGTCCGGAACGACAGCAGAATCAGGTACGGCGAGTGCGACATCTTCGTTGACACCAACACAAGCCAGGGCATCGTGACTGAACGTACTGATTGTGTAGCTGGAAACACCTACCTGGAACACAAACAGGTGTCCATGGTGTCTGACGTAAGTGTGTGGCAGTACCTGGAATCTTCTTGGCCGCAATAACGGGTTAACATGTCCTTGAGTACGGTAGCAAAAACATTCTGCAATAAATCAACATTAAAGTACTGTCGGAAATAGAAAAAAACGTTATTTTCGCATTTATATCTACAATTTATGGAGTTAATACATGAAAGTGTGAAATATCTGTTAAATTAACTTCGGCCTAACTACAGTCTCAGTGGTAGGGAGATAGGTAACGTAGAAAAGGACTTTACTGAGGAGAGATTAGTGCAGAAATTAGCAATGTTTTTTTTTCTATGTCCATGTCGACTTATTTGGAAATTGGCTTTATGCAAATTAGTGTGCGATTATATTGTATTACCAAGGACACTTTTTAAATGCCCATTTGGTAATTAAACTTAGCTTCATTATAAACGATAGCTGACATAAAAAATAATAACTTTAACACTGAAACTATTAAGGATGTAGCTGCCATGGAGTCTCACTATCACTATAAAAAGAAACAGGTGGGAGGGGTCGTCTCAAAAGCAAAACCAGGGCGGGTGTCGCAGACGGTGGTTGAGGTCGGGCTGGGGGAATAGTGATATCAGCTAAGATAAAATGATCTTTCAGGCGAACTGGGGAAAAAACCGGCATGTCATTAACAATTTACAAATAATATCCAATCCTGTCGATCTTCTGGTAGTCACGCCACCTATATATTTTGAGACATTTCATACGATGGCTGATATAAACTTTTCTATGGGTATCTTATCACAACATAAACTTTATGAAAGAAAGACACGTACGATGTTAATCAATAGACGAAACATATTCCACTCATAAAAAAGCATAAAATATCTTTTAGATGACCTCTTGTGCCTGTAGGCAGCAGATGCTGTCCACCATCGTGCTTTGAGATTTTTCTTTGGGGTGGGTAAATATGCACCTAACGTTGCAGTGAATGGAGACATGGGATGGATCCCTCCAATTGTTCGACAATGGATATGTATTGTTAGACAATACTGTCGTTTTAGAAAAATGTCTTTTAGAATAAATAAGTATGTATTTATATGGTCGGAGAGTTGTGCGAGTGGATGTGTGAGAAATTGGAATTTCCGAGTAAAAGCAAGGTTAAATGAATGGGGCCTTAGTGTGGAAGCTGATGTTAATGTTAAACGGGTATGCGAGAAGGTGCGAGATATTTGTATGCAGAAGTATGTGAATGATTGGTATGAGTTATTACACAAGCCAAGCGGTAGAACGGGAGGTAATAAATTACGAACGTATCGAATGTTTAAGGATGTGTATGGCTGTGAAAGTTATGTGAGTATGAGTATGCCCCCTTCTTACCGCTCTGCCTTCTCCAAATTCAGATCAGGTACTGCTCCTCTGCATTTGGAAACCGGCAGATATACAAATGTGAATGTGAATGAGAGGGTATGTTTTCAGTGCAGTGAGAGTGTTGAGGATGAAAGACACGTTCTGTTGTATTGCCCTATGTATGATGATTTGCGTGAAAGTTTATATGAAAATGTCTGTTTTAGCTATCCCAACTTCTTAGATCTTTGTGATGATGATAAGTTAGTTTCACTTTTTAAACACCATGTATATTTCAGTGCCAAAACCTGCTTTTATATCTTGCAAAGAAGAAAACATATTTTATACGGTTAGATTTTACACTGTACCTATATAATTATTTATTATTTAGTATTTATAATTTTTTAATACATTAGTCTCTCATAACCCTTAAAGGGTGGCTCACTTATATGCTATATTTTATAAATATATTTATATATGTATTTTATGTGAGGTGAGACTGAAATAAAATATCTGTCTGTCTGTCTGCATTTCATGCCACGTGAGTCGACGGTCCGTCGTCATACCTGGCTGAGCGACCTAATTGCCGTCTATAGTCTGATCTATTGTTTTCAGCAGCTGTTCGTATTTTTTCTACGTTTTGCCCGATTTTACGACTAAACATGCTTTTCTGGATATCCTATTACGCATCCCACTGAACGCCTAGTTAGGCCGATGTGGGTTATTTCGACATATGCTATTTGCAATTGTGTACATTTTAGGGATACAGAGTGACAGCCTAAAAGCAGTTTTTTTTCTATTTCCGACAGTACAACTCCTTTTCAGGGTTTCTAGGAAAGAGCACGTGGGTATGGCAAATGACTGATTGAATGCGGATGATTTTACGCCGTTAATCCACCAATAATGATGATAATATTGGGAGCGCTGAAACACTCACCTGAAAATAGAGCACACAGTCGCCAGAACGAAAACACATTAAAGTTGGGACCAGATAACCCTGTGTGAGTGGCAGCACTTTGGATGATGTAAACCATGTAAGCGAGTTACTGATCAGTGTGGCTTTATGTCGTTATTCTAACATAACAATACTAGAATAACACACACTGGCCGGGAAATAGAATTCCCTGTTCCAGTGTGAACGTTAACAAGTAGCATCACGGTGAGTGACACCTGAAATGGGTTTCAACATTGCGCTCATCAGAGTGACGAGCGCACGTTAACCACTAGGCTACATCAGTTGGTTGATATTCAGTGCAAATACCGTGAGTTTATGATGGACTTCCTGTTGTTCTAGTGGGATCTGGTGTGTGAGCAGGCAACGCTTTCGGAGCTCACCCAGACTTTGTTTGTGTTGGGGCAAGCGACGGGCGCCATCTTGTGTTCGTCTCTCTCGGACAGGTTCGGCCGGAAGTGGACGTACACAACCAGTGTGATGGGCCTGATCGTCACAGGACTCGTTTTGGCTTTCTCTCCAAACTATGCCGTTTTCGCGACTTTTCGATTCATCGGCGGGATCTTCCAGCAAGTACGTTCATTTGGAAGTGCCAAGTACCTCTTCATGCAGAACTGTGTAGCATAATAAACACTAGCCAACAAACGTCATCGAATCTAAAGGATTTATTCAATCACTTTAATTTACATCAACACTGATACATAATACACTCGTAAATAATTAAGTCACTTTGGTTTTCCCAAATATGCATGGGATTTTGGAAATTACATGTATTGTCGTAGTAAATGTCAAAGTATTTCCTGTGGAAGAGCAAAATATGGTTTTCGGTGAAACAGTTTAAACGCTTGCTGTTGCCTTGTTGCGACATCTGTGACAACGTAATTGGGCGACATCACGTGAGGCATGAGTTGATGTTATACCTTCTGTCGCTGCAGGGGACGGATCTGACGATAGCGACGATGATACTAGAGTGGGCGCCAACAGACAAGAGGTTCAAAGCTGGAACTATCGGGAGCTGCCTGTGGGGTTGTTCTCTCGTTACCCTCGCGCCCCTCGCATACCTCCTCCGTAACGTCAGCTGGAGGTACCTACAGCTGGCGGTGGCCTTGACCGCCATGTATTCCCTCATTTTACCCTTGTAAGTATAGGCTGGTAACATTTTAATCTGTAGGTGTGTGTGTGCGTGCGTGCGTGCGTGCGTGCGCCTGAGTGTTTGAATAAATGGACATTGCAAATATACAAAATGTTCCCGAAAATGAAATTTATTACACGTTAGGACTGAATCATTCTGTCACCCAGTAGTATTTCATCTGGCTTTTCCCTAATTTTGTGTTCTTTCCTTTCAAAAACAGTGTGCTAAAGTCCGAATGGATTGCCACTGAATGCCTCTATCCTACTCGTTTATATCCCTATATTGTGAAGTTGATCTACCTGTTTCTTTGACTAGCAAACTGGATGAGACACTCAGGTGGTTGATGGCCAATGGAAAAACGAAAGAAGTGGAAAGGATATTGAAGAAAGCCGCCAAAATTAACAACGTCCCAATAGATGACGTGATGGCGTCGTACAATTACTCCGAGAAGGTCACTCCCAACGCTGCAGACAAGGGCAGTGAGGACATGGTGCGACCAGTGAACGGGATTAGCAATGGTATCAAGAAAACCGTAGTTGAGGCTACCGTACACGTAGCTACTGACGCCAACGACGTACAGATGGTCGACTGCATCGAGAATGAGTCTACCGCTGAGATCGAAACTAAGACATTGCTTCTAAACAGTCAGAACGGGAACGGCGTGCTGCAGAAGATGACGGACGACGACGACAATGGAGTAACTCACAAGCCTACTAAAAAGTACAATCTGCTTGATATCCTCAGGAACAAGATGATTTTTAAAAACGCACTTATTGTGTGGTACTGTTGGTAAGTAATATGAAAAACTCAAACTGTACGTGTTTCACCTTTAAAATGTTTTTGACATTAAATAGGACAGTGCTAGAACCGACACCCTTTTCCCTGCTTCAGGATCGTGGATTCTCTGGTGTATTATGGGTTGTACATGACGTCGTCCACACTGGCAGGAAACCGCTACCTGAACTACTTCTGTAACTCCGTGGTCGAAGTCCCGGCAGCTCTTCTCATCTATTTGACTCTAGAAAGGTACTGGGGCTGGGTGATTGTGGGTTGGGCTGAGTCCTCTTTCACATAAAAACAAGACAGCGCCTTGTTACAGTTGTACGTCAAAGCGCCGAAGAGGCTGTAAAATGCCTATGATCTATATGTATTTACGGTTTCTAATATACACAAACCTTTGAAACAAAAAGCGGACACAAAACAGATAACTATAAAACTAAGAATAAAATAGTGGAGTGTGGTAGGAATCGTGAAGTCACCAGAGCTGATACATGATCCCGAAGACTATCAACAGTAAGGCCACATAAAAATATACTTGTTTCTCATCACTATGGGTCGGACGGGAGGATTTAATTTTTACATTTTATATCCAAACCCCTTGATTTCTGAGGAAATTAACACCTTTCTCCGAAAGAAAATCCAAACTTAGAAGTGTGAAATATTCATGCACATTTTGAGAGTCTCTGGTGTGAAAAAAAGAAGAAATATTAGGGTCGGGTCGAATTTTTGTGTCGGGCGGTAATGAGAAACAACAATATATTTATATATGGCCTTATCATTTTACATAATCATTTCGCTGTTGTGTTGTAGATTTGGCCGGAAGAAGCCTTCACTGATGTTTCACACCACAGCTGGAGTGAGTTTGCTTGGGGCCGTTCTGCTCACGACATTCGTGGGTAAGTCCTTGCATGGCTCAGTGCAGTCCCCAGCCAGGATAAAGGTGTATAGAAATATGCTATATGGATGGCACATACCAGCAGGTGCAGGGTTGTCAACTCGGCGTCCACTCGGCGTCTTCCGTTACCGTCACGACATCTCGGAATGTGACGGAGTAGCGCCACTGCGTGGTTTCATTCTTAAAACATACTGACCAGACCCTCCGATGTATCTTCAAGCCATGACGGCAGCGTTTCAAGTTTGATTATTGTAAATGGAACAGAGTACATAATATTTCAGACAGAAACATATGCGTTCCAGGCAATAGGTGCCTACTTCACTGACATGTTATCATTGTCGGATCCGCCTCTCTCTCTCTCTCTCCCCCCCCTTTTGAAAATGACTAAAGCCACATTGAAGTTAATGTTTCAGGGGGTTCGCCTGTCTGTTATAATGATAATGCAAACTGGAGTATGCACGGATTCTTCCAAATGGTGTCCAATGATGAGTGGAATTTACGAATGTTGTTAGATGACCTAAGGTACCGGAGTGTGTGGATTGAGGTGTTGTGTGTACGTGCTTTTGTTTGCTCGTGAGAGACAGAGAGAGAGAGAGAGAGAGAGAGAGAGAGAGAGAGAGAGAGAGAGAGAGAGAGAGAGAGAGAGAGAGAGAGAGAGAGAGAGAGAGAGAGAGAGAGAGAGAGAGAGAGAGAGAGAGAGAGAGTTAAGGATTATTGTTGTAATCAGTGGTTCTTGAACAAATGATTGTATTCAGCTGACAGCCAGGCGGCCCAGATCGCCGCCACCATCTTGTCTATGATCGGGAAACTCACGATTACGACGGCCTTCGGCACCCTCTTCATCTACACTCCGGAACTGTTCCCTACAAACCTTAGGTCAGTGGAAACAATAATCGACACAAACATGAGGTCATTGATCCCTCTAATTATCCCCACTCTGTCCATCACAAGAACACTCCCTTAGAAACATCAGTTTAGTGGTTCCTCTAAATCTCCCTATTCAAGCAAACACAATGATACTCTTTTCACTAACACCAATTCAATGATCCATCTAAATCTCTCCACAAGAATACTTTCTGTAACTTGACAGACATTTGTCTGTTTACCTTCCAGGAACGTTGGTCTCGGAGCAGCGTCCTCGGTGTCTAGGCTTGGAGGAATGCTATCACCATACGCCTCAAAGCTTGTAAGTCAGACCAAGATTACACTATAATCATTGCGGTACTTCCAAATACTTCAAGGCGCCAAGAAAGTCATCCTTGTCCATGTTATTATGTCCTGTCTCTCCATTATCTGGGGCGGTGGGGAAAACCTAGTGGTTAAAGCTTTCGGTCGTCACGCCGAAGACCCAGGTTCGATTCCTCACATGGGTACAATTTGTGAAGCCCATTTCTGGTGTCCCCTGCCGTGATATTGCTGGAATATTGCTAAAATCGGCGTAAAACTAAACTCACTCGCTCTCCATTATCTGCAGGCAAAGGTCGTGGCCTGGGCTCCGGGTGCAATCTTTGTGATCATGTGCCTCCTGGCCGGCTTCTTCATCCAGTTTCTACCGGAAACACGTGGTCACGAGCTGCCGCAGACGATGGAAGAAATCAAAGAATGGTACCGAGCCAACATCCCCGGCCAGAAAAAGAAAGATAAACGCTCTGATGCCATATAATTCTCACCACCTCGGACATACTGACGCTGAAGTTGATAGTGTATGTAAATATAAGTATGAAACCAGCCATAAAGCGCGTGGTGACATCATGTAACTGACATCCAAACTGCACGTGCCGTCGTGGACAGAAGATACGCATCCAGGCGAGAAGATATGTAATCACTCACTTCAATTTGAATTTTGTGAACCAAATGAAGTTGTTATTGTCGAAACCTCTCCAACTGCCAAATAAATTGATTCTACTGCAATCTATAGTCACCTTTATAATGGTTTGTCGCGCGCACGCACACGCACAAATACGCACACGCACGCACGCACGCACACACACACACACACACACACACACCTCTCTTAGATCTGCCAATGTAATGGCTGCTCAGTATGACTAGTGAAAGGATTGGTGACAACGAGAGAATCTGGCCTGAGGGTCTCTGGTAGTGAAAACAGCCCAGTATGAACAAGGGACGCAACTCTGTATATCAACCTCAAGAGGCAATGAAATCGACAGAGGCGCACGTACAATATGCAACACTGCACACCAAAGCTCTCAATTACAACGCTTTAGAACAGATGCGATCATTGCATTTCTGAATGTGATTGTTTATTGGACCCATTTAAAACAAAATAATAAAAGTATGGTGTTTTTACGACCGGGAAGGGTGTACGGCTCAAACATATACACAAGCGAGAAACATTTCCATAATTATAAAACCCTACAGCAAGCCACTATATAATAATAATATAATAATAGTGGGTATTTGTAACCGCGCCTATATCTGTGCATGCAATGCTCGCTCAAGGCGCTAATAATCATAAGCACAGGTTATTGGTCATTAATCATTATGAAAAAAAGTGACGATACCAGGTGTTCGCTAAAACAATAGCGTATCCTGTCACATATCCTGGCACCCGTCCCAAACACATACAGAGGCAAGTCAATTGTTCATCTTAGAAACACCGGAATATTCACTAGACGCCAAAAGAAACGTTACCCTCCTACCTTTATGAATTACTGAAAAACTATCAAAGATATTTTAGAAGGATTTAGTTTACAAGAAAACTTATTAACACAGCTTTATGCAAATCACGAAAAACAATTCTCAAATGCATTCATATTTGGGTGAAATGCATCTTTTTCAGAAGAGTTAAATTGTCTTATATTCGTCCATGCCGAAACAAACCAATAATAGTGATTTTGATGTCAACAACTGTTGTAGAGTGTGTAAAATTGTAAACTAATCATTGCTATGATTTCAGTCTTTTAACATATATTCTGCTGATTTGCAAGAGTGAAAACAAGTGAAACGTGTCTTTGATATTGTGAAAAAATGGTAAGGAACATGTACAATTTTCTTTGTTAACAGTTGTGCTTGCAAAGTAACATATTTCCATTTTCTATTTACACATAGCAATATCAATAGGCAAAACGCAGCAATATTCAAGCAGTATTTACATCCATTTCACATGTAGAATGATTCTATAGGGCATGAAGAGAGCCTAGAAGACATGATCTGATACACAAGTACGAGAAATATGCCACGATTAATAGCTGAAGGGAGAGAAAGAGCCATTGGGATGGTGCAGATGGGGTCGACATACACTGCTGTTGCCAACACCCTCGGATGTTACCGTATCGCGGTTATAAGACTTATTCAGCCCTATAGACAGACTGGGCCACCGTAGACAGACCAAGAAGTGGACGTCCACGCATCACAACGCCAGCTGAAGATAGGTACCTCCGTCATTAAGGAAGGAGGGTAACGTTTCTTTGGGCGTTTAGTGTATGTACAACTACAATAAGGGGACTGGTAAAAGATGCGTAACATTTGGAAAATGTTTTCCACATTTTATTTCAATACTTTACTAAGTCCTCGAATGACGTAAATCTGTGAAATTATTGAGCAAGACGCGTCTGAAAAGCATGTTCGGTTGTACCTTAAACGTCAAATGAAAGCATCCTGGAACAACCAGCTCCCCAAATAGTGTAACTGGTAGCTGGACGGCGATATGGCGTAACGGGAACCTCTCTTCCAGGAACTGTAGAACCATCCTTTATATACCGACTGCTTCCACTGTCATTGCGCGGAAGATTTTTAATCTTCTGAGATGTCTGCTGTTGTAACGTCTGGTGGCATATTAATTTCTGTTTTCGGAGTTTATTTAACAACAATCCACCATGAAAATCTTCAGAAAGCCATAAGTGTAAGAGGCGACTAACGGTAACTGGTCCGGCTCGAAGACTTGGTTAGCGCATGTCATGTTATTGCCTAGGTTGATTCTCATGATGTCAAGCACTGAATTGTCTCATCCAGAATTGTCTCTTTACAAACCACCGTCATCCACCTTGATTTTGGCGTTGAACAACAATGACAATAACCAAAAAGACATAGAAACAATATTGCTTCGTACGACTCTGTGACAAATATTTAACCTTGTCAGGTTCGAAATTATACTACCACAGCACGAAAACGAATACTATTTTTGGAAAAAAAAAGCAACTTTCAGATTCCATTATGTCATGAGCCCAGACAAATGCTTTCTGAAGATGTTCTTTAAGAAGCAAACCTTTGAACGGAATTCGATTCAATTTCCTCTCGCCGTTCAAACAAATGACACTTTCAGTTTCATCGCGTTGAGTCCTCTGTTGGGGGAGGTCCAATGTCTAGCATCTACGTAAATCGGGGGTTAGGGGTTACGGGTTGGTGGTGGTGGAGGGAACAGTACTAAAGCCAGAATTACATTTGTATGTAAGTCGTATTAGATATATTCTACTTTATCATCATCATTTATGTATCGATAATATAATACTCACGTATCGATAATATACTATACTTACTTACAAACACCGCCGTGATATTGCTGGAATATTGCTAAAAGCGGTGTAAAACCATAGTAACTCACTCACTCACTCACTCACTCACTGTTGCCGCATCTATTCGAGCTGATGTTCATTAGTGTACGCGGACATCCTCCCCGTGTTGTGTTTCAGTCACGCTATTGTTGTACCTTCACTGTGGTACCTCAATTCCATAGTTGTGTCTGGTTGCAACGTGTCATATATCAACCTCATGCATGTATCTGGCACCAATGTGCCATCTTAACGCGTGAGATATATATAACCTATTTACTATACAAAATTAATTGTGTCTGTACCCACATTTGGACAAAAGCCGAATAAGTTATCTATGCATACATATATGAACGTATAAAACTCGTGTGAATTCAGAATTACTTATTTCGGTGTACATGTATGGGCACACAGAATAGCTTTAGATACATTTTAGTGAATATTTGTACACATGGAATTCTATTCAAATATTCTCGGCCTTCAGACATGGGCATGAATATATTTCTTTAATGCAAACTAACCTGCATAAACATCGAAATATATTGAATGTTCCATAACGTATTAACGTATTATCTGTATACTTATTATCTATCCTAGCATCATCATATTGTGACATATAAACTGAACACACATATGGACATATATAGAATTCGCTTTAAACAGAATAATTCTTGTCAACTATAACATTAACAACTACTACTGCTGTTACTACCGTTGCCGCTACTGCTGTTGCTGCTGCTACTACTACTACTACTACTACTGCTGCTGCTGCTGCTGCTGCTGCTACTACTACTACTACTACTACTACTACCTACCTGTGAAGGTCCGGGTCAGAATATTGACCTTCAGTAACCCATGCTTGCCGTAAGAGGCAACTAACGGGATCGGGTGGTCAGACTTGCTGATTTGGTTGACACGTCATCGGTTCCCAATTGCGCAGATCGATGCTCATGCTCTGGATTGTCTGGTCCAGACACGATTATTTACAGACCGCCGTAAATAATACTGCTGCTACTGTTACTACTATTACTACTGCTACTACAGTTCCTATTACTACCTCTATTCTTGCTTCTATGACGCAATGTCAGCTGACACACAAGCCACCATTACGTCGTGTGTAAACTGTATTCGAGTTATCACTTGAGCTATCTTTATTATGCATCATTACTGTGTTTACATCCACGCCTGTCCAGTTGACTGGTCAGTTTGTTTTACCAAATTTGATACCTATATAAATAGACAAAGTTTATCCAAGCCATGTTTAGAGTGTTTTAATGCATTTACAGACAGTTATATTTAATTGGACCCACGTAGTAGGCTGACCTTTCGTTGACTGCTTCACGCAAGCGGCGCCATTTATCAGTGTCCCAAATTTACATTGCGTCAGGCAATGCATAATATTTCAGAAGCCCGCCATTTTGTTTTATCACAGGAAGCACTTCCGGTTACATTTATTTATTTATTATATATTTATTTACTTATTATTTATTCATTCATTCATTCATTCATTCATTCATTCATTCATTCATTCATTCATTCATTCATTCATTCATTCATTCATTCATTCATTCATCCATCCATCTCCATCCATCCAGCCAGCCATTCATTCAGCCAGCCAGCCAGCCAGTCAGTTCATTCAGTCATTTATTCATTCATTTATTTATTTATTTATTTATCATCCAGTCAGTCAGTTTGTCATTCTATGAGATAATCATAACTTGACTACTTAGTTAAGTATGCTCTCGCAGATTTGTATGACTACACCTTTCCAACAGGTCATCACTTAACACTTTCAAGGTCCCGGCGTAACTGACCATACGTGGCTGACAGCGACTGACCACACCTGCTTGACGAAAGCCCCTACGGCTGACCATTGGTGCTCTAACAATGCACAAGCACTATCCAACATCACGGTGAAACAATACCCCCTTCTCTGTCATGTTCTCACCTTCAATCTAATCACGTGTATGGCTTGCTGGAGCATCGGGCTGTGGAATATAATATAAAGCCAATTAACTAACCAATCTTCCACTGGCGTTTTCCCCTGCTTCCGTCAAACTTCGATTTCTACTCACGACTGCGCTATCAAATTAATATTGCCTCATTTGACTGTCAATGGCGTGTTCCGCCATGGATTGGCTGAGTAATACCCTTAAAGACCCCCTTCAGCCCCAGAGACGACAAATCTCTGCTAAGGTATCTAAAACAATCTGTGACAATTACACACGCAGAAAGTTGGATATCTTTAGCCCTCCCTCCATTCCGCATCCGCTAACCCAGACCCGGTATTTAGAAGCTATACGTCACACACGCGCCTCTCGTTTGAACGCGTGTTGTTTTATTGGTGACGTCGAGCCACTCGCTGGAAGGACAGCCCAACAGTGCTATATAGATAGGTGAATCTCAACAGCTGCTTACTATAAATGCATTTCACACGGGCTTTATCTATGTCTGATGATAGGTGACACTACAAATGTGCCTAGGAGTAGTCAGCGCCTCCCACTCAGATAACACAACGGCGACCAGTTACTTTCTGAAAAGTGTTTCGGAAGAGTCTTTCGAGTGGCTGGCCCGTGGAAAGTATTATGACCAAAGGAGTTGTGTTGCTCCCGCTACTATTATGTATATATTGTGTACATAATGTAGTTACTGATTCTCACTTTGTTAACGAGTGGGCAGCACAGATTAATGGAGGCTACGATCAGGCAAGGAGGGTCGCCGAACAACATGGTTACGAAGTTGTGAGAGAAGTGAGTAATTTTTTATATATTTTCCTTCATATAATTATCAGGTCTTAACTCTGTTGAGGATATAGGGACCATGCTGTATATCACTTCAAGCCCATGTCGCTCAAACAGCTGTCACCATTATCTAGTTAATCTCTCCAACGTCATTCCACTCCTGGCGCATTTACATACAAAATATGGATGGTTTTCAAAAATATATTGGCCGGAAAATGAACATGATGATATTAATATATCAGATGCAAGTATTATACGACTTATCTAAAACTATTTTATTGAAGTTTATAATGCTCGATACAAGAGACGTTAAGTCGGTTCGGTTTCATTGTCAGCCATTTGCTGCAATTTGCCTGCAATTATAACTGACATTTTCCCTGTATATCGGAAACAATTTAGAGACCTATTACCGGTGGCAAGAAATACGCCATGTTAGTGTAGCCTTTCCTGTCCAACCCTTCATACAATAAACAATCACAGAGGAAAATTGGACCACATGTGACGACTCTATGACCAAGGTTTGGGTCAAATGACAGCATATGTGGACTGAAAACTGATCTGTTTCTTTAAGACAGATTGGCTAACCTCATCGGTAAATCATAGCTTTCATACAATATAGACAGGTTTGTTGATAAAGTAAACAGCAACGTTGTGCAGCAGACATACTACAACGACAAATGAATATTGTTCATATGTATATATATGCATATTTACAATATGTTTCATTGCAGCCCAAGATGCATTTAGAATATATATTGTAAAGAAAATTTAATGCAGCCTGTTGGAATATATTGAAAGAATACAGAGACAAGAAAATTGATTATATTGAACTAGCATGTTGTCGTTGTCTCCAACAATAACAATCACATTACTGCACCATGCAGACTTCTGTTCTCCCACATGGAGACCTGCACAAGAACACTAATATGTTTTTACGAAAGGACACAACTTGATCAACCGCGGTTTTTGTTTGTTTGACACGTCCACCTACATACGACATGCCGATTTAGTTATTCCTGCGCTTTCTTGCTGATTTGGTCTGAAGAAGGACTACTGTAAACGGTATTTCTGTCAGAGCACAGTTTCTTGGACATACTTTTCCTTTTCCTGGTTGTTGTTTGATTGTTTATTCGGCTTTTCAGGAGGTAAGTAGTTATAAAGGCGAGGTATTTTATGAATGACATCTTCTTTATAATATATAAATCTATTTTATGCTATCATTCTGCGCTCTTGCTTGACAAGGGTATAAGGATCTTTACCAAACCGTTGCATCACAATAGAATAAAGAAGATGCCATCCATCCAATATGTATCTTTCCTGTATAATAGAGTAACCAGTTTTACTGCAGCTTAGTGACTGCGGTCTGTAAATAATTGGGACTGGGCGAGACAATCCAGTGATTCAGTAACGACATATAGTCATATCTTTCCGTAATGACACTGGGAAATATCATTCCCACAAGGGGAAATATCATAAAGCATTGATTCAGGTACATATAATTCAGTCATGGCACAGGGATATATCATTCCGTAATGAAAAGGGTAAATATCATTTAGTAATGACAAAGGGAAATATATTTCAGCAATGACTCAGGGAAGTATCACTCAATCAAGTCACAGGGAAATATCACTCAGTAATGACTCAGGGAAACATCACTCAATCAAGTCACAGGGAAATGTAATTCAGTCATGCCATCATGACACAGGGAAATATCATTCAGTTATGGCACAGGATCATTTAGTCATGACACAGGGAAATATCATTTAGTCATGACACAGGGAAATATCATTCAGTCATGACACAGGGAAATATCATTCAGTCATGACACAAGGAAATATTATTCAGTCATGACACAGGGAAATATCATTTGGTCATGACACAGGGGCATATTATTCAGTCATGACACAGGGACATATTATTCAGTCATGACACAGGGAAATATCATTTAGTCATGACACAGGGAAATATCATTTAGTCATGACACAGGGAAATATCATTTAGTCATGACACAGGGACATATTATTCAGTCATGACACAGGGAAATATTATTGAGTCATGACACAGGGAAATATCATTCAGTCATGCCATCATGGCACAGGAGCATGTTATTCAGTCAGGACACAGGGAAATCTCATTCAAGGAAATATCATTCAGTCATGACACAGGGAAATACCATTCAGTCATGCCATCATGACACAGGGGCATGTTATTCAGCATTCACTGACACGTGAGTATACCATTCAGTACTGCCAAAGAGACATAACACACTGCTGTATAAACTCACTGCCTGGGGACTGGTTCCTCTGATGGCATTATATGACACTCAACAGACCACCTGTATACGACACGATGCAACAGCTGTCAATAGATGCAAACAGATCAAAAGTACCTTTCATCATATCACAGTTTTAAATCATGCAACTGAACAATGACATCCTGTAGAAAGATATTGGACCAAGATATACAAATGGACGTATTGTTCAGTGCGGATCTGTGTAGTGACTGTAATGAACCACGAGCTGGATGTAATTAGGTGATACATGACCACTAACCAGCAGCACCATGTTCTGGGTGTTCCCAGTTTGTACTGCTGCATATCCCAACATAAGGCGTGCATGCTAATTAATGTAAAATGCCCCGGCACAGGAACAAACCGCTCTCTAGGAATATGATATTGACATTATATATCAGATTTCATGTTTTTGATTTGATATGGATGCCATATGTTTCCTGTTTATTCATACATTTTGCATTTGCATGAACAATATGTCCCTCAAATGGTATTCATTTAAGGATTGAAGTTGTGTTTGTTGACGTTCATCAAATAATGAATATAGTGAATCGCGTAAGCATATTCAATGATGCCCGAAGCGAACGGATGACGTAATTGCGCGACTAAATGACGTTCGTCAGGAAATGAACAACTGTTAACTCGATCACCAGCTGCTGTCAACATTACAGCTGAAATACTAGGAATATAACCTGCAAAATAATAGGAATATAATCTTAATGATAATAGGAATATTATCTGATTTCTACTTTAATGATAACATCGGTGTGGGTCATATACTTCATTTTTCATCCAATGATCAACATTAGCAATTTATATTACCCCTCAACCTCCACCTCAAGTTATACACTCCCTATATAGCATACACACGTCCACAATAGGTATATATACTCCAAACAGGATCTATCGCCTGGGTTTAGATCTGCCAACAGATACGCTCAGTAATGACATATACGTACGTCATCAGCCGGCCGTGTAATGTCTCCTTGTAGTGTGAACGGGGCACCAGGATAACAGTGACATTTCCAGAACAGTCCATGTGTTTGTATGGAGCCCCAGCACACAGGCTGTCGTACTCTGTTCATAACATACTTTTCATGTAAAACCTGCCACGATGCTGCAATTTAATATTCTATTTAATTTGATTAAATATATTAGACGGAATCAAGGTATAGGAAAGCATTTCACACTGCGTGTGTCCAAATGAGAGGTATTTGTAATACCTTTGACAGGACGTGTGAATACTGTGTACCGATTACATGAATTTCTACCAGAATTTCCATTGCCTGTCTAAACCAACTGTCACAGATGAAAGTAGAAATTGTGAAACTAGATCACTCTCCACAGTATGTCAGGTCACATCTACATGTATCGATGTACATGGTTAATGGAAATTATGTTAACACATTCACCTCGCCCTTTCTAAGTGTGATCACGAATACTGTTGTACATCACAGCAGTTATTTATCACAGAGTATTTTATGATAATTCTAAAGCCAGTTTGAAATGCCGTTAAGTTTTCAAAATAAAGAATATTGTAATCCTAATGTATGACACACGTCTAGTCTGGTTGTCACCGGGACCCGGATGTGCTGCTGCTACAGAGAGGACTCGCCTCCCTCACACTGCAGCAGAGTACGATAATGACGGGCCGATCTTACAGCAGATTGAGAGAGATTTAAAAGCTTATGTCAGGCCGTGAGTGGAATGGTGGTCGTGTTGCTCTGATTTCTGACACAAAACACAAACTTCAAAGCAGACATTATCATTTGATATTGTAGATTCACGATTGCATGCGGCTTTAAATTAAGCAATAAATATGCAATATGATTCAGCAAAGATGAAACAGGCATCAGTGACGTGTCTCCCGCAATTACCTGTCTTGTGTAGAAGAGGTGACAAGTCGAGCTTGGTAACTGTTACAGCATTAGCCCTACACATGTGAGATGCTGCCATGGAAGATTGGAATATAAGCATGTACTGAAGACGACATACTTTAACAAGATAAGGAAATGTGTATGTGAAAATACACGCCAAGAAGATCACTAACGTGTGTGTTATACACCAGCATAATCTGCTAGATACGTCTATATTTTAAACAACAGCATAATCTGCTAGATACGTCTATATGTTATACACCAGCATAATCTGCTAGATAAGTCCACATGTTATACACCAGCATAATCTGCTAGATAAGTCCGTATGTTATACATTAGCATAATCTGATTTATACGTCCATATGTTATTCACCAGCATAACCTGCTAGATACGTCCACATGTTATACACCAGCATAACCTGCGAGATAAGTCCGTATGTTATAAAAAAGCATAATCTGCTTCATACGTCCATATGTTATTCACCAGCATAACCTGCTAGATACGTCCATATGTTATTCACCAGCATAACCTGCTAGATACGTCTATATGTTATACACCAGCATAATCTGCTAGATACGTCCATATGTTATACACCAGCATAATCTGTTAGATGCGTCCATATGTTATACACCAGCATAACCCGTTAGATAACTCCATATGTTATACACTAGCATAATCTGCTAGATACGTCCATATGTTATACACTAGGATAATCTGCTAGATAAGTCCATATGTTATAAAAAAGCATAATCTGTTAGATGCGTCCATATGTTTTACACTAGCATAATCTGCTAGATAAGTCCATATGTTACGCACTAGGATAATCTGCTAGATAAGTCCA